CCCTAACCCTAACCCTAACCCTAACCCTAACCCCTAACGGCTATCTGCTTTTCTATCTGTTGTCGAACATGGGGGTCGGGGAGTTTCTTCTTCTAACACTTGAGCAGTTTTACGATCGTAGCCGAGTTATCAGAGAAGAGACCGGGAAAGCCCGCTGCATTGGCTGCCTGCAGAACCGCATCATCGATTGGACCTAAGTCGTGGCGAACGATGAGAGAAAGGACCAAGCGGATCCAAGACTCGCGACTGCAGGGGGCATTGATGAGAGCACAAAGGAATCCGTCGCAATCGGTCCACAGATGGCGTTCTGACTGTCCTTGAATATGTTTAAGGTTTCCGAGGAATCCTCTGTCTAGCCATTTTTGGTCATCAACGTCGCAGGCAGCAGTCAGTGCTCGCAAGGTGTCAGCAAACTTGTCTTCGCAATCGTCACAGGTGGCCTTCGAGGCAGCGCTTCGATAAAGAGTTCCATCCGGAACACAGCGTGGACAGTCTTCTTGACGACGGTTATCTAACCGCAGCATAGGAGTGTTGCATTCCATCCGGAACGGACGGCGTGTGCCATGACAGAGGGAGCATTTTGCATCCATGCTGATCTTATCCCTGTTAGATCTGTCTTGTGTGCGTGGGTTCGAAAGCGGATTTTAGAGCCGCCGGAATAGATGATGTCCGGGATAACAGCACAACCTAGTCACACTGGGAAGGGAAGTTATAAGGCATAGAGACTGAGAAACTCCCTTGCGTGCAATGCCAGCTTGGATGGCTGGACGGTGGAGGCGCCTTCCACATCGTTTTGGTTTCTGCGGCAGTGGAAATGGATGGCAAAAATAATGCATATAAACAGCCACGTGTGCGGCGCTTCCCACTTCTTCATCCCATCTACTCGACCAAGCTACCCCTAACCAAAAGGCTATCATATCTTGCGCAACACATATGTACATGCCCCCCCCCCCCTGCCCTCTCCCACCCCCCTCTAACTCATATCTCATACTCTCTACTCCCTACTCCCTAACTTTCAAACTAACCTCCACCCCTCCCGGCGCGCCCTCCACCTCCCTCAAAAACGCCGCAAAACACTCAAACCCGCCCGCATCGGCAAAGGCCTGCGGTGTCATTTCCAGGTTCAATTTCTTTACTGCCGTTGTCGTTGAATCTGACGCGGGGGGTGATGCTAAAGTGTGTTGTAGAGCTGGTGGTGGTGGTGGTGGTGGTGGTACGGGGAAGACCGTTGTCAATTGTGACGGTGGGTGTGGCGTATCCCCCCCAAACAAGGCATCAAGGTGTCCCTCCCCATGCACCACAACCTCCTGCGCGCCAAGCCCCGGCGCCGGCACACCCTCCTCCTCAACGCGCCGTATCCCCTCCCACACCCCCTCAACCCCAGGGGTCGGTGCCTCAACATCCACCACCTCGCCCAACTCCGCGATCCGTTCACTCGTGGTGGGTCCAATCGAAGCTAACCGTGCATGTTTCCATCCAGGGTGGGTCCGGATGGCTCTGAGCGCGATGTCGACGCCGGAGGGGCTGAAGAAGACTACCCACGGTCTCTTGTGTTGTGGGGTTGGCGAGGCTGGGAGGGAGGCGAGGTCGGCGTGGAATGTGGGTGAGGGGGTGGTTTCATACACCGTGAGTTGCTCATACTTTACCCCACCCTCCTCTAACCGTTTCGGCAGCACATCGCTTGCTTTATCCCCGCCCAGGAAGAGGTACGTTTCCGGTAGGTGCATGTTCCCATTGGCCTTCTCCCAATGCGCGAGCCAGTACGGTGTCGGTTTATGACACCCGGCGTCGACGATCAGGCCCGCGAGGGTCGCAGCTGTGCCCGTGTCCCACCCGGCGGGCTGGAAGCCTGCGGCGGCAGCAGCGGCGGCGGTGGCTTTGCCGACGCAGTAGAAGGGTTTGGCGCGCCATTTGGCTTTGAGGTGTTCGGCGCCGCGGCGGACGACGTCGGTGGCGGAGGGAGGGATTGGGAACGCTTTTGTGAGGGGGTGGATTGCGCGGGCGGAGGTTGCGATGAGGCCGCAGAAGTCGTTGGAGCGGTTCCAGAGGAGGGTGCACAAGGCGGGGAGGTTGACGGTGTCGTTGTGCGACAGTACAGGGATAAAGTGAGGTGAGTAGGTTGGAGGTGCAAATGCTGCGGCGTATTCGTCGTCAGATGGGGTGGTATTTGAGGTGGGGGTGGAGTCGTCGTTACGTTGGCGGAGGAAGAGGATGGGTGTGGGTGTCGATGACGCCTGCACCGTCGTCCGAACAGCCTGATCGTTGTTGACCAGTCCGCTCTCGGTATTTCCCGGCTTTTCCGCGGTTCTCAGCCCCGTAACCCCCATCGAACTCGCCGCTCCCGCCCCATTCACACCCCCCCTATTTACGTTTACAAGCTTCCCATTGATCGTCCCATTAACAGCCGACCGCGACAACGTCGTCGGGGCCGCGATGGTATCTTTCACGCCCGAGGGTACCAGATTGCTGTACGCGGCCAAGAACGCGTCGACAAAGACTTGGTTGAGGCCTGAGTTGACTGTGATGTCCCGGCCGGGGCGACTGGTGTGGGCGGATGCGTGTATGTTGGTAGCGGGTGCGGTGCTTCGGGTGAGTAAGGTGGAGAGGGATGCAGCGGGTTTTGTGCCTGCGGAGATTGTCGTGGATTGGTTGGGTTGGGGTGTACTGACATTGGACTGAGTACTTGCTGCTCCTTCATCAACCGATTGCACCGAGAATTCCGGGGAGAGCGCCAATTTGCTTCCATTCGTAGACGTCCTTTTCCGTCGTTGCTTGATCTGCGGAATCCCCACCTGCGCCTCCTCCTGCGACAACACCCGTTTCCTGCCCTTGCCATGTCCCGGCGTCGTGTCCTCCCCCTCCTGCCCCTCATCTTCCTCCTCACTGTCCTCCACCCCCGCCCCCCTACTCTTCCTCTCCGGGCCCCGTGTCTTCCACTCAATCCTCGACTCCCTCCGTTTCCTCTCAATCACATCCCTCACATTCGCAAATCTGGGGTCCGTGATCACGTTCAACCCATCCTTCCTGTTCGCCTTCAAATGGCAATTCAGATTCGATAGACATGCTTTGAGCGAGCCGGATTTGTAGCTGGTCCCGTCGACCCGTTTGAGGTCGTTGAAGAATGTGCAGAGGTGGTGGTTTAGCTCTGGGATCGGGAGGTCTTCGATGGGGGTTGCGAGAGGCGTTGGGAGGGAGGCTTTGTAACGGTTGAAGGAGTTGAGCCAGGTTTTCATGGCGATCCTGGAGGCGTTGCTGTTGGTGGTTGAGGTTGGGGTGAGGTCTGGGTCGAGGCCCCAGCTCGGACTTCGAGGCATTTTGAAATGTTCTACACCACCCTGGTCGAGGACAGGGTCGAGGACGAGGACGAAACCTTCTGAGCCTCTTTGCGCCTTTTTGAATTGCGAGCGGGCGCTTTGCAGGCCGCGTTGGGGCATTTCTCTTTCCACCCGTTCGCCATTCTGCAGGCTTCCCTCAACGACAACAAACATGTCCGCCGACGCAACAGTAACCATTGAGACCATAGTCCCCGCCGTCGCAGCCGGCTCTGTGAGGAGCGGCGCCGCGGGCGTCCGTGGCAAGCCAGTCTCAGGTTCGTCCTATTTTCGTTCCCGTGTTCTTTCACCAGGTCAAACCGCTTACGGGCCATTCTCATTGCACTTTACAATAGGACGAGTATGGAAGACCACACAGACAAAGAGGCACACCTCTATGAAGCCCCGTATGCTTCGGCAAGGTAAGTTCCCAGTGCAACTTCCCAATACCCTTTATGACCAAGAGCTTATGTCTCAGTTTCACAGGCTGGGGAAAGCAAATAGAGGAGCGCAAGCAACACCAAGTAATGAAAGCTATTGAGAAGGAGCTCAAGGATGAGAAGGCTGCTGAGAGACAGGTATGGAGAATGTCGCCAGACCATACACCAGTGGAAACGGGGATTTTCTGATACAAATGTCCTTTGCGAAAACCTGTAGAAACAAAAAGATGCCGAGAAGGAACGTCTGAAGCGGAAAGAGGAGAATGAGAAGAAGGCTGAGGTCGTGCAGAAGGTATGAACGTCGTACTTTTGCATGCATTGCTTGAGCTGGGGAATGTTGCTAATTGGGTATGATCAGGTCTCTGCTGCCAAGGTGAAAAGGATGAAGAAGAAGCAGCTTCGTCAGTTGCGTAAGGAGTAGATGGATGGACCTTAGACAAGGCTTACGAATAGAGGAGGTGGAGAATATTGGTGGCAAGCTACTCGGAGGGTTTGGACGATGGGCGGGAGGCGCGGGCGGTAGCTACGTAAACCGCACGATTCTGCTCATCTGGCATCACTATCGCACGGAGGAGAACAGATCACGTCGCAGCAGAAACTGGCAGAATGGAGCCAAGGAGAGAGCTGTGTAGCCCAGAACTCAACGAATCGGCATAGCTACGTAGATGAAGGCAGGATGTACACGTAGAGGGCATAGTATGCCTTTTGAGCATGTTTTTTGGTCTATTCTTTGTATTTATTTTTTCAATTTCGTATGCATGCCCTGTCTAGAATATGAGGGTACTTCATTGATTCCGAACCTCCCTCGGAGTGGCACTGCTAACTTGTGTCTGTCCCTTACTTTTGATGGCCGCTAAAGGCGGACTCGAGCCCATGTTATTTTGCCTACTATGTAAACTAAATCCCTAACAGCCTTTCGCACGAAATACCGGCCTTCCCCGCGAACTAACATGGCGGACAATTTACGAGCGCATTTACCAATTGGGGTTAGGCTAGGGTTAGGGTTAGGGAACTTTTTTGACTTGGAATCCCTTACGTATTGCTTAGAGATGATAGCTTACAGTATCTCTCAGCGTTTCTTGAGGTCCCCAACATCTCAAATCGAGATTCTACAACCATCTGTCCCAGGTGTCCGAAAGCGAAGTGTCTCGAGGTTCAACCCAAATTGTGTGTAAACTGTCACACATTTTCTATCAGAACATGCCCTTGTCGTTTGTCTCTGCGCACCCTCGGACCGCTCTTCACACTCTGCCCCGCACGATCATCATAGTCAACCCATACGGATATTCTCGCTCGACGACATGAGCATCCCCAGATCACCTTCCACACCTGTCACCGTTGACACAACCACCTCGGGTGATCCCACTGTCCCCCTTGATGCCTCTGACAAACTGCCGTCATCCTCGGCATTGTCTCAGGGAGATGTGTCTGTCTCTGTGAAGCGGAAACGGGCTCGTCGTCGTACCCCGGAGGAGATGGACGCGGAGAGAACCCGGATGGCAGCCCGGAGGGCCTAGCGAGCGCAGGAGCGGGTGATTGCTACGCAGCGGGCGGAGGCAGAGAAGGCCAGGAGGATTCAGGAGAGGGCTTTGGCTGCAGAGGAGAAGCGTCGCCAGCAGCAAGAGGCTTTCAATCGAAGGGCGGAGAAACGTGCTGCAGCCGCTGCGGCACAACAGGCGGCTGACGAGGAGGCAATCACTGTCCGCCGTCGTCAGACATGGACCACGGAGGAGTCCCTCGCTCTATGCGAGTTATATCGAGCCGCAAAGGCACACGTTGTCTCGGTCTTCTCCGGCACGACGTTCAATGCGACATATACACAGCAAGTCATTCGGGAATACATAAAGCGCCAATGGGTGGACCATGAACTTTCGCGGCGGTGGACGGTACGGCAAGCAGAGAATAGATGGCACAATATTCAAAGTCAGTATAAGAAGGCCAAAGACGAGCTGGCCGAGACAGGCGGAGGTGGGCTGGGCGCGTATAAAGAACGGTTCCCGTGGTGGGATGTCGTTGAAGAAGAGGGTCACGGAACTGCCGCCGTGGTTCCCTTGTACGTCTTGCAGGGTTCGCGAACTACTGGTGCCTCGGAAGCCGGGCGAGAGGGAGGAGAGGAGGGTGGCAATTACGGTGAGGACGAGAGTCACCCGCTCGACGCCGATGCAGACACTCATGAGTCGTCCGATGCGGGCTATGCTGGCGCATCTTCTCCTGCGTTGGGTTTGTTTGGTTCGAGACGAGACAGTCAAACGTCTTCTCCTGGGTTGGGTTCATTTGGGTCGAGACGAGACAGTCATCAAACGTCTCCTGTTTCGGACACAGCCATGCAGACGCCTCTATCAGTGCGGCGATCGCCAAGTGTCTTCTCGGCATGTTCCGCTCCCCCAAAATCTTTGCGAGGACTGTCTCGAGCGCGTGAGACCCTGATGCAGACCGAATCTGTCATGGAAACATTACTCGTCACTGTAGCACGGCTTCAGCAGGAACATTTGGCGAGAATGGAAGAGCGGCGGAGGGAGGATATGGCCATACAGGCAGAGCGGGATGAACGGCGCCGGCAAGAGGATATACAGCGGCAGGAGCAGGCAGAACAGCGCCTCCACCAGCTCCTCCTCGCAATCGTGTCCCAAAGACCTTCATCATAGCATCTGTCTCGGACGCCGTCTTGGCCTTGGGATCTGCCTTTGCTGTCTCAGGACCTGTCTCCCCCATCTCCCACCGGCTTTTAGCTGTTGTTTTACCATATTGAGTACCCCACCATATGCAGTTCTAAATCCCCCAATGTACATACATGCGTGATGCTTCACGGACTTGAAAAAAACAACTGTCATATTACTGTCAAACCTTGCCAACGCCTCTGTCTCCCTGTCTGCACAGTTTTCGACATCTTGTCTCGGACCCGTCTCACTCACAAACTGATAAGACCTTCAGGCAACTCGAATATACACAGATATATACACTCTCACTCCCACGCACACACCCGCACATATACACCAGCAGAACGATGCCTAAAGCGACAGCTAGTCACCAGTTCCACTCGGCGGTGGAGTGGGTGGAGGCGAGGGTCGAGATCGATATAATTCCTGCCTCTCTGTCTCCACTATCACTTGACTACACCTTGATTGCTATGTCAGTACCAAAAACTGTATAGAGATGTATGGAGGCACCGGGTCCTCTCCCAATCTTGGTGTTTACTTGGTTAACTCGGTACGGCTCGAAAGCTCCAGGCCCACTACAGCCCAACCCCCGTCCCACTTTTTCCTTCTACCACCTCCACCTCCCTCTGCCTCCTCAACATATCCTTCTTCATCGCCAAAAACGCCGCCATCCCCGGATCCATCCCTCCACCCGCCGCATCCAGATCAGCATCCACCGCCGTCGCCTCCGCGGCAGCCTGCGCGGCTTCCTGTTCTCTCTCTGATGCTATCAGGAGGTTGCGGCGGCGATTGCGGATGCGGTGTCGCGTGAGTTGGGAGGCTTCCATGTCGGCTTGGTGGAGGTCCCATACGCCGTGAAGCAGTTTTGAGGTTCGCTGTGATGCAGATGGGGGACGTAAGGGCATATATGGAAGGCAAAACAAACCAGTTGACACATCCCGACATGCAACAATTATCCGGAGCCGCAGGCGGATGCAGCGCCTTCTCTTCCGCTTCCAGTTCCTCGGCCGATGACGCTTCCACCAAAGGTAAAGGCGTGGATATTTTTGCCGCCGGCGGCGCCGCACTCAATCAACCGGGCATGAGTGATGGCGGGGAGGTGTCGGACACTAATGTGGCTGTTGGGGTAGGTGTGGTTTGTGTATGTGTATTCCTGTGCGCTGCTTATGCTTGAGGTTCCCACAACTTCTACGCATATCTCACGCACTTGCTTCAACATCAACTCCCAGTATCCCTTATACCTATGGCAGGGATACGACCCATCGTGGTGTAATGACGCACGGTGAGGTTGGGATCGAACGTCCGTAGGGGCTAGAGGTGGCAGCAGTGACGGTAGGGGGGGTAGGTGAGAGCGGTGATGGCGGAGTTGGGTTCCATAGCCTGGGAGACGCCAGTGAAGTCGAGCTCATTTCGGGTCAAATTCATCTATAAATGTGTCCCTCGCTGGCTGGCCGCACACCTAGCCGCACACGCTGTACGACAACGTCGGAGATCGCGCATTTGCACCCCTCACCTTCATTCATATTTTCTCCTTCTTTTTTGCTTTTTCGGCCAACCGACTCTCCAGAGTCCACACAGGTCGCAGCTTCCTTCCTACCTACAGTACTATCTACCGTCTCCGATACCCCCCCTCCCTCTCCCTCTCCCCCCTCCCCCTCCATCCCTCATCACCCCGCTGGTCCCTATACCCTCCATTCCTTCCACCATCACCGCTATTACTCATCCCCCTCCCACGTCGCCCACCTGCACCACCCCTCACATTCTCCCTCCCACCCCTCCCATTCTCCCTCCCACCACCCCTCGCACTCCCGCTCCCCCCCTTCTCACCCCACCCCCCTTCCTTTCCCCTCGAATCACTCCCAAAATTACTCAAATCAATCCCCTTGGCTCCATTCCGCGGATCCTCAACCGTGTAATCCTCAATCGTCGGTTCATACACGTTTGCTCCCTTGACGTGTTTCGGGAAGACGAGTGTGGTTGACATCCAGTTTTTCTCGTCGTCTTCTTGTGTCGAGGTGGTGGTGGTGGTGGGATCGGTGAGTGTTGGGCGGCAGGATTCGCAGTTGGTGACAAAGTGGAGGTCGCATTCTTGTGATTCACTCGATGTCGGCAATGTCGTCGTCGCAGTGTCGTCACCACGGGAAGATCTGTTCTCAACCTTCGCCGACGCCCGTAACGTCTCCTGAAACCTACTCAACAAATCCAGCGTATCCCGCTCACCCTCCCCTTTCCCCCGTTTCCGTCGACTAGCGACCGGAACAGCCTTCCCACTCTGCTCATAAGCCGCGCGGAAGGACTGCAGCAGTTTCTCCTTCTTCGGTTTCTTCTCCCCTGTTGTGTTATGACTGTCCTCGTCTTTCCCGATGGAACGGATCTCGCCGCGGACTTTGGCGATTTCGCTTTGGAGGGTTTCGAGTTTTGTGGGGTGGGAGGCGGTGCTGGACGTGGTGGTGGAGGTGGGGGCTGCCAGGTCGCGTTTGCGTTTACGGACGGATTCGCGCATGCGGGTGTCGAAGGCGGCGTCGTCTTCTTCGGCGGGTATGTTCATGCTGGCTCGTAAACTGCTATTCGTCGACGACTTTGTTGATGTTGGTTGTTTGCCTCCATCGAATGTACTATCTGCGGTAGCCGTCTCGCTCTCCAGCTTTGACGTGTCTACCGCAACCTCCCGACTCAACCGCGGATCGTTCAACAGATCATGACTACTTTTCAATTTCGTTTTAGGCGCCGTCGTCACCCCCACCTCGCCCTCACCCTCCTCCTCTCCAAATGACAACAACTTCAAATTTTTCTTCCCTTTCGGTTTGCGCGCCGCCTCCTCCCTCTTCCGCCGCTCCATCTCCGCCGCGGCCGCAGCAATCTTCTCCTCGGGCGTCGTTCGCAACTCGATATCCTCAAACGGGTTATTCAGCACCTCTGCCCTGATAACTTTCGGTGGAAACAGCGGCCGGTCATCCCCATCCGTTTCCAGATCCGCAAACTTGATCAGGTTGTAGATCGTGTCGCCCACGATCTTTCCAAATAGTGTGTTTTTGCGGTTGAGCTCGTCGGCGCGGTCGAGGGTGAAGAAGAATTGGCTGCTGTTCTCGTTGACACCCGTGTTGGCCATGCCTACGATCAAACGAACGGACGGTCAACGAATTATTCAGCCATTGACGAATTGTCCAACCATCATCGACCAGTAACAACCATCGACCATCAACCATCAACCATCGAACGTCAACCATGAATCAAGGCAAGGGGTGTATTGCCCCTTTGGCGCAATGTGGTGCTCGCTTCGCTCGCAAAAGATCTGAGCCTCGCTGAGGCTCACTAAGAATGTGGTGAGGGGAGTCTTGCGCCTTTGGCGCAATGTAGCTCGCTTCGCTCGTGAGAGCGTTCGCCTCATGGCTCGCCTGCCTCAAGCATCACTGCGCCGGGCCTCGCTCGCCCGCAGATGACCACCATCGCTCTCCCTCGCGAAAGCCATACCTAGTAACCCACGATGACTAAAACGCAACCTGGAATGAAACTCATCAACAAACGGCTCGCCATAGATGGACTCCCCGCCGTGGCCCGTTCCTGAAGGGTCACCGCCCTGCACGATAAAGTCCTTGACAACGCGGTGAAAGATGGTATTGTCGTAGTAGCCCTCCATGCAGAGCTGGATGAAGTTGCGGCATGCCTTGGGGGTTTCTTTTGGCCATAACTATTGGATCCGGGGGGGTGGGGAGGTGTGAAAAAGTGTTTGCGAGACGAAAAGGACACATGAGCTCTCCTCAGTTATAAACAAAAGATGCACACCTCAATCTCGAGCGGCCCTGCGGTGGTATGCAGAATGACCTTGCCGTTTGTAGGCGGGGCGGTGATGTAGGCGTTACTCATGGCGAGCGAGACCGATCACGGAACGGAGGGGGGGTTGCCGGTGCGTTTCCGAGAGACGAGAGAGATGGGCGACCTTCGAACGAGCGCCAACCACATGCGGTCAGGGCTGTCAGGGAGGCGCGCTGGCCATGCTCTCCACCACTTGCCGAGTCCGCCTACCGCCTTCCAATTTCCCCATTTCCCCAAGCAACCACAACCACATTTCTATCAACCCGCACTCTCGTTATTGTCGTTGTGAGTTTGTAAGAGGTACAGTATGTGGGGAAGATATATCTTTGCGAGGTGAGACAGCGGCTAGGCTATCCCTTACGCACGCAGGTAGGGGTCTGGCGGCAGGCTACACAGGCTTCTAGTGCCGACACTTCCGACCTGATCGACGAAGCGGGAAAGGGCGAGAATGGACCGCACAGAAGCCGACCAGCATCTCTGCATTACTCTGAAGACAGCGAAAACAATCCTCCTCAAGTACCTCGAGTCTGTAACTGATGGTACGTCTTACTTTGCGTTGCGCACTCCCGGCGACACATCAAAAGTACCAACTCCGTTACGGTATTTAGCCCCAACCCCACCAACAATCCTTCTCCGCAAATCCCTCCACCACCTCACCGTCGACCCGCCCAATCCACCACAAAGCCTCGCATACGCCACCGCCCTCATTGACCTTGCCACCCAGTCTCTCCACTCCGTGCCATACAAAGACGTCTCGCATGAGCTACGCGCCGCTTTTACGCGGGCTAGTTTACTTCAATGCGTTGCGATTTTATCCAGGGGGGAAGATGGGTTCCATGGGGAGGAGGATCTGAGGAGGGCGGTGAAAACCCTCGATATGGGCCTATTAATGGCGGGCCGGCCGATATGGGAGGAACTCGTGATGGGGTTAGTGGACGCCATCACGGCCTGTCTCGACAATCGCGCCCCCGACGGCGCTATCACCTCACCCACTGCATCCAATCCCATCACCCTCATCAACCCACCCACAATCGCCCACCCAGTCCCCATCGCCACAACACCACCCCCCCTCCTCACCTTCCAGTCGCGCCTCACCTCACCCACCCCAACACCCCTCCTGATCAAAAACGCGCTCACCCACTGGCCGGCCCTCTCCACCCGCCCATGGTCGGATTTCACCTATCTCCGGCGTATCGCGGGGATGCACCGCACGGTGCCGGTGGAGATTGGCTCAAAATATACAGATGAGAAGTGGACGCAGAAATTAGTCTCGTTCGGCGAGTTTTGGGAGAGGTGGATCGAGGGTGGTGGAGATGAAGGGAGTGAGACGCCCCAGGTGGCGTATCTAGCCCAACATGACCTCTTCTCCCAAATCCCTCGCTTACGGGACGATATCTGCGTCCCTGATTACTGCTACCTCTCCTCGGATTCCTCCTCTTCCTCGTCGGACTCGGAAATAAAAACCAACGCCTGGCTCGGGCCCCCCTCCACCATCTCCCCCCTCCACACCGACCCGCACGACAACCTCTTCGCCCAAATCGTCGGGTACAAATACATCCGGCTCTACTCACCCTCCCAAACACCCCATCTCTACCCCATCTCAGATTCCATATTGGGGAACACGAGCGAAGTGGATGTAGAGGTTGTAAATCACGCGAAATATCCGGATTTTTTGAAGGCAGAGTATGTAGAATGTTGTGTGGGACCCGGAGACCTGTTGTTCATTCCAAGGGGGTGGTGGCATTATGTGAGGGGGTTGAGTGTTAGTTTTAGTGTGAGTTTCTGGTTTTGACAAACGACAGAGCAATATTTGAAGAATGTTTGAGGAATAGACGAAGGGAAGGAGGATAGACCTAACCTAATCTAACCGCCTTCGGAAGCTGATGGAATGGCTTCAAACTCTGCCGACAAGGAAGAGGAAGACAGTCTGATAAATCTGCAAATTAATGTGTGGGCCCCGCCTGTACACAGGGGAAATGAGGTAGGACCGTAGTGAAGAAACGCGAACGCAATGGCACAGTGGATGCAAAGGACTGCCTTGTTGGTTGCGCAACCTGCGCTCCAACTGCATCCATACCGGGGCGGGAGACCGCTCGAGTTTGGCGCCCGACGACCACTGCGGTCCCCGACTCTCCCGTCGTCGATGGTCCGTCTCCTGTCTGGTCTCCCGTCCCGCTCCAGCTCCATCACTTCCCACGCGTTGTGAGTAGTCCACTCTACTCGCTCGCCCTCTCTAAAGAAAATTCCCACAATCTTGCGTCGGATACCGTCAGACCATGAGCCGATACGTACCAGCTCACAACAACCGTCCTGGAGCAGGCCAGCGTGCCGGAACAGGTCAACAGCTGTATCCTCCTCGTCCCAGTGCACCGCAACCCCATTACAACAATTTCAACAACCCCAACCCCAACGCGACGCATATCCCACCCTCGATAACAAACGCAAATGCGAACACCGTTTTCGACGAAGATGATGAATTCGATCAGATGGATATTGGAGGCGACGAGGCGACGTATATGGCGATTGAGATGCAGGCTAGTCAGATGTTTTCGCAGTTGGATGTTGATGGGCCGGTATGTTTCTGCTGTCAAGGGATAGGAATGTGGAGTTGAGGATGAAACTCGGGAATTCGGGGATGGGGATGAGGATGGGATGTTACGAAGGCCGAAATGCGAGAGATCGCGAGGGAATCGAGTTCCCCGCGAGAGGCAGCAATTCTTGCAAGCGACAGCGAGATTCGTGGTTTTGTAGAGTCTACGCAGCTACTTGTCGCGAGCAGGATGTTTTGTTGTTGTTTTCATCAACTATTGCGGCGGAGGCATCGCACGGTAGAACAGCGAGCCTCGTTGCTTGAGAGGAACCAGACGCGCGCGATGGCGAAGAGATTTTACTTTTTGCTGTAATTCCAGTTGCTGACAGGCACTGATCTCTTTCCATATTCACAGAATCTAGGGGCAAGCTTGATCGGGGATGCGCTTATGGACGACAAGAATGTGGGGATGGGAATGGGGATGAATGTGGATGATGCGGCGCTGAGATTTGCTGCTGGGGATAGTGGTGAGTTTGTGTGCGTGAGAGGGTAGGTGGCGGGAGATGGGGAGGCCTACCGAAGTGAGGTCATCGGCGGCGGGCAACACCGACATTCCGGCGCTAAGCAGGCGGCTCCCCAATGCACCCCAGGCAGAACTCAGTCACAATTTCAAATACCACATGCCCGACCGGCAGATGAGAGTGCGCGGTTACTTCAACAGGTATGCTGTTTGTGGAGATTTGAGCATGTGTGCCAGGTCACAACGGTCATGTAGATTGCTCTTTTCAGACTCTGGAAGAAAACAAAAATCTAAAAGCCGAAAATGAACGCATACTCCGCGAAAAAAACGCCAAAGAAGGCGAAGTGTCCAATGTCCGGCGTAGTCTAGCCCAGGTAAGAGCGCATCATCCACTCTTCCCCCCATACCCCCCCAACTGATCATCGTCAAACTATTCCTTATCGTCAGGCAAACGCAGAAAACAGCAACCTCCGCGCAGACCTGCAGCGGACGGCCAACAAAGCTGAGAAAGACCTGGAAGAAGTGAAGAAGAACGCTGAGCGGGAATTGGAGAAGTGGAAGACCGAAAATGGTTTCTTGGTGAAGTGGACATTCGATATTCGTGACCGTGCAGGCGGTACCTTATGTTAACGCGTGGTTGTCTTCTTCGACAGCAAAACGATGTAGCAGAGTTTAAAGTTGCCCTAGCTGCACAAAGGCCCCAGAGGATGAAGCATGTCACGCAGGCGACGAATGATACGTTTTCGAAGAATCGCCAATGGCCAGGTAAGCAACATCACACCTATCTGCGCTTTCAAGCGCCCGACACCTAACTTTCTCACCATTAGACGAAAAAACGACCGGTCCCACATCCCCAGCACCCATCCCAATACGCGTCCAAAAACAGGACGCGGCAACCGAAACGGCCCCCGAATCGCCGAAGAAGGTGGGCAGGCTGTTGAAGCCGTTACCGATGTGGAAGTCTGATAATGAGATCGTATGTGCTTTTCATGTTTCTGAACACCGTTTAGTGTATGGTACTATGCTCTTACCAACACATCTCCGCCAAGTTTCTCCGCCAATGCATGTTCGCCTCCCTCCCCGTCGGCCGAGACATCTTTCTCACACCGACCTCCCTCACTGCCCTCCTGCCACCATACCTCTCTCAGTGCAACTCACTCAACAAAATGCAAACGGACGGCCCACACACTACGCTGATCAGGGACATGCGCAGATTGCTGGTGGATGCGAGTCTGGATGTTGCGGTGCTGTTGCCGAGTGTGGAGGGGATGGTTGGGGGATGTTTGGTGGAGTTGAAGGTGAGTTTGATTGATGTTGGGAATGTAGAGGGGAGTATTGGGCACTCATGCGTCGTTTCGTTGGTGGTAGTATGAACCACTCGTATTTCTCGTTCACCTCCTCTCGACTATGTGCGACCATAGCGCCGCTTGCCGGGAACAAATCACTGATCTCGACAGTTCAGGTACACCATCCACCCACTATCATCCATACGTTGCGTTGTTCTGGATGTACTCACACCAGGACACCCAACATCTTTTATCGTAGGCCAACCCCGCCCCATCCTCACGCACCTCCGCACACTCCTGGACCTAATAGCCGCATCCTCCCAGAAAGCCCCAAAAACGGCCCGCCGCTGGGAACATCCCGTCCAACCCGTCGTGCAGCATATATGTGATACGTTGAGCACGGTTGCTTATATGGTTGATAAGGGGCGAAGGGCGAGGTTTGTACTTCTTATATGCGATTTTTGGATTTGCTGTGGGAGAGGAGACTGAGGATGTTTTTTTGTAGTTTGAGGGGAGTGTTATCGCAGTCCTCGTTACTTCTCTTCCTTGACAAAAGACAGCCGAGGGAGGTGGTGGCTGATGTGTTGGGGTTTGTGTTTCATGAGATTTGTGGTACGTCTCATGTATCCCAGTCTCACGATGCGTTTGGATAGTCTTCGTTACTGACGGCCCTTTTCTGTAGATGAAGGATTTACGGATATGATCATGGACCCTTCCCTGAAACTCAACAAGCGGCGGAGTATACCCGAACGGATGTTTGGGTTGCTTGTAAATCAGCCGGAAGAGCGGGAGGTTGATGAGGCGGTAGGTGTGATGTTGCGAATCTTTGTGATGAGTTGGTAGGAGGTGGGAGTTGACCGGGTTGATTTGGCTTCTTAGGTGCGAACGCTGGACGTCCGCATCATAAACTGCTTGTGTGCACTTGCGGGGGTTTGGCCGAAGACGATTCCGGGGCTGTGCATGCCGTCGGTACGTGGTCAGGTCGTTGGCTTTTTCCATCTTTGCACTCAAGATATCCTGGATATTTTTTTGGGGCGAGTCCTGATCATGAAAACATTCGCAGATAACCAATCGGCTTGTGACGTATCTCCAGAGCGCGAGAGTTGGAATGGATGCCGATGAGACCAGAGAGCCTCCTCATGGGTACGTGCGTTGCTCATTCATCCAATAACACCCATTCCTAACCAAGCCTCCCCAACCGCAGCTGGCAAACCTACCGCTCAACCCTCCGCCTCCTCTCCACCCTCCTTTCACACCACTCCACGCACCCAATCGACCCGAAAATCAGCGAACCCGCCATCCACACACTCATCGCCGTCCTCGCTCGCTCAGTCTACGCCGTGCGGAATTTGGGTGGTGACGAGGCATGTGCGGAGGTGGGCGACGTCGCGAGGGAGATGATGGGCGCGGTGGTTGTGAGGCCGGAAGAAGCTTATGAGGAGGTTTTTGGGGGGGAGTTTGGGGAGGTGTGAGGGCGTTGGACATGACACTGGTGAGGATTTTTGGGACTTTTGGAAGAGACGGGAAAAGACGACATAGCATTGGAGGAGGACAGACAGGAGGATCGCTCGTGCTTTCGGCGCAACATGGGAACGGATCCCAAACAGCACATACACATTCATGGACTGGCAGGCAGTACCATTTGGTTTGTATCGGGCCCAGAACCATCAACGCTGGCGCACACGATCATCTCACCCATTCGCACGCGCACACATCCACCTGGCGTACCCGGCATACACACACAAGATCGTTGCTGATGATATGACTGCACACGCCGGCCCATCACACACCTTTCAATCCCGCGTTTCATAGAGCTTTGGCGTATCAGGGTAGGAGTTTGGCGTTTTTGAGTAGACGTATGTAGCGGTCGTGTCGGTTCGAAAATGAGAACGTTTTAGAACATCGAATGTACTGTACTTTTTGGTTGGCACTGAACGAAGGTGTTGGACGCAGAACCAGAACAGTTCTGACCCGAACGCAGGGGTTTTGCCAGCATCTCGCAAATCTTGAATACCCATCTGCCCGTTTTTCGTACCCATCTGCCCGTGCGGTACAGGAATTGAAAATGACAGGCTTTCACGCGCTGTCGAATTCCAGTTTGGACGGCCCGCTCTCTAAACAAGAACCTGCGAAGGATGCCGCACGAGCTTCAGATGACCACGTGCATACCGTGACTGCACGCAGCAGAGTTCTGCACCAATGCCCAAGAACCAATGGCGATGAGGGTGACAGCCAAAAGTAGTCCTGAGATTGAAGCCTCTTTTGGCCCGCAGTAAATGTCGAGGTTTAAGTCGGGTGCGGAGGAAGGCTTTGTTTTATCGGCATGTACCTGCAAAGCTGGAACCGCAGGATTGTGCCCCAAACCCTAATGCACGAGCCCTAATGCACGAGCCCAGGAGGAAAGCAGTGCTCACCGAATAACAACAGTTCTGCAGGATATGACTGAGAAAGAGCGAGGCTGCATTTCGAATTATTTACAGAAGTACCAACGCAATCGGCGATGCCCAAAAAAGAAGGGGTAGAAGAGCTTGGACGATTTACGTATTATAGTAGCTAACTATCCTACTCCATAGTAAGGACAGCTCGGAACCTTGCCTTGTTGGACATCATCCTCTCGTACGCCTTCTCAACATCAGCCAGCTTGAACTTCTCAATGTGGCACTTGACGCCCGTCTGCAGCGCAAACTTGATCGTCTCCTCGGAATCAATCGCAGATCCGGACGCCCAGGCGCGCACGCTCAGACGCTTCATGATCATGGCCGTGGTGTCAACAGTGACCTCGCCGGCCGCGGCGACGATGAGTAGAGTGCCATCCAGAGCAAGACCTTTCACCAGGGGTCCGATAGCGGGAGCGTGGGGAGCGGTAGCAATGATGATCTGAGCACCGCCTTCCTTGGCGAGCTGCTCGGCTTGCTCTTCAGGAGATCCGGTGATGTAGTATGTGGCGCCCAATTGGGAGGCGAGGGATTTCTTGTCTTCGGAGGTGGAGAGGGCAGCGACGCGGAAGCCGGATTGCTTGGCAAATTGGATGGCGAGGTGTCCGAGACCTCCGATGCCTTGGACGGCGACGAGGTCTCCCGGGTGAGCCGGGGTGTTACGGAGAGCGTTGAAGACGGTGACTCCGGCGCAGAGGAGGGGTGCGGCTTCGGCTGAGTCAATGTCCTTGGGGATGCGGACGACGGACTCTTCGCGGACCTTCACGTACTCGGCGTCTGATTGCGAACGGAAAATCGACATTAGCGAGTCCATTCCAAAAGTGTCGGCCGTGGCATCTACAAGACTTACATCCACCGTTCCTGAAGATTCCGTTCACGGAACCCTTCTCACAGCATGCGAACGCGCCTTTCCTGCACGCCTTACATTCGTGGCAGTGGCCGCCTTCCCATCCGGTGCCAACACGGTCGCCGACCTTGAAGAAATCCGTGTTCACCTACGAGAATACATGACGATGAGACGACTTTTTCCGTTGTGTCCTTTTGTAGAAAACACTCAACTTACGCGAGATCCAAGAGCAACGATCCTGCCAACAACTTCGTGTCCAGGAACAATGGGGTACGGGATACCGGGGAAGTAGCTCTCCTTTGCGATCACGTCACTATATGCGGGCGAAAAGCACAATTTAGCAACTCTGAATAACTTCACACCTTATTTCCCACTCCCAGAATGCGCCCTCCTATAGACAAAACAACAGTTCTTCCTCACACACACAGACACAACCACCCGACACAAACCTGTGACAAACACCGCAAGCCTCAACCTTGATAAGCACCTCCGAGTCCTTAGGCTGCTCGAGGTTCTTCTCGACAATCTTGAACGGCGCGCCTTTCTCGGCGATCTCGGCGGCCTTGTAAGTCTTAGGGAGGGATTGTGTGGCAGACATTTTGAGTATGTAGTGGGAGACTGAGTAGTGGAATACCGATACAGGTGAAGGTGGGGTTTGTGGGGTTGTGCTCTGCGTTTTATATGAGTGTTGGTTGGGGGGCTTGGGCAGCGCTGTTATTGTTGACCAAATGCTTGCGCGTTGGAGAGAGCGGACTTACGCGTTGTCCCGCCGCCCCGCTTCCGAACGCATCTTATTCCCCCACAGCCAAAAGGACACCCTCCGCTTTACTAATCCTGACTTCCGTGGGCTTCCTGGAAGTTCTGCATTTCTATAGTTTTCATTCTTGTGATGCGAAGCAAGGCGCTCACCTGTAGCTGGCAGTGACGGGAGCCAGACACACGACGCGCCTCTCTGCCTTGGTCATATCTACAGCACCCTACACATCCATGGAGTTTCCATTCAACTGCATGCCGGATCTGAAAGCCCATTGGCTGTGACGCGCGCGGGAGGCTGTTATTGGGACTGACGCATTCGGACACGCCCCATGTCTAGCGATGGATGTCCAGGAAGGCAGCCACGAAGGGAGAGTCCACGAAACGCTCTCTCAGAGGACCTGAAGTGGCCCATCCCCACCATCCGGACGCAAGCGACGCTCCTTCGGCACTCCCTCCTGTCTGCTCAGCAGCTCACAGAAAAAGCGCAAAGCAATGTTAGCCCGTACCGCAACGCCCCCACCCCTCCCCCTCACCGACCACATCAGCGCTCAACCTCCAACCTCCAAAATGCACTCCACCGCAGCGTCACCCCCTCCTCTTCTCCCACTCGCCCTCCCCCACCCCTTCCCAAATCCGTACCTCCCAACCGCAACCTCCCACCCCGAATACCAATACCTCTCCCTCGTCTCCACCATCCTTGCCCACGGCACCCCGCGCCCCGACCGCACCGGCACCGGCACCCTGACCCATTGCCGACGATCAAGATGAAGATGTCGGTTTGAAGTTATGCGTCGCTGTAAGATAGTTGCGGCGTGTGGGGACGGGATAGTCTCTTTGTGAGTTCGGTTAGGTTGTGCTAGGTAGACGCTTTCTGGTCATTTTGATGGTACGCGATTTTCGCAAGCGGCGTTCTAGTGTACAAAATGTCACATCGTCGGACAAGGGAAGAATCCTTTTCGTCCTCTACTGGTGGTGAACAACGTCCCAAAGCTACAACACAACCGTTATTGATCGTTAGTCTGCGCCCGAATGCAAGAGCGAAAAAGATGGTGTGGTCCATACCTTAACAAACCCATCAGCCCCCGCCGTCGCCAACCGACTCTTCCCGCCACTTGTCTCGCCCACAAAAACCGCCCCCGAAACGCCCTCCAAATGCGCATTCTTGATCGCAATATGCTTCATGGGCTTGTCGACGGACCACACCTCGACGTTGGTGTCGAGCGAACCTGACACGGCGTGCTTGGAGTCGGAGGACCAGGAGATGGAGGTGATGCGGCCGCTGTGGAAGACCCATTGGTGGAGTTTCACCTGTATGTGGACGGGATGAGTTGAGGAAAACCGGTTATCCAGCGCACAATAGGACCGGTCTGAAGGCAAAAGCCATACCTGATGAGAAGCGGTATCATAAACAACAATCTTCGACTGCGAGTCGCCCGCGGCGAGCATGGTCCCGTCTGGCGAGTATGCGACGGCCGTGACTTGCCCGCGGTTGAATTCCAGTACCGCCTTCTCTTTCATCGAGCCCTCGAGGGCGAAGATGTGTACTTTCGTGTCCTGCAATGAAGAGTTCACTCGTCCGTTCACATCCTCTGAGAACTCCATAACCCAGTTTTTACCTCCCCGCCAATAGCAATTTCCTTCCCATTGGGAGCCACAGCAACGCTCACGGGGACATAGTCGAGCTTGACCTCGGCGACGCGTTGACCGTCTTTGACGATGATCACTTGCGGGGCGACGGTGACGGTAACGGCTATCTCGGTGTCGGGGGAGGCTGCGATGGAGCGTGGGAGGGCGCCGGTGGAGAGGGCTGCTGAACTACATGGCACATTATCGTGAATATGTGTTAGCGGATGTGGTTGCGATCCGAATATTACGTACCCGAAAACGGTGTTATCCCCCTCGACAGCAATACTGCGCACGGTATCATCCATCCCCGCACTATACACCTTCCCCTTCGCCACCGCCAACCCCATCACCGAGTTCGTATGCGGCGCACCACTTGGCACCGCCGCAACCCCCTTCGCCTCCTTCCACGAGCACACGCGTCCATCGTAGCTCCCGGTGTAGAGCGTCTGGTCCTTTTTGACGGCGAGGGCGGTGATGCCTTTGGAGTGGCCGCGGACGGTGCGGGCAAAACCGCCGGAGGAGCGGTTGAGGTAGGAGATATCGCCGGCGAGGGAGAGGGAGATGGTGTGGTCGCCTTGCCAGAGGCAGCCGACTTGTTGGTCGTCGAAGGAGGGGGTGGAGGAGTACTCCCAGGTGCTAGGCGGGATTGACGACGCTGTTTAGCACTGGGAGGATAATCAAATGGCATCACAGCAATGTATATCACCCTACCTGACCACCTTCTGCGCAGCGATATCCCATATCTTCGTTGTCATATCCGCGGAAGCAGACAGCAAATTTTTACCATCCGGGCTCCAGGACACGGAGTAGATTCCACCCTTATGGGCACCCTCCACGGTGCTTAGATCAGCAATCTTCGTCCCTTCCTTCCCGTCGTACAAGAAGAGCTGACGAGCGTATAACAGTCAGCACCCTTCCTCCAACGTCAACACCGCCTCGCATCCCTCGAACACGACATACCTTCCCATCAGCCCCGGCGGAAACAAAATGCTCCCCACTAGGCGAGTACCTCACACACTGCACAAACCGCGAATGCTCATTCAGCGACTTGTTGAACTTGAACGGTACGCCGTGGTAGAAGTTGACCGAGGTGTCGTCGGATCCCGTGATGGCGCGCAACGGGCGGCCGGGGCGGATGTCGACTGAGTTGACGGCTTTGCTGTGCCCGGCGATCTCGCCGACTGAGGAGGCTGTGTCGAAGAGGAAGGCGTGGCCGAACCTTTTGGGGGGTCATGTGCGTAAGTCCACCGATTTGTAGAGGAACGCGCCCCCTGCCTTGAGCTATCGTACCTATCCTTCCCCTCGCCAACAGCAATGATCCTCTTACTCTCGAAATCCCACGCAAGGTCGTTTACTTTCCCGGCAAACACTCTCGTTTCCGTCTTGATGATGTTCTCGGCGTTGATCGTGTCCCAGATCCTCACGTTCCCTTGAATATCTGCAACCAGTGGGTGAGGTGTAAGAGGTTCGTTCCCACCAATCCAGGACAAACCCGACAGCTTACCAGCCGATGCTATGTAAAATCCACTCGGCGAGTAACGTGCAACCGTGGCTTGAGCAGTATGCTGGGTGTACTCTTTCGCAATCTCCGGGTTCTGTTTCAATTCGAAAAACCACGAGTTGTTAAGCCGGCCCCATCACCGCCCAACAATATCGAAGATCGCGCTAGGAAAACTGACATACAGCCAAGTTCCTGATAATAACAGAGCGTCCGTTCGTGTACAAGAAGTTATTGCCCTTCGGGTCTCCGCCGAGATGGACGGGCCTTCCTCGCTCTGTGGCGGGCTGTGGGGCGTAGGTCGCCGCTGATGAGGTGCAAGATGGTTAGGTCTACGACGATCTTGAAGACTTGTGTGGCTGGTTGCGACAACTTACTTCGCGTGAAAGACATGCTGGCTGGAAAACGGGGGGTGCAGCTGGTCTTAGATGATAGTGCAGTTGGTCTGAGACGCAGTTGCAGCAGTTGGTCTGAGAAAAGTGTTGGGTGGGAAAACCTGAACAGCGTCCCAAAGTGGACGTCACCAAGTGGGAATCTTGCCCCTCTTTGCCCTCCCAGACATTGATTGGCTGGAACGGCGGAAGGCTATTGGCTGTTGCTCGGCGGCTGTTATTGACTGTAAGCTATTTCGCCCGGCAGGCTGTTATTGGCTGTTACTCGCGCGTGTAACCCTAACTGTTCTGCCTTTGTGCTCTGGACGAGGAACGTAGTCCTCTAGAGTCTATGGACGAGGAGGAGGTTGCTTAGTAAGCTCTCTCTATTTTTCTTCTCGAGTGAATAAATAACAGATAACCCTAGCTCCCTTTCCTCTATCTCTTTTGAGCTATCGAGTGCTATGACTGAAAAGCTACGGTGGGAGGGGGGGATGTTTCGATGAAGAAGAAGAACTAGCTATCAGGAGCGCAGTGCGCAATTTAGGACCTAATGTCCAGGGAAACCCGTAAACCCGTAACTATGTTGATTGATAAACCGATGCGAATTGAGAGGCGAATGCAGTGTTCGAGAGGAGGTGCTTAGTGCGGCGGGTAGTGAGGTGGGATACTAATAAGCAACCTCCTCGTAGCTTGCATGTCCATCCAATCCTTCATGTTCAGACGCGACTCTTTCCGTGCACGAGCCTACGGGAGATCAGGCGCGAAACCTCCCAACCTGTTTCTAACCGTGCGGCGCGTTCATTACCTGCTTTGTATGTGACACCGCGTCTCGCCTCTTCTCGCCTCAATTTCAATCACTCCCTCTTGGTGTTTGCCGCTCTTGCCCGCTCACGCTTAGCCTGGCCTTTTCCCCATCTGAAACAAACTACGTAAGTACAACAGCTTGCCCGTCCTTATTCCCCCGTCTGTTCCTTGTTCGACTATCACAACTGCTACGGCGTTCTGCGAAACTCCCATACGAAATATGTCCCGACGAGACTACCCACCCTCTTACTCGTCCCGCGACGAAGGCTATGGCAACAACGGTTACGGCAACGGCAGCCAAGGCGGTCGCTACGCTCCACAGGACAACTCCAACTACGGAGAGAAGCCGGGCAGCTATCGGTCCAACGGGGGCGGCGGCGGCTATGAAGCGCCGAACAAATGGGCAGCAGCAGCATCCCGCCAAGAGTCCCACCAGGGCACCGGTTACAAAAACTACGACGACAGCCCCTACCGCTCCTGGGAGACCGTCAACGACGAACCCGAAGACTATGACAACGAAGGCTGGCTGACCCGCAAGACCCAGAAAGTGCAGAACGACTCGCTCATGAGCACCCGCCGCACCGTCGCGCGGATAGCAGAGGCTGACACGCTCGCGCAGAGCAACATGGCGAGGTTGGGGTCGCAGGAGGAGCAGCTGATGAAAGTGAATACGAGGATGGAGAGTGCGGGGCAGTACGCGAAGGTCGCTGACGCAAAGACGGATCATTTGAAGTCGTTGAATCGGATGTTCTTCATGCCCACGTTTGGGAGCAAGAAGGCGAAGAAGAGGGAGGAGAAGTACGCTGCTGCTGCCAGCGCGTATGCCTCGTCTCCCGCCGCCGAGGAGGAGGATGCCGCCCCCGAGCCCTCGAGGGGGTACGGCCGTTACGCCGACGAAAGCTACGGTCGCTCCAACAACGGGCAACGCTCCTACTCCACCCCGGCTAACATCGAGCGCGACGCAACAGAGGAGGAGATCGACTCCAACATTGACCAGATCTCAGCTGGATTGGGACGGTTGAAGATGATGAGTCAGGCTATGAACGAATCGTTGGGCAAACAGACGGGGTTGATCAACAAGATTTCTGAGAGGACAGATTATACGAGGGATCATTTGCGGAATACTACCAGGAAGATTGAGAATATTAAGTAGGGTAGACTACACCCTGTATATAGCGGCCCAGGGATTGGCGTAGGTAGAAGCTGTGGGCAGGTCTCTTTATCTTTCCTCACTTTCAATCAAGGATTTTGTACATTCCCTACTTTCCGGCTCATGCCTGCTTTCGTAAGGCGATTTCGCGAAGGGCAGAAGGGAGAATGATGCAACTGAGTTGGGGATGCCTACGTCTGTCATTACGGTGTTTTTGTTGGAACCAGCGTGCCGTCAACACCCTGCCATAGATTGGATGTTACCCGAAAAGGCAAAGCTCCGATGCCCACCCAGTCGAATTGACGCCATTGCCGTAAAGAACTGCGACCAGCCCTTGTCATACTGTACGTCTTGGCCGCGTTTATCAGGGTTTCCAGGTTGTCGTGACATGATGTACTGTATATGTACGCAGGAGGTTGGCAATCCCCAACCGCCCTCGAGAACTTATTGGTTCACAGACACAGCTTCAGTCCCGTTCAGCAGCACTCACGACAGAAGGGCATCGACCCACCTTCTAGCCTTTCCACTCAGACCGTCCATCTCCCATGCCGAAAGCCTCACGCGTCCCATAGAGTTTCCCAGAGAACATACTGTACAACGGCCCTCCGCGACGGTCCGCTGCTTGGTCACAAGATTCACATGCAGGCGGAGACTACCCACCCCCACCAGCAATTAGACGTTCGCAGTAAGGGTCGCCAGAGGTATGCTTCTGGCGGGAGCTGGGTGTGGGATGAATTGCGGGTGGGAGAAGGAGACGACTGTGATGGGCATCTTGCGACGGTGATGGGCATTTCGACGCGGGAACGTGGGAACGCTCTCATACTGAAGGAGCCGGGAAGCCTGTCAAGAGCAAAGAAAACTGTGGAACGGGGAAGACGCCTAGGGTCATTGGAAGGTTTCGTATGACCGACACTTGTTGACAGCCTTTTCTTTTGTTCCAGTTCCCAAGAGCCTGTCAAGAAAGTTGGCTGGCGAACCCACGCCGCATATTTGCCCGGATCGTGAGTTTGGCATTTTCCAATATTGATTCATTGGGATCGCACACTGACCGTCTCCGCACAGAATCAAGCCAGTATCACACCCATCGCCCGGCAGCCTATCCCACGTCGGCATCGGCCTAGGAGCAGGCATCCTCGGCGGCCGATATCGCCTGCATCCAGATACCACCACCGAAAGCGAAGTCAACGCAGCCAAAGCGCATGAGGAGGAAAGGATGAATATATTACGGAAGGGCACTGAGATGAGCGGGAACGGCACGCTGGGGCGGAAGGGGACCATGTCCAAGGCCGAGCTGATTGCGGAAAAGACTAAGAATGAGGAGGCGGCTATGATGGCGGATATCGCGAAATTGAATAGCATGTCGATACGGTTTACAAAGTTTAAGACTTTGTTGGATATGCCGGTTATTGATTTGGGTGAGGATGGACGATGGGACTTCCTAAGGATTGCGGTCGATGGGCGGGGTTTGTTCTTAACGCTCTGACACTATCAGAACAATTACGGAAACTGAGCTGGGCAGGCATACCCGACGAGATCCGATCAACAGTATGGAAGCTCCTAATGGTAGGTGCATTATTCCCATCTCCAAACGGTACCTTGTAGTCCTCTCATCACATCTGAAATCAGGGCTACCTCCCATCAAGCGCCGACCGCCGCGACGCGACATTACGGCGGAAACGGAAGGAATATGAGGAGTATGTAGCACAGTCGTTCGGCAGGGGCAAGGCTACCCTGGATCAAGGGTTATATCATCAAGTGAGAATAGGGATAGAAACAGAAGGGTGAATGACACATGTCCGTTCTCGGGCTAATACACTTCTATGCGGTGCAGATCCACATAGACGTTCAACGAACGCATGCGACCGTACCACTATACCAAAACGCGCGGATACAAGAGGTACGCGCAGGCAAATATGCAGCTTCACAAACCATGTCTTTGCTTTCGCTAAGCCTTCCTGCTTGTTAGGCACTGGAACATGTCCTATATTGCTGGGCCATCCGCCACCCAGCCAGTGGCTACGTCCAGGGCATCAACGACCTCGTCACGCCGTTCTTTCATGTGTACCTTCAATCGCATATAAGTATGTGTGTCTGCGGATTTCGCGGGTTTGATGAGAACTCTGACCACTGACTTCTATGATTTGCAGAGGGAGATGTCGAACAAGCAAACCTGGAAAACGTGACACCGGAGCTGTTGACCGAGATAGAAGCGGATAGTTTTTGGTGTTTGACGAAATTGCTTGATGGAATTCAAGTAGGTGTTTGGGAGTCTGGTGGTCAATCATATTTAGGCGAGACATGCTCACTCCTTTTAATGCAGGATAACTACACCCACGCACAACCAGGCATACAACGCCAGATCGTCCGCCTGAAGGAGCTCATCAACCGTATCGATGGTACCTTCGTCTTTCTTTCCCCCCATTCCGCATCCCTACCCCAAATCTCACCCACTCCCGTTATTCCAGCCCGCCTCTACGCCCACCTCCAATCCCAAGGCGTCGAATTCATCCAATTCGCCTTCCGCTGGATGAACTGCCTCCTCATGCGTGAGCTCTCGCTCCGCAACATCATCCGCATGTGGGACTCCTACCAGGCCGAAGGGACCGACGGGTTCTCGGATTTCCACCTCTATGTGTGTGCCGCGTTCTTGGTTAAGTGGACGGAGCAGTTGCGGAGGATGGAGTTTCAGGTAGGGATGAAATGATCACCTTTTTTTGAGGGTTTGAGGAGGGGAGGGGTACTTATCGTGATTTTTTTGGGGTTGATTGAAGGATTTGATGATGTTCCTCCAATCCCTTCCGACGCAAAACTGGGAAGACAAGGAAATCGAGCTGTTGTTGTCTGAAGCGTACATGTGGAAATCGCTGTTCCATAACTCGCCTAGTCATTTGGCGCCGTCTAGCGGGACGGGGGCTTCGTAGCCCTCATGCGTGGGTAAACGGTAGTACTTGATCTATGAGTGTTTGGACAACCTCCCGTCCCTCACATGCTCAAGTTATCTATTTTGATCGGCGGGCCAGCGCTTTGCGAGGCCCCGCTTTGGGAGGCCGCGCTTGGCTCTGTACTTTGACGGCGAGGGGATTGTGTGGACGTGCTTGTGTTGTGAGTTTCCACTGCTACGTACTCCTGTTTTTTCCTTTACATCATTGAATCACATGCCCGCCTGGAACTGTTTAGAGTGTTTTGTGGATATGTTGTGGCTTGAGCTTTGCATCGACTCCATCACCGTCACCTACATATACATACGCCTTTCTGCATACTCGCTGGGGCTCATCGGAATCTATGGATGCTTGTATGGGAATTTTATTGCCACTCACTTTCCCCCGAAAATCAATATAAAATAATGCAGTAGCATCCCTGCCACCAGCACACCTGCCGCGATGCCCCCCATCATCGACCATCCGACACTATTCAATGATGCCGCGGCCCTACTAACACCGCTCCTCCCTGGATTATCGACATACCGCTGGATATGACCGAGAAGCTGCTTCTTCTCCTTCAGGACGTCCACTTTCTGATCTATCTTCTTCTGCATGGCAAGCACCTTTGCAGCCGCATCATGGCTGGACTGCGTGACTCTGTCCAAGCGCGCCATGAGGTCCTCGTTTCGCGCCTGCAATTCTGCGAGCAACCTGAACAACGTCGTGTTGGTCTCCCCAATCTGGAGCCAGTTCTGCTCGGCGGTCTGGAGAAGCGCGGTCTTGGATTGCAGCGTCTCCTGCAGACGCACAAGTTCCGTCTCGTAATTGACGCACATCGACCCGTAGCGTTCCACTTTCTTTGCGATGTTTTCGAACTGGCCTACGAGCGGATTCGAGTCTGCGCTTCGCACGGAGACTTCTTCCCCTTCGCCGTCAAGACCTGCTGTTGAACCCTGAAGTTGAGCCGTCCGCGCCTGCTCCACTATCTCCTCAATCGTGGAAATGATCCGAGCCTTGTCTCGAACAGTCTGCGCACGGAAAACAAAGACGCCCTCCCGGGTGTTGAGTTGAAAAGCGAGTTCGGGATTCTCAATTTGTGATCGCAATAAAGCGCCCAAATCGAACGCTAGAACCTGCTCCGTCGCATCCAATACTCGTTCCACCGTCGCTGCAAACGCCGTGTCGTCTATAACGCCAAGTTTGATCGCCTCTTTGGATATTGATAGAATTCCCCGTTTATAGAAGAAGAACTGTGGAGTCAGCTGCTCAACACTAAAGCGGAGCCACTCGTTTGAAGGTGAAGCGGTATCGGAGTCGGAGTCTGCTGGTGCCGTAGTGGTTATTGAGTTGTACGTGTTGGTTGGTGATGTGTCGGTTTGGGCCGTTGCACCCGGTCGAAGTGGTGAGCTATTGGAATGCGGCCGGGAGCTAGTCTGCGTTGAACGAGGGCTGGGCCCTGCTAAGGAGGAGGCCGCCATGCTGGGGTAAAAGAAAAGGGTGTCTCAGCGATGCTTGCAGGTGCGATGGACACGGGCGATGGGGAATCGAACGAGGCTTCGAGCAATCGCAAACGGCAGCGCATACAGTACAGTACGTTCCTCGTCCAGAGCATAATAACGCGTCTTCAGGCCGGTTTCCCATCTCCGCTCGCACTTTTTTTCTGGTTTCGTCCCGGCGAGTCTTCGGGCTTACAATGCCCTCCAACAACAGCAACGACACTCCGTCCTCGGTTACGGACCCAGCAGCCAGCAGTGACACTACGACAGCAAGCCAAGCAACTCCTACGGACCCACGCTCGAACCCACAAGGTATGCTGCACTCGCCTCCCGCATTCGGTCTCAAATATTTGAACCCTGCTCACCCCAACTCACCCCCTTAGACGCCTCCAATCCCAAGCCAACCGACCCCTTCACAGCCTTCCGCATAACCGACCCATCCCCAATCTCGCACCTCTACACCCAACCCCGCCTCAAATGCCCACAATGCAACAAAGGCTACAAAATATACTGCCCGCGGTGCGGAATCCCGCTCGGCCATGAACCACCGAAAGTCGAGCTGCCGATTAAGGTGATATGCTATAGGGATCCGAGAGAGGTAGAGGCGAAGAGCACGTCGGCGCATGCGCAGATATTGGCGAAGGGGAATGTTACCGTCGTGGTATGTTGAGCGAAACATCAACATGGGGGATGATTTATGTAGCCATGTATGAGATTTCTCACTCCATCGGAATCTACATGCGCAGGTAGAAAACGTGATACAGTCGCCCGAAACCTCGTCAATCAGCAGCCTCCCGCACCCCGAAAAGGTGCTTCTCCTCTTCCCCTCACCCACAGCCCTCCCCCTCTCCGAAATCCCCAACCTGGCCGCCTTCGACCGTCTCATCGTCCTCGACGGCACCTGGAAGCAGGGCCGCGCAATGGCAGGCGCCATCAAAGGCGTGCAATTCCAGCATGTGGCGATACAAGAGCGCAGCACGCTGTTTTGGCGGTATCAGCCGTTCGGGGAGACGCATTTGTCAACGATTGAGGCGCTTTATTGGTTTTTTAGGGACTATTTTGATGCGATGAAGGACAAAGGGGAGGAGGAGTATGATGGGAGGTTCGATGACCTTTTGTATTATTTTAGGTTGCAGTGGGGGTTGATTCAGGATGTGTATAGGGCGGATACGGGGAAGAGGTTTACGCAGAGGAAGTTGGATGCGAAGGATTATATTCGGTATTAGGGGTAGGGTGTAGGGCATAGGCTACGCTAGGAAGGCTATTTGAGACCATGGGGATCGATAGGCGTGGCTCAATTGCTACCTGATGTCAGGGACTATGTACTTCGCGGGTGCGGGATGTATCTACCCGCCGCGTCTATACACTATGCATTGCGATGCATCGAGCCCCACATGAATCGCGTAATGCTACGCCGCCTTCGCCACTGCGCATCTCATAGGGCCATCCTCAGTCCATGTCCAAGTTCTGAATAGAGGACTGTATAGATGGCCTCGCCGCCCTCGGTGCCGCCCCTCCACCCGGCGCACCCCCGAAGAATGATTTCATAATATCCTGAAAGGGCCAAAAATCAGCACACATTCCAGGAACTCAACAGCAAAACTCCAAAAACCTACCTCAAAAGGATTAGCAGCCCTCTTCGGCCCCAACCCAAACAGCACATCGGCAATCTTCTCCACCATCTCCACCACAAACCCATCAAACGAGTAAACACTCCTATACTCATTCCTCAACACCGTAAACTGCGCCGGCGCGTCCATCTGCGCGCACAATACCAACAATTGCGCGAAATTCACTAGGGAGGATTTATATACTACCACTTCCGGCGTTGGAGTCTTTCCCACCGTAAATTCCGCTACTTTGTCGAATGGAACGGTTTGGGCTTTTGCGTCAGCAGGGAGATCTTTGGCGAAGGCCTCGAACGCGGTCGCAGCGTGGTGGATCTTGCGTAGGGCGAGGTACTGCACCACCGCGCGGAGGATGAAGTAGCCGGCGTCTGGGAAATAGTCCTCTGTGGACCAGTCGTGGGCCATGTGGCCGTAGGCGGCGGCGCTGGAGGAGGGGCCGTAGAGGAAGTGGAACTCGGCGTCATAGTATTGTTTTTCTGTTATGGGAGGTTAGATTCAGTTTGTGTGGTTCGTAGGTTTTTGTGAGGGTGTTTCAGAGACTCACCTTTGTAGTACCGTGACCCGATGGCGTGATGCATGAGTGGGTCTCCAGTCGGGTACTCGCCGAATTTGGCGGACCACCTATCACAGGAAACGGAAATAATCAGTCTCCCCTCTCCCCGTCCCCACTGCTCATAAAAGTTCACACCACTTACTTCAAGCTATTACGGACATACTGATCACACTGCTCCGTCCTCAACGGGAAATCGTAAAAGATATCCAACGCCCTCGCTTCAAATGAAATTAATCCATCAGCCTCAATCACCCCACCCCCCCATGAATCGCAATCCAGCCCAACATACATCTCGTCGCATCATCCACCCCCAACTTCTCCCCATCATACACATCCAGCATGCGCGAAGCGAGGTCGGCCGCGGAGCCGAGCTGGTCGTGCTCCAGCATGTTCTTGGCGCCTTGGTGGAGGAGTTGGAGGGCGCTGGCGATTTTCCGTTGTTTTAGGTACCTGGTGGGAATCAGGACCGTTAAAGTGATTGTATAGTGATGGCTTAATGGCTGGGGAGGGGGGATATGCACCTCTGGCAAACAGAATGGTACATTTGATGCGCTTCGTAGTAGTTGCCATCTGTTGTTGGCAATGCGAGGATCAGTTGGGGAGGGCTGTTTTGGACAGGAGATGGGGTGCTGTTGTACCTTTGACGGAAGTGGCGAGCTTCTCGAGCACCCTAGCGACGCCAGCTCCTCCTGCTGACATTGTATCTGTGTTGAGTAAGTGTGGTGTGGGTGACTGCCGCTGCGAGAACTTTAGTACAGTAAGTTTGGGAGGAAAGTCTGGAAATTGCTGGGAGCGCCCCTGGGGAGCGCTGCGAATAATCACTTGGATTTTGGACCGCGAAGGTGTGGGCGACGGGGGAACGTGTCATAGCCACTGAAGAACACGCTGGAAGGCCATAATTCGGCGCGGAAGGCCTACAAGGCGTGGCCACCCGGCCATCCACATCACAATTAGGCCCTTGGGCGTTGTGCTCTGGACGAGGAACGTAGTCCTCTAGAGTCTATCCCGTCATCCGCAGGAGGTGAGGTGACGTTGAACTTTCGCTTTCTCTTCATCCCTACACGCGAGTGCTCAACACATCCGCAGCGTACATATGTGCATATGATATTATTTCAATTCGGTTCTCCATGGTGCACTCTATAAAGCAAAATAGCTCGTAGAAACACCTTTTAGTGCACAGGTTCGTGTGCGATGAAAATAGAACTTTTGATAAATATAAATAGGGTGCGTTGCTTTCGAGTGTGCTACGTGCTATGTATCGCGGCCTACCTTAGCCTCCTGTATGTGGTGCCAAACCAATGTGAACGCGCGGGTATCCCCCGCCGCCCACACCTCCCTCGCAACCCCGTCACTCAACCCTAACTTTCTTGACAAACGCCGGCGCCTCCCCCTCCTCCTCCTCCCCCTCATTATCCTTCTCATCAGCCCCCCTCTTCAACCCCTTCATCTTCCTCGTCTGCAGCTTGTCCAGATCCTGCTTGTGCATGTGGATCCGCCCGACCTTATCGCCGAGCGCGTTGCGTTCGATGTTTTTCGTTTTCGATTGCTAAAAAAATAATCAATCATACGTTAATTGGGAGTGACGAGGTACATGACCCGAAGAACAGGTGTGATAATTACCATCAGTTCCTTCGGAATCTTGGTAGCGGCCTTCCAAGTCTCCCCGTCCGCACCGCGATGTCTCCTAACCACCAAATCCGCCGCCGGACCCATCTCGGTCAACTCCACCCTGGGTAATTTGGTCCCGCTCTTCTTCAGCTGGATCGTGTACGTGCGCAATTTCACCGTTTTCGAGTCGACGGCGGTGAGCGAGAGCACGTGCTCGATCCCCGCGAGGTCAATGCCTTCCAGTGTTGCTGTGCCGCGGTACATATCCAACAGGATCGATTTCAAAGTCCGGAGCTCGTCAGACCCATCCCACGCATCCCCCGCAAAAAGAATCAACGGCCGATGCCCAAGAGCACTTTTAGGTCCATCGACAAACTCCATCGGCAGGCCCCTCTCCACGCCAACTTCGATCATATCGAGCAGTTGGTGGTCAAATGTGCGTGCGAATGTAAGGTTGTGGGGCCGTTTTTTGGAATGGGTGGCAAGGACGAGGAGGGATGCGTCGGTTTTGGTGGAGAAGAATTCGAGGGGGCGGGGGTCTTCGAAGGGGCGGAGTTCGTTGCGCTTGGAGAAGAGGGTTGCGTCGGGGCGTTTTAGGGAGTACTGTTCGGGGAGGGAGGGGGGTGGGTTAGTTGAATTGCGTATGAGGTGTGAAGAAGACGGTGGGCTTTGCGCCTGCGAAGGAGTTCGTCCTCACTCGTCGGTCGCAGACCCTCCCTTGGCTCGAACGACTCTCGCTCGCAGTCACCGTGATCATTATCGATTATCGGCACACTCCGCTCCGACGGCCCAATGCCCCCTTCATTCCCCTTCTCTCCCCGTCCCCATTCAACCACCGCATTACTGACCAAGTCCCTAAAGATAGCGGTAACCAGCTGAGACGTGTTTGTACCCTTCATGAAGAGGGCGGGTTTAGCGCCCTCTATGACCTGGGGCTCCCTCTTTTTGAGGGCCCGCTTTCCGGCGGCTGTTTTTGGTTTTCTGTAAAGAATGAGGGAAACATCGGTGAGCTCTTTGGGTGACAAGCAAAGAGAGCGGCAATAGGAGAGGCGAGGCGGGAGGCGGCACTTACGCTGTGCGCAACATGATTGTGGGGGGGTGTTTATCAAGGAGGGAGAGGGGTACTAGTGTCTCTCGTCGCTGGTTGGGTGTTTTGCTTATGGGTTGAGACCAGTTTTTGCCCGACGGTTTTTTCGAGAGAGAGTCGAGACCAATGCAGAAAGAAGTCTGGAACGCGTTAGGGTTAAGCGGGCACCTGGCCAGCCAATCACGCACCTCCGAGCAGAAAACTGGCCAATCACGCGCCTCCATGCAGAGAACAGTGTGGCCAGGACATCTGGCCCGCCAATCACACGGCCTGATACATAGCGTGCTGAGGTGTCGCGACCATCACTGGGCATGTCCGGGACCACCGTCGTCCAAGCTGCTCTCCCCCGACTCGGGTGAATTCAACGCAGTTCGCTTCAGCCGTCTCTGAATCGTCCACGACAATGACCACCGAAAGCACGCCACCTACAAAGTCATCCAGCTGGTGGGGCTGGTGGCCTTCCTCGTCCTCAAACAAACCCGTTCCGCAGGACACCACTACCCCTTCCATTCTTGCGCCAACGATCTCCACCAAGCAAGTTGCATCCGCTACACCCTCAACAACACCAGCGACTACTCACGACGCACCACAATCCGGCACGATAGCAGCTCAGCCTACTACAGCAGATAAGAGCAGCAGTCAGAAGTCCTGGAATCGGTCATGGTGGCCTTTTAGGAGCTCAAAGCCGAAGGAAGTCGTTTCCAACGAGTTCCATGCCACCACGCCAGTAGCCAATGCTGTTCCTGCAAAGCCTGCGGAAGCTGCGGGCAAACCTGTTTTCACAGAGTCTCTTCGTGCGGAGAAGCCGGCAATACCATCAACAATGACGACAGTGGCAACTGCAACCCCCTCAACGACCAGTCCGGCAGTCCAGCCAAAACCGACGAGGACCCCAACCTTATCTTCCGACGGAACCTTCCCCCAACAAACCTCAGATTACACCAAATACAACAAATACATCATCGGCACAGCAGCGATCGGATCCTTCTCGACGCTCCTATACACAGTCCACCAGCGCACGAAGGGTCGGATGCGTGTGCCACTCCAGGAGTTTCTGGACAATCCAGCTGCGAGAGCCGCGAATCCCAAATTGGCGGCGTATGTGTTTGCAGGGAGGGCGTTTGGAACTGCGACTGTTTTGGTCGTGACGGGGACGGTGGGACTGACCATGGCTGTGGCCAGTATTATGGGCGTCAACAACGTGAGTCAACTGATACAATTCTGCAAAAACCACGTTCATCAACCCATTAACGCCCAACCTTGGCCAATTAAGATGCGAGAATTCTCCTTCCGCATGCGCGACATCATGGCCTCCACCTTCCCGCAGCTCAAACGCAGCGACGAAAACGCCGACATCAAGTTCGACGCCGATACCTACGAGTTTCTGAAGGAGGTGTCTGCGGACGCTGAGAGGGAGGAGAGGGAGGGTGCGTGGAGGGAAAGTTCTAGTCATGCGATTATTGGGGGAAGGGTGAGGAATGAATTGGGGGGGTTGTCGAGGCATGGGCAGAATTGAGGCATTTGAAGATTGCTGTGAATCGGGGGGAAGGCCGGGATGACCGGATTGCGCGGGGGCGTGGTCGATCCCCTCTGGCGTAGCGGAGGATTCTTAGCGGCAGAATCCCGATCATAGAACGAATCGAGGTCCCTCACCCATGCATGTAGAACGTGCGCACGAGATGTACCGCATTTGTGATGTGGTTGAAAGTAGCAACGAGGCGTAAGAAGTGGACCTATTTACCTCCTGCCCGAACGCCAGTGCCGGGGGGAGAATTCTCGCAACCCTAAAGTCTCCCAGAGTGGGCGCTGGAGGGACCGCACTATAACGAGCCACTGCACCCAGAAGCGCCCTCATTACTTGGGTACAATTGTTGGGGGTCCGTGTCCATATCCACAGAACGGCGTGGGGTTCAACGATGGGGGATGGTACAGTACGTACTGTATAGTAGTTGGGCAGCTGACTGCGCAAACGTATTGTATGTGCGCACTGAGCGCGTCGATCAAGTGGGCTCATCTCACAAGTCTCAATTGTCAACAACTCCCCTCGGTGGTCGGTTGTGGGGTCACACACAACACAGACCACCCACTCAACACAGGCGCCTGCAGTTCAGCCGCACTTGGGAAGTGATAAAGGCTTGAACGTCGGCCGGTTCTCTTCATTCCCCACTATCCTGAGCGGACGAGAGATCTGGGCTGGAAAAAGAAATCATGGCCGTCACGCAGCGCAAACGTCCTCAGTCCGACAAGCTCGACGTCAAGCCGGCCACGTCGGCTCAGACGGGCAAGACCTGGGGAAGGGCTAGAGGTGAAGCACTCCTTGTTGCCGTTGCCATGGGCCTCCATATTCTCGTCTCGTACTGAGTGCTTTGCCTTACAGATGTCGGCTCGTTTACAATCACCTGTTCTGCGATCATCATGGCGACATGTCCCCTGATGGTTGTCTACTTCTGGATGGCCTGCACTTCTTTCCAGTGCTCGTTGGCGGCGCCTTTCGAGAAATTGACTAGCAGAGGCTTCTCTCTTGTTGCGTTGGAGCATGGCTTGGAGGACCTAGTAAAGGACAACTTTCCCACCCCTACCAAGGGTATGTTGTGGTAGTATGCGCGGGACGAGTGGGCATGGAGCGCTAATCAGGGTCATTTTTGTTTCATCAGAGGGGTTCCAGTTGTACTTTGCGTGGCTTTTGTTCCAAGCCGCTCTTTACGCTTTCCTGCCCGGCAAGATCGGCTACGGTCAGATGACGCCTGCTGGATACACCCTTCCCTATGTGGTACGTCGCGAACTTTCTTATTTTATTGCTGGCCCCTCAGTCCTCACAGTCAAACTGGATTGCAGGTCAACGGTCTCCTTGCCTGGGTCGTCACGCACGCGCTCTTCATCGGTGCATCCTTGGGATTGGGTCTTTTCCCCGCCTCCATCATTCACGACCACTGGGGCGGCCTTCTGATCGCCGCCAACGTCTACGGCTACTTCCTCACCATCTTCTCCTACCTGAAGGCGTACATTGCGCCTTCACACAAAGAGGACCGCAAATTCTCGGGCTCCATTGTATACGACATGTTCATGGGCATCGAGTTCAACCCCCGACTCGGCAAATATTTCGACTTCAAGCTCTTCCACAACGGGCGCCCTGGAATCGTTGCATGGACGTTGATCAACTTCTCGTTTGCCGTTGCCCAATGGCAGAGGATTGGATACGTCACAAACTCGATGGTCTTACTGAACTTCTTGCACTGGGTCTATGTGATCGACTTCTTCATTAACGAGGTTAGTGGTTGGTTTAAGCCCTTTGAGCCAGAGCGGAAGTACTGACAGGGGCATCTGTAGGATTGGTACCTGCGGACTATTGGTAAGCCCGTCATATGTAAACTTTGTGGTACATCAGGTTCTAGGTTCTGACGTCGCTGGCTATTTCGTCTTGTTGGTCCTTTTCAGACATTGCCCACGACCACTTTGGTTTCTGTAAGTACCGTGAAATCGACTGATGTCGAAGTCTTTTCTACCCGACGCAAGCTGATCGTCCTTCCTCGTACGTTAGACCTTTCATGGGGCGACAGTGTGTGGCTTCCGTTCATGGTACGTCCCTGCGATGTAAATCTGACTCTCGTTTTGGCGCCCTTGCTAAAACCACCTTGCTCGCTCTCCTGCAGTACACCCTCCAATCTCACTTCCTTGTTCGCAACCCGGTGGATATGAGCTGGCCATGGTTCACGTTTGTCTCTGTTCTTGGTCTCTCCGGATATTACATCTTCCGTGCGGTCAACCACCAAAAGGACATCGTCAGGAGGACCGACGGCCACTGTAAGATCTGGGGCCGTCCCGCCAAGGTCATCAGGACCGAATTCATCACCAGCGATGGAAAGACTCACAAGAGTCTGCTCCTCTGCTCTGGGTTCTGGGGTACGTCGCGTGTGTGATACTCTCACCACCTCATCCGCACTCGGATCCCAACTCCTCCCTTCCTCCCCAATCCAGGCCTCTCCCGCCACTTCAACTACGTTGGCGACCTCCTCATCTCCCTCGCCATGTGCCTGACCTGCGGCTCCGGCTACCTCCTCCCCTACTTCTACATCATCTACATGACGATCCTGCTCATGCAGCGCGTGCATCGCGATCACGAGCGGTGCAAGGGCAAGTACGGCAAGTTCTGGGAGGAGTACTGCCGCGTCGTTCCCTACGCGGTTATTCCGTATGTGTTTTGAGCGTGCTCATTGCGCGTGAGTGTGGGTTTCTGTATCTTAAGCCAAATAGAGAGATAGTTTGGGACGGCAATTTCACTTGCCACCGAGTGGTTAGGGTCGTGTTGGGGTTGTGATAGAACGTGGTGTTGAGAATCCCGCTCGAGCGCTCGTAAAGCGTGTTGTTGAAGCCATTCTCTTTTGAACCAAGCATACTCAGAAGGAAGGTTTTTGTCTTCAAAGACGGCGGTCTCTGGGAGTTTGTTACAGGTAAGCCAGTGACCACTGGTCAGATATACCGGAACATAAACCCAGCGTAGCAAGGAGCTAAGTCTCTCAACGGGGCCAGCGACCGCTTCGCCATTGAGCCAGACCACACACATCGACGACTAGAACCCTCTTGAGTTTCTTGTTTGCGTGCAGAGTAGGTTACTGCGGAAGGACGGGCGCTTGCCTTGCCTTCTTCCTGGCGCCGCGCGCTTACGCTTGCCCATGGCGACACACGGTTGCGACGACCTTGTCGATGGCGACGGTGGGTGCTGGGAGGTACTGGGAGCCGCTGTCCTAAGGGTATCTATGGAAAGAAAGGGGAACGAAACAGGAAGGGGGCTTGCACGACGCATATGATATTCTATTCACAACCAACTTCGTCCTCCCGGGCTCGTCTCGGGTTGCGAATCAGGATGGCCAATAGTAGCGCGGGATGACTGCGTACGGATCTTCTCCAGGCCTCCGATTCCCATCTTCCTAGGAGTTGCAGGTCTAGCGATGTGTGTCCGCGCAATGCTAACAGCGTGGCACCTCCTGCACGAAAACTTGAGGCGCCAGCGGTCCCTCCCGTTATCTGCAAGAAGATAGTTTCGAAGTACGTCCTGCTAGCGCCTCTAGCGCTCTTGCCGGATTGTAATCCACCAGAGAGGGGTGTCCGGTGTGGAACTGGGTGTGGAATCTCGTCTCGTCAAGTGCATCGCGTCCCACACCTTCGCGCTCACTTCGCGCGCCTTTCCCTTGCACTTCCCTCTCGCTTCTCAGAACACAAACACACTCATAGTGAATATTCATACCACTCTCTTCGGCAAAAATGCCCCCCCTCCTCCTCCCCTTCGGCTGGGCAGCCTCCTCTTACCTCTACTTTGCACAATCCAAGCGATTCTCAATCCTCAACGAGATCCTCGACGGCGAGGACCCCAGAGCAAGCGAGGAGGTGGCGAGGGGCGTGCATGGAAAGATGTGGGGGTGTGAGTTTCCGTTTTTGGGCAGGATGGTGAGTTTGGGAATGAGGGTTGGGGAGTATCGACCGTCGCTCACTCTCATTTCCCCAGGCCCTACACTTTGCAATGTTGAAAGCAATTGCCATCCCATCCATCGCGCAAGCCGTTCTCGACACCCAAACAGAAACGCGCCGGATTGATGGCGATTCCACCAAGAAGCAAGACGGGCGGTTACCTTCAACCACATCACCCACTTACACGTCTTCGGAAGCACTCGCGCACACCATCGAATCCACCGACCTTCTCCCCGAAGAGCTGATCGACCTTCCCGAGACCAACCCACCCGGCGAACTGGCGATTAGGAAGGGGTCGTTGTTGAGTTCGGCGTACAGGCTGAGCAACGACGAGTACGTGTACATTGTGTGCGTGATGGTCGTCGAGCCGTGTCGCTTGGTAGATCGGTGGGGGTATCGGAAGTTCAGTAGGCGGGAGATGGATGTAAGTTGACGGGATTTGCGCGCGGGTGGGTTCGCTACGATTACGAAGAGGCTCAATTCGAATTCGAATGGATCCCCACAGGCTCACTACGAAGTATGGCACACTATAGCAACGCGCATGGGCATCCACAACCTCCCCTCGTCCTTCGCCGCTATGCAAGCTTTCACAACCTCCTTCGAATCCCGCCACCGTCCTTCCCAATCCTCCCCCTCTTCAACATCCACCCCAACACCAACCCACACCCTCGCCGTCGCAGCAATCGACCTCCTCATCGCCACCCTCCCTCTCAAATCCCTCCACCCCTACATCCTCCCCCCCGCGCGCCGACTCGTGCACGCCCTCCTGGACCCGGACCTGAGGAAGGCGTTGGATGTGGAGAAACCGCCCGTGGTGGTAACGTGGGTTGCGGAGGTGATGCTGAGGGCGCATAGGGGCTGTGTTAGGTATTTGCTTTTGCCAAGGGCGGAGGCGAGGACGGGTGGGGAGGGTGCTACTGCCGAGATTGGGGACGGTGATGATGGGGGTGTTGCGCGACACCTCGGGGAGATACCGGGAAGTTATGGACCCGCTGGCGTTAAGCAACATGCTGGCGTTAAGCAACATCGCAGTTCACGGGATATGCGACAACCAGGCTCCGGTCCCACACGACCACTGCGCCGCGCGTCTTCCCACAACTCCCCTGACGCCGGCGAGCACCCTAATACCGCCCACGCCGCGTTCACCAACCCCCATGAATCGTTCAGTATCCCACCCTCTGTCCTCGGCGTATACCCACATCCCTCTCACACGGCCCCTTCTTCCGGCGAGTCGTCACCCCGCCCCCTCCTCCGCCGCCGCGCAACCTGCGCCACCTTCGACGTGAAACGCGAAGATCCGGCGCCTTCCTCAACGCCGGTAGGCATCGCGTACACACACCACAGCTCCCTCCTCCCACGCGAACAAGACGCAAAAGTACGAAACCGTCGACACTCCATCGTCCACATGCCGAACCATACCATACCGGCAGATGATGATGCGAGGGTTACGTTCCGGCGGTTTGGGATGCAGGCTCCGTCGCAGAAATCTGCGCACCATCAACACCATCAACCACAGGAACAACAGCAAACGATGAAGATTCATGCGCCTATACCGCATCGGCCTATTTCGCTACGGTTTGCGGATGAGGAGGATGTGATGGGACATGAGGAAGGGAGGGTTGCGCGTGCTGCCGATTATGGGGAGGGGGAGGGAGAGGAGTGGTGGAGGGAGAAAGTTCGGTGACGTAGCTGCTTTTTGAGTGCCTTTTTTGGGTAAGGTAGTATGTGGGTCTTGCGGTATATGGGCTTTTTGCTTCGGGGGTTCGTTTTCTTATGTTTTTTTTGGACGCGCCCCTGATTTTCCTCGGGCGCTGATGTCGTCGTTACTGTTCTGGTTGTCCAATGTATATATTGATGCTTCCGCGTCTTCCTCGATGTCCCCCCACCCTTTCTGGTACAAGTGGTCGCCAAGAACACGTACCTGGGCATACGTACACATACGCTATGGCAAGAGCCGCAGGCTAGGCGACTACTTCATGTTCTTTTGAGACGAGAGGGTAACGATGTAGTGTATGATATCACGTTGCGTTTGTGAAAGAGTGGTGGGTGATGAATCCGATGATGGGACAAGAGACGAGGGGACGCGTGTGCTCGATCACATTTGATTATTGGCTACGTCAACGCCCTCCCTCTCGCTCGAAATGGGAGAACTCGGAATGGTGACGCTCTGCATTCGCACAACTCCCCTCCATCCCCAATCTTCCCACGCCCCAGCAAAGACCGCCAGCCGCCTTCTCCCTCCCACGCAGCAATGGCAGACAACGAAGCACCCTCACCCACAGACCCGCTACTGGGCCGCGCTCAAGACACTCACCCAGCCACCACCACCGAAAATAGGAGGAACAAGCATAGGAAGATCATCGCAATCACTTTTGCATCCGCTTTTGTTTTGTTGCTGGTTGCGACCGTGGGGGGGATTTGGGTTGCGAAGAGGAAGGGGAGGAATGGGGGTATGTATCGGGAGAGGGAGTGAGGGCGAGAGTGACGGCGAGCAGGATGTTTGAGGACTAGGCCACCAGGAAAATGCTCGAGGTTCCGAGCGAAGCGACGCCGAGCCTACGGGACCGGAGGCCCAGGATTACGGATCACACACCAGCCCAACCTCCTCGTCGCGAGGGGAGCAAGCAGGATGTTGGTTTCATCCATTATCCATCAACCATCACCCTATCCAACAACCTATCCATCATCCATCGCTTCGCTTCATCCACATTCACTCACTTCGTTTCTTCCCCATAGGATCAGGCAAACGCAATGTGATTTTGATGGTCTCTGATGGATTTGGACCTGCATCCGAGACGCTCGCGCGACAGTACTACCAGTACACGGAGAATGTGCCGTTCGACACAAAATTGCCCCTCGACACCATCCTAGGTTTGTGGACTCTCATCATCCACGGCTGATGTTCATAGGAAAGCTAATGTTGTTTCTTTTGGCATTCGCTTTAGTGGGCTCTTCCCGCACGCAGAGCTCGGACAGCTTTGTGACCGATTCGGCCGCTGGTGCCACGGCATTCGCTTGTGGGATCAAGACTTACAACGGTGCCATCGCTGTGGTCTGTATCGGATATTTCATCCAATGTGCGCCTCGGAAACCGGCCCATGTTTAACATTTTTTCGCATGTCTGCTTAATAGAACACTGAGCAGAAGCCATGTGGAACCGTCCTTGAGGCGGCAAAGGAGCAGGGATACTTGACTGGGATGGTTGTCACCTCTCGTATCACACATGGTACGGTTGCACACATAGTCAGTTCGGCCACTTGATAGAGCAGGAACTCACCATCTCTCGACATCTAGCCACGCCGGCTTGCTTTGCGTCGCATTCTGACAGCAGGAATCTTGAGGTATGCTCAATGAGAGAAACGGTATTAGCAACGGAAGTTTGTCTTTGAACACTCACCCTTGTTCATTTTCCCAGGACGACATCGCCCTCGACGAGATCGGCAACTACACCCTCGGTCGCCGCGCCGACCTTATGTTCGGCGGCGGCTCCTGCTTCTTCCGCCCCAAACTCGACACCCGCTCCTGCCGCGCCGACTCCATCGACGCCTTCGCCATCGCCCGCGACATCGGCTGGCACGTTGGCGCCCAAGATCGCACCCTCTTCGACGCCCTCGACCCAACCTCCATCCCTTTGCCTTACCTCAACCTCTTTGCCGACGACCACATGGCCTACGAAATCGACCGCGATCACACCCTCGAACCCTCCCTCAAGGAAATGGCCGAAAAGGCTCTCGATATCCTCACCTATGCATCCAAGGACACTAAGGGCTTCTTCCTCATGATCGAAGGCAGCCGGATCGATATGGCCGCCCATAACAACGACCCCGCCGCGCATATACATGAGATACTGGCCTACCAGGAGACGATCAAGACGGTGAAGAAGTATGTCGCGGAACACCCGGATACGGTTATGATCTCGGTGTCGGATCATGAGACGGGTGGATTGTCGGTGGGCAGGCAGTTGGACCCGCATCAGTATCCGGTTTATGATTGGAACCCGAAGGCGCTTGTTGGGGCGAAGAAGTCTATCGAAGTGTACGTTCCCATGCCATCCCCGTCCCTACTCTCTATTATATTCAAGTCACTAACCTTCCCATGTCTCCACAAGTCTAACACCCCAAATCGCATCCTTCCCCGAACGCAAACTCCCCCTCCGCCGCATCTGGGTCAACAACACGATTCTGGCCAACACGCTCGGCGTGCATGACGCGACATTGGAAGAGATTGATAGCTTGGCGGTGAGGGGGACGGCCGAGGTGGATATTTTGATGAGCTTGGGCGAGATTTTGAGCAGGAGGGCTGGGTTGGGGTGGTAAGTTGGGGCCAGAGGGGTGGAGTTGGGTCGGGAGATGAGGTTAACGGTTTTTTCGATCCTATTGCGCAGGGCAACGCATGGTCACTCTGCCGTTGATGTCAACCTGGTAAGTTCAGACCATCTCGCTCATTCTGCGGTCTTCATCCCCTCACTAACCCCCCCACCCTTGGTAGTATGCATACGGCCTCAACGCCGACCAACTCCGTGGCAACCACGAAAACACCGAGATCGGCAAATTCATCATCAGGCAGTTGGAGTTGGATGTTGAAAAGATCACTGCCAAACTCAACAGGTATAAGAACAATGCGAAGGGGGTTTGCGTATGGATTGGACTGATTGGTGAATGATTGGGTTGTAGTCCAGACGCCAAGAAGCGATCCACGGCCACGAAGAAGGAGTTTGATGTGAAACACTATCATCATGGAGAGTCGTTGTAGAAACCACCTTCCCCTCGTATCTTATGAGACGCGTACTGTACATCCCGCATTCACCCCCCCTTTTCCAATCTCATTTTTCGTTTAGCTGTTACCACACCTTCCCATCCCCATGTAGGCAAACAGTAACTACCTTCCATTCATGCTTGTTATGTACATATCGCAGAATCTCATATAAACATACAGCAGTAACGAGAATGGGAAAGGTCTAGAGTAATGGCTCTCAAAAGTAAACTATCACTACGCCGCGTGCGAGGCAAATTCGAAAAGTGGGATTACGCCGTCTTCTATGACGAGGGACCCGCCGCTTGCCCGTAATCCCGTCGTCAAGCTTGACCACTGCATCCAGGAGCCGATTCGAAGGCCAGCCCTGTAAAGGCTGGGTGTTACGAACCCTACTCCTAACCCAACCCTAACTGGGGCACTTAAAACTTATAGGTAGTTGCTAACGTCCCTACCCACTACCAAGGATTTGGAGGGTGCAGCGGCGGAGTAGGGGTTTGCGAGTGATTCACTGGGGGCGCTGGTTGTCGTGGGTTCGGATTGTCCGCAGGTATTGTAGCGCGAGCCGGCGACGGGTTTTACGTAGATGTATAGATGGATGAGTATAGGGGTCCCGGGCGTAGGTCTACATTCACCTCAGTCTAGATTCACCTCAGAGATTCACTCAGAGCGGTTGTATCATCCCAAAAATGTATATACAGTATGTAAATGACAAACCTCGCAACGGTCGCCAATCTTATAGCGTCGGCGAACTGTCCCTTCCATCGAACGATCCATCCTACCCCTCATCCCCTCAGTAACAACCCAACAATTGGCACTACCAAAATCGGCAAAACCACCTGCCACATCTGCCCCAACGCCTCCCCTCCATCACTCGTGATCGGCTCGACCTTCAGTGTCGACGTCGCCGCCGCCTTCCTCGTCGCCGCCGTACTGCTTGCCCCACTGACCCCGCCACCAAAAGGCGACACATTCGTCGTCTCCGCACACCTCGTCCCATTCCCACCCACCCCATTCAACAACCCCCACAACACCCCAGAATACGTAATAGAGTCATTCCCACTACACGGCCGATTCAACACATCAAAACTCACATCCTGCATCGCCAGCCCCCCAAACCCCCCCACTGCCTTCACCCGCTCCCAGAACCCCGCCTCATACACACTCTGAAGCCGCACATAATCTCCCGTCGCCCCATTGACCCATTCCGGGGTATACCAGCTCGGCAACGTGACGACCAACGAGGTGTTTGGCGATGCCGCGGTGAGGAACGTGGCCCAGGCGGTGAGGTGGGAGTAGAAACCGGCGGTGTTGCTGCTGTACCCGCAGGTGGCCGGGTTGGAGAGCATGGAGATGGTGAGGTGGGTGAAGGCGGTTGGGAGGAGGGAGAGGAGGGTGTTGTTCAACGTGTTTGGGCCCAGGAGGTAGTCGGGGTAGATGCAGGATACGGCGCCTGTGACATGTGATACACTGTACATCAATCATTTGGAATCCCTTTAAACATTCGACATGGGAGACGTACCAGAAATGACCCACCCACTCCTCCCACTCCCGTCCATCAACTCCCTCAACGTCCTCAGAAACACCACATAGAGTTCCGGGTTCGGGTCATTATTCCACGCCCGTACCTCCACCCCATCCAACACCACATTCCCAAACGGTCGGTAGCTTGACGTGCCCCCCAGGAACAAGTTCCATACATTCCGTGCAGAGGCTTCGGCGCGAGTGGCGGTGAGGAGGTAGTCCATCGGCGCTGGTCAGATGCGTTAGCGCCATGGGTGATGTAACACCTTCTTGGCGATACGGAAACTCACATATTGAGAGAATGACCTTCTTCCCCGCCGCATGACAAACCTCCACATCCAGCCCCACATTGCCACAGTCCAGCACATTGAACCCTTTGACGGGATCAGGATATCCGGCCCATTTATTCGTCGGCCACCTGCAATGCGCATCCAAATCCAGCGCCGAGTTATTCAGGACATCAAAATGCAGTTTCATGTATGAGAGGTGGATGTGCGTGTAGGGTGTAGAGGTGCAGATTGTTGCGAGGGAGGGTTCGGTGTAGGCTGAGGGAGAGGTGGGGGAGGAGGGGTATTGGTTTTGGGCGAGGTTGGCGCCCCAGTAGCCGTGCAGGGTGTAAGCGTGGGTGGGGTGGGAGAGGTAGGAGAGCAGGAGGGTGGTGGCGAGGAGGAAGGACATGGTGGTGGTGTGGTGGTGTTTGTAAGCGTGGGAGCCGGAGGGGGTTGGAGGAAGGGATGTGTGGGTTTCCTGCGTTGTTCCTCACGGCAGATGGTTAAACCCGCGGGATTGTTACGAGAAGAGCGAGTACAGGTTGTTGGGCGTCAAGTTGGCGCGACAAGTTGGGGCGTGCCGCACTACCTCTACAGGACTGTGGTGAAGCTAGAAACAAGCTGCGGATGCTCTTTGTGAAATCGTAATGGGGGGCAACAGAAGCTGGACGGTTATGACGGTGCACCTTCGCGCTGTCGCTTTCGCGTTCAAGCGAGAATCCGGCATAAGTCGCCCGCAGGCCGCGTTCTCATGTTGACAGCGCCTGGCGCGTGTTCTCCAGTTCCGTCCCCGTCGTCAGGAGTCGAGAACCAGAAGAACGACTGAAGAACGACCTACAGCACACCTATACAGGACCCACCCCATCGACGACAAGGAAATACCCTGCGAAATACCTCCCTACAGAGCACTAGGAGGGCACTCACCCCGGCCACTAACTATCCCCACAGTTCCACTCGAAAACGCTAGCAGGAAAGGAAACCCCCGTCTGTCCATCGGCCAAACTCCCTCCCTACCCGCCAGCAACAACACCACCCAACAACAACCAACAAAACAACCCCTCAGAATCCCACCATGGGCCGAACAAATCCCCTCGCCCTCCGCCTCCGCACAACCCTCAACTGGCCCTCCTCCGTCCGCCACCCCCTCCTCGCTTCCTACATCTCCCACATCTTCCAAACCTCCCTCGCCTCAACCCCCGCAATCCGAGCCTCAACCTCAGGCATATGGGTTAACATCACCATCCTCTCCCCGCAAAACCAACAACAGCCCCCGCACCCCCTCCTCACATCCCCCCCCGCCGCCCTCGACCTCCGCAACTCCAACCCGCTCGCAGCGCTCGGCAAAATCGACCGCAGAGTCACAAAGGCGTCCCGCCAGCACGTCTATTTCCGCGACGTGTTCAGAAACAAGGCAAAGAATCCCGTGCAGGCTCTCGGTGGGAGTGAGGACCCCTTGCGGGCGTTGGCGGTGTATAGGGACACGCCCGTGCATGTCAAGGTGAATGTGATCACCAACCCGCTGCTCAATGCCCAGGTGTGTGCCGCGTTCATTGCGAGGGAGCTGAATCGGAATAAAACCATGCCGAGGATCTACAAGGGGTTGCTGGGGAAGATGTAGTGGGCGCTTTTTTCGATCGGGAAGGGAGGAAGGGGAGGGTTTAGAGATGGCGGCGTCAGTGCAGATGGTTGGGGCAAATGTACATATTTATTCAGTTATACAATAGAACATAACCCAGACGGAGCACATATCAGCGCTGGGGCTGGCCAGGGCCGAAGAACAATAAATGTACTGTACATAGGTCGGACATCGCTCCGAGACTCGATCTCTTAATGCGCGGCGAAAGTGGGAACAAGAAAATACGACGATGCCCCAGGATCCATAAGGTATTTCCTTCATTCTATTACCCAAAAAGAGAAACACAACATGACAGATGGTAACGACCGACGAAGAACGTATATGTGGCCGGTGAGGGGGATGGGATATCCAAAAAAAAGGGGGGGGGTGATGACTCCGAGATTAGGGGGGCGGATGAGTTGAGTTTTTCGAGACAGAGGGGGATGCCGGTAGTGTGCGTTTCCTTTTCACCGGCGGGTCGCCGTACTCGAAGACCCGCGACTCTTGAAGATAAGCACCAGAAACAAGAAAAACACCACGATGGCGAGGAAGATGATGAAGTATTTCGCTTTTGTGTTGTCCTGATATTTCTGCGCCTGCACACCACCCAGAAAAAAAGAAAACACCGCCCATTCAGCCATCTGTCAATCCCCCTCACACGCACCCCATTTTCCCACTTCACGTACCCTCAACAGCTCCTTATGCGCCTCCTCAACATGCACCCCCGCCATCTCGACATTGTAATCGATCCGATCCAGCACCGTCCCCTGGTCGATCACCATGGTGTGCAGCTCCTTGAAGATGTCGGCGACCCCGAGCATCGATTTGACGATTTCGTTGATCTCGCGCTCGCGCTCGGTTATGGCGCGTTCGTTGTTTTGCACGGTTGCTAGCTGCGCGTCGGTGAAGACCTGGAGGGGTGAGAGGGGGGGTGGAAGCGGGGTTAGATGGGTTAGATGGGAGGAATGGGAAAGGAGGGGGACGTACCGCGTCGAGATCGTCATCGGATTCGGTGGGCGGGGCTTCGAGGTTGCCGAGGGCGTCTTTGCTGCGGATTTCGCGGCCGCGGAGTTCTGCAGGGTGGGGCCGACAGAAGAGGGGAGGAGAGGGGGGACTGTCAGTCGGTTATGGCCCTGCATCCCTCGGTGGTCTCCCTCCCGAGCCCTTCCTTTCCCTCTTCTCTTCTCTCCTCCCCTCGCCCAACCCATCCACAAAAACCAAATCTCCAACCTACTCTGCAAATAGTTCGACTGACTCTTCCTAAACGACCCACTCAGCTCCTGCAGCTTGGTCGCAAGACTCGTCTGGATATTCCGTGCCAGCGCCTGGTTCTGTCGCCCCGCCCCGCCAAAAGTGTCGTTGTTGCTTTCGAGCGCTATTCGTTTTACTTTGCGTTCGCAGTCGCGGAACATCTGGTGGGGGGGGGGGGGGGGGTTAGCGGGATGGTGGGGTGGGTGGGAGGTGGGTAAGGGGAATGAGGGACGTACGTCGGTGATAGCGGTCGTGAGTCGGTCGATGGACTGCTCGTCGCTCATTTGGTCGTCGAAGCCGGGGAGGAGGTGTTTTTTGTGCAGGGCGTCTAGTTCCGTTACTACAAGAGATGATGCGCATGAGAGTCGAGCTTTTTCACGGCGTCGGAGACATCAACAATGAAGGGAACAAACGTACTCCGCGCTCGTATCCGGTCCACGTCCTCGTCAACCTCGTCTACTACATCGATCCTATGGCGCATGCGGGGATCGAAAGAAACATGAGTATCAACTTCCCACGCGTAGGTGGAAATGGGTCTCTCAATTCTGTCCCCTCCTCCCAGCTCGTCCGTCGAGGGGAGGTTTGCCCTCACTGTCGCGGCAATTCGGTCACCCCGCCTCACAGCCCAATCCTCCTCTTAGAAAACCCCCCGGAACCCCTCCTTCATCCCCCATCCCTAAATCCCACCCATCACAGATGGAAAAAACCCACCATTTCGGCGGCAACACACTCATCTCCACCACCACCTCAGCATCATGGTCCACCTCATTCGCAATCAAGCCGGCTTTCTCTGACGTGTCCGTGTGTCTTCCTCCGGTCGCAGTTGATGGTGCAGGTCGGCGGGATGTTGTCCGACTGAAGGAGTTGCGGTATTGGAGGAAGAGGAGGGTGCGGGAGCGGGTTGCCATGATGAAGGGGTGGGGTGGGAGGGGTGGTTGTTAGCCAACGGGGCGGCTGCTGGTGTGTCGAAGACTCGAAGGGCTCTTGTGGATGTTGTAGGATGGGTCTGTGATTGGTCTGTGATGGCGTTTGCTGAAATCAGGAAGATGGGTCCCTCTTCTCGTCTTCGTTTCGCTCCCACTCAATTTCAACCCCATTGGCATCGAACGAAGCGGATTGACGCGCAACTACATACGAGTCGCCGAGCACGAAGCACACTTGCGAACCATCGTTGACCAACTGCGCAATGAGGCAGTCAGCTATACCGCCAGTCTCGACGCTGCGCATGCCAAAATTGCCAGGCTGACTATCAAGACTGATGAACCTGCAAGGAGCTGCGGGCGTTCCTGCTCGCGATACCTGACGATCCGCCGCTCACCGCTGGCCCACTTGTCACGCCATCTCCGGGACTTTTCTGGTGCGCACGGATCTAACCCGCAGCGAGGTAAGCGTCGGTAGCGTCGGCAATCCTTCAAAGGCGTGGGAACTCTTGGAAAGCCGGCCTATTCCGCGTGCGCGTACCACGTGTAGGCCATCCTTTGCCCGGTCGGGGGGGGGGGGGGGGGGGGGGGGGGGCGCGGGAGGAGGCAATTGGGAGTCAATGGGCGGCTAAATGAGTTCTCAGTTTGCATCTTTTCTGGTATTTTACATCCGCTGAGTATGGGTGATGATCGCACCCTAGCGACGCTCGGCAGCAAACGCCTTCGATGGCGTGCTTTGGAGATGCGGATTGCGCCCAAGTTGAAAAAAAAACCGTGTGCGATTATCGGGTTGGCGCGAGCATCCTGTCCCGTTGTTTACGAAGGACGCCAGCACTTACGTCTTTTGGTTTAGCGAGTGGACCTGGAGATGAAGCGGGATCGGCGTTTACGTTTGGTAAACCCGGCACGTTCGGTCAACCCCCTCCTGTTCCGCCGGTTTCGAAGAATGCGTCTTTCGTGTCGGCGAGTGGATCTGGGTCTGCGTCCGGGTCTGGATCTGGATCTGCGCTTCCATCTGGATCCGGACAATCGCCCACATCCCCGACTCGGTGGCGCGAGCAGCCTGTCCCGCTGTTCACGAAGAACGTGTCTTTTGGGTCGGCAAGTGGACCTGGATCTACGACAACCGACCAGCCCCCTGCTTTCACGTTCGGCCCTCCGCCCACCACCTCCTCGTCGTCGTTTGATCCAAGGAGCACGGACGATGGAATTAGGGTTCCCGCTAGGGTTAGGGGCAGCGTGTTTGGACGTGAGTCGGGGAAGGTGGAGATCACTTCACCGGCTGCCAACGGAAAAGAAAAGCAAACCACCGCGGCCGCAGTCGAGGCGCCGTCACCACCCTTTGGGGAGATGGGTTCAGTTCGGCAGTTCGGTGGCTGGCTGCTGACGGGAAGGGGACGGACTAGGAAACGACGTCTGCCACTGCGGCGTTTGAAGCGGTGGCGGCACTCTGATCTGCCTCTGCGTCAGCGGCCTCAACAAACGATAATACCCCTGCGGCAGATCCGCTCAGCCCTACGTTTGGATCGAGAAGCATGGACGCGGAGGTGCCTTCTGGATCTGGTTAGCACGTTCTCTCGGCCATGACTGGTCGCCAGTCGTCGGCGACACGCTCCCTTCACCGCATCATCGACCCGCACCAAACGGGAAAGGCAAGGAAACCACCCCCGCAGCCGCTTCGAAGCCCTGGCGTCGTTGTCGGCCGCCTGGAACGAGCGTATATCACCACCCCCGACTGGCGATGGACATGTGGGGCTGCTTGGACGGTCGAAAATCGTGGTTGGGGCGAGTGTGGAGACGGGACGTGAGGGTGGTTCGAGCGGGACTGCGGATGCTGTCGGTGGATTGACGTCGTCCACAAGTGCTCCTCGGACGCCACCACGACCCGCCACGTTGAGGCGCACCCAACACCGCACGACCAGCTATACAAAGCAACGACAGCTCCGCCGCGGCTTTTGGTGCGGTGTCCTCACTACCGTCTTCTTCTTCTTCTTCTTCGGCCATGACTCCTGCGAAGATGTCGAACCGCACGACGCGATCCCAAACCGCTGCCGTTGAACGGGCGAGACCACCTACGCGCGCCGCTACCGCCGCCGAGGGTACGGGTGGTGGGAGTAGTACTGGAGACGCACGCCCAAAACCATTCACGCGCGCCAACGCCGCCCCGTGGGGTGGACGGGGGATGTGAAGGGGAGCGAGCATTCTATGTATGTATGTATGTATGTATGTATGGGATGGACGTTTGGGGAATGGGGTATGGGGTATGTGAGGTTTCAACTGGTGGGATGTCCAGTATTCTTGCGAAAACGTGATTGAGATCGGATAGGATGGGCTCATATGCATATATCGTAACGATATCGGGTCGGGTTGATGTGGGTGTGGTGTTGGGAATCGCAAAAGTGTTACCCCCCCTTGTTCGTTGTCATTTGATATGTAATGTAGCATTACAGATTTTGGTGTGAAATGTCAAGGACCTCCTACTTTTATCCCGTCTTCCTCAAAAAGAAATCCCATGCGATATACTGTATGTACAAGACGCACACAACACAACTCAGACCCCCGCGTCATCCCCATCCCCATCCGCACTCCACCCATCCATCTCCCTGTCATGCGTCCATTGATACCCCAAATCCATCCCGCGCCCACCCCCACCCATCGTCCCCTGCTGCGACACAAGCGACGGCGACACAGTCGCGAGACGCGCTTTTGGTGGTGAGTATTCTACGTATCGCGCTTCGTCGTCGTCGACCGGTAGGTGTTGTTGGTATTGATAAGGTTGGTGGTGAGCTACGGACCCTGCGAACCCTCCGGATCCAACGGTGACGGCTCTCCCAACGTGTGCGCGATAAGGTGGCGATGAGGAGGTGTATGTGCCGTGGTGTTCCTGTTCCTGTTCGCCGTCGGACCGCTGTCCGTGTTGATGCGTGAGGGTGACAGCCCTCCCAACCTGTGCACGCTGCGGAGATGCCGAGGCGGGACGAGATGGGGTTGAGGCGACGCGATGGGCCTGTTGTGCGGCGGTTGGGTGGTGGGGGTGGGCGTGGGATGCGTGATTCGCACCGTCATCATCATCATCTCCATGTACCACAACCGCCTTCTTCGGGTATCCCGCCGGCGACTGCACCTCCCACTCCCCCGTTGGATGCTTGAACGGACTGCTCGGGTTGACAGTCGACTGCTGGGGGTGCAGCGGCACGAGATTCTGCACACTCCCGAGCGGATCAGCTTCCTTCTTCGTAAGACTGTGTGTGCTTACGAAGAAGCGGGTTAGAGGGAAAGCGGGTTTGCGTGTTGTAGAGGGCCGGTCGGTGGGATTTGAGGGGTCGGGTTGGGTGGTGGTGTCTGAGATGATGTATGCGCGGGTGGGCTGGGGAGGGGTTTCGTGGGTGTATGTTACGGGCGGCTGTTGCTCATGGGTGTGCGGGTCCTGTGAAGTTGACGTAGATGCCCGGTGTTGGGCGGACCATCTCTGCTCCTCACGTCCCTCACCAGCCTCTCCACCCCCGTCGTCTCTCAAAGGGGAATTCCCCCCTACCGGCGAAACCGCCGCACTCCGATCAATCTCCGCCAACACCTTCACCATCTCCAATTTATCCACCCTGGGCATGTCCCATTTAACCTGCCCAGCCTCCACGTCCCCCTTCCTAACCCTCCTCTCCATGCGTTTCTTCAAGACTCTTGCGCGCGTGCGTTCTCTGGAGTCTTCTAGGGGGTTGTTAGCGGTAGGGTCGGCTAGGCGATGGGCGGCGCGAAGGAGGGTGGGGAGGAGGAGGGTGCCGGTGAGGCTGAGGATGAGGAGGGAGAGGTGGAGGGCGTCGAGGGATGGGAGGGCGCCGTCGCAGATTGCTAGTTCCATGTCTACGGTATTGATCGCGGGGGCGTCGCAGCGGTAGTTTGTGTTGAGGTTGGTGTTGGTGGTGGAGAGGGCCATGGCTTTGATATCTGCGCGAGATGCCGCGATACGGTCCGTGATCTTCGGTTTGTTGGCGTCGAGATAATTAGTTAACGATGAGTTGACGGTTTGGAAATCTGAAGGGATCCGGGTAGCCGAGTCGCTGATTGCGTTAAGTGCCGGTGTCATGCTAGTTCGCAGGTCTTCAACGGCCGTAATCCGCCTCAACACGGCTTGTAGCTCGGTATCGCGGATAGAGATGTATTCGTTTCGGACGGCGGTTATCCGGCGCTGCAGACGATTGATTGCGTCTTGGAGAGCGTCAGGCAATACAGCGGTGGTGTTAACATCCGACGCCTGGATTTTCGGATAGTTATCGGCATCGGTTTCGGCAGACGTGCCGTGAAGGCTGTCTATAATCTTCTGGACGGTCGTCTTCAGGGCATCAACAGCCGAGCGGAGATCGATCAAATCCGTGCTCGGATAATTTGCTATAATCGAAGAAAGCGTAGTAGCGATAGATGGCGCGATCGAGAGGTCACCAGGATCTCCAATAACCGCTCTACATTCACAAACAAAGAATCAGCCTTCAGCTTTCTGGACCCACCCGATCCCACCCCCTAACTCACCCAACACTCATCCCCCCCGCAACCCCCCCAAACTCCTGCCCGTCCAAAATCCCGGCAAGCTTGGCAGGCAGGGTTTGGATCGAGTAGTTCAGAGTCGTGGGGGGTATGACCCCGTCCAAGATCTCTAGAAAGGCTGTGCGCGCGATGCAGCTGTCGCGCGCTAGGAGGGCTTTGGTGTAGGTGGTTGATGCGGTTGGGTTGAGGGATGTGAGTAGGGAGGTCATTGTAGCTGTGCCGTTGGTGCTGCGGTCGGATATGATGGTGCATGCTGCAAGTTCGATGAATCAGTAATGGCAGATTTTCGAACAAAGGCAGACAGACGGTTGACAGACGGTTGCGTACCTTCCCCAAGAAGAATACTAGCGCACAACAAGACAACAGTCGAAAACAGTGCCAACAGCGTATACGGCACAGCTCCACACAAGCAACATCGGACAACAGCGGGTTTCTTTCGCCCAATGCCGATGTGCACCGTTGCTAAGATCACTGCCGGTAAGGAGAAGAGGATACCCAGGATGAACCATCTACACGTATCGTGATGAGGTCAACTTTAGCGAGGTACGCTGCGAGTATCAGCCGCCTCGATATGTCACACCTGTATAGTTTATATTTCGGATATACGGCCGCCATCGTATCCACCGTCGGCTGAACATCATCAATCGAAGCATTCAACGCCGCCAGTGCTCCTACGATGTCCATTCGGAGTAGCGCGTCCACCGTCGACGTGAAATTATTCTGTATATCTAAAGGACCGAACGAGATAACAGTCAGACGAGGAACGAAGATAGACACCCTACGCGTTGCAAAATGCATCATTTACCAACAATCCCAACTTCCTGCACACCCCTTAACGTGCTCGGCAAATCTCCCGCCGCGCCTGCCGCCGACACCGCGATCGCTGCCATGTCCGGTACAGTAGCCAAATAATTCACCAACTGGTCAGTGAGACTATCCGAGTTCATCGCTGCATCGCGTGGGGTGTCTAAGGTGGTCTCGTCCGGTACGGTTGGAACCGGTGAGACGTTCCATTTGTACTGGTAATTGACGCCCCCGGAGTCGAAGTTGACGAAGGAGGTGAGGAGGGTTGCGGCGTCGTTGTTATCGATGAGGGCGGTTTGCAGTTTGGTGACGTCTCCGTTGGCTGTGTTTGCTAGGGCTGCTTTCTGGTTCATAAAGGTGGTGCTTATGTTGAGGAGCGCGGTTGTCAGATTCCCCATTGCCTGGCTGCTGCTGACGAGGGTGGCGATCTGGGATTGTATAGGGGCGACGCTCTCAGAGGCCGTGAAGTAATGGGCAGCCGTACGTAATTGGGCGGAGGTCCCGTTTTCGACGGCGAGGAATGTGTCGTTGACTGTCGCGCTGAAGTTCGTGACGGTGTTTTTGACGTTCCGGAAGGAGTAGTCCGTGGAGTCGGAGAAGATGTAGACTGAGCGGTCGAGGTATTGTGTGGCTGAGAAGCCCCATGCTATAGCTGCTCTGCGGAATCAGTTAGCATATGTAGCGTGATCTGATGAAAATATCGATCCAGGTGGAAACTCACACCCAGAACAGGGAGATGATGCCTAGGCTGGTTCCAGTTCGCGCCTTCTGCGCAAAGGTGTAGGGCTCTTTCTGCGTGCGCTGCAGCCTTGTCTTTCGTGTCCACCACACGAAACATCCGCTACAGCACGTCATCAGAAATATGAGGAGAAGGAATCCCACAAATATCGCTACAGGCTGGACGGTGAAGCCTTCTAATGTCAACGAATGCACAAATGGACCCAGTTTGCATCAAACATTCGCTCACCAGGAAGTACGTCTTCAAGGCATCCTGATCAAAAGTAACGGTCTTCACCGAGCTGGATGAGTTGCCGGATGAGTGGCCAATGATCGGCAACGGCATGTGGGGGCCATTCCGCTGACGGAGGCGAGTAAGGCGCCCGATGTTCGTCCAGATCCAGAGACCATACCCAGGCTGGGACAATTCGGCATAGTAGCTGCTCGAATTGGCCAAGGGATCGGCTGTATTTATCGCTTCGAAACTTCGTCGCTGGCGATGTACATTTGATGCGTTGATGGGCGTTACATCTGCTACGTCGGATGATGGACGTTATCATACTGGTCCCCTGATTTCAGATTATGTGCATAGAGGCCGACCGCGGCACTTACTCCTGGAAACAGCCCGGACGTCCCTCGCTACAAATAATGGTGTCCCTGAATAAGTCTTCAAGTAACTTTCTGCCTTTCAAAAGGCTGCCTCCTGGTATCCTACCATACGACGCGCGCGTTCCTGTGAGCTCAGCCAAACCCGACCATATCCACAGCGTCGCTAAATACCGAAGGCGCACCCGCATCTCCGTTCATGTACAAGTGGCCATGCGTCGCAAGGAGCGCTGGAGAAGCTACGGCTAGGGACTTCATGGCGGCGACGGCCATATGGATGTGCGTCAGCATAACCTTGTAGCATCGTGTAAACCGGTTTGAGTAGGCATATTGTTTGACGCGAGGAAGAAAGCTCTTATTGTCCAGGCTGTCCAGGTTTGTGACCCGCCACACCGTGTAGCCGTTACATGGTAGCGACTGGAGTTGCCCCGAGAGATGAGGACGTTCACCGAAGCCGCTGCGAACGTGGGTTCCCCTCTAAAGGTGCGTGTGCAGCTAGCTGGCTGCCTGCCTCCAAGATGCCTCCAAGACGCAACTCCGGATGCCCCTTCCAACGCGTTGTGGCCAGGAATGGCTCTCGGCTGGCTCTCGGACCTCAATCATCCAGGACCTACTATCCTAGTACGGTGCTGCATCGCTGACCGCCGGTATCGGACGCAACGCCTCTGGGACCTTGCACAACGTCTCTCCACCGGCATCACGACGAGAGCCACGACTTGGGTTGCGACGAGTTCGACTTAATCGCAAGACGAGTCACCAAGAGCAAAGAGTTTTGTTCGGGACCTGCACTTTTCGCAGATAATGCAACGGATCATTTGCGGTTAGGTTGACTATGAAAACCATTTCGATGGGACTCGGTTCAGACGCCAGAATCGGGACATTCAACGCTACACAAACGATTCCCTGGTCGCCATGGTATCAGCGATAACGAAACCCCCAAACAGGCATTGCTGCGGGTGTTTTCAAATTGATGCAATCAAATTACGAGGCTCCGGCGTCCACAACGCAGCCTACCACCTCGTCGACCACCACTTCATCAATTCTTCCAACTCCGACGGCGGTTGCGGATCGTTCTCTGCGTACGTTTGTTAATCACACTGATGTTAGGATGTGGTGTAGGTTTAATTTGGTGTTAGTTTGTTTATTCCGACTTTGTCGATGGTGACGTGGACACGTCGGCATGAAACTCGTTCGCGCGAAAAGCAACAGAGTGGGCGATCGGCCCGTTGGGTGGCATCCAGATAGGCGGCGTATGTCTACATAGCTACGTACTCGGGGTCATCGGGGACCGAGGACGGTGGCCAACGGACAACCATACTGGACAATCCATGCACTTTGGTCCCCCGGACCTCAATTTCCGTTTCTCGGCACCGGTACGTCCGTCTGACGATCCGGGAAGGCGCGTGCATCTGAAAACACGCACCTGCGGACCGTTAACCTGCTGGAGTTTCGCAGCAAAGACACGGCGACTCAAGTATGATTGCCGATATCAACCGGAACGTTCCAGTCGAGGGGGTGTCGCTTCGAACAAGCGCTGAGTTGGAAGCTAAGAAGAGGACGGAATGGTGCTTGCGCGTTGAGGCATTTCCACCGCAACGCTTTTCGTCGAGAATAAGACCGATTCGGTCGTTTTGCAAGATTGAAATAATTATGCCTCGACGCGGCACGCGGATCAATCTTCTGTCCGTTGTGGACTGGTTGTCGGGCCCAAAGAAGCCCCAATCTGTGCGTCGATCTACGCAATGCCAGCTGGAAACTGCAACCCGGCCAAACATGAGAGAACAAGCGTCTGTCGCTCGGGCTAAGCCGGAAGCAGATCTTAGACGGCAAGAAGCGATTCTCGCACAATGAGCGGACGACGAAAGAAGCAGATGAGCGCAGAATGTCGATACTGAAACAGTTACTCAAGCTCAAGACGGAAGTGATGAAGCCAAAGATACTCAGTCTGAATCATCGTCAGTTTGATGGAACGGCCACGGAATCGTGGTACGATGACCCAGTAACGCGCCATCTGGAGTCAAAGAGAAGGTTCCCTGATGTCGTCGCCCGAGGCCTCTCGGAGAAACGGGCATCTGCGCAAACCTATTACCAGTCACTTGTCAACGCTAAGGACTTCTCATTGGGCCACGGCATCCGACCTGCTCATTATGCCCAATTAACGGAATCGATTCCCCAAGACCTTCAAGACATCATAAATGATGCGTTTCGACTGGGCAGGCGTGTGAGCCTATACTGTTTTACTGACGGTTTCCTGACGAAAGGCTCCAGTAGAGGCAGCTCTAGCGTGCGGTTAAGAAGAAAACCCGGAGCTGCAAAGCGGCGTTGAGGTGTGACTGGTGATCGGTTTGTGCAGAAACCCCATCTATCGGAGGGGCTTTTGGGGCGTCTGCATAAATCCATCACTCGTCAGCGCCATGGACTTCTTGTTGGGCCTGCGGTATCGAACATGTTCAGTATGCCCGACGCACACGGAGGCGATTGATGGTTTCCTCACATCTGGATGGGGAAGCACAGCTCGGTTCGCCACCTGCTATCCGATCCCGGTCCAATTGGAATAAGGGCGCCACCAAGCTCCCCAACTGGCGATTCCTGCAAGAAGCCTCAAGAAGCCGACGTGGAAGGCTTGTCATCATTGGAGGTGTTGAACGTGATTCAAGGGTCAATGCTGGCTTTGAAAATGTGGACGGCGAAAGGCATCCCCGACTTGATGCTGTATGCGGTGACGACCACTGAGCTGTACGAAGCGTGCGAGGGAATCGCCCATGGTAAGTAATGTGTTTTTTTCCGGTATCGAGAATTGACAAGTTCACTTACATTGATCACCAGTGACACTACGGGAACGGGCAAAAAGCATCAATCCAGATATGTTTCACTCCTGTACTGCTACCCAAGGCATACAAACGGGAACAACCAACCCGTTCACTAACGGCGATTGCCGTATCGGGAATCTGGCCGCGAGCAAGAAGTGCATCGGCTTCGTATGGAGGGTAGCGCCGGAGGTGGGATACACCTCCGAGGTTGGCCCCCGGTCCGTCTTCCCACTGACTGTGGCAAGCGCCTGGCATGCCGCTCGGCACTGCCACCCCCACACCATCACCACTACGCATATGGGAATAGGGCCAGAGAATGTCCTACGCAGTCTTGGACGCGGTGAAGCTGTACGGTGATGCAAACATCTTCACCGCAAACACCGCTATCACAATCCTGGTGGAAGATCGCGCTCTGCAAACTCAAGAGTCACCTGTTAGCTGGCCTTGCAATTGGGACGCTGTCTCGCGATTCAACATCCTCAAGCATGCCTGCGATGGGAGTGGCAGGACGACACTTGAGGAGGCCACGAAGCTGTACGCATTACAGCCAGCCGTAGGGCACCCATTTGAAGCTCAGAGACTTGTGATCACCTTCCAGGAGGAAGAGGATGCGCTGCTAAATGCTCACTAGACGGAGCTAGATGTAGCGTAGCGTATGTTATCGTTTTTATTAGATACATCTTCCCAATGTTGAAAAGTTGCACCGCACTCCTCGCACTCGGCCTCGCACTCCGACATGCTTGTGTGACTCTCCGCGTTGCGAGATCGCCCATTTCCAGTTTCCGCTCGTCGTTCTCCCAGAAGCGTCTTGCACAAGTGAAGGGCATCTCCGTATGAAAGCATGACCGTCGCAGCACCCCCTACGCCCGCAAATAAACCACTGACCGCCGCCGTGGCGGCTTCTGTCGACCGGCTACGCAAGATGCAAGCTGCGGTATGTACATGTCCAACCCGCGACCTGTGTCCTTGCCGTTCCATGTCTCCCAGCTTACACTCCATATTTTTACTTCCTTGATGCTTTTACAGGAACCAGAGGAGGCAATGACGTACGTATATTCTTTCACCATAGTCACCGTCGGGAGGGTATAGTGCTCATGTCCTATGTTTTTCCTACACAGCATTATAGTGATACAGGTGCGAACGACGATGGGACTTGGACGAAGGGTTCCGCGTGGGAGACTGCTGACTGCAACCGCTCGATTGGGCTACGGGAATAGGCATTATTGGAGGATATGAAGCAGAGCAGTGGTGCGTGAGGAAGTGGGGAGGAGGGTGGCAAGTTGTCGAGGAATGCGGAATGCGTGAGACACACGGTTTGACCACCTGATCGAATCGAAATCCAGCGTCCTCCACGTCGGAATTCATACAGCAAGCGCAAAAGGCCAGTAAAGCGCTTGAGAAGCTCCCTTACAACCAGCCATCCATGATCGCCGGTACGGCCATCTTCAAACACATATTAGAAGCACAACGGCAGGATGACAAGGTAGAGCGAAGGAACTGCCTTTGGTAAACCATAATCCGTCCCGGGCTGACCCATGATCCCCCAAAGGGCTTCGACGACTGGAAACGCTCCATCTTTAGAGTCTACGACCAACAAATCGCCCGTTACAAAACGTTTCGCGAACGGGCTGCATGCTACGGCTTGCCCTTTGTGAAAGACGACGCGGTCATCCTGCTGCATTCGTTCTCCAGGACTGTTATGGTCCTGCTGCAAAAGGCGAAACTGGCGAATAGGAGGTTCAAGGTGTTTGTGACGGAGACTAGGGGGACAACTAATGGGTATGGTTAACTGATCTGAGGGAATTCGCTCTTTGCGAAACAAAGCGGGGCTGCGTTTTGCATATTTTGGGACACAGTGGTCTGACGGCAATATCCCTCGCCCGCAGGTCCTCGGTTGTGGAAGAGCTAAGCAAACACAACATTCCCGTGGAACTGATCTTGGACGCCGCCGTCGGCTCCATCATCAACCGCGTCGACATGGTTATCGTTGGCGCTGAAGGGGTAACGCAAACCGGTGGGCTCATCAACAGGGTAAGTTTTGTTTCGTGCAGCGGCCTTTGGGGCGTCCCTCAGTCTTTTTGCGGATTTGGAAGTAACAATATCATACCCAATAACACTTCCGCCTTTTTCCACGCGTAGATCGGAACATACCAAATCGCGATAGTCGCACAGGCAGCCAACAAGCCCTTCTATGTCGTAGCAGAACAGTACGCCACGCACATCATTTTTGCTCTTCCCCTCCAATGCTCTCATCCCATTCATTTTGCCCTTCTCTCCAATTCAGATACAAATTCGTCAAACTCTGCCCACTATCCCAAACAGACCTTCCCATCCCTTCCTCCGAATTTTACAAGTTGACGTCAAAAGATTCCTTCGTAAGTTCCTCCCTTCCTTTCCAATCCTCTCCCCCAAACCCACCCTAACCCCCACCTCGACCCATTTCTAGACGGACCGCACACCGCACACCGGCCACCCCGCAATCGACTACACGCCCCCGCAGTACATCCACCTGTTCTTTACAAATGTTGGTGTGCTTACGCCTGCTGGCGCTAGTGAGGAGCTAATGAAGTTTTATATGCCGTAGTAACCCCATGTGTTGGCAGAGTAGATGTAGCGCAGTCGGCAGACGTGTGGATAGTGTAGAGGCGGGTTGAGCTCAGCCTCCCAGGCATCCGATGTGTCGCTCAACCTCCGTCCATCCCGGAATACGATATCTATCGGATCTATCGTGGTTTCCCGTTTACGTGCCGACTCGCTAACACGCGGAAATGCTTGTCGCGTGACTTTTCCGCGTTGTGATGCCGCACTTCAGAAAGCTCCCCTCGGCCAAGTCGTCGTTCGCCTTCCTTTCCTGCGAAACATAACCCCATTGCTCACATACTTCTCATACTAGCCCCTCTCGACGGGAGAACAGGCGGTCGCTCTCCAGCTTCAGCAGCAGCATAGGTTGGTACCAACGCTCAGATCTTGTCTTATCGCTCCCCCACCCTCGTTCTATTTTTCTCAGACGATCTCCGGCTTTTCTCCCACCCAAATGCACAGACATAGTCTCAGCCTCCCAGCATAATGACCACAAAGCAACCGGAAGTCGCCGACGATGACCTCGACTCGTATCTCGATGGTTAGTTGGGAGGAAGAGGATATACTCCACAACTGGGGGATGGGTGCCGATGGATGTTGAAGACTTCCATTTTCCCACACCCATCTCACGCTGTCCCTTCCGCCGTATAGATGTCCTCGACGACTTCTCAGCCCCCGTCGCACCACCATCCAGCACTCAGACGACAGGCACCGGATCCATCCCAGCAGCAGACCCAACACTCGACAGCGACTTCACCCGCCAACTAGCGCTGAACATGGAAGAGCTCTTCAAAGAGAGTCTAGCTGGAGACGACACCGGTGCAGATACTGAGGGGATCAATGCGGCCATGACGCAGCTTTTGGATACGTTTAAGGAATTGCAGGCGCCGGGTGGTGGGCCGTCGCCTTTGGATGCGTTGTTGGCTTCGGCGGCGGCGGCGGGGTCGGAACCGCCAACTGCGGCGTCAGCGAGACAGGCACCTGCGAAAGCATCGTCGCAAGCACCAGCAGCAGCAGCAGCAGCAGCATCACAAACAAAAACCATCATCCCACCGTCAGCGTCATCGACAACAACAACAACAACAACAACAACATCCAACCCCAACCCCAAATCATTCCACGATGCCGTATCCCAAACCATGAACAAACTACGTACGAGTTCCGACAAGGTAGAGGCAGAGGTTGCCGAAAGCGCCAAGCTAGCGGCTCTGACAGGCGGCCTCGTCGGTGACGACGCGGCAATGGAGCAGATGATGAAGGAGCTTGAAGGCCTCATGAGCTCCGGGGATTTCGATAACGTGTTTGGCGGGTTGATGGATCAGTTAATGTCGAAGGAGTTGTTGCATGAGCCGATGAGGGATTTGGCTGCGAGAGTAAGTATTCTCGGGAATCTTGGTGTTTTGGGTAGGAGACTCATCATTCTTTTACGTTGCTTGCAATGTAGTACCCGCCATGGCTATCAGCCAACGAAAGCACGCTCTCCACCGCCGAGATCGAAAAGTACAAACAGCAACACGCCTACGTCCTCGAGATTGTAAAGATATACGACGCATCGACGTCCACGGAGGGAACGCCGGATGAACAGAAACGCGTTGCTGAGCTTATGCAGAAGGTTCGCGCCCCCAACCCCACCTATCGACATGCGCCATAGTCACCGCTCACGTCTAATCCGCTTCTCTATCCTCAACCAGATGCAAGAATCAGGCAGCCCCCCCAACGAGATCCTCCAAGAACTCGCTCCAGGTCTCGAGCTCGGGCCAGACGGGACCCCCAAATTGGGCGGGCTCGGGGGGTTAGGCGGTGTGCCTGGCCAGGAATGTAGTATCATGTAGCGGTGTGGGGGTAACTAGTGTGGTGATTATGTAGGCGATGCAGATTCTCAGCTTTTATGGTAGCCTGCACCGGTTGTCTTGATGCCCTCACGTTGCTGCTACGGTGTTGTTTTTTGTTCTGTATACCAAAATTTTAGATAGACTGATTTTAGTCGGAAATAGCATCGCAACGTAAGTGTTGCCTCCAATCGATTCTATATGGTAACTTCACAAAGCCCATTCGTTCTTCAGTACATAGAAAAAAGACTCAGGAAACCAAACCAACAAAGAATGAACCAACGTTGCGAAATCAATAAATAGAAAAACATAATATAGTCTAACGTAAGGTGAGCCCCCCCGTAGAGAGAGAGGCGAGAGTCAGATGGGGAAGCGGGTCCATATTTGTTTCTGTGACAGAAACCCGGCCTATGCTACGGGAAGACCGACCCTAGCCTGGCGCTATGAGGTTGTGGGCCGAATCGGGGTATCCAAATGTCATGGAGATGCCGGTTTATGCAGCATTGGATGATTTGCATTGATGATGCTATGTGTGTGGATGGGTGGGTTGGGTGAAGGGGGAACGTGAGCTGGGATGGCGCTTCAAATGTCGTCAACGATGGCGCGTGCGGGACGGCCCTCATAGCAGATACGGTAGACGGTTGTGAAGAACGGGAAGCTGAACACAAAAGAAAACACATTTAGCCATCAGAATTCTCCAAACGCATTTGGCGGAGGAAAGAAGACGGTTACGTACTCAACGACCATATGCTTGGCCTTAAGGATATGGTGCACTTCGAGGGCGGTGAGGGTTCCTTGGAGTTTTTGTCCGTTGAGCATCTCTTGTTCGAGGACTTCGAAGGATTTGCCGGTTGTTACGTGGGCTTCTGCTACGCGGCGCTGTGAGGAGGGGACGATAAATGTCAGTTTGCTTTGCAAAGGGCCTAGCAAAGAGGAAGCCATCCCACGACCACTCACATTCCTCCCACCGAAACAAGTAGTAATAACATCCGCAACCCCACAACTCTCAAAATACGTCTCGTCCCTGACACCTTTATAGAACGTCTGCGAGAACTTCTTCATCTCCATCAACCCGATCCGGATGATGGCCGCTTTGGTGTTTTCGCCCATCTTGAGGCCGTCGACGAGCCCGGCGCCGATGGCTACGACGTTTTTGAGCGCACCGCAGAGCTCGACGCCCGCGACGTCGTCGACGATTGCGACGCGGAAGTAGGGGGAGTTGAGCACTTTGCGGAAAGCTTCGCCGTTTTGCCGGTTTGTGCAGCCTGGAATTCGGGTGGTCAAAAGAGTCAGAAAACAGCCTTTTTGGGCAGCACTCTTCCTACGGTTATCGTTGGGGCGCGCCCACGTCACTCAGCACAGAGATAAAACATACCGATAGTACTCTCACAAAAGTTCTCCTCAGCAACTTCCGAAGCAATATTCGCGCCCATCAAAACACTAACATCAATCTCCAAATGATCCTTAATCAAATCCGAAATCAAATGCAACCCTCCCTTCGAAATATCCACGCCCTTAATCAATGAAATCGCCCTCGCCTCCGGGTGGATATTCCCCTTCAATTGTTCGCATACGCCTTTAACGAACTGATGCGGGATGACGAAGATGAGGAGTGTGGCGTCTTTCACCGCGTCGAGGAGTTGGGGCACGGCGACGACGTTCTCGGGGAGTTGGATGCCGGGGAGGTATTTGACGTTTTCGTGGCGGGAATTGATGATGTCGGTGAGACGCTGGCCTTCGACGATCTCTTCGAAGACCCACATGCGGACTTCGGAGTCATAGGCGGAGTGCTTGGTGACGTTGCGGCCGACGATTTTGGCAATGGCCGAGCCCCTGGGGAAAACGAGGCATGTGGGTTAATTCGGCGGAAAACGGGGAGCGTTTCGGCAGCGCCATTGGCAGACGCAACCGCGAAACCATCCTTTTACGCTCATACTTACCAGTTGCCCGACCCTATCAGGCAAACCTTCTCTTTTGTGATGTTGGTCATGTTTCGTGTTTGTGTCGACTGCAATTTGGATGGAGTGAGGGCGGTGCACTGTGGTGAAATTCCCCAAAAAAGCGAGGTTGAAAAACGTGGTGACGCGAGCGAATATAAGAGCCCAGGTGACAACGACGGAGAGCGGTGGCGGCTACCTATGAGTGTGTATACAGTGCTTGCAATGAGTAACCAGAGCCAGAATGTATCTGCGATGTGAAGTGAACGTGCGAAGAGACCAAACGGTATTTCCGCGGTCCAAGAAAAATCTCGTGTTTGTCAAGGCTGCTCTCTCGCCAACAACCTGTGGAATCACGACGACGATATGATGCAACGCTCTTCTGGCAGCATGAGATATAGAAGAAGTTCTACACTCGGGCTTGCCCCCGGTAACCATAACAGCCACAATCCACCGCATGGTAAGCGCCGAGCCAAAGGCCCAACAATGGCCGCGCAAGGGAAGCTCCGGTATACAAACATTCAAACAGGAGCCGCGCAAAAAAGTAGAATCCCAGCGGAAATGGCCCAAAATACTCACTTTGGATACCCACGCACGCCGTGCCCACGAGGGTAGAGTTACGCTTAACGGTTGAGAGGTGAAGCGCACGAATGAGGGTTGCGCGAGTGGTGGGGATAAGCTGCTGGGTACCGAAGGTCGCCAGAGAGCGAAATACGGGATTCATGGTCACAGAGCGAGGCTTGCTGGCGTTTTGAGGTTTCGAAAAAAGTCCTCTGGTCGTTGTATGGAACTGTGTGTCGAGACTCGAGATCGATGGGGAGGACACAGGGGCTTGCGGCAAGGTCCGGATGCGAGCGTAATGATAAGATCTGATGGGCTTCAATCTCTCGATAGACCCTGGGCTACCGTCCAAGTTGTCCGTCCGTCTAGAACCGTTATGGTTTCGATGTGCGCCTGATGTGCGCAGACGCTCCGCCAACGCGATGTTCGCCAGGCCATTTGTCCCCGGTGGACTGACTGAGGCGCCTTTTGGCATGGACCAGCTTCTCGCTTCAACACGATCGAATCCTCCTCTCAGGAACACCGTCTACTAGTTATGAGCACCACCCCACCGTCCGGGTTCCAACTGGGAACGTACCGCGGGACAGTGTCCTGAAGAGCCGAAGAGAGCCACGTTTCAGAAAAAGCGCCGTCCCCATCCTGCAGAACGAAAACATTGAAGCTCTTGAGAAATAGATTTCGGGCAACGGAGGGGGTCTGCAAAGATCATCGGCGCCCCCATTTCAAGCGTACCACGAGAGACAGAGGCTCTTGCTGTGCGGCATGCATGCAATAAAATCATCCAGACGCTCTTGACCAACAGAGACGGGGTCAAAATTTGTACTTTTACTTTGCGAAGCTGTTTCCGGCATTTCCGCTGCGATCCTATTTGGTGGCCTCGCAGTCGAGGCTGAAAGAACGGGTGGAACAAGGGATACGTTTAGGTCGTGAATTACTTTTTCTTGGGCGGGTACCAGGGGGTATGAACTGATAGATGGGAAAGGACTGGATTACTGATTTGTGCACGTATTATCCGACTTTGATTGAAGGAACGGCGCCGTTATCGAAAGGGCTGCGAGAACGTATTCATGTCATGCTCCAAGAATCTCATTAAAGTCATAAAGCAGCCAAAGTGTACAAAATAGTGAAGGAAGTGTACAAAATAGTGACGAAAAAAGTGTCCAAGGAATGTGGGTATGATAGGATGAGAAGCCCCAAAGAGAGGAAATAAAGCAGAACAAAAATAAGCACTATCCACATGCGTCGGGTGCACACAGAAGTCAAAACCAAGTCCGTAAGTAAAGAGTGTCTTCCAAGTCCGACCAACCCTACTCCATCTTATGCAACATCTGCTGTGACACCAGATCCGCATACAACCCTTGCCTCTGCACAAGCTCTTCATGCGTGCCGCTCTCGGCAACGCGTCCATTCTTGACGACATAGATACAGTCCGCGTTCTGGATGGTTGAGAGACGGTGGGCAATGACGACAGTGGTGCGGCCTTTTGCGGCGGCGTCGAGGGCTTCTTGGACGACTTTTTCGGATTCGGAGTCGAGCGCGGAGGTCGCTTCGTCGAGGAGCAGGAGCTTTGGGTGGCGGATGAGGGCGCGGGCTATGGCGATGCGCTGGAGGAGGAGGGAGGAATTTGGTATTTGCTTGTATCGGAACTTGAAAGAGAAACAGACAACACGGGACATACCTGCTTCTGCCCCCCTGAGAGCTGCCCACCCTTTTCTCCCACAAGCGTATCATACCCCTGAGGCAACGACGCAACGAAATCATGAATATTCGCTTGACGCGCCGCAGCCTCGATCTCCTCCGAAGTAGCAACGCCCCCGATCGCGCCGTACGCGATATTCTCCCTGATCGACAGATCGAACAGCACGGGCTCTTGTCCGACCAGCGCCATCTGCTCGCGGAGGTAGGTCGTGTTCCATTCACGGACATCGAGGCCGTCGAGATCGGCGTGTCCGGATGCGACATCGTACCAGCGCTCGAGTAAACCCAGGACTGTGGATTTTCCACACCCAGAGTGCCCTACAAGCGCGACGGTCTTGCCGACATCGGCGCGCACGTTCAAACCACGAAGCACCTTGGTGTCCGGACGCGTCGGGTACACAAAGTGTGCGTCGGTGGTAGACGGCAGACCACGCGTATCCGAGGGCCGCTGTCCAGAGGTAAGCGTGGCGTCAATTTTGGAGTGGCGGTCAAGGATATCAAGCACGGCAATCGCAGCGAGTTTCGCTTTCGAGGCGTCGGGCGCAAAATTGGAGAGCTGACCGGCGGCCATGGCGGAGAAGATGATCGCAAACATGGCGCGGAGAACCGTGCTGGCGCTATAAGTTCCCCACAAGATCAGACGGGCTCCGTAGAAGAAGGCGAGGGCGTAGGTTAAGAACACGGTACTCTCAGCACTAGCGAATCCAACGGCGCTCACAAAGGCGCCGTTGATGACCATCTTGTGCGGCACCTCGACCAGCTTGGCGTATTTGTCAACGAAGGCTTGCTCCTGGGTCAGAGTCTGCACGGTGCGGACGCACTCAATGGCTTCATTTGCGGTCTGGTTGGCGGAGATGTACGCCTTACGAGATTTCTGGCCAAAACCAGTCAGCGAGCGTAGTTGGAGGTAACCTCCACCGGCAATGATGGGCACACAGGCGAGGACGACGAGGGTGATTTGCCAGCTGGATGCAAAGGCGATGGTGAGGCCGACAGCGAAGTTCGAAATCAGACTGGAGAAATTGGGAGCGGCAAGATGTTCGTGTATCAGTGACGGACTCGCAAAATGCCACGCTGCATGTAGGGAACATACCCGACGATCTGCGCGAATGTCGCTCCAGTCAGACCCTGCACAAGAGTCGCATCCTCAGCCAATTTTGCGGTCAAGGCACCCGTGTTATTATCCTCCTCATCAAAGAACCCAATCTCCTGCTTCACCAAGGACTGGAACGACATCATCCTCAACCGGGTGGTCAGCTTATCGCCGGCAATGCGCAAAAGTCCAAACTGCAAAAAGTACGCGACGAACGCCGCGATGGCCAACAGCAAAAAGTACAGGGCGTATCGATTGGCTTGGCGTTCCATCTCGTCCAGATCCTGGATTCCAAAGACGCGGAGGATGTTCGTGAAGATGACCGAGAACACCGGCATGACGGCGCCCGTTCCGCACGCTGCTACAATGCCGATCCACATGTACCAGAACTCGGGCCGGTTGAAGCGAAGGATGCGCCAGAGATCGACTTTGCGTTTGAGGAGGTCGGCTTTACGCTTTTCCTCCTCTTCTTCCTGCTCCTCTTTTGTCTTCCTGACCAGCGAGTTTTGGCGCTTGATGGACGAGTTCCTTCGTGCAACGGCTGCAAGGCTCTCCTTGCGAGTGGGCTTGGCAGGCGCTCCGGTAGGGTCAACTTCAACAATGTCGATGGTCGCCGGGGCGTCTCCGAGAGACTTGCGTGGCTCTTCCGCAACGGCCGGGATTTCCTCGACTTCTCCGAGCGCAGGCAGGTCCTCGGCAGAAGCGCTGGGAGAGTCCGCCGAGCGGCCCCTCAATCTCTGCGCATCGACCAGACCGCGGTACACACCGTCCTTGGCGTACAATTCATCGTGCGTTCCCGTCTCGACAATGACTCCTCTGCTCATGACGACAATCATGTCGGCGTTCTTGATAGTCGACAAACGGTGGGCAATCACAATGGTCGTGCGCCCGGTTGCGGCTGTCTCCAAGGCAGCTTGCACGAGGCGCTCGGACTCGGTGTCGAGTGCAGATGTCGCTTCGTCGAGCAGTAAAATTCGTGGATCCCTGATAACCACACGTGCAATGGCGATGCGCTAGGTGGGTAGAAGATTGTACGGTATGTTAGGTCTGGGGTGTCCGGACATAACCAGCACACAAGTAAACCACGAGTTAATCTGATACACATACCTGCTTCTGTCCTCCACTGAGCATACCTCCAGCCTACGGGGAAATCCAAGTTAATACGTGGGCAAAAAACGGGAAAATTTGAACCCGGTGTATTACCTCGCCGACAGAGGTGTGCACGCCTTGCGGGAGGTTCTGAATGAATCCCCACGCATTGGCAGCGCGACACGCCTTCTCGACCATCTGGTCAAGCTCCGCTTCGCTGAACTTGGCAGGATCGACGCTGAGACCATATAGGATGTTGGACCTGATCGATGTGTCGAACAACGTGGGCTCTTGAGAAACGATGCCGATCTGGCGACGGAGCCAGCCGACATTCAGGGAGGAGATGTCGCGTCCGTCGAGGGTCACGGAGCCGGCGATGGGGTTGTAGAATCGTTCAACGAGCTTGACGATCGTGCTCTTGCCTGAACCGGAGGCACCGACGAGAGCGACCGTGGTTCCGGCCTTGATGTTCAGGGAGAAGTCCTTCAAAATTGGAACATCGGGGCGAGATGGGTAGTGGAACGACACGCCCTTGAATACGATGTCTCCATCTACATGGTCAGGACGTTCACCGTTGGGAGAGGAGGCATCGATCGGAGAGTTGCGCTCGATTGTTCCAAAGACGTGGTAAGCGGCGCCTTGGGCACTCGCGAGGGCACCGAAGAAAGGAACGGCCTGTCCAAGAGAGAAGGCTCCGATGATCAAGGCGAAGAAGCAATTCAGAACCTCCTCGCCCGTCAATAAACCCTGCTTGATCCCACGGGCCCCGTACCAGAAAGCCATCGAGTACACGCAGAAGACGATGAGCTGCACAAGAGCGATGCCCCCTGCGCTCGAGACGCTCTTCTTGATTGCCTCCTTCTCGGCTTTAACGAGCAACATGTCGTAGCGTTCGACCGCACGCTTCTCTCCTCCAAAGGAGACAACCGTCCGAATGCCGGACAGCACTTGCTGCGCGACGCCGCCAGCAGCAGCGTATGCAGTGTTGCCGCTAGCGGAGGATTCGTTTAGCGCTCTGGCCATGAGGCCTGCGGCACCCATGATGAGTGGCAAGCAGGCAGTGAGGACCAGGGCCAGCCGCCATGACTTGAAGTACGCGATGACAAACCCCGACAGGAAGGTAACGCAGAACTGAATGATCAGGCCAACTTTGTCACTGAGACCTTCCTGAATCAGTGCAGTGTCGGAAGTGATGCGGGTCGTCAATTCACCGGTATTAGTCGCATCAAACCAGCCGACGTCTTGCCTCAACAGCGCCTTGAAATACAGCTCGCGGATACGGCGTGCTTGGTTCTCTCCGGCAATGAGGAAGAAAGTCATTTGTGCGTAGGCACAGATGAAGAGCGCCACGGCGAGAATCACAAAGTAGACGGCGCCTCTGCGCGATTGATCATCTAAGTGATCGACAGTTGCGGGCATAGAAGGATCGAACCTAAAGTAAGCTCCTGTGATGTCGGCTTTAGATGAAAAGAGACGGAACCAGTCGTTTAGTATGCGTCTCAAAAACGGTGAAGCCTTCACGTTGACGTGAATGATACATACAGAAGATGATAGTCTAAGGAAGTTCAAAAAGAGGTACGGGAGAAAACGTCAGTATACAGAGATTCAGACTGCGTGCATATGCAGCTCTACTCACCATTAACGGCATGCCGAGGCCGTGTCCTACAGCACCCAGAACGCCAAAGAAGACTAGAAGCTTATCCTGGAATGTCGCATACTTGTACAGCTCAAAGTAGCCAATTTTTGGCTTCGGCTCTTCCTTTGGTTTTTCCTTTTGGCTTTTGCTCTTTGAGAAGAGCTTTGAAAACAAACCCCTTTTTTCCGCCTTATTAGTGGCGGTCGGCGAAATGGCAACTTTTTCAACCTCCGCGTCAACGTTTCCCGCCGTGACGGTGGGCACGGTGTTGTGCTTTTCGGGCATCTCAATGGTCTCGTATGTTGATGCCGCGGACATTGTAGCGGTGGGACTCGTGGGCGTAGTGGTGGTGAGCGTTGGAAAGTCCGCTGGGGAAACGGAGGTCTTGTGCTCCGTTGGCGTGAAGACACTCTCTTTGTATATGGAGGAAACTAGCTGCGCTCTTAGCTTGCTTCTTAGATCTAGGCAGTTGACAACAAACAGAACTCCGAATGAGTTTCCGAATGCGGAGGGGGCCGGGTTCCCTTTTATTTTATATATTTGCCGGCGGAGGTCGCTGGTTCCCCTGAACCTGAATTTGAAGAAGGGCTTACTTCTCAACGTGTCTCCCCTTGCGTCTTTACTCCCACGCCGTGGAGCAACAACAACCCACAATTTTTGTCTTGTTGGCAGCAGGCCGAGTGGCACTTCCGATTTTTCATCGGATTCCACTTCCACAATCCGTTTGGCCTCGTCGTGGCAGGTGGAATGTGGGCCAGTTGGGCTGCGCTTTACCCTCTTTCTTTTGTTCTTTTCTGCTTGACCGAGATCCGAACGCGAGCGGAAGATCACGGACATCAAGATCTGATAACAAATTAAAGTTTCCGTTCGATGCACATGCGCGCGCGCAGGATGTCCGAACTCCGGCCGCCTCCGAAACAATCCGACGCGGTGTCCGCAAATGGAAAGGGTCGCGTCTCCTTGGCAACTTTGCGATTCGTGAGCACCCTGATGAACGCAGGGTCGCAGAGATGGATGCTGAACGGCGAGTGGTGGTTATGAAAGTGGGCGGCGGTACGACGAAGCAAGGTCGAAGCATGCTGGCCAAGACGGCATAGTGATGTTCTTCTAGCCTCGTCTACAAGTGTCTTTCCGACGCACGCTTGACGATGTCTTCATAGTCAGAGTTACACTCTGGATCTTATAAAACAGAGGCTTCCGTTCCTTGACAGGTCGGATTCCAGCTATTTGACGTTGTCCTTTGTCGTATTGGCAGGCGCTCTTCTCTGGACCTTTAGCAGTCCTCGCAGATGTACAGCGAATGTTCGGCATGAAAAGGATGGTGCGTCTTAAACAACAGTCTCCCACGAACGTTATTGAAGTTCATCTCAGCTTGGGCGCACGAGGGCATGACAAGAAAGAAGATCCCCATGGATACGCAGGAACGGGGCTCTAGCATACTACCAAACTACATACATGATATAGACACAATCCAAACTCTCAGCCAGGAAGAACAGCTACGCCTGGGTACCATCCGCCAGCTTCACAACCACCCGACCATCTCCCTCACCCCACAAGCGACTCTCGTCAAGCGCCCGACAGCCTCCGCAAAAGCATCCTTGTCATTCACATCAACAACATCCCCGCCAAGCTCAACCCACATCTCCGTCACGGATTTATCTTCGCACGTCTGCCGAGCGATTTTCACGCGGTATCCCTTCACCGTATTGATGTATGTGACCATGTGCTGATGAATGACGCTCATGAGGGGGACGTAGCGGGAGGTGGGGTTGGTTGAGTTGCCGGCGAGGATGCTTTTCGTTGCGTCTAGAAGGTCGGGGGAGGGCTTGGGGATGGGAATTTGGGAGGCGGCGTATATGCGGATGCCTGAAGGGTTGGTTGCGGCGGCGGGTGGTGTGTTCTCCATCGTGTGTTCTCCATCGTCGTCGCAGTAGGGTTGACTGGTGACGGGATGAGATCCAGACAAAAATGCTTTCCCATGATTCTTTTGGCGCTCAATCGCACGTCCTGCCTCGGCGGCTCCATGTCGTCTTTGCACGCAACTCGGATCTGCGGAACCCGTAGATCGCCGTGCAAGTCGACGAGAATAGCATACGATTTCCTTGTATCCTTGTACATCCTAAAAAATCCCTCCTCGTTCTCGAAACACTGCATCAACCGGGTAATCTCATCCTCACTGTATTCCCTAGCTTCGAACCAAGTACCCCAGCCCCGTGTCTTTCTAGCACTTACTATTGTCGCCGGACCGTCATTGCCTCGGTGGACTAGGCGACCGAATGAAGCCCACAGCTCCTGCTTTTTATCCGCCCTCAAGTTTGTAAGTCCTCTTGCGCACGCGATCGTCTCCATCTTCAGCTCGGACAAATCCTCGTCATGAATCCCGCTTGGCAAGGTGAAAAACAGGCGTTTTGCGTGCGGAGCCCAGCCGTGAAATTGGCGTTCGACTTCTCGGCCCAGGGCTTGCTTGGCATCTGCGACCGCATCTGCGGTTCCTTCTATGATAATAGCTCTGCCTTTAATTTTAAAGAAAGCGGAGGTATTGCCCTGGGCGATGCTGGCTCTGACCAACTTGGACGGCGAGAGCTTGTAAATGGCCGGGATTTGCATTTGAAACTGGTCGAGACGGTTGGGTCGCTCATTTTGAGATTGTTGTTTGAGGAGAATCCCTCGTTTGCGAGGTTGGGTTGAATTCTGTCCGAGTTGGAAGCAGCTCTTCTGGAAAAAAATTAGCATCTCTTCGCTTACTTCTGCGGAAAAACAGAAATCAGCACCGAGCTCCCATTGTTTGCCACCGTGGGGGAGACGTATTGAGTGGAGAATCCAATGCCACATGTCGGTTTCATCTCCACACAGACCGGCAGGACGCGCTGTCGATTTCCGTTATTGGCTCGAAGCACTCAGAGTACGTACTCCAATGACGATGAGCTCGCACACGAAAGGAAGTGTGGTTGCGGACCCCGACATTATCCATCACCGACTCCAAGTCAGAAACGGCCATTACAGTACTACTCTCGATATGACCCAGTCGTGAGAAACTAGGAAAATGACATTGCATCAACGAATTTCAATCTTTTTTGTATGATAAAGGCACATATGAACGAGCACAGATACGTACAGTAGAAACATTTCCACTCTTGCTAGCGATAGAGAAGCATATAACGTTGACCCAAGGGGAATAAATTGGGTCGAGTGGAAGAACAAAGATTTTGGAAGGACTATCGGTGGAGGGTTCCTCATATACACCTGGCCATCCCAAGAGGTTGACCGATCCACCATACCGCCTCGGTAATTAAATTCCACATGACGCCCTCTCGCTCTCATCGACACCCTGTTCACTTCTCACTGCCCCGCCATTCCCATCCTCGACCCCCTCCCATCCGCCAGCACGAGGCACGAGGTAGAGCACTTGTTTCCAAACGGGCCTCCGTCGGCGCGTCCGGGCCACCACCCATGCGCCACACACTTCAACGACCGCACCCTGCACGCGCGACAGCACGTACTGCACAAGTGGAACGTGCAGTCTGGGTATGCGATGCCGCCGCAGGTCGAGCCCAAGGGGGTGACGACGGGCCGCCTGTCCCGCCGCGCGTAAGCGATCATAGCTTCGATGTCGCCGTCGGCGGGGCCCATGTAGAGACGTGCCCAGCAGGGGTCAGCGCGTGCTGCTGATTCCCATCTTTCTTGGCGGAGAAGGGCGTCGCGTTGGCCGTTTGTGATGTAGGGAGACTTGAGGCTGATGGTTGGAGCTGAATAGGCACGGGTAAGGGTTGTTTGTGAGACTGTATTGGGGCGACATGCTGGCTTTGGGGAGGCTGGAGGCGAAGGGGGTGTGACTTGATGAGTGTTGTATGAGGATTGTGCGTTTGGCGACGAATGTTCATTTCTGGTTTGGCCGGATGGACCAGTGTCCGATGCCAAGCTGGTGCGTTTCAAGATTGAGGTGGGTTGCGGAGGTGTCGCAAAGCCTTGGGTGTATTTATAAGGACCGTGCGAAGCCATTTTTGAAGGCTGTAGCTGCTGTTGTCGTGAAACCGCCGGCCTTGCTTGTCCCGACGGTCCTGGTTGGTTCTGATGCTTGTTTGCGAATCCAGATGCAACTTTCACTGCCGACGGACCCACTAGTCCTGGGCTCCGACCCACGTCGATACGCCGCGTTCCATTCCAGCAAAGGACAATGTTCAACGGAATATGCAGGGATATGAATCGCACGTTGAGGTATTCGTCGAGGCCCCATCCGTAATATTGAGGCTCCTGCATGGGATCGTTTGTAATCTCGTAGGCCAGGATGGCGAACGGTGTGGTTGCTTCGGTCTGGGGCCGACGGCCCTGCGTCGGTGGTTGGGTCCTCGAGACGGCGGTGTGGGTCCCATGCTTGTGTCGGAGATCGAAGTGTAGTTCGACCGGCTGGTTCCTTCCATCAGTGAAATGAACATCGGTGAAGACATTCGACAAGTGCCATATGACTGGTACATTCCGGGGGCATCTGAAGGTCAGATCGCCCTCAATGTTCACAGGTGTCAAAGCTGCAATCCTGCTGAACTCGGAGCTGTCCTGACATCCTTTTACGTCTTCTTTTGTGTTCTCCGATTCGATGTTCACAACTTTCATCAAAGGCTCCTTGTCCAGATAATCGAACGTTGTGTGGCGCGCTTCCAATGTTTGCTTGATCAAGTGCGGTACTGTTTCGTCTGAAATTTTTCTCCATGCTTTACATACACGGCGGCATCGAAGGCGGATGGTCGCGATTGGTGTTTGCCTCAAGATCAAGGCGACGATTTCCGGGACTGCCATCGCTCGCGTCATGGAGCTGCCGATCGTCCGGCCGGCCGGGATACTCTCCACGGATTTCGTTTCCATGGCTGCGAGGGTGTCTGAGCGTGCTCCTCCTTTCGAGTCGATAGAGCCTGTAGCCGGGAGTGTGAGGAGCTAACCTGCCGGACGCGTGGGAAAAAACCCTTGGGACTGGCGCGTATGTCCTGCCGATTTGACAGCTCCGAATGGGCGGGACGTTTTCGGCGGATGGATGGTATCTAGAGCAGCAGGGTTGCGCCCACAGAACAAAGGAAGGGCACAAGAAAAAAACGGAAGCCCGGTCCTGAGAGACTGCGGTTTGGAGAGCGTGGGGTCAGACGGGCGAGAAAGTAAGCCTGAGACCGAGCGAGAGCAAAGAAAGCGAGCTGTCTGAAATGGGCGACTGACAGCGCATGGCAGACTGTCAACTGCCCCGCTATGAGCTACGAGTGGGTCACGTGAAGCGCGATTAAATTCACCTATTCAATGCGCTCAACCCACGCTCAACCAGGACGCTTTGGTTGACGCCCCAGCATCAACTACTCCCTTATTCTCAGAACACAACCCCAAGATGCTTCGCCGTTTCCACTCCCTCCCTGCCCTGCGGTCCGCCATCAAACCCTCCGCCAACAAATCCCCACGCGGCGGCGGTGGCATGGCCGCCAACGAGCTCGCGGCAACTAAGAGCGCGACAACCGGCGACCAATACCATCACATTCCCGCTGGCTGGCAGCGCAACGTCCGTGACGAGCGATACTATGCTTTGGCTTGTTCTGGGGTAAGTATTCGGCTATGCACTTCCATTTTGGTCTTGGTTTGCGTATCATGTGTGTGAGAGTGATGGAGGGCAGGTTGCGGCGTTGAGAAGGAGGGTGGACGTTGGAAATCACAACAGCGATTAATGTCCTGCTTTATATCTTCATGTGCAGGACGATGGGGCTGATAAGGGATGGACGACATGGAAGTACGACCCAGAGATAACAAAACAGATCAACCAGGAGACTCAGGCAAAGGCGAAGAAGGCCTCGACATCAACGACAAAGTCAGCGGAGAAGAGCGAATCGAAAAGTGCGAGCAAGGGGGCGAAAAAGGCCTAGATGTCTCGGAGAGCGCATATGTTCTGTTCGCAACGTCATTGGAGTGTGGATTTGGAGGGTAGCGGGAATGAAATGCCGGGAGACATGGGATGGCCGGCGATGGGAGAGGATACGATTCGTGCAGGAGATACCATGTGTGAGGAAGCAGTCTTGCAATTTTGAGGAATCATATATACATACTACGCCAGGAATGGTCTGCCAACGACTAGTTCAATTGCTACACTACATTCTTCGGCGGGATTATTAAGCTGTCAGCCTGCTCTTCGAAAAGCTTGGTCTGCGCCGCTCCTCTTCGCAAAACCCTCACTGGTTTTTAGCAGCCTTGATCTTCTCCTTCCCCTTCGCAGCCACCTTCTTCACCCCCTCACTCTCGGCCTCGGCCAGTCCCGCCTGCAACAACAACGTAACCACAACAGCAACCCCCACAACCCCCTGCCAAAGCGCCAGATCATACAGTGTTTTCGCCTCCGTGTCTGCCTTCTCCCTCCTAACCCCCAGCTTGCTGATATGCGTCAGAATCGGCTGCACTTTCAGCAGATACGTGGCTGTCGCGCCGCTGAAGGTGAGGAACGACAGGAGGGATGGGATCCGCTTTTTGGAATCTACGATTGATTGAAGAAGGGCGGAGAGGAGGACGAGGGCGGCGACTGCTGCGGTGGCATACAGGAAGTTGACGGGCTGGTTGCCCAGCGTGCGGTAGAAGGTCTGTATTTGGGAGGATTAGTATAACGTTCGTGTCCACTTCGCCGCCCATGGACATAGCCGCAAGAGCATACCAAAGCTTCCTGCCTCTGCGTTGCAGTAACCCTCGACTTCAGCGTCGACGGATCGGCCCCAACGCCGACCGCATACCAGACGTGATCATAAATGGCACGCGTAAAGAGCTGTCCGCCGAGAAAGCCGAGAAGGATCGATGGGAGAATCTGACAACGAAGGGTTAGTTAAGAGTTGTTGGATGGTGAAACGAAAAGAATAACGTACGGGCATGCTTGTGAGGTGTGATGGGGTAGTTCGACGTGCGGAGATGGAATGTGCGGTTGCAGTGCGGTTTGACATGAATCTCGGAGGAGACTGCTGCACAGCCACATTGACAGTGTGGTCAATCTGCTTCAGACCTCAGATTTGAAAATTCAAAGAAGGATTCATTCATGGAAAAGGGGGTTTACTCCAAATGGTGATCGTGGAGCCATCACCGAGGGAAGGGCAAGCATACAGGGGGACGACGACGACTCGGATACAAAATATACAGGAAAGGGTAAAAGGGTTTCAAGATGTATCCTTGAAAGACCGCTATGACTCGAGAAGACCTCAAAAGGAGCGATCATGAGGCGGCAGAATCAACTACGGCGGCGGGTTCCCATTCGTCCGTAACGGCGTTATAGACTACCTCTTTGCCCGTCATCAAATTGATACGAGGTTTTGGTTCCCCGGTCCTCCATGCGATGTGGCAGGGGGTAACCGTGAATTCCTTCAGGTGTTTCAGACGCTTTCCTGCGGTTATGAAAATGTCTCTGCTAGCTGTATCCTCATCGGAGAATTTATAAGGATCCCACTCCGGATCGAAACACTCCTCGCAATCGCGCCAGGAAGTTTCATCCCCGACAATGTTGAGCCTCCTCAAGTTTGGGTAAGCCGGTTCCATGAAGAAGGCCGGGCACAAGTATCGCAGTGAGATGGCCATCCGTTTGACGTTGACCAAGTTCCGAGCTAGGACCGGGCAGAGGTGGACGGGTACTGATAGTGGGGCCCCTTGCCTGTCACGCGTGAGATCGGCTTCGCGTAAGAAGAGACCAAGGTCGGTAACGGAAGGCGGGATACTAGTGACGATAGCCGCCACGGCGCCCAGGCTGAATGTCGTATTGATGGCGCCATTCGTGAAGACGATTAGAGCGCGAAGACTCGTCATATTCTTCAGAACGATCGCGAAGTTGTAGAAGCAGTCGTTTACGAAGCTTTCCACTATATGTTGGTTTCCAGGATGATCTTCGGTGTATTTGTTTCGGATGCCCTTGATAGCCTTGTAGCGCTTCTCGTACCAGTCCCACTGCCGAAACATCATATCGCAAGTTCGTATGCACTTTGGCAGATCGCTATTCTCCGGTCGGTTGATCCACAGCAGAAATTGGTGCAGCTGAACGTCCTCGAGAATGAGGTTGGTGCAGGCCGCCCGTCTCCAGTACTGAAACCATGCTTTCGAGACATGCGGCGGAATGGAAAGACTCCTTCCAGTTTTGCTCTTCTTATACGCAGCTAGTCGAAAGATATCCTGGATCAGCTCGCCGGGAAGGTTGAGAAGCGGGTATGTCGTCGTCTCGTTGGTCTCGAGCGATTGAGGAGGCATGTCGCGATTCGCTGTCGTGACAGAAATACATAGAAGTCAGAACAGGAGTGCGTTGTTCTCCGAGTAAAGGAACCATGCACGCCTACGCACACGAAGGTGTTCTGCTACATTGGACTCACGCTATGCTGGGATTAGTTTGTGTTGTCGGGCGATCGCGAAGGGGTTGCGCGAAGGGGTTGCGCGAAGGGGTTGCGCGACAGGCCCATGTCCGAATCAAAGCGAATGGGAAACGTATTAAAATGTGGCATATTGTCACGTGTTTGCACTTTTAAATCATCCTAACTTTCACGCAATTCGATACCCCAAATTCGCGAATCTTCCCACGAACACGACCACCTTCAAAAATGTCAAGCAGAGTGGAAATAGTATCTCCAGAGGGTAAGCGTTCTCTCTCGCATAGGGCTCCCAGGCCGCCTTCGCTTTGCGGGCGGAGGATCTGCATGCGGACGTCTTGTGTGAACGAACGAACCACGCGTTGGTGCATGTTCCCACGGCAGCGCCGAACCTGCGAACTGACTATGTTCTTGCTGTAGGTCTCAGAGTGGATGGGCGCAGGCCGCTGGAGCTCAGACGGGTGCTGACGCGGATAGGGGTGTTGTCTCAGGCCGACGGTTCGGCGTATGTGGAGCAGGGGAATACGAAGGTGCTTGCTGCCGTGTATGGACCGCGAGAGGTGAGCAGACGAGACGGGGAATATGTTCCTGAAAAACGGCCTTCAGGAGGACCATACGGAGATTGGAAACGGCGCAGAAGAAACGAACTGAGCGATTTATCGTTTCCGCAGCCCGTGAAACGCTCCGGCGTACAGCACGACCGCGCCCACATGAACGTAACCTACTCCCTCTCCTCCTTCTCCTCCGGCGAGCGGCGGCAACGTGCACGGAAAGACCGGCGTCTGCTCGAAATCGGGTCGCAGATAAAGCGTACTCTCGAGTCAGTCGTCACCGTCACCGCCTACCCAAGATCCGAAATCGATGTGTATCTGCAGGTTCTGCAGACGGATGGTGGGGGGCTGCATGCTGCAATCAATGCGGCGACGCTGGCGCTGATTGATGCGGGGATACCGATGACGGATTATGTGTGTGCTTGTTCGGCGGGGTGGGTGAATAACCAGGCGATTTTGGGTAAGTGCGGACGAATGTTCGAAATCCTCGCTGAACTTTGTTTCTCATTCGTGTCATCCCGCCTCAGATCTGAACTACCTGGAAGAAGCAGCGGATGTGCCCACCCTCACAGTCGGCCTGCTACCAAAAAGCGGCAAGATCACCATGATCTCGGTAAATCCCAGCTTGCCTCCCCATCTCCTCACTTGCACCGTCACTAACCCTTCCTCCCCACCCGCATCCAGCTGGAATCCCGGCTCCACGTCGACAAGCTCGAAGCAGTAATCAACCTCGCATCCGACGGATGCCACCAGCTGAAAGAGGTCCTGGATGATGCGGTTAGGGAGTCGACGAAGAAGCTTGCGAAAACTATCTTGCAGTGATGGGATTTTGTTACGAAGAAGGGAAACGCGGACTTGGGAATGAGGGGGATGAGGGGACTGTAGACGAGGGGAGTCGGCGTCGGCGTCGGCAGAATGATGGGGCGATATGAGGGATGGGGCGAGAGTCCGTGCGCCATGGGGTTGGAAATTGGGGATTCCGAATGTATTCACGAGACGGGGCCTCTCGGCTGACTGGTCCTCATGGAGCGATTCCCATACGAGATGCTTGGACGCGGAAAGGCACATCATCGAAAGTACATTCCCACCCGGCCAGTCTTCCACGCGCAACACAAGGCATGGCGTTTCAGCGCACGAACAGATCATACCCGCGCGTCATCCGCGCCATCCGCGCTGTACGTAGCTAGCCCAGTCCATATTTGCCATCGCACCGTGCGCAAAGTCGTAGCTCATTCAGCCGACGAACGCCATGTATTTTGTACATATTTTTCATTGTATTTATCAGCAGGGGCATATTATCTCGTTGTTCTCCTCTACGGGTAACCTTGGAGGGAACATAGGTGCATAGCCTAAACAATCACACTGAGGTATCTATGATAGCCTACTCTACATTTGAAGTGATTCCCGTCTTCGTCCTCCCGCTCAAACGTGACCGTCTTCACTGCTGATCTACGCTCCACCCCTCATCCTTCCGAGCTTCAGGCACTCGTTGTCCGATTCTCCATCATCGTTTCTTTACGCTAGTCCGTACGTGTCTGAATGAAGCCTGGTCTGGCGCGATGCCCAGATGCTTCTCAGTCGATGTAAGTGATATTTTCGTATTTGATCGAGGCGGTGAGGGCCTTTTCGATTTTCATCGACTCCGCATTTACGCTCTCCATCTTGATACTCGGCGCCGGTGTGACAATTGGTTGAAGCCGCCGGTGAGAACACTGCAGCCGGTCACAACCGCCCCCGCCAGCGCGGTCAACAGCAACCGAACGCAGCAGCAGCAGCCGCCTGAGTCTCAATACCATCTAATTCTTCCATATGGTTGATACAGAACTCATACAATCTCCCCTTCGCCCTCCCATCCCCTCTCTGCGTATACGGATCATAATACGCATGATGGATCCCCACATAATCCATCACCCAAGCATGATCGCGCGGCTCAGGCCCAAACTTGTCCCGCATCTCCCAATCCCTACCCCACAGGATCCGGTCCGCCGTTTGGTCTCGATCGCGTCCTCCGACTTGCGCTAGTCACAGCCCATGTAGCGCCAGTCGTCGAACACGTTTTCGTCTCCTTCCTCCAGATTGCGCGTAGTTGGGAGACTTTTGTGCATTGTGTTTTTTATGTCGATCATAAACGAAACTTCGCAGGAACAGACGGGCTACTGCGATGATGTGAGGATGGGTTGCGGACAGACAGGAAAGATTCGGAAGTTGGATTTCGAAGGCAGTACTCATGCTTAGCATCGCCGTCCAACGCTAAAAAATTTGGGGATGCGGTGGCCGTTTACAGTGTTCCAAGTCATTCTGCCGGACCGTGGTAGCGGTGGAAATCTCATGTCTCTGTTGCGTGAGGCCAGGAAGTGGAATACTGTTAATCACGTAAGCATTTGGACTGGAAAGAGCGCTGATGGGCGCCGGGCTACCACTCTAGTAGATCTATACAGTAAGTGGCAAGAAGAAGGAACCGTTGCGCTGTTACATATCCAGGGTTGTGGCCAGGTTCAAGAGTCGCAAGCGTGGCGTAGGAATCAGCGTAGGAATGGCCGACCGAGTCCGAGAGTTACGCGTCTGCAAAACGTTTGTGATCCAGCGCTCTCTCGGACCCACGGTTGGTTTTGGAAATACTATCGAGACGCAAGCCTGATCTCCCATTCGCAGCCGGCACCTTGAAGTACAGTACATCCGTCGCCTACTACTCAAAATCGTGCGAAATATGTACTTATGGGACTTTTATCCCAATATGCGCAATACAACCAGAAGAGGGCATTCTGCGTGGGGCTCCTATCTATTACCTGAGATCGTGGCGATCCGTGGGATACCTCTCAAGCGTTTGTCTCGATTCCATTTGTGTCGGTGCATTCAGGAAGAATCTCGCAGACTGTGCCCTAATGATGTTCCGAGCTGCAATGTATGCGCAGAGCGCTTCCGGCACAAGGAAAGCAACATAAATCATGTTAATCACCGTTTCAATGGGCATTGTCGAGCCTTGACCAAGACGTTGTCCGAAAGCAAGATAGATTGCAATCAAGCATTGTGGGAATAAGGTCAGGAGGAAGTGGCCAGCAAGTTCCGGAACCTACAGATGAATGATTGAGCGTTAGGCTACCTCAGGGAGGGGAAACAAGACAGCACAGCAAATGCTCCATACCCTTTCCAGCAGGTTTCCCTTATAGCCAAACCATAACCGTAGACACTCAACCACAACAAAGAATGCAAGGGCAAATGCCATCAGAAACCTCTGCATTCCTTCAATCTCCGTGTGTGTCGTCTGTAAGGCAATCGTGTGAACCGATTCTGGCGAAAACCTTACGCATGGGTTTACGATTCTGTCATACCTTCCATATCGCAATGGCAATCATCCCCAACGTCCATAGCGGAAAGAGCCATACGTTGAAAAACAGCAGGATCTGCAGGGGTAGATATGAGGATACTTCCGTACCTGCTTACATGAAGATGGCGCTCAGAGGAACGGTTGCATGACCTGTTGATTCATAGAGACCCACTCACTGTGTTTGTATGCTTGCTGATTGCTATTAGCGCCGGTCAAATTTCGATATTCTGGAAAAAGGCTGGTTGCCGCTCTGGTGAGGCCCGACTGATATAGCGTGGTTGCAGACGACGCTGGAGAAATAGGACGCACAGGCATGTTGGCCGACGCGCAGCGAAGATCCGCGGACACGGCGTGGGAAATTGGGTTAAAAGCTGCAGAGGAAGGATACGGTGTTGAGAGCGTAGGAAAGCAGGAGGAGAACCATAGAGAAGGCTCTTGATGCTCAAGAAGGGCTGATAACCCCTTGGCATGCGACCATCTTGCTCTCCCTCCACGCGTATCGCTCCCCTTATATTCACACGAGTCCGCGAGTAATTTACGCGTCTGCCCGTCATATCTTGGGGCTTTGGCAACGCCGCACAATGTCCCGATTACTGACCTCACGCAAGCCCCTCCTCGCTTTCGCAGCAGGCTCCCTTACAGGTTCCGCCGCCTACTGCCTCCTCACTCCGCCTAATCGCCCATCTCCGCTGGTTCCTCCGCAGACAAAAGTCGCAGTTGCAATTCAAACCGACGATGATGTCCTTGACGCGCCGCCTACAACTTTCGCAAACGATATACGCTTCCCCACCGCGAGACATCTCTGGGCTCTGCAGCTCGGACTGCCGCAGACGGAGCAGCTGCAGTTCAGGGAAAGCTATGTGGCTAGCGTAAATTTTAAGACTAGAGTGCCGAATTGGGTTCTCGTATGTACTGTCAACGTTGGAGATATGGACTGAACGGAGCTAGAGACATTTTCTCTATATGCCGATTGATTAGGAACATTTGACGAAGGAGACGTTGAAGGGGAATGCCGATGTGAGTTCATATCAGCGACATGCTCAGGGAGCACGGAACGAGTGAATCCGCTTCTTACGATGATGAATTGATAGCGGCAGGGCATAACGTTCTTCGCGGACGAGAGCGTTCCGAGCAAATTTCGCGCACAGAATGAGGATTATTGGCGGAGTGGTTTCAGCAGGTTTGTGACGCCCAGGCTCGGAGAAAGAAATGAGACGGCCACTATTGACGTCTGGACGCACACGACAGAGGCCATCTGGTCCCAGCCGGGAACAACAAACAATCGCAGCAAGCGATGCGCGACACGTTCGCGTTATCCGCCAACATTGTCCCGCAGGATCTCGACCACAATGTGTAACGAGGACATGTCCCCGATTCTCAATCCCTTTGTGCCGTGTTGAGAGCTAATCGGGGTGTTTTTCAGGTGGTATTGGAACCGACTTGAACTGTTCGTCCGAGATCTGACGGAGAAGTTCGACGACGTCTATGTCCTCTCCGGGCCGGCATGGGTGCCCGAGGAGATCCCCGCCCCTGCTGTCAGCACCATCACAGACTCTTCACATGCGCTGTCATCACCATCCCAATCCTCATCCCTCGTCCCGACACCACCGCCTCCACCGACTCACGACAGCGTTACATCATCCCCGTTGAGCGAGAACCCGCCACCGCCGACACGCACTAGATGGGTCAATACAGCCGCACCAACCCATCAGATCCGATACCCCGTGACCAACAAAACACAGGTCGCAGTGCCGACCCATCTTTTCAAAGCTGTTTTGGCTGTCAGAGAGGGTCGGGATACCCCGCAATTACTCCCGTCACCTGATGATGCAGGGGATGCACCACCGCCTTTGCCGATGCTGACACCGGACGTTCAATCATCACAGCAGGATGTCTCACCAACCCTAACACCGCCACAACCACCCACGTACCACTTCGCAGCCTTCCTAATCCCCAACAAGCCCATCCCCGAGAACACGCCCTTCACCGACTTTCAAACAACCCGGACGGAACTGGAGAAAGTGGTCGGGTTCGAAGTGTTTCCGAACCTCGCAAATGCTCTTTGGGCAGGGGATAGTGGGGACGTGGGCGATGTTGATGTGGGAGGGGACGACAATAACGATGGTACGATTGCATACTCGACTTTGCAACCCCGCGTAGAAAGCCTCTGCGCCCACCCCGGCTCCTGCATTATGATATCTCCCGCAAACCACCGGTAATTCCTCCCCTCCCCTCCCTTCCCGGTCGCTTCATCACTGACTCACGCATCCTCAGACTCTACTTTTTCACCCGCGCCCTCCGCAACGCCCGCGACCTCGCCCGCTTTGAACGTACGGTGGGGAAGGTGTTGGCGAGTGATGCTGTGCCTGATGTGGAGTTTATGGAGATGTTGGCGAGGAGGGTTGAGGAGATTGAGGAGGATGGGGGGATATGAGCTGGGAGATGGGAGATGGACGATAAAGTACCCTGAGCGGCGTAGGGGTCATGATGTGTGGCTGCTCATTGGCCCTTGGTGGGCGCGCGAGACACCACCGATCCGCCGCGATGGCCAAACCATCCAGGCGTGGAGCCAGCGAATGGCTGGGCGTGGCCGACAACTACAGGGCATGCGCTTGAACCCGGTTCCTGAACACGCGGGCATGAAGGGCCATCTCCCGCGACGCTGAAGCTTTCATGTCGAAGGCGCGGGCGAGTGGGGCACGGCGTATATTGGGGTATTCTAGATCTAGAACTTAGTGGAGGCACTGTAAGGATCTCGTAATCACTCACACAGAAAAAGCGCCATATAGGATTGCCGTCCGCGAGTTAATCGTCTCAGTAACGTGAACGCGTAACTGGCGTCACTAACCCGCTAGGTACAGTACATACATAGTAGGTACATCCAAACGTTGTTCAAAGGAAAGAAGTGCATCTGCCGTGAGAGGATGGCTGCGACGGCAGCCCGAGAGATGTGAGGGTACAGTGCAACATCTGGACAAGTTTGGACACTCTTGTTCTGTTGAAATCTGGACGTCCCACGGCGGAAGACCCTTTCGTGCACTGCGCTTCGGAAGAGACCCTTGGACAGCGACGCCCGGAAAGAGTGGGTCATAACTGCCACCACCCTGAGCCAAATTCCTCGCCCACAGTCAGGTTTGGTCATCACACACAGGCCCGTAATCAAACAGAAGGAAGCAGCTCCCCGACGCCAAACCACATCTTCGGTCCCATTTGACCCTGTTCCTCTCACAGTCGCCCCATCCGCAAGCCCCCTGGCCCATTTGAACAGTCGTCTCCCCCACTTCCCCAGACGTCCCAAATTTGCACAAAATTGCATGACCCATAACCCGCCCTCACTCCATCTTCCTCTTGCATCTCCTCCTTTTCTGTGAATTGATCTGATTCCAAGTCGAACGATGTGTACAAAAGGGACAAAAAGAGGCCACGTCGCTGCTGAACACAATCAGAGGTTGGTATTCTCATTCTGTACAAGCTGCGGAATAGCGCTGAGGGGTGTGTGGACGGCGGATATGGTGTGTGTGGGGGTAAAGAATAAAGTAGTGGGTGTGGTCGGAACACTGCTTTAGGGTTCTTTACTTGGCAGCGGCCTTCCTCAGCTTGGCGGCGGCCTTTCCGACCGTTGAGCGGCGCTGGAGAGGGTAAAATGGGATTAATAAGTATATCCAGGCGCAATCTAATCAGAGACTGTAGGAATTCACAAAAACGCACCTGCTTGCGGGCAATCATCAGCTTGAAGCGGTCAAAGTCCGACGTCTCCGCGCGGGCCGTACGCCTGGCAATCTTCTGAGCCCAAGCGGTCTTGTTCCACTTGGCAACCAACTCCTGCTTCTCAATGGCAGCCTTGAGGGCGGGGGTACCGATGGTGCGAGGAATGGCGATCTTCAAGTCGGTCAGGGTGGCGCGCTTGAAGGAGACGACCTGGCGGGAGACGTCGGTCGTGGGTCCGTCGACGAGCACACGGGAGTGGTCCACAATGTCGACCACAACGGCCAACTTGCCGGCATCAGGGCCGTAAGTGAGAAGGACGACACGTCCAACTTCGACAAACCTGTTGAAAACCTATTTCGTCGGGATGGGAGGGAGGACGACAATGTTTAGCAAGCTGTCCGCAAAAACGAGGACACAGGAACGGTGGGTGATTCCGTCGCTCATGCCAATTGTCGAATCCCAATGTCGTCCACCGTTGCGTTCCAAACCTCAAAAGCTTTCCGCCCGCCCCTGCGTTCCGAACCCTACGACCTTTGTCGCACCGATGTCCTCGAATATGTGGCCCATCACTAAGCGTCGTTCCATGTTCCCAACGAACGGTAATCTCCAATGGATGTGTCGTAGAGTACCACTCAGTCCCGCGCATGGTGGCCTCTCCCTCGCCGTCGTCCTGCTGACCTCTACCCATCTCATAGTCGAACTTCGAATGTCGATGTCTCCAACACCATGCCAATTTGCCATTTCGCCGTTCGCCCAACCATCCAACCCCATCCATCCGTCTCTTTCCATCATCCATCCATCCATCCATCCGCCCTCCACCAAACGGACATAGCTCCTCCCTGCGTGCGTGCTGTTGCTGCTCTCCGTGCGTACCATCTTCGGTTATGTAGTTGGAGTTGCTGGGAAGTGGCCGACCAGATATAGCGATCTGATATGAGCGGTTTCGTAGGACCCCCAAGCCGATGGACGCAAAGCGCGATGTTGGATGGATGCTCGACTTTGCACAGCCACATGGAAATCGGCGAAAGAGGCGGCCTATTTAAACGCCCTTTATTGTAAGACGGTAGGGCACGTGATTCTGGTGGACTTCACAAAGGCTTCAAGGTTTCAACGACGAACACCATGCCATCTCCGCAAGTTCATCGCGAGGTAAGAGGTGGTGAGCCTCGATCTCCCATTTTTGACGTTCTATGAGGTTCTTATCATGGTGGCCGTTAGGAACGAAGGTTACCGTCTGTCGAAATGTTACAAATCGAAATCTGTTGACGCAACCAAGGAAATCATACTGAAGAACCCTCATGTCGAAAGTTGAGAGTGAAGACGGTCGCTTTTGAATGGAATGGGATGCTAGGGGCTCGGAAAGGATTCAAAGCGCGGCGACACGCATCGGTGTCCTAAAGGATACGGGCAAGCTCACCGTCTCCGGGATGTGGTGGCAAAACTACCCATCGACTCTCAACTGGGGACTGCTCTTTACCACGCTTCTGATAAGGTGGTGGGACGGCACATGTGCGATCTGGCGGCATTTCTGGAACAGCGCGCCTCAGTCCTGCATTGGGCGAAGGAACCGCTCGAGCGTGGTCAAGCGCTACACATGGGGCTCTAAAGAACGGAAACTGATCGACGAAACAAGCGACCACCTCCCACTCCTGAACGTGTTGGTCCAGTATAGGAAAGTCCCCGTCGCACACCGAGAGAAGTGGTACATCGACCGGTGGCACCGATCGGGGTACATCGACATGCCATCACTGAAACTAGAAGATGTCGAACAGGACTGGACCTAGGTCAGGCAGGGCACAGTGACCCTCCAACGGGACGACGAGCCCGACGACCAAGTCGCCAAAGAAGCAAACGCTGGGGCAATAAGTTTGACAGCAAGCCCCTGTCCACGCTCATTCCGCGCACACTAGAACGCTTATCATACCACCAGAAGGCTCTCCGGGCGCCTGCGCCCGCGCCTTTTGTCGTCTGAGGTCCCGTGGTATAAATTACCCAAGAGGGGATTGTAGGATCGAAACCTACCAGAGGGATGGACATGTGCATAAGGCTCCTAAGATTACGAACAGCATCTTCGCCGCCCGAAGGGAGCGTGACGTGCCGCCACTCTGGCCTTCGTCGCGCAATCAACATGGATGCCAATCCTGAACAATTATACGGGACGGGTCGTCAAGACTTTTGTGCGTGATAATCTTCATGCGCGCAGTACCAGAGCTTCGGGGAGCTCGTTTGTGAGCTCAAACTCCGATGGCACTTGATTCTTAAAGTGCGGCAAGCATACCCAGCCGGAAGCCGATAAAAGATGGACACTTTACTTGATCGGTTGCACTCGACCCGCACAACGGTGGAACACGAACGACAACCCACCTTCTGGCCCGCAGAATGGCGTTGCGTAAGCGAGTATGTTAATGGCTGGTTTGGTCTCCAACTGTTCGGCGACATCCCGGGCCCGCCGAAGGTGTCTGCTCATTTCTTCCACGCTCCGGCCACCATCAAGGTCGAGATTCGCAATGAACAGATCAAAACTCGGTTTTGAAAGTGGCGGTCGATTAATCTGGTCTCCTTGACTGATTTACCGAAAGGAAAGCCCGACATCGTGGACCCAACGATCACACCGTACATGACGGAGCGTGCGACTGCCTCGAAGGAATTCTCAATGAAGCACGCCAATCTTTTGGGAGTGGCGACCACTACGTGTTCGACCAATAACCAAAGGCCGCAAACCAAAAGGAACAAGCACAACCACAACGACAACTGCAACCGGAACCGGAGCCCAGAAGGGATCCTTGGCGATAACCATTCTATTATGGATCAGCTGGATCAAAACTGGACCGTCAACGATACAGCAGCCATGGGTATCGACGACAACACCGCGCCCATGGGTATCGAGCCGACCGTCGATGTCGAGGCGAACGAACCTCCGCCTCCAACCCCGACTTCTCCGACGCTGTCACCGAGATCGTTCATGCCGAGAAGGAATGTGTCCGCCGCGAAAGCATTCAGAAGAAACTCCTCCTCCGGCGTGGACACGTATGTGGGTGGCTGCAATACACCAGATGGGTGTCCGAGGCAGCCCCTGTTGCGATGTGCTGCTTTGGGGTGTCACGGCGATGGCTGAGCAATAGGCGAGTTGGGACATGGCTTCTATGACTTTGAAGTCGTCGGGTATGACCCTAATGCTCCTAAGCCGGAATGTGGTAAGAAAACGCCGGACATTTGGGAAGGCCGTGAAACTATGGTGTATGACCGAGACCACAGAATCTACACCTCCCTAACGCATCACATCAAGCGTGTACATCTGCGACTACCCGAAACACGCCCATTAATCAAACCCGGAACGATTCCCTGCACGGAGGCGGACTGCGGAGACGCAGGTCAGATGCGGAGGTGCCGATACCGCTTCTCCAGCTGGAACGCTATGCGGGGAAATTGACGATGGGACAGTGAATCAGCGACTTGAGGTGGTTGCGGGACTTCTAGTCTTACGGTCCAGGCGTCCCGCAACTACGTCAGGTCTAGTATGCTGCTCGTAACCTTCTGACCGTGGAAGCGATACGCAGAAATGTACATGCCGTGTGATGGGACTATGGGCATTGCTCCGAGGTTGCTTGGACGTCGCCTGATGCACCCTTCATCATACTCTGCGAATGACGGATATACATTTGTACGATTTCGGCTAGCACAGCAGATCCCCGAAGGCCGATATCTCCCGAACGTCGGTACCGTCCCTGGAAAGATGAACCGGACGTTTGGGACTTGACGTCGTTGAATTCAGTGGCTTGGAGCAGCACGGGAACTGTGCACCTTGGCTGTGCGGTTGTTGACCAGATACGGTTGTGCGTCTTGGTTCAGCATTCCTCACCACGAACCTTATGCCTCGGCATATTTCATCGCGACCCTTGAGGAGTGGGCATCGGCAAAATCACAGATAACCAAGCGGTGGACGAAAGAGTAAGCGGTTGGGCCACTTATGGTGTAAAGTGGGTGGACATGTTCTCATTGCGACCGGTCTTCGCAAAGAACGACGAGATGTGTAGATACGACCCCTTCCATCACAATCGACCAACTCGATCCAACCCTAGATACAGCGATTTGCTTAATCTGCATGTTGCTTGCCTCGCGGGTAACATCCTCAAATGGCCGGCTTGTGTTTCGAGCTACTAGAACAAGTTGCAACACCAACCCTCAACAATCCAAACAACAAACCCTGAACAAACCCCCAACAATCCAAACATCTCCCCCAAACGACATACCCCAAACAAAATTCACACAACAACATTCCCCAACAACAACAATCGGATGTCGGGTCAGGCGGAATTCTGGTTTGGCGGGAATTGAAGCGTTGAGGCTTTACTTGATGAAGTCAGGGAAACGATGACAAGGAACGAGATCATATACGTCCTCCGCATGCGTTCTAGGTGCAAGATGTCGGATAGAGACGCCCGTATTCCTCGTTCCTTGTCATCGGGGCGAGCACATCATGTTACATCACGGCGCCGTAACAGTCGACAACAGTGCGCTCGAATGTAGTCGCGAAACGACTCCGAACCCCAACGACCGAGTAACTGAATGTGGCCAGCTGTGTCGCTCCACCAGCGCGAAAGGATGAAGTGCCCGCGTCGACGCCGATCGCGGCCATTAACAAACCGCGTAGCCAGGATGGAGTAGCTTCCTCAGTTTCCGATATGAGCCAGAGTGGAGTGTTCGGAGGATGTCGTCGAGCACAGTGCCAGCTGAGGGCGGTTTCCAGAGCGCGCACGGGACAGAGATCGCCGGGCCTGGGAGAGAGATTGATGTGTTGGGTGAAAGAGGTACGTGTTTTTGGATTTTTGACGTGAATAGAATAGCCTTTTCCGCGAGTAGTGTATCGAGCTTCAACGTCTCGGAGGCGCATAGGGTTGTAGGGGCGGTTGTTGTCGTCGTCGTTTGCTGGTCCTACGAGCTGATCCTTTTTTCCCAGGACGACCGAGAACCATCGTACGCTTTTTACGAGAACCATCGACCGAGAGCATCGCTTTGGTGTGTCCTTCTTTCTCATTGAACTAAGCGGTTGCCGTTCATTGGGAAGCTACGGCCGTAGGCAGGACGTTGTGGTGTGGTATATATTGTTCAGTGGTCACTGGCTTACCCAACACACCGTACTGTAGACAGCATAGCTTTGCATTTTTGGGCATACCTAGCTTGTGGGTCCACCTCTCCACCGTACGTCGCCACGACCAGCATAGCGCCTTGCAAGCACCGTTTCCGTCAGGTTGACCTGGTTATCGAACTCCGACAACGGAACTGCATTTTCCCACGACCGCAAAGTCCGATTCGCATCTAACAAGCAGCGTGTGGTGGGTGGGGAGGGGATGCGCGTCCGTCAGGTCGCGGAGGAAGGCTCGTACCGGTCCCCTCCCGGTGCAGCCAATTTCGGGACGGGGTCGGGGGGCTTCACGACTCGAGTGAGGCTGGCGGTGGGGACATACTGGTTTGTCGCCATCCTGAAAAACATCCCCGATCGCTGTCTACTACGTACTCCTTCCGCTGTACTTCTGCAGATCCTTCTCGTCGCAAACGTCATCGCCGGAAGCAAGCAGTAGCAGCAGCAGCAGCAGCATCCACCACCGCATCCATGCCAAGCTACGGTCGGTCCCCTTCCCCGCCTCGTCGGCGCTCCCTCTCCCCTCGGCGTAATGATGGCGCTGCACCAGCGCGGCGTCGTTCTCCTCCGCAAACACCCCGCCGCCGCCTCGACCTTCTCGCCTCCTCACCTTCCATCCGTCCCCTCCCTCCTCGTCCACTCCACGACCCGGAGAGCCCGTTCTCAGCTCCCGGCCCCTCCCGCCCAGCCCCCCCCCCCCTCCCCCCCCTCCCCCCCCCCCCCCCGCCCCGACATCTCCCCCCTTGCCGACTTCCCACCCTCCCCAACGTCTCGGCCGCTCGCTCCACTCGTGCCCCCCGCCGACCTGCCGACCCGAAGGATCCTCGACTTCGGCAACTACCGCTGTGTTCCTGGCCTCCCGTCGACAGTCATGACGAGGGCCGACACGTCGTCCCACGATCTGTTCACACAGAACTTGCCTCTCAGGGGACCTCTGCCCAGGACGGTCGTGGATGAAGGGGACCTGTTACGGTTCCGTGTGGTGGGTGGGGACGTCTTCCCACTCAAGGGCTTACTTCCCACCATCATACGCTTTTCACTGCCAACCAATTGCCAAACTGCGAACCCGCAACGGTTACGCGTACGACTCCCCGGTTTCCGCTGCTCTCACGTCCCTCCTCATGGACAATGTCGAAACTTCTCCCGCTCCGACTGCCGTCCGGCGGCACAACTACGGCGGGTTACGAACGTGTTGGGAACATGGGAAGCAAATTCGCCATTGTCGCTTAATTTCGACGGTATCAACGATCGCAACACCTCTGCTGGTCACCGTCTTGTTTGCCAAGGCCACACGGAGGGCAATTTGCGAGTGGCCCTGGTGGGGGTCAACAGTTTTCTCGGCGTGCAGACGGGGGGAGGAGATGATGTACCGACCTCACGCGCCAAGCTGATCTGCAAGCAATGGATTCCGGTTTTGAAGCGGAAGCCTTACGAAACACGCTATCATCGAATGCATCCGACGCGCATCCGACGCGCATCCATATCCTACCTGATCATTTGCCCGAGTCCGTGAACGGGTATGTTCCGGCGATGGCCCCCGTACCAAGCGCCGCCCCGGGGACGCAAACCCGAAAGAGAACGTGAAACCGTTCATTAGTTGCGTACTTGTGGATGACGCCTTGTTGAGGATCGCTCCCCCGTCCGCCACTGTCACGGGAGTTGCCTTAGCGCCCATTCCCGCTCTTGTCGCTCGCCCCATACGCCCCGCCGCAGTCGCCACCGTCCACTCCCTCGTCAACCGAAGAGGAGGACGAGAACTAGGACGAGGCCGCAACAACTACTACTGCACATCACCTGTCAACTCCAACCCCAACCACATACTCTGAACGGCATAACATCAGCAGAATAACAACCACCAAGCGATAACAACAACACCAACAACCAAGCATCAGCAGCAGCATGTCAACCGCAGAAGCTCAGCAAAGGCTGGAGAGGAAAGAGCCCAACATATTCAACGAGAAACCGCACACCCCAACCCACCGCGCACGGGCCAATCAGGCTGGGAAACCTTGCCAGCCTACGATCACAGGGATGAGTTATTGGCGCACCTGGTTGTGGTCCGAAGGAAACCTCGTAGCGGTAAGCATTTGTATCCTCTTTTAAACGGGTACTATATTCTCATTTCATTCTTAGGTCAGAAACCGGAGACGATCAACCCACAGGGAATTGTGTGCATGTCCAGACTCATTACCCACGAGAGCCGCTACGGTGTTCGAGCTGCTGCCTTCCGATATTCTGCGAAGCCGTTTCACAAGGGAATCCCCCATCGACATCACTGCGAGTGAAGTTGATCAGTTGAAAAGTGATTTCCTAAGTGCTCCTGTCCCGTTCGTGACGGATGAAGATTGGAGAAACCATAGCGATCGCACAAGCCGTTTTGGGGCGGCCTTAGTTCATAAGTTTGACAGAGTTTATGAAAAGCAGGGTTATGGGGTGCAGCCAACCCCGTGTGGTCGCGGCCATCGCAACAGCCAATCGAGTCGCAGAAGTGATGGACGTGACAGTCGGCCAGGAGGTGGGCTACAAGACGGACCCTGACACCGTTTACACCAAAGGCACCACCAAGCTTTGCTTCGCTACGGAGCAAATCCTCATCATCGAGGCCCAGAATGACCCACTCCTTTCGAAATATGCCGCAATCGCGGTTGACGAGGCCCATGTCCGCACCCTGCACGTGGACATGCGCACGACTACACTGAGACTCGCAATCGCTAAGCGCAAGGAGAGAGGAGACCCTCTCATCACCGTGATAATGAGCGCGACGATGCAGAGGGCACTGCACATGTTCAAAGACCATTTCTTCGGTGCAACGGTGGTTCGGATACGGCATGATCCCCACAATATTGCGACGCTGAATGATAACGAGGATCTAGATCTGTCGAAGAAAAAGATGGAGAAGGACTCCTATTACGCCGGGGCCTTTGCAAACGTTATCAGAATACTTAAGTTTGAAGATAACGGCCAGGAAGGCGAGCCTAGGCCACCGCAAGCTCTTCCTGGAGGAATCCCCGTGTTCCTTCCTCGACGTGAGGACATTGACTGCATGGAGGCGGATATCGATAATTGGATGGAACACTCGGGCTACCCCGCTGAGAACGTGGCACTTAGCAAGCTATACGCCGGGATGCCTACGGAAGTGCAGCAAAGGGTGATCGGAGCACAGCCTGGAAGGAGGAAGGTTGTCTTTGCGACGAACGTGGCGGAAGCCTCCCTCACAGTTGGGGGCATCAATCATGTGGTTGACTGCGGGAGAGACGTCGACAAATGAGCCATAAGAAATTGTACCGCACGACGACATTCAGATTCATTTTGGACAGCCGTTATCTCGCCGACGAGAAGGTTGAGAGGGGCCGTTCGGTCGCCACGAATGGGGCTCAATAATGACAATCGCGGGAATGCAGGAGCCTTCGGGAGGCGGCCGTGCCCGGCCATGTGGTCTCTGCGACGGGATCAGGAATCTGTACACGGCGTCCGTTCGCGACGAGATCGATTTCCGGACGGAAATCACACTGGAGTGTCCAAGTAGATGCTGGTTGCCGGGGCATTCCGAGGCATAAACTAACCTCGGCTACCAACCAATCTCTTCTCCGGTCCGCCGACAGGCGGTCGACCAGCAGGATCTCATCCTCGGCCCAATTGGATGAGATGCGGCGGTTGTACCACGGTTTGCAAAGTTTGTACCACGGTTTGAAAAGTGAGGTATCGAACCTAACGCATCGGACGGCGAAGCTGGAGAAGACCGCATTCAAGCACGAATACCGACGGCTTGCGACCAATTCGACATCGCCGTCATCAAGAAGGAGAATGCGCGATTACGCTCGGTCTCGGAGAAGGTCAAGGGGACATCCGAACTCCCCCCCGCCCCCCCGCGAAAACGCCAGGCCTCGGTCCCCAAGCCCGAACCCTTTCACATGTAGAGACAATGTGGAATCAACCTGCCTGTGCCTGTCCGGGAGAAAAAGTGCGAACACTGCCTCTTTGTCTTCGCCACGCCAGCAGGCTTGATTGAGCACCGACAAAAGGCTGCCGAGGATGTTACCCTTCGTCGGATGGCGTATGATATGCACATGGAGTTGGAGGCGGCTCGGACATTACTTCAAGCCGCGTGGGAGCGCAGCGGCGGTCGATACTTCTACTGTGATGTCGGGATCATCCTGGGCAATTCGTGCATGCCCCAACACTCGCCCCACCACTCGCCCCAACACTCACCGCGTCACCCCCCCCCCCCCCCCCCTCCCTTCGACCTGGCACCCGGCTGCCCAAAGGTTTCACGACATTGCTACTGCTTTGGTTCAGAGGCATGGAAGCGGTCAAGCCGCTGCTCCCGGAAAGCCAAAGCCGAGTCGCCCTAAACATACGGGCGGGAGCAGTGGACGTTCAAATGGCTTCCAAAGAGAGAGTCAAACTTTGCTTGTCGTACGACAACCCACATCAGCAGATTGAAATGTCCTGCTGGCCATGCAATTCAGCGAAGGCCCGTCAGAGCGTCGAGAATTTTCGGGGGTACCTACGTGCCGCTGCCTTCTTTCAACTAGGAAGACCGAACTGGCAAGCCGTGTGCCGGCCCGCGCCGACTAGCGTTCCTTCCCCTATGCACTATACATGTACAGTATCCTTCAATCTGACATTGTCACGAGATATTGCGGTCCACTCATATACCCGCCATAGCTTGCCCACCTGCATTATGCGAGTCATCGGTACGCAGCAGCTCGCCTTGCGAACAGTTGGCGTACGGTTAACTCCCACGCACGTCTAAGTCCCCAAGCGTACACCCGCACATATGGGGCACATCATCACAAAGACGCTGGCTTCAGCGATACGTGGTACGATTGCCACCGCGCGACCAAGGATCCCGGGTATACCACGTGGTGAATGTCCGGTAACGCGCGCGAGCGCATTATCGGGCTTCGTCTGGATTATATCTTTTTCAGCGACGTTTGGCGCCCCACTTCCGTTTATCCGACGCGAGTTACGTGCGAGGTGTTGGAGAACGGCCGGTGGTGTCGCTGCCTTCCTTTTCGCGAACGACGTCACAGCACACTTTGCACTATCGGTGAGGCAACACGGACGCATATGAACAGACAGGAATCACCATACAACAAACCCATTAACACTGCGTCCGTGTTGCCTCACCGATAGTGCAAAGTGTGCTGTGACGTCGTTCGCGAAAAGGAAGGCAGCGACACCACCGGTCGATGATGCCCCTCCTTAACAAGCTTCGCAAAGCACCGTATGCGACCATGGATGCGACCGAGGCCACAAATTCCCGCACGCCATAGATAAAGCCGTCACCTACAGTCGTTCTTAACAAGCTTGGCGAACCATATTATGCCATCATGGTGGATGTGACGTTTCCGGCCTTAGCACGGGAATTTGAATGGATATCATTCATATGAAGGAGACGGGGATGGACCCTTTCTCGATGTTTACCGGGCGACGTCGGTCGAGTCACGTTCTGGTAGAGCTTCTCGCCACTGGAAGGACACGGACGCGAGGGCCTTTTTGAGGTCTACCCAGGTCCTATGAAAGCTACTGGAGCAGTGAGAAGACTGAACCACGGTCGTGTTGTTTTCCACCTTGACTGCCAGGGACGCATGTGCCGGGCAAGCCAGTCGCATCTCGATCACCACCACCAGCGCCGGCCTCCATCACCAGTGTCCTCCAACAGCGTCATGTGCCAGGATTGTGCGTGTGCAGCCCAATCTCAAGTCTGAGACTCAAGCTGCTCTACGCACGCGGGTTTTGCGACGGACTTGTGAGGCCCTTCGAGCATGGCGGAACGGAACACCTCGTCATCTCTCATCAGGCTCGTACCGGAGCTCTCTTGACTACCAGCTTGACTACAGTCAGCAAGGATAACCGACGAAAAAGGCACCGGTGAAGGTAGTTATCACCAACGCTCTTATATCCCCCGGCCACCACCTGTGGCACCAATAGTCTTTCTCGAAAGGGAAGTGGCTTTATCAATTCCTGAACAGACGAGGTTTGCCCGTGGGTCTTTCGTGAGGCCTTAATCGGAACCAGAGCCATTCTCTTCCGTTTGGGCAGCTCAAAGTAATACATTCCCAGCTACTTGGCGAAGATGACCGACACGAAGAAGGCACCAATGAAGGTGGCCGTCACCAACGCCCGCATATTCGACGGCCACCATCTCTCGAATGAGCCCACCACCGTCGTCCTCGAGGGTGGTCTAATTGTGAGCGTCGGCAACTCGCCCAACGCCCTCTCAAGCACCACCCCAACCATCAACGCACAAGGCAGCGTCCTCCTGCCAGGCTACATCGATTCCCACGTGCACGTCCACACCGTCGAAGAGCTGGACATGTATCGTCGGTGCGGGGTAACGACGGTGCTGGACATGGCGACGCAGTACTCTGAAATTAAAGCCCTGCGGGAGGCAGCCGTCGAACGTGGTACCACCGACGTCCGGGGAGCTAGCACTCCTGCCACGGTCGCTGACAGCATGCATTGTCGGCGGATGGGGGTGCCTGCGTTGGTCAAGAGCGCAGCGGATGCGGCGGGGTTCGTGGAAGGAAGGAGGGCGGAGGGGGCGGATTATATCAAGATTATCGCGGATGTACCTGGACCTGATGTTGCCACTATCAGGGGGATCGTGGACGCCGCACATGCAAATGGGTTGTCAACTGTCGCTCACGCCGCCACATACGAACCCTTTCAAATGGCGATTGAAGCTAATGTCGATATCATCACCCACGTCCCGCTGGATCAACCAATAGACCTGCAGCTTTCATCTGTTATGAAGCAGAGGTGTCGCGCCGCGGTCCCGACGCTCGCGATGATGGAGCAGATCAAGTTCCCGGGAGCGAGTTATGACTTTTCACGGGAGAGTGTTGCGAGCCTGCATGCTGCAGGCGTGCCTATTTTGGTAGGAACCGATGCCAACCAGGAACCCGTGGCCCCGTTAAGACCCGTACCAGGGGAAAGTTTCCACCGCGAATTGGAGCTTCTTGTTGAGGCTGGATTGACCCCGCTTGATGCGCTGCGGGGCGCTACATCGCTTGCGGCGTTGCATTTTGGGTTAGATGATCGTGGGTCTGTTAGGGAGGGTTTGAGGGCGGATTTGGTGTTGGTCGATGGGGATCCTACGCGGGATATCCAGGCATCGCGGCTCGTTAGGCGGGTGTGGTGTGCGGGCATTGAGTATGACCCTTCGTCAGCGTAAGCCTTTAAATTTCCAGATCCAGATTCAGAGGCATAGAACAGCAGTTACTGAAGCATTAGCATCAACAATAATAACGACAATAATGACAATTTTCAACGGCAGTCTGCGTTGTGAGGTGCATTTTATTACCGTCTCATACGGGCGGAATTGCTTCTCTGCGTGTGTGCGCTTATCTCTTAGTCCGACCGCTGCTTGTGGGCTCTTGTGGGCGTTGGCCCAGCCCGCGACTCTACGGCGCCTTTTCCACTGGGCGCCCCCAACTCCACAACAACATGCTTGTCCACCCACACAGGGCACCCTTCAGAATACAGTCTATAAAACCCAGGCTTGGCCCCCAGCCCCCCTTCCCAGGTAACGTACACAGCTCACTACAAGACTAACAACCAAGCCAGCTCAAAAAGCAACGAGAGCCAGAAACCAAAAATGACCGCTACAACACTCCAACCCATCATCCCCCGCACCGACACCCCCGCCCTCCTCGCCGCCCTCCAAAAATCCGGAAGCTGGGACGAACATATCTCCATGGCCATCTCCAACCCCAACGCGAGCATCGTCACCACCCCGACATTCAAGTACGATATCACCGTTGGCGCCAAAGCGACCCGGGTCTTGATTTTTGACCATTTGGGCGCCGAGGAGGATATGGAGCGGGATCTGAAGGCGTTCTTGGCGGGTCTGGAGAAGGGCACGAAGGTGGCGTTGGATGAGAGTGCGGCGTTCCCGCATGCCAGGGCGGAGATTCTGGAACGGGTGGGCTTCACGAACCGGGTGTTTGCACACCCCAACGTCGCTCGGCAATTGGATCTGGTCGACGTGGACGGCACACCCGTCGCGCCGACCTCTATCCCGCCGCCGGAGGGAATCACCATTCACGAAATCACATCCTCCACGGACCCACGCTTCGACGCCCGCGTCGCCGTCGAGCGGGATATCTTTGGGTACGGCGCCGGGTACTTCTCGCACCTCCCCGCCGCGTTGGCGGAGATGATGGACAAGTACGGTGATTACCACCTCCTTGCTACCACCGCCAACCAAGACGGGGGGGAAGAAGCGGTCGGGTACATGACCCTCCGCGTGCATCGGGGCGTAGCATACCTACAAGGCGCGGGGACGGTGGAGACATGGAGGAAGAGGGGGTTGACGAAGGCGATGTTGGCGAGGACGGTTGCGAAGGCCGTTGAGTGGGGGTTTGAGGTGATGTTGACGGTTGCGTGGGATGAGAATGCGGTTAGGGCGTGGACAGCGATGGGGTTTAGGGAGGTGGGGATTACGCGTGTGTGGGATTTAGATGTGTGACGGCGGCCGATGGTTGATAGAGATGAAAACTTGTACATATAGATAGTAGACGCACTCGGCAGTATGGCGTGCACTTGTTTCTTATGTATATACAACTGAATTTGACAAAGTCATACCAATGGAGCCTTTTTTGTCCCAAGTCGGCGGCATCTTCCGCGTTTGATGCCCCTGAAGATTCGGATTCACCGCGTCAGCAGCTGGCTGTTTTACAACTTCCCCAGCAAGGCGCACATGCCCCAACATCCAGCAAATCTCTCAACATTAGCAGCAAATGCAAAATAACCAACTGATCTTTATAATCTGAGCACAAAATGTATTCCCCCTCGCATATAATCAATCTAGGCTACTCAACAAAAAAGACCGCACCACAACCCGAAAAGCACAAGATTTCCAAAAACCGGGCTGCCCAGCCATCTTTTCCGTTTCCTACCCCTAGCCTAAATCTGATCTGACCTTACTCCCAAAAAGAGAAGTGTTGGTAATTTCCTACTCCTATGATTATCCAAGCTACTCAGAGCAACTGCAACCCGACAGCGGCCAGACCGGCGAGGACGAGCTGGCCGAGGTAGGATGTGAGGCCCTCTGCGCCGGACGTGATGTCCTTTGATTGGGTCGCGGTTGTGGGTTGAGCACGGGTGGTTGTGGAAGTCGTAGATGTGGAGGTGGTGGTGGTAGAGGAGGAGGTGGTGGTGGTGGTTGTGGCGGTCGAGGTGGTAGTGGAGGTAGTGGTAGTGGAGGTGGTAGTCGAGGTCGCCGAAGCGATGGACGCCGAAGTCCCCGCCGCAGAAACGTTCGCATTCCAGTACCCGCTCTCACCCACACACTGTGCGACCGAGTTGATCGTCAACGGGAACGTGCCGGCCGCAACCTGTTTCTTGACCTCCGCAAGCGCGTTGACGGCGATTCCCGACGTGAATGTGGAGATGTCGTGTTCAAGGGAGATGAACCCGGGGCCGGCCTTGAACCACGATTCGATGCGCGCTTGCACGGTCGCGGCGTTGGCGGGGGTGGCGGCCACGTCGGCGTCCAGGGAGTCGACGCCCCAGATGACTGTTTTGTATCCGAGGGCCGAGGCGATGGCGCGGACACGGTCGTCGATGTCGCCGTACGGGGGTCGGAAATGGGTGGGCACGACGCCGATGACCTCGTAGATGGCGGCCTCGGTGTACTTGATCTCTGCGACGATCTGCGCGTTGGTGAGGGATGTGAGAGGGTGGTGGGTCCATGTGTGCACGGCAATCTGGTGGCCAGCCTTGAAGGAGTTGACGACTTGAGCGGGGAGGCTTCTGACGCCTGTTCCGCAGACGAAGAAGGTGGCTTTGACGTTCAGGTCGTCGAGGGCGGTGCGGATGGCGGCGGTGTCGGGGTTGTGCACGCCGTTGACGATGTTGGAGGTTGGGCCGTCGTCATAAGTGAGGCCCCAGGTGTTGGCTTTGGGGCAGCTGACGATGTCGGCGTTGAAGGCGGCGGTGGGGGCCGTGCGCACGCACTGGTTGGCGGGCCAGTAGCAGTAATTGGCGCCGGCTTTGTAGGTCACCGTTGAGCCGCTGATGTACGTTGACACTGGGAGGTTGAGGAGTTCGGCGGGGACGACCGACTCGACGTAGGCGAGCGCATCGGCGACCAGTGGGGCCGTGAGGAGCGAGCCGGTAATCATCACAGTTTGGTCGATCGCTGGGTAGACCGACGGGATGGGTGGCGGCCTCACCAAGGAAGGGGCACCGTTTGCGCTGTTGAGCAGGACGATTGCGACGGGAAGAGCGAGCAAAATGCTGCGAGTCATGCTTGCTGATGTTGAGATGAGAATGCGATGTGGTATGCGGGAGGTGAGTGCGTGCGATGTGAAATGGATGCTGAGACAGAAGGGAATGTGCGTCGAGGGTGTGCTTTTGTAATGTTGCAGAGGGAGCGATAACAGAAGCGTCAGAGCCGAACGGTATTTGTGTGGAGAGAAGGGGCACGACCAATATAGTAGATGGCTTCGAAAGGAAAGTAAACTGCCACTCAAAACTTGTTATGGTCTTCGAAAATCCCCGGGGGAATGAACGCCTCGTTTTATAGTTTTCCGGAAGCATATGTATTTTTGGGATGAGTTTTGGTTTGCCTTCGGGGGAATATGGAGCGGAGGCTTCGATGGACGTTTTTCGCAAACAGCGTGCCACAGCAAGCAGAGGCGCTGTTGAACTCATGAATCTCGGACATGGCCGGCGAGCGGGGCTGAACGGGTTTGTCTGATCGACCACTCTCCGGTCACGGATTAACTGGCATGCGGGTTTGCCACACAAGCACCCACTTTGTGGAAAAGAAGGGGGGGGAGACACAGACTTCAAGAGAGGCACACTCGCAAAAGTGTGGAGGCCCCGAGGGACACGCAAATCCCAACTGACAGCGCCGCGCAGGCAGTTGAAAACAACGGCCTGCCCAACGCCCCAACTTTTTTTCCTAGACCCTCACGCGAAATGAACGCGAATACGGGGGCAGAGTTGAGGTTTGGGGCAGTGCGAATAATTCCCCCGAGGGTGTCCATCAGAGTCTCATCAACGTCTCAAGTCCAGTCCGTTGCGAGCCGCGGGGGGAGGCGCCATGGTTGACCGCCTCTTTGCGCGTTGCTGTTCAGTTTGGGGGGACTTGGAGGCGAGACCCTGGCCTGAACTCCGGTTACAACAAAATGGACACCGGCGGTTGGGGTCCAACTTGGGGACACTGTGCCCGCCGCCCGGCTCCGGATTTGGGATCACTGATCAGCGCTGTCAAGACTCAGCACTCATTCGTGTAATGCGAGATAGTGGCTTTCCGGAGATGGCGCTCGCCGTTTTGGTGAGGCGCGCACACATGCTCTTGCTCAACTGCCCATCACTGATCTCTTGCGCGTTCAGAGCAAGCAGCTCTCACGCTGGGAGCATGCCGGTAGGGTTGCAGCTGGCCCGCATCGCCACCTCGCCGTCTCGAACTCTCTCATTTCATTCTGTGCGCCGCCGCCTCCCTTTCCACGTGACACAGAAACTCCACGATGTGCACCACCATGACTCACTCTGTCAAACTGCGCTGCGCCTCTTGAGAACACAAACCGCTTTCACTAATGGAATTATCTATATCGAATGTGGCAACTTGTTCTAAACCGTACTATCCCCGACTCCGACAGCCTGGCACGGGCGCCATCATTTACCACCTGTTACTCACACCCATTCCAAGCGCCTACCGACAGTTTTGCATTTCGGTCTAAGACGGTTCCACTTTGTAATGATCGCACTGGTGGTCTAAAGATAGCACACCAGATACACACGTCCCAAGACAGATGCAGCACCATGGTCATCGCCGCCGCAAAATCGTACAGGGAAGGGAGAGAGACTGGTGGAGAGGTATGGCTTTTCAAATGAAATGCGGAGAAAAGATATATACATAAAAGCTGCAAGAGCAGGCCATAGATCTCTGTACGCAAAGGACAGCGTGGGGTGCGGTCTCATGGGGTCAGGGCTACGAATGCCTGTCATGTGGCTCGGCGGGGACTTTTGCAACAATTTCTAATCGCCGATGACTCCGTTCACTTCCCCGACTCGGCCCTCCCACCTCACGATAAACCTTTTCCATCTCCTAAGTCGCCTCCCCGTCCGTCTTCCCCGTCCCCGTCCCCGTCCCTGTCCCATTCGCACTCGCACTCGCACTCCCAACACCACCCATCCCCAAAAAGTCAAACTCAGCCGGGTCCATCCCATACGGCAGGATGAAATTCGCAAAATCCGCCGGGTCCAGGAGTGTCGATGGCAGATCATCTAGGTGTGGTGTTGCTGGTGTTTGGGCCTGGTGTGATTGGAGATGGGGAGTGGATGTGGGGATGGGGGGAAAATCCGCTGAGGAGGTGGGTGCGAGAACGTTTGAGGCTGCGGAGGATGTGTGCGGGAGATTGAGGAAATCGGTGTTGATCGCGTTCGTGCCCGCGAGGTGGGGCATCATGGTCGTTGAGAGGTCGGCGAGGTTCGGGAGGGGTTGCTGCTGCTGCTGCTGTTGTTGTGGTTGCAATCCCGCCGCGTCCACCCCACCCGTCACGTTCCCCAACTGACTCCAATCCAGGCTATTATATTGCCTCATGAGCTGCAAAAGAGTCTGCCGTTCCTCCTCGGTCCCCTGCAGACCCTCAATCCCGCCATCCTGGGTTCCGAAAAGAGCAGTATCATCGAACCTGTTCTCGGTCGCTCCGCCGCTGCTGCTGCTGCTCCCGAGGTCGGGTGTGATGGCACGGTCGCCGGAGTAGTTGTCGAGGTCGAGGGAAGGGTCGAGCCCGACGAGGGAGGAGATGGAGTTGAGGTGGTCTTGGAGGAGGTCGATGTCGTCGGCTACGTCGTCGGCGGCGACTTTGATGTTTTCGAAAGCGGCGTGTTGAGGAGTGAAGGGGAGCTGGGGTTGCTTTTGTTGGAGTTGTTGCTGTTGTTGTTGTTGTTGTTGTAATTGAAGGGTGTTGAGGGCCGTTGGGTATGCTTGTGTCGAACTAACGGTGGGAAAGTTGAAGTTCTGGAAAGGGAAAGTCGTCGCTGGTGGGGTTCCCGCACTGATATTGTTATTGATTACGCTGTCGGGTATATTGAAGGTTGATGAAACGCTGGGAGAAAACGAATCTGAATGGGAAAGTCGTTTAATTGTCATGGTCGGAGTAGACTCACGAAGGAACGGCAAACATGAACGCATACCATTTGAGAAGTCTAGGCCTGTTGAATTTGGGAAGAGAGAAAAAGGTCATTGAGTCTGTGATCCTGCCAACTGCTCGGACACGACCAAAACAGACGCACCTGTCGCGTCCAAATTCAACGACGGCTGTTCCGGAATTCCCTCCAACAACAATCTCCGTTTCTTGTTCGGCAGAGGCCTCTTCTTCGGCGAAAACACCGACGCCAAGAACCTCAGAATCTTCTCTATCGTTTCCTGCTGCCTCTGGTACCTCTCCCTCACAGTCGTCGACTCGCTCCACAGGATCTGGTTCTCTCTCTGTATCTTACTCAGATCCGCGCTGATCGTCAATTGATGCCGTTTGATGGCCGCGATCTCCTGAATGATGTAGTTCATGTCCATGACGCCTTCCTTATCTTCTGTTCCTTCCCGCCCCTTTTTGCGCGATACGAGGCATAGGAGATCCGGCTGGCCGCGTTGGAAATGCGGGTTGGAGAATTCCCAGGTTTCTTCGCCGTCCGCGTGCAGGACGCCTTGTTGTAGATGAGGGATTTTGTGGAACCCATACATGTTGAGTTGGCGAACGAAACTCGCAAAATTGTTGTGTTTGAAGAAGCGAGGAAGGACGTCGTGCGCAAATTCTTCGTGCCGTTCAACTAGACAGGTAGAAACCGAGGTTCGGCGATGAGCACATTTGTTTCGGACAAGAATGGCCTGGATTGGCCTCATTTGGCCTTGCAGGGGATATGTTGCTAGACAAGTATCTCCTTACCTATGAAAGTCGACCCATCGGGTCCCCAGTGAATCATCGAGTCCGTCGTTGGGTCCATGACCATGCTAGAAAACCGGTAATCCTCATGAGAACTTGCCCACCAACTCTCAGATACGATATCAAAAAGAATTCCTGCAGTCCTCTTACTTATAAAGCTTGTTCAAAAACGCCGGCACATTCCTCGCCATCGTGGGACTCATAACCGACCTCGACAGCGGCACCTGATTCGTCGGGTTCTTAATAAGTCTCTGCGCCGCAGACGCCGCAACAGTATTATCCGCTGCCGCCGGCTTTCCCAATGCGACCGCCAAGTCCGATAAGCTCGGGCTGCGAGATTTGTTGTTCGCGAGGGCCGCTGACGCCGCGAGGAGTTCCTCGCTTGGGGTTGAGGCTGCGCGCTTGCGGGACTTTTTGGCGGCGGCGGTGGTGGCAGGCGCTGACTTCGGGGTTGCTGTGGTGGGAGCCGGGGTGGCCGAAGGTCCTCCTGTGCCGGTGCTCGCCATGATTTTGCTGTGCTGTGGATGATTGACGTTTTCTGTATACTGTCTTTCGCTCTGGGTGGGGCAGGAAAGGTCCGTCCAGTGGCCCTGTCCCGCACTCGCAGTTGTCTATCTAGCGATGGATTTGAACGCTGGGAAAATGTTCCCACGGTTTGGGAAAGAGGAGTCCTGCAATGAGACGAGAGATCTGCTACTTTCAGTCCAGCTGTTCCGAGGCAGTCGAATGAGGGGTGGGGGCAGTGTCTCCGTCGTTCAGGCTCTGTCTCGTCAGTGTATGGGGAGAGTGTGATAGTTCAGCCAACGAAGAGTGGGAGTTGCAAGCCATAAATACAGAATAAAGCGTCTGGGAAAACAAAGAGTAGGCCAAAGTGCAGCGAATCACCGCATGACGAATCAGCGCGTCCGTGATGGTTATTGTTGAGGCCCCAAAGTCCGACCCGCTCGCAGATTACTCAACATGACATGACACCGAGAACTACCATATATGAAGAGATGGCCTATCCCCACCCAGCCTCCTCTCCTCCGCTTAGTCGGTAGTGCTGTCAGATATCCAAGAGGCAACAACGGCACTCGACAGCTCCATCTTGAAGTCTGAGTTCGCCCGGCCCGCCTATATGGTGTACTTTCTCTTCCGATGTCACCCTACTAGTATACCGATTCGGTAGATCCCACCATTACCCATTCGCGTTAGAGGCCATCTAGCTCGGCGCGACATAACCACCTTTTTTGTTACCGAAGATGGATTGTTGGAGGTGCATAACGCTAGCCCGTACAATCTGGTCGGCGTTTAATGTTCGCAAGTCCACGAATATGCCAAATAGATTTGCATCATCGTCTGAGAGGTTTTCTCTCAGGTGCGTGGTGAATTTCAGAACGTTGCAAGTGGTGTCCCTTAACATAATCACTTCAACCTTCCCACTGGGCACACTGTGTCCCGCGCCAGGTATCCTGACTTCATCGTCGTCGGTTGAAGTTGGAATCTCTGACAAGACTGACATGGACGAGACGAGAACCCTCCGCCATCATCTCTGACCCGGCAGCCCCGGCACTCCCACCCATTAGCCCTCGCTCGTCCAGGTTTGGCCCGCCATGTCAGTGTCGGGCTTGTGGAGCACGGTTGCTGGAGCATCTAATGTGTTGTGTTGCTATCGTCTCTCGGCGCTACATGGCATCGTGTACAGGGGACATGGGACGTTTTTCCAGAGCCCCTCTCCTCAAGGCGTTTGAAATCTTTCAAGGAACGATGAGCTTATGGTCTGACGACCCAATAACTGTATGTGCATCTTTTTCATGGATCGTCTGGTTGGAGGTATTGCCGGGCTTGAAACCGTCATGGGTATTGACTTGAAGGCGAAGACTGCACTCTGCTCAACCGCCTCGCTGAATGCGTTCGGGGGAGCCTCTCGCGGGCGGCAAGGGCGCGGACGGAAGGAGGAGGGAGGGTGGAAGAGGCTTTCCCCCCCAATTCCGCCTCTTCATCCTCATCGTTAATCTCGCAGCTTCGCCATGAATGCGTCCGACCCTTATTTTTTTTGGAGCATGCATCAGCCGTAGACTGTTGGCTTCCCTCATCGCAATCACGGAAGTGAGAATGCGCGCCAGTCAATAATAGTGTCAGCGCGAGAGATGAGCCACGCCTCCGCACGTCATTCTCATTATTCCCTCACCCCGCCGCCCGCCCGCGAAGCCGCCCCCCCAAACAGCACTCACAACGACTCATTATCGGCTCGGATAAAACCCCCAAGAAACACCCCCGCAGAAGGAAGGCAGCACTCCTCTTAATTATAAGAAGCGGTCTTCGCTCAGAAACTCTCCCTCCCTCGCAGCTGCACACAAGCCCACACACACATCGCGCCCCCCAAGATGACAGACGAGAGCGACAAACCCGTCACCACCGCTGCACTTGCAGACCGCACACACACACACACACCGCCAGGAGGTGCAAGAAAGGACGGTTACAGGACGACGCCCAAGGGTGAAGGGAGGGACGACGGGGAGATTGACAGGGATAGGGGGTATCTTCCGATTGGTAGGAGCCCGAGCCGTAGGCGAGCGAGTGATCTGCGGGTGTGACGCATGAGGGTCATCGAGCGAAGCGAGAGTTCGGGCGGAGCCCCGCTGGATTGCGCCGTACGCGAGTGATAGAGGGCGGTTGCGGGCAAAGCCCGGCTGATTGCACCGTAGGCGCAAGGGAGCCGCTAGGCGACCTGGAGCGAACCCGGACTGCGACAAGTGAAGCGAGGCGCAGGGATGCTTGAGGCAGGCAAGCCTTGGTTTGCTCTGGGAGACCGCAGTGTGGCGAGGTCGACTCGAGCAACCGCAAGCGAAGAGAGCCACATTGCGCCAAGGCGCAATACTCCCCTCACCCATGTATTGATGGTTGATGGGTTGTTGGATGGTTGCTGAGTTGATGGGTTTGTGATGCTTGATGGTCGATGGTTGATGGGTTGATGGGTTGATGGGTTGATGATGTTGACACTTCCGTCTTCGCCTTTGTTTGTAGAGAACTATGGCATGATCGGGAACATGCGCACTGTCGCGATGTGTGGAACAGATGGAGCGATCGATTTCTTCTGCTATCCCAAGTTTGACAGCCCGTCCATGTATGTTCTCTGTTTGGAATGACTTTTGCTTGAGAAGTCATGCTTATTCCACAACTGAATCCCTCTCAAAGCTTCGCTCGGATTTTGGATCAGCACAAGGTACCTGTCGTGATTGAGTTGGGACGTCAGATGTGGTTGCTTGATCCGAGGGACTGACGATATGTATCGCTTCAGGGAGGCCACTTTCATATCTTCCCAGTAGGCGAGACCCGCCACAAGCAGCAGTACCTGCCCAACAGCAATGTCCTTCAAACAAGGTTTCTTTCCGAGGAAGGTGCGAATCAGTCATTGCGGTCGTTGGGGGTTATCAAAAGGACACGTTTCGCTCAATGGTTCCTGTTCATCTTGTTTCAGGAGTCATACATGTAACGGATTTCATGCCAGTCCCCTCCGCCAAGAAACCCTTCCTGCACTGGCTCAACAGGGTCGTGGAGTGCAAGCGCGGGAAATACAAAGTCCGAATTGAGTGCTACCCCGCGTTCGACTATGCGCGGGCGAAACATACTACGACAATCGTGCAAGGTTTGCTTGGAAACCATTGTTGTGCGGAGTTCACACGTGAGAGACTAAAATGTGGGGCATTATGATCAGAACGAGGCCTAGACGGCGTAGTCCGCAAATCCTCCACCGGCTGCTCCGCCGGCGGCGCCACCGTCGTCTTCAAATCCTCCTGCGGTCTCACCATGGACCTCCGCCACGTCATCTACTGCGGCGAAAACTCCGTCGGCATCGACGTCAGCGATCCAGCGGTGCACTGCGACGACTCGTCAAACGACAAGTATGAGGCCCCCGAACTCACCTGGTCCGTCGAGCAGAAGGACAAGATGCTCGGCCCGGGCGTGTGGGCGGAAGTGGAGTTGAAGGAGGGCCAGCGCATTTCGTTTGCGTTTAGGGAACGCCCCGAGGAAGAGGATGCGGCTGTCAACCCGACGTTTGATAATGATTTGATGGAGAGTTTGTTGAAGGATACGTTCAGTTATTGGATCAGGTGGATTGGGAAGAGTAAATACAGTGGGAGGTGGAGGGAGGCGGTTCATCGCAGGTATGACAGGACTTCTACCATTGCTTGTCACCCGCCCTACTTGTCGCCTTCGCTTACGACACCTGACACTTTGCAGTGCACTGTCACTCAAGCTCCTGATCTACGAGCCCACGGGAGCCGTCGTCGCCGCACCGACCTTCGGGCTCCCTGAAGAGCTCGGCGGAGAGAGGAACTGGGATTATCGGTATGTTGGCCTGCCAACGAGGCTGTGATCGTAGACCATTGACGGCTCACTTAACGATTTTGTTGGTTTTGTTTAGGTATACATGGGTCCGGGATTCGGCGTTCACGATCTATGCGTTGATTCGAATCGGTAAGGTCGAGGCCGTCATCCCCTTCCTTCCCTTTCGGATCTACTCACTCCTTTTTTCCTTGCGGAATAGGTCTCACCGAAGAAGCGGAAGGATTCATGAACTTCATCGAGAACCGGTGTCAGGAGCTGGTATGTAGGACCTTTGCATCCATCAACCACTCAACCCACACCGTCCCTGCTCACTCCCATGATGCAGACACCGGAAGGCGCCCTCCAAGTCATGTACACAATCGGTACGTACCCCGCATCCCAAATCTCCCACCCCCCGCCACCGTACTAACCCCACCCCTCTAGACGGCAAGCACGAACTCCCTGAAACCTCCCTCGAGCACCTCGAAGGCTACCGCGGCTCGCGCCCGGTCCGCATCGGCAACGGCGCGTACGACCACCTCCAGCTCGACATCTACGGCGAACTGCTGGACTCGATCTATCTGTATAACAAGTATCGCGCCCCGGTGTCTTATGATACGTGGTGTCAGGTCAGGAAGCTTGTGAATTATGTCTGTGGGAATTGGGATAAGCCGGATGTAAGTGAAGCGCAGTTTGAGGTGCCTGGGGGCTGGGTACGGGGGCGGAGAGACTGATTTGGGGGTTCCGTTTTCAGATGAGCATATGGGAAGTTCGCGGGTTGAAGAAGAACTTTACGTACAGGTTCGTTTGCTCTCCAGGATATCCAGTATCCCTTCGCTCAACTCACCGCACAACTCGTTTCCCCACCCAATAACAGTAAAGTCATGTGCTGGGTCGCCGTCGACAGAGGTGAGTACCGGAGATGCCTCCCAGTACGGTACATGGCCAGGCGCTGACGCTCAACACGATTTTTTACTTCTCCAGGGCTCCGCCTCGCCGAAAAACGCAGCCTTCCCTGCCCCGACCGGGCCAAATGGCTCGAAACGCGGGACAAGATCTACGGTAAATCGTCGGCCCCCCAATTCAACAATCACGCCCTTTCACGTCCCCGCGCTTACGACTGACATCTTTTAATTTTGATTTTAGAAACGGTGATGACAGACGGCTGGTCGGCGAAACGCCAATGCTTCATCCAGTGCTATGAGGAGAAGGAGAACCCGGTGCTGGATGCGAGTATTTTGATTATGCCGCTTTGTTTCTTCATTAGGTTCGTTTGTCTTTGCGGCGTTGAGATTGTCGAGTCTTCGTTGGGGAAGAGAGGGGTGCTGACGAGTGAGATAACTTGTGCCAGTGCGTCGGACCCGAGGATGATCAGCACGATCAAGCAGATTATGTTGCCGCCGGAGAAAGGTAGCGTTCATTCATACCATTACTGCAACACCCTGCCTCGCACTCCCTCATCCATCCCACTGACTGTCCCCATCGCCCCACCTACTTCCTCTGAAGGCGGCCTCCTAGCCAACAACCTAGTCTACCGCTACGACCGGAAAGCATTCGACGACGGCCTGAGCGGCGAAGGCGAGGGGACGTTTAGCATGTGTAAGTTGACACATGGCACCGCGAAGCCTGCCGCTTCTTGTAAGTTTAGTTCAAGAGGCGAGATCGGCGGGGTGGATCATCCCGATGGAGAGGAGTTGGGATGCGATATGGAATTGAAGCAATCCTGCGTTCTGATGCGAAAAAACCAACACGACGGGGCGGTACATCCCCGACTCCCCACGCACACACCACACACCCAAACTCATCTCCCGCATTCCCCATCTCCCAGGCACCTTCTGGCTCGTGGAAGCGCTCTGCCGCGCCGGCAAACAGCACCCGGACCTCCTTGAACGCGCGGTGGTGATGTTTGAGCAGATGATTGCGTACGGGAACCACCTGACGCTCTTCAGCGAGGAGATTGCGGGCAGCGGCGAGATGCTGGGGAACTTCCCGCAGGCGTTTACCCATATTGCGATGATGAGTGCGGCGTTCAATTTGGATAGGAGTTTGAGTGGGAAGGCTGAGGCTTTGTGAAATTCAACAACCCCCGGACTGGGGGGATCAGATGCGACACCCGGTGAAGGCATCGGGTCCGTAGTCTCGACGTAGATTCCCTCCCCGGCTTTCGAGTCCAACCCGTCACTGTCACATTCTCACCCACTAGTCTGTAGCCTGTGCGATTCCCCGATCCTCTCCCGGGCGGATCTGTCTCCACCCCGTATTGGGTAGTTCTGCATATATTTCTCCGTGGTTAGGTGTAGATTCCTCCCCTTTTGTGCACATACGATCCTTTCATAGTATGCATCGAGTTCACCTTCGCCACCGCTGCATCGACCTCCGGCAGCTGTCGCGAGAACCGCCATAGGTCCTGGCATAGCTGGATCCACAGCCCGTGTTCGTTGGATGTTGCGGTCGCCCCGCTGTGAGCGTGGGGGAGAGGGAGGGGTGCCGGGATTTGCGTTTTGTTTCGGACATTTTTGGGGGACGGGGTACACAGGTATATGTATGCGCCTGGAGGGACAGAACGGCTTTCTAATTTAGGACAAACAAACTTTTGCGAGGTCCATAGTCGTATTCCCCTCTCCCCTTTCTCTCCCACCGTTCTGCTGGGTGCCAAAGGTTGGGCTGGCGTATGGGAAACAAGTGCCCCCGCTTTCCTCCAAGACAGACCGGACGGCACACCCGCCGGAGATCGGTGCACCCCTCTCCTCGCTGCACATGACCCTTTTCTCCCACCCACCAGACGGACCACTGCTGGACCTTCTCCGCCTTTTCAACTAAGAGAAAGACCGGTGCTCCTCTCCCTACAGGTGCTCTGTCCCCAAAGTCGGTGCCCGTCCCCTTTAGCTGCCCAATTTCGAGTTTTTCGGGACGAGGCGGAAACACTCGCCCCCCCAGAATTGGCCATATGAGCGCCCCGCCGAGCTCCTCACTCACTCCATCCCAACCGAAGCCAAGGCTCACCTGAATGAGGAAGCAGCGCTGTGCCCGCCCAGCAAAGGCTGTCCCTGCTATTCCGTGGAGTTCCTCCGTAAGTGTGCAGGTTAGAACGCGGCGCTGCTGTCAGTTCGTTCCCCTGATTGCCGTCACTCGCGACCCCATGCATCCCACCCAGCATCCCACCCATCTTCCCCCCCTCAATAAACCCATTACACACAGAACCCCACAGCGCACCCACAACCCCCGCGATCCCCCCCCGCCGCGACAACGGTCCATATGCGCCTCCGGCTGCAACCACGTGCAGGCCCACCCTCCGCCGAGCATGAACGCGATGCACGCCTTGAATTTCATGCCCCCGGGGGAGGGTGTGGCGAGCGAGGGGGACGAGGGACTGGCGTTGTGGGGAGCCCGGGGGCCGGGTTGTCGGGTTCAGCTGGACTGTGAATAAAACTGGGATGGGGGGGACACAACTTACGCGGAGCACGACGGATGGTGGGATGAGACGGGGCGTTGGCCCTTTTTTGGTATGACGCTGTCGGGGTGGGGGTTTCTTTTTTTTCGCGCGGTCGGGGGCTGTGAGGGTCAAGGATAGTTCCGTTGAGATAGCCTCGGAGTAGGAAAAAGGCGCATGGGACCCCCCGCTGAAACAGTCTGCACTGGCGTATATGGGGTCGTCTCCACGTCTCCATGTAGATGTTCGTGTGTGTGAGGGTCAGATTTCATTCGGAAGGCACTTCTTGCGTTCCGAAGCGTTCCGCATATCTCCAGATTCGTTGTGATTTTTGAACGGGGAATGGCGTATTATGTGAATGTGATGATGAGGGAACAGAGTACGAGACAGCCAGCCTATATACAGTACATCCTATGCAGCTCTTGCCCTCGCCGAATCTAAAAAAAAAAGAACCTACGCAATGCCCGGCACCCCCACCACATTCACCCACTCATCCCACGCACAGGTCGCCACAACGCCCTTCCCCCACATACTCCAATCCACACCGACCACAAACTCCGTATGCCCCTCATGCACCCACACACACCCCCTCGCGGGATCCCTGCCCCCCTTTGCACGGTCGGTATCCCACACCCGCATCGTCATGTCGTACCCCACGCTCGCCAACACATTCGCGTGATGAGGTGACCATTTAGCGTTGCGAACGGCGTATTCGTGGCCTTGGAGGAGGATGATTTCACGATCCATGAAGCGGAGATCCCACACTTTGCAGCAGCGGTCGACGGAGCCGGTGACGAGTGTGTTGGGGATGTATTTGTTCCAGTCCAGCGCGAGGATCTCGGCGTTGTGGGCGTGGATCGTGTGTGTGGATTTGTGCGGGGAACGGGTGTCCCAGAGTTTGAGAGTTTGGTCGCCGGAGACGGAGGCGAGCGTTGTGGGGGTGTGTGGGGAGAAGTGGGTTTGGTAGATACAGTGGGTGTGTTCGGTGTAGGTTGCGAGGGAGTGGGGGGTTTCCGGGGACCACTGTGGATAGTAAGGCGAAGTGTGAGGAATGGGAGGATTGGAGGTTGACGGACCGCCGGCCGCTGCACTTACCAGTTTGATGGTGTTATCCCATGACCCAGTCACGAAGGTGCTCTTATCCACCAAGTTCCAGTTGACGGTGAACACCTCCCGGGTATGTTCCGCCCAGTTCCGTATTGGAAAGTCCTACATTGATTTACCCCAAACATCAGTTCACCCACCCCCGCGCGTTCATCACCACCCCCAACCCAACCAACGACACGGAGTACTGTACATACAGGTAATGTGACATCCCACAACTTGATACTCCCATCCCCGCTGCTCGTCACGAGCTGGTTCTCGTGCACTTCGCTCCAGGCGAGGTCGTAGAGGCCGTCTTGCGTGTCGTACACTTTCTCACACTCGATCCCCTCCGGCCCCGCACCGATCCCAAGCACCCATAGCCGGCCATTCCCCACAATCCCAAAGTTCGACGCAGAGGCGCATGCGAGCCGGTTTTCGAAGAAGGGGCTGTATTGCACCTGTTGGTTGGTGGGAGGGGAGAGAAGGGGAGGATGAGGGTTTAGACGGGACGCGTTGGGTGTGATGGAATTGGACGGGAACTGGGGGGTCGAAATCCTCCTCGCGATATGTGGATACGTACCGCATAGCCATTGAACCCCGTTGTCCTAAACCGCATCATACTTCTCCAAGCCCGGTGTATCAGCGTGTGTGTGTGACGACGTTCGAGGGAGCGAGGAGTGGGAGTGGGGGTTGCTGTGAGAAGGTGGGTCCGAATTAAGTCGTGGGGGTGAGCAAAAGACGGTCGAACTGTAGGTGGAGCAGGGAGTGAGCAGGGAGGGAGGGAGAGAGAAGGATGTCGTGGTATGTAGGCTGCTGCTGCTGTTGCGATTTGTCGTAATGAGAACGGAGCGAAGAGGGGCGAAGGTTCCCACGGAACAACACGGGGAATGGCCAGGGGAATGGCGGGCCGGGAAGATGTCCACTTGCACTGCAACCTGACTGCAACCTGTCAACCGCGGCGTTTATCGAAAACAACTCGCCCAGCCCACCAGCACCAGAGCAACCGTCCATAGCGGCAGCCAGCGACCGGAAGAAAACGACAGCCAGGAAGCCATCCCTCAAGCTATACCCGAGCATTATACGGCGTGAAGCACTTGGGCAGAATTGGATGCATCTCGCTGATTATATCTCAAGAGCTACGGTTTCACGAACAGTGAGATATGCGACCCGGCTTCTTCGTCAACAGAGTCGTAAACAAGTTTGTGATCATCGCCGTGGAGGCAAAAATTGGAGAGGCACCTTGCCATAGGACTGGCGGCGAACGCCCCCGGTGCTGGCGTGCGAGGCAGAATCGACGCATGGATGGTTTCGGTGTTCGCGGGATTGCTCTCAAGGAATCCGCCTTCAAGTACGCTGGCAACGAGCTAGAGTATGAGGACTATATTTATACAGCACAGAGGGAATCTTCAGGCTGCACCGGGAACGGCCTCGAACTTCACGAGCCCATGGTGGGCATAGATAAGAACTTCAAGGTTCTCTTCGTGTTCATAGCTGACGCGGTGGGGCCCTACTGACAGCAGCTGTTTGAGGCACACGGTGGATCTGTTTCTGAAGGGGGCGCCCCAAAAAGGGTATGTCGATTCGCTCCTTATTCGTACCCTCGTACTACCGAACTCGAGCAAGAAATCGATGATTTGAAGTCTGGGCCTCACTTCACCCTCACGGCCAAAGTGTGGAATATCGACGAGAAGGTCGAGCAGTCGTATAAGATGAGAGTTACAAAGCACAAGAACTGGGCGAACCGTGAGAAGATTCTCCGAATGGGCGATGTTTACCAAGTTTGGGGTCAACTTGCTGATCCCCGTGCGCTTTTCGGCGAGAACTTCTGGGCACTTTCCACGCTTATCGGTAAAGGCGGCGATCCTGTGGTGAAGAAGGAGCCCAAGCTCTCCGTGCCACGGCGATGCGTCCCCGGTACTCCTGATGCTTGGGGTACGCATCTCTCGCATTCTGCCTCCCTGCAAAGGCTTTGCAGGAGCCGCCTGCATCCATCACCGGTGCTCGAGGTGTTGTCGGCGGGCGGGGAGTATATGGACCTCGTTCGTTGGATGGAGTAAAGAAAGCGATTGAAGAAGCCGTGCGAGCGCTCAGCCTATAACGGTACCGCTGTCGAGCAGGTCCGCCTCCGCATCCCCAGGCTTCCCGCCAATCCACCTGCACCTTTCCTCGTTGCTTCCGTTGGACCGCCTCCGTCGACGCTCCTCCCAAGTCCCAAGTTGCCGAGCAACATCTCGCAGGTCGGCACAACATCATCCTCACACGTAGGACGTCCTTCCTTTTGCCTTGGGCTCCATGCGATGGACTTTCCAACGAAGTTGCTACCCTTGAGAGTGTACAGATAGGACGACAACTCAATTACGAAGCCGCCGTGCGTTGTTACAACTGGGAAAATCCGCCACATGGATTCACATGCCCTGCACAGGGCGAGCATCGACTTTTGCAGCTACGCTGGCCAACGGCACCATCTGCGGAAAAGACTTCATCGTCGTGTCGGGCGCCGCGACCATTAGGGGCGCAGATCGCCCCGACCTCTTTCACGTTTCCGCAATGATGTTCGCCAGCGCACATCATGCTGGATGCAATGATGATCGAGTGGATCTCTCGAAGCCTTGACGTTTGACACTTGGTGTCTGTGTGTGATATTCACCTTTGTATTTGTAAACTCGTAGACCGCACGGCAACATATCCTGGGGGCGGGATTGCGGCCCGACGGCTCTGAGGATGTTTGTTGGAGAGGTGAGAAGACCTTTAACGCATGGATGCTGGAGGGTGGAGGGACGAGCAAGCTACCTGCGCAGAGAAGAAGAACATGCCGCCCTTTGACCGGATTTCGTCTTGTTGGCCACCTCGGACAGCCTCACACTGTGAATTATGAAACACTGGATGCAATGATGATCGAGTGGATCTCTCGGGGCCTTGTTGGTCAGGTTCCATTCCCTCAAACCATGGATTATCCACTCGACGTGCAGATGCTCGGAAAGCCATTGGAGTGGCATGTGTGTATGGGGTGCCGGAGCAGGACAGACTGGAGATCTCCGACAACCTTCTGTATACGCTCATGCGCCTCCAGCAAGAGCATGGAGACAGATTGCACACCGGGGAATTATCAATCGGGCATGTACACACCAGCGACCAAGAAGTCGAGATGACTACTCCCTGACTACTCCAGGACTACTCCCTCCAGTTGGTCAGGTTCCATTTCCAAGGCGGAAATGGACCTCGAGCAAGGCGGAACCGCGACCGAGGCAACAGAATCGAGCTTGTTTGTTATCGGCGATCCGCAGAGCCTCTGAAACATGTTGGGTTAGTGTACTCACCGCCGGCACGTCTCGGCCGAAACAAAGGGAGTGTCCCCCACAAGAAGAGAGGGTCGTGCAGTCGCTGAAGTTGGCCGACATGACAGACTTTTTCGAAAATCGAACAAACAACGAAGACACGGAGAGCACCCGAGCTCACGTCTGAGGAAATCGTGCGCTTGAAGCGTGGAATCTATGTGCTGGTGGCGCGATGTTCGCAGATGAAGGGTTCTACAGCCGATCAATCTCAGCTCCCCGTGGATGTCAGGGCATTGCCGATTGTAGGAGAACAGGAAGTCAGGAGGAAGGCGGCACGAGACATGTGCAACGACGACACTGCTTACACCAATGAGACGGCGCTCCGCTCCACCCTTCCTTGACGGAGTATGTTTCTGGAGCATCGAATGAACCGTTGCGGTGGAAGTCAAGTTTGCAGGCGCCTCTTGTGGACGATTGCAACCTTGATTTCGATCTTAACCTTTCCCTGGATTGTGATCTTCGGCGGTGAGAGGACCGTCATTATGGCGACGGTTGGACATTCGTCCCTCTGGGAGTGAGCCAACAGAGCAGTCGGATGATTGCCTCCATGCCTCGAGCCATCGATCGAATGGAAAGGCCGTCCGACATGTGCGTCTCTTTCGCACCAACTCTCATGCCAGATGCAACGAGGAAGCGGCCGACATCATAGATTTCCCATTCGCCAAAAGTAATTCAGACCCATGTCACGCCAAAGCAAATCCACATCAACCACTACACCTCTTTCGATACATCAGCCCCTAAGATACATTCTGTCCCTCTTTCCCTTGACACACCCTCTCTCGCCCACAACATGGTGAAGAAGCTAGACAAAGCCGGCCTTCGCCTTTTGAGGCGCTACAAGTTCAATTCAGCTGGTATCTTCGACCCCGTCCCGGACAGAAGCTTGGCCGGCCTTTCGACCTGGTCCCGGAGTGAAGTTTATGATTACGCCAACACCTTGCGCATGGGCTATGTCCGGGCAAAACGATGCTTTGAAGGCCGTACTCGTTTCCAAGACGAATACATTCCCGAAGAAAGACGAGACCAAAATCATCAGAAACCCATCGATGCCGCGGCACGAAGATGTGAGGCCTTTTTGGACCGTTTGCACAAGGTTCGTATCCAATTTCACGCACGACGTATTTGGGCAAAGAAAGAGGACTGAACAGAATCCTCTTGCACATTGATATCCGTGAGTAGACGAGGGTTCGCACCCAGCAGAAGCAAGTCTACCAGTATCGGGTTATGCGTCTCCAGATCATCATCGAACCGCTCCTTCTACTATGGCTCTCACACGGTCTTTCTCCCTTGTTCAGCTGCTCACGATCAGGCATAAGATAGAGCACATATGTAGGAGTTCGAATCGCCCAAGGGAGAAAGACCGTGTGAGAGCCATAGTAGAAGGAGCCGCGTTGATGCATGCAGTTCAGGTAGGTTCCCGACAGAATTCCTGAGGAATTCATGCAAACTAGACCCCGTGGCTCTGACTACGTACTTTCCTCCACGTGAGCAGATGAAACGTGAGCGTGAACAGATGGAGCGTGAGCAGATATGAACAGGCCCATCAGGATGATCGGCCAAACCGACGAAACTAGCCCGCTTGGCGTGAGAAAGTCATGATATTGCAGCAACAGGGCGGAACCATTTCCGGCTAAAAAAAGCAGGCACTCAGGATGGGTTGCGAGGCCGGGAGGTGACGAGGCTCCTCGAAGCAACGCCATGGCCGCCTTGGTTGTCGATTACGAAGGTGGACATCAGGATCCTTAGTTTCCGTGGTGTCAATCAATACCAAGCTCTTGTGGGAGGAACTGCTTCGGGTGTCCGCATCCGAGAGTGGAAGAGCTCCGTCGTTGGTCTACCAGCGGGAGCTGCCGCACCGGTTCTGTGGGGATGCTCGGGGGGCTCTAGGCGCTCAAACGGTGCTTTTGTAGTGCTTCGAGATCGGCCGTACGCTGCGATGGTGGCTGAGTATCAGCCGCATGGCTACGCCGGGGCGCACAAGGACAGCGTGGTCGGCGGCGCCGAAGCCATCTTCGAGCTGAACCGGATTTTGTCGATCACGACCTGTTGTCCGATACCTTTCGACCCTCCTGTCGGCGGTATGTGTCTTCCCTTCGGCAGGCGTGGTGAACATTCTGATAACAACCTTCTTTTGCAGTATCGGAGGTTGACAGCCAATGATACCAGCCATGCGCAGTCCGAATTGCAGCCGCATCTCTTTCAAGACGTTGCAAAGGAGTATAACCTCCGGATTGAGGTGAAAGTGACAAAAACGACATCGATTGCAGACTTCCGCCTTTTGATAACCACCGTGTATGATCGTATACTGCGCTGGCACACCACTCGCCAGGTACGTAGGCCTTGTTATGGCTGGCGCACAACAGTCGATGTCTCTATCAACCACACTGAACATCAACCTCGTCAATGTCCAGCACGGCGGACATCTTGCCTCTTCACGGAGGAAGCCCATATGTATCCTATGCAGAGTGTTGTGATGCATGACGGGCGCAACTATAGATCATGGTCATCTTATCACCGTGAGCGGACGCAAAGCCAACTGGATGGTACATTCTCAACGACTTGAATGTTGCGCCGAGCGAACTCTTGGGCAGAATCGTTCGCGCATTGGGGCGAACGGGGTGTATTTCCGGAGCGGTCAGTGAGGGCTTGCGGTATACAGTACAGTACGTCAGGGTTGCAGCCAGCCCTTTTTGGGGACAGTTGCAACCTTGACTTCCATCGCCATCGGTCGCTTCACTACTGCGATGGGGTCTTGGAGGGGCGGACACTGAACGAATAAGGAAACACACGGAACAGGGTGTCTGTCTATCAGATGGACCTGCCGGGTCGTGTAAGTTCTCTGTTCGGGAAGTGGCTTTCGGGATGACGGCGGGGTAATGTGGATAGTGTGGGGTAATACGCATTTCACGATGAGGACTTTTTCGGTCAGGGACCTCGTCATCTTTTGACGCCTTTTCCTGTGACCTTCTCATGAACATCGCTGCTTTTGCACACGCATAGTTTTTCATTTTCCGTTCCCTTTTCGTGAAATCGCCCCCAGAGGGGGGTTCTGCCAAGTTTCGATTATGTGGATATACAAAGAAAGGGGCCATAAATAACAATTGCGGAAGGGAACGCTAAACAGATACAGACGCTACATAAAATGCAGGGGGGCACCTATATACGGCTTCGCGGGTGGATGTGAACGAGTGAATGGGCAAGGCCGCATGGGATGGGGATGGGTGTTCCGCGCTATCTATGTGGGCGGATCTATAGTGCGCGGATGCACAATGATCCGCAAACACCCGCTGCCCCTGGCGCCATGAGACTTTCCAGCCCCACAAGCGCGATGGGGATCCGTCGTATCCCCGCAGCCAGGTTCTTTTCCCGTGTAAATGTGGTCTTCAGGATAAATTAATGTATGCGCAACGCATATGCTCTACTTGCGCTGCTCGAGCTGTTTCTTCCTGTACTCCTCGACCAGCTGGTTCTGCACGAAGGGCATGACGGGGCTGTGTTGCTTGTATTCCATTGCGAATTCTCCTTTACCCTGAATGCACGAAACAAAACATCATATGAGGTCAGAAAGGCGCCTAAAACGTAGCGTGCCGTGCAACAAAAATGATCCGGAACTCCGAACAACCCATACCTGCGTGCAACTCCTCAAGTCCGTCGAAAACCCAAACATCTCATTCAACGGCACCTCAGCCTTGACCTCCACATAATCCTCGACAATCTCCGAATCCCCAATCGTGCCTTTGCGTTTATTCAACAGCCCAATCGCAGCTCCTTGAAACTCCGCCGGCGCAGTCAAACTCACGTCCATGACCGGTTCCAAGATCGCGGGGCCGGCTTTATGGAAGGCTTCACGGAACGCTCCCGCGGCCGCGACTTTGAACGCCATTTCGGAGGAGTCGACGGCGTGCGACATCCCGTCTTCGAGGACAAAGCGGACGTTTGTGATCGGGTGGCCGATCAGGAGGCCCTTTTCGCAGGCCTCGAGGAACCCTTTTTGGATGGCGGGGATGTACTGGGTGGGGATGTTCATGCCGACGGTGCTGTTGACGAATTCGACTGTTTTGCCGTCTTCCAGTGGCTCATCGAGCGGTTCGATGTACCCGACGACTTTCCCGAACTGGCCCGACCCGCCGGACTGTTTCTTGTGCGTGTAGTTGAAGGGGATCTTGGCGTTGATGGTTTCTCGGAATGCGACTTGGGGTTTACCGGTCGTGCAGTCGACGTTGTATTCGCGTTTCATGCGTTCGACGTAGATCTCCAGGTGGAGCTCGCCCATGCCCGAGATGATGGTCTGCTTGCTCTCGGCGTCGACATGTACGCGAAAGGTCGGGTCCTCGCGCTGGAACCTTGAAAGAGCTTTCGAGAAGTTGGTGGACTCTTTCCCCTTGGGTTCGAGGGAGAGGGAGATGACGGGTTGGGGTACGTAGATGGAGGTCATAGAGTAAGCCTGGGTTCCGTCGGTGAAAGTGTCGCCTGAGGCGCAGTCGATTCCGAAGAGGGCGCAGATTTCGCCGGATTGGACGGCGGAAACGTCTTCCATTTCATTGGAGTGCATGCGGACGAGGCGGGAGACTTTGACTTTTTTGTTCGTGCGGGAGTTGGTGATCCAGTCGCCTTTGCGGAGCGTGCCTTGGTAGATGCGGAGGTAGGTTAGTTGACCGAAGCGGCCTTCCTCGAGTTTGAAGGCGAGGCCGATGAGTTTGGCGGAGGAGGAGGAGGAGAGGGTAACTTTGGCTTCGTCGTTGGCAGCGTCGAGGGCGACGTTGTCGACTTCGTTGGGCCGAGGTAGGAAGGCGATCACACCGTCGAGCATGGGCTGCACGCCCTTGTTGTGGTATGCGGAGCCCATGAAAACCGGACAGAATTTGCGTGCAATGGTGGCCCTGCGGAGCGCGTCGTGGAGTTGCTGGGATGTAGGGTTCTCCTCGTTTAAGAAGATCTCTGCAATCTCATCGTCAGCGTCCGCCAGGCACTCGACGAGCTCGGCTCGCTTCTCCGTGGCACGGTCGACGAGATCAGCGGGAACGTCCTCGACGCGGATAGTTTCGCCCTTCTCCCCGTCGTTGTAGTACGCTTTCAACTGCACAAGATCAATCACGCCCTTCAATCCAGTCTCCGCGCCATTAGGGATCTGCACGGCTGCGGCGTTCAGCCTCAGCTTCGTCCTCAATTGGTCAATGACACGCCATGGGTTCGCACCCGCCCGGTCCATTTTGTTGATGAAGCAGATACGCGGGATGTTATACCGCTTCATCTGCCGATCGACCGTCATCGTCTGACTCTGCACGCCTCCCACAGCGCACAGCACGAGCACCGCACTATCCAACACACGCAGCGCCCTCTCGACCTCAATGGTGAAGTCGACGTGCCCGGGAGTGTCGATGATGTTGATAGCGTGGTCGCCCCATTTGGTGTACGTCGCCGCGGACTGGATCGTGATACCCTTCTCGCGCTCCAGTTCCATGGAGTCCATCGTGGCGCCTACATTGTCCTTGCCGCGGACTTCGTGGATTTCGTTGATTCGTCCAGTATAGAAGAGGATGCGCTCTGTTAAGGTTGTTTTGCCAGAGTCGATGTGAGCGGAGATTCCGATGTTGCGGAGTTTGTCCAGCCGTGCCTGAGAAACATTCCGAAGCAACGTTAGGTACAAAGGCCCCAGGTGCGGAAGAACTGGCCATCACGCAAAGCTGTAACCCGCAACAACAAGCACGCACCAAGTCTCCATCATCTAGCGGCGCCGGCGTAGGAGGCTCAAACGGAGCTACCTCAGCTTCCGCGGCCGTCGCCGCGTACGCTCGTCGGAACCATGTGTTTTCTGCAATGGGCGCGCGGAAGATACCGATGCGGCCAGGTATGAGTGGCTTCACGGCGGCGGCAGCGAATATAGGCACCCGCGCCGCTGCCACCCTTTGCAAGAAGGTGTTGACCGGGACCACCATATTTGGCAAAGGTCTCTTCCTACAGCCGTGCTATGTAATGACCTAACTGTCGAAGCCGAATTTCCGCCGTTCGTGTCAGCACATGTTCACTCACCATGAAGAACGTATGAATGGCCAGACTTGTGCATACCTGCAAGTGCCCTGAGCCGGCGTGCCACGATGCGAGGTCCTTGATCCGCCCCTCGCTGTCTAATACGCAGCCTTGAGCGAGCTGAGCGAAAACCCCGACAACGTCCGACGTGTGAGTGAATCCAGGGCGGAATTTCGCGCTTGGTTTAAGTCACTCACGTGACTCCACGAGGGGGAGTATTTTGCAACGCGTCCGGGACAACATGCCTTCGTCGCGTCGACACCGACTTGCAGTATTGGGTCTTCAAGAACGTTCTGAATCTAATAAGCGAGTCTGCCGTAGATACCACCGCAACGTCGGTGAAGCGTCAACAAGATCGAGCGACAAAACCGGCAGCATAGCAGTAACTCGCAGGCGGATATCGACGGCCTTTTCCACCGAAGGCTGACCCACGGTCAAGCGTGGCGAAGCTTTCAGGTGGTTTCTAAACTGCATCTGTGGGTCATGAATGTACATGTACATGTCATGAATGTATAAATCCAATGGTTTTGCGCGAATTGTACTTCTCCTCACGAGTGGCCCGTCCCCACCTCAAAGACGCTGGAAAGCAGATATTGTCAAGGGATGTAAAACGATATCCCACCCCGCATGCAGTCTTATGTAAGACCTAAATTATAGATATATATAGGGCCATTCGTGCCCGTAGTGAAATTATAAATACATCGTCCTGCCCTAATCTATCACGTCATGCATCGATATATCTACATCGCCGGCTTTGGGACTCTTCGGCCGCTAGGCCAGATGTCCACGCATGTCCATCGTCCATCGTCCATGCTACTACGTACGTTGGACCGTAGACCCACACCTCCCTTCCCCATCCTCTATCTACAAGATTGTCCGGGTACGTCAACCCGCCTTACGCCAACCGCTTTACAGTCGAAGTACACCTGTCATACGATGGCGTATTTAGCCAAGCGGAGGATTCGACCCCGGCGTTTTTGTTGACGGTCTAGCGTCTTCATTCGATGTGATACGGGCAGCGCGAGCGCATGTTGTTGTGCCATGATGTGTATTGCGCTAGGATGTGGTCGTCTAAAAGAAAGGCGAGTCAGTCTTTGATACCGAGCGACCGTCACCAGAGAAACGTCTCCTTACCGATATTCCTGTTACTCTTAATAAACACCACCTCATACGGATGCAACGACCGTCCGAAATACAAGTTCGGGAAGTTGACATCCTTCTGATTACACACCCTCTCGAAATCCTTAATCCCATGAAACGCGCTCATCACCGCATCCACCTGGTACCCCTTCTCATGAATCCTATCCGTGAACCTAATCTCTCCAGTGGTGATCGCCTCACTCAACTGCTTCGGGCAATCCATAGGCCCAATGGCCGCATCGTACCCGACCTGGTCGAACGCGAGCAGCATGGACTGGACGTGTTTGGGGAACCATTCGTCGCAATTGTAGGTTGTGCCGACCATTTTGACGGTGGACGACAGACGGGAGGTGAAGAGGTCGGCCCAGCAGGAGTGTTGGGCGTAGGTTGGGAGGAAAGGGCCGCGGACGGAGGCGTTTACTACGAGATACTTTATGTACGTCTTTTTGTAAACGTCGCGCATGCGTTCGACGCCTTGTTTGAAGGAGCCGAGGTCGTAGCAGGCTGGTTGGAATGCGTCTGATGAGAACAAGTCAGGAATAGAGAGGAGGCAGTTCAGCAGCACCTACCGTTCTCCTTCTGCCAGACATAGATGTTAGGGTAGTGCTCCGGAATTGTGATATTGCTCGGTAACGGCGAGTTCAGCACAAACAGAATATCCACATTAGACTGCAGCCCATGCTTCAAAAAGAACTCAATATTCTCGTTCTGAATCGGTCGAGTTCCCTTATAGGTCGGCTCCGGGTCGCCACTGCTCCTCACACCATCATAATACACATACACCACCAGCGTATCCGGTCCCTTCGACCCCGCACCGACCGCCGCCTTGACGTTCGTCGCCAGCTCGTTTGTTCTCAGACGGATGGGATGGTTTTGGGGGACGGAGTGGGAGAGGAGGTAGAGGGCAAGGAAGCCGAAGAGGGTAAAGAGGAGGTAGGTGATGCGGCGGCGGGGTGGGGAGCGTTTGCTTGGGGAGAGGGCGTGGTCCCGGTCGTCGTTGGAGTTTCGACGGTTGTGTAGGGGGATGTAGGTCCGTAAGCGATTCATTGTTTTGGTGGGTATGTGGGTTTAGCTGCCGAAGTGCGGGATGGGGTGTGGGTTTTTGGTCTGGGAAACGAGCACCACAGTTAGCGGCAGCAAGCCGACGGTATTCAGTAGAAGTAGCAGCAGACAAGTGCGAGCAGGGTCAGAATAGTATGTTCATATAGCAGTAAGATGAAGAGTGTGGGAGTCTTTCCTTGGTGGCGAAAAAGAAGGCTGGAAAAGGAGACGGTCAAGAATCGATGTCGAGCGAGACGCGCCAAAACGGCCGCAGAACATTGGCCGCAGGGGCGGAACGTCTCTCCTAACCCTACCTCGCGCACCTTCCGATATGGTATGAACATAGGACCCATCATCTCAAGTCGGCAACGGGGGTTGCAATTGGATGCTGGGAGGGTATATCATCGCACTTTGCCAGACTCCCGTATGGGCGACCACCGGGCAACATACGCACATCGGCTCGCAGCTGAAGTTTCCCGCACAAGGATTCCTTCTCGACAAAGCTGCCCTGAAGTGCACACTTACCAGGCTGCCTATCGCTTATATGAATGATTTACATTCTCTATACGATATGCAGCAATCAAATGGAGCGTAAGGTCTCGAAATACACCTACAGTACATATTCAGTGTGCATGTTCCCATTACAGAGTTGTTTGGGTAGGGGACAGTCGCCAGTTCCACCATTCAGGAATGTGGTGGTGAGTGCTGACGTGATGAGAACCCATACGAAGCAGTCACGGTCACCAATAATGAACATCATCATGTCTCAGCCTGCCCGCCACAAAATGCGCGCATGCATCATCCCAAATTCACTCCCCTAAGCAGTGACGGCCCTCCACAAACTCCTACGCCGGTTTACGGTTTTCCCACGCCCCCATTGCACTTTATCGCAAATTACAGGACACACCAGCTTGCGAAAGCCCACAGCGCCTCAATCTCTCGAAGTGGAGCCGACGTCACTCCCTCTCACGCAGCAGGATACAGAGATTCCCTCGTCGCCTTCATTCGTTGCAGGAACTCGTCAATATTTGGCCAGCACCAGTAATTCGACAGTCAATAGAGGAACCGTCGTGTCAAAAACTTCAGCCTACCTAGCCTACCTCGTCAACAAACCTTCAGTTCCCCACGGAAGACATAACCGGGCGTGACTCGCAGATTGACGAGCGAAGGTATGTTTCGATGGTTCACGTTTCTGCCGTGATTTTCCCACGAGACCTTACCATTCTTCAAATTCAATAGCGGTCACGAATATGTTGACCAACTCGAAAGAAACCAAACCCACCTTCTTGGTCACACTCCCCGAAGAGCTCATCGAAGCAGTGCTGGCTCACTGCCATGACCCTTCTCGGCTCGTGAGAACATGCAAGCTGCTGCACACCATAGGCGCTCGACCGGGGATGCGGGCAAAGTGGTTCCTGCAGAAGTATGGTCCGGCGGATGCAGTGCAGGGCTCGCTTAGATGGACAAAATTGCTCTCTGTAGAGGCTTTGGAGCTGGTATTCAAGTTCGTGCCCGTTGTTCCCAGGTATGATATGCAATTCCTCGATTTCGTGGGAAATTGTACACATTTGATTAACCTTATCGACATCTGCAGATATGTCATCCAGAGGGCGCTCACCCGCTTCCAACACACCAACCAAGCTCATCTGGTGGTACCGCTGCTCAAATACGGCCTAACCCACTACGACGATCTGTCGCTGCACAAAAACGATGGCCAGACGTTCAAAGAGCTCCTGCCCTATGCCTCCGGTCTGCATATTCACACACCTCCGTTCCTCACGGTTGCACGCCTGGAGACGATGGAGAAGCTGGTGATACAGTACAGATTCGATGTCAATTTCTGCAAGTGGAATCCGACCACGGGGACGCCGTTGCTGTTCACCAATGAAGGTGTGTTATTATCAGATGATGACCTTCCAATGGGCGTTCAAGACATCATACTTACAATTCAACGCTTCAGGCTTTCGCGTATTCCTCACAGCGGTCGCCAGCGGCAACTCCATGCTGGTCAAGGCCCTGCTGAAACACAAGATGGTTACGCATGTCCACCGCTTTATCAACCCGTACACAGGTTTATCGACCACTCCATTTGAAGTCATGACGCACTTGTTCGACGCGGGTCCGCATTGGGAAGAAACGTTCTTCGCGCCGGAGTTGCGGACGTATTTGAGGAAGAGTGAGTGAAGTCTTCTCAGAGGCGAGAAGCATGGGAACGGAATCTTACACATACTTCAATTACCATTGGTCCAGCCACGGAAGCACTTCTGCTCGCCACAAAGAACAAGCATCTCCACATCATGAAGCTCCTCCTAACGCACGATCTGGACAGATGGGATACATCAGACGGAGTAGAAGTTCTCTCGGTACGCTCCATTGTCCTCGTCCATGTGATTCATCATCCATCGCTCACAATTTATACGCCTCACAGTGCTGCCTTCAACTCGCGGTGGACGAGTCCTTCGAGTTTGGCGTCGAGCTGCTCACGGAGTACTTAGGTGCCAACCCACCGCCGAAATCAGACCTCGCCCTCAAGAGAGCCCTGCGGCGTGCATGCCTCGACGGGGATCTCAAAGGCGTGAAGATGCTCATCAAGGAGGGGGCATCGTTCGAAAACATCCAGAACGACTTTGTGTTTGGGATGGATCCGTTGAAACATATCATTGCGTTGGAAAAGGCGGAGATCTTCCAGTACCTCATCAAGAACCTGGAATGGGATCGGGAACGGGTACGTGAAACCATATCCCTGATCCATTTAGTTTACGCTCAGGCTAACATCCCCTCTCATATAACACAGCTCTCCCAACTCCTAACCTACGCCATCGACTGCAGCTCCTCCGACAGCGTCCGCTTCCTCCTCCGCCCCCGCGGCAACAAACAAATGCCCACCGTAACCGAACGCCACCTCCGCCGCTGCGTAGTCCACGCCAACGCCGACCTGATGCCCATCCTCTTGCGCACCATCGAAAAACAGGTCCCGGATAAAGTCATCCCGGGCTTCAACGCCGTCCTCCGCCTTGCGCAACGCCGCGCTGTGATACAGACTCAAAGTAGGGTGCAGATTGTGCACTTGCTTGAGGAATATTTTGGGAGGGCCACGGAAAAGGCGAGGTCGTGGAAGGCGAAGACGGCGAAACGGAAGGGGTCGAGTGGGAGTACGGGGAGTAGCAGCAGTAAGGGCCGCGAGGCGGGGTTGGGAGTCGCGCCGAATTCAGGGGTGGTTAAGAAGAATGTTGTGAGGAATACGATGACGTCGAGGCGGGCTAGTGAGGCGCAGAGTTCGCTGCAGTGATGCGACGTCGAGCACTGTCATTATTCGTTGAAACAACCTTCTATGGTAGGACCTTTGTCGCATCTCGATACCTCCCCTGAACTTACGCACCACATCGCTAACAGCCTCTCCATCGCAGCCCACCTCCCATCACCCAAACTCCACTCCCCCTCTGCCCCACGGCTTTGCATACCCTTATACCTATCTATGATTCCCCTCCCGCTATTCCGCCCTGTCCCCTAGATCCCATCCGCCACCCAAACTTCCGTACTTTCTTTGTCGTTTATGTATGTAGTTTTATATTTCGCTGATGATTTTGAAACATCATGCTTTTTGTTTTCTTTTCGGTTCAATTGAGAACCTTTTTTTCTAACTCTCATCCCTTTTTGCTTGGGTACGTATTTGGGATGTTTGAGGAGAGGCGGGAGTTTTGTGCATATACCCTCCCAAAGACTTAAGTTTTCTTTTTGATTTCATCATTTTCTGTTTCGATTCCTCGTAGCTTATTCACCGTCTTTCAACCTTTTGGCGGAGTGACGTGAGCAGTCTCAGTCACGTGCAATAAACTAGTTTAACTCAAATTTAAATGCTCAGCTTACGCTCGGTCCTCATTCCCTGCTGCGAGATTGACGATTCTACAGAAGGCGCTTTCCAACAACCGTTCTTAGAGAACCAGAACTATGAGCACGACGATCCCTACCATCGCCGCCGCCGCGGCCCGGAAGTAGACTGACGCACATTCCCCCGCAGTTTGAGTCAGAACGCCTCATCCTCCGCTGTCCGCGGTTGGCAATGCCGAGGAGCTCGTGAATGCCATACAAGCAAGCCGACCGGAACTACTTGCTTGGATGTCCTGGACCCACGTCCGTCGCACTCTGGAAGATGCACAACAGTCCTTAGCGCGCGCCGAGAAGGCGTATATGGCGGGCGAGGACTTCCGGCGTCCAGATTTTCTGCAAGCAAACGGGTCGTCTTGTGGGCAGTTGCGGGGTTCCACCGTCTGAAGTGGGAGGTGCGCAGTGCGGATCTGGGCTCCTGGGTGCGTTCCGAGTACGCCGGGCAAGGGTACATCACGGAAGCGGTTCAACGTTTGACTCGGTTTGCACAAGAAGAGCGTGGGTTGGACCGGCGCGGCGGTGGCGAGGCGACTGGGTAAGTGTTTGAGGGAATCTTACGAAAGGATGCGATTGGGTGCAATAATGAACGGACTAAATACGATGGTGTTTTCCAAAGTGCGTGGGATTGACTATTGATGAACTGAGAGTGATTCTTCCAAATGTTGCGTACATAGACGGGGAGAATCGGGTGGTCGGATATGAAGAGTGTCGATGTGTGCATAAGTGGCTTTTCTGGACTTTAGGGGGGGATGTGCTGAGGAGTGTTGTCCTTCGATGAATTTGCTCCTCCGCCTTCCGCCGCGTCTGACGCACAACAACAGCCAGAGCAGCCCTCGCATAAAACGCAGCTCAGCAGCACCAATCCACATACCCACGGGCCGCAGCCACCCCTCCGTCCGCTCTCGGCTCGTCTTCCCTGCTTGCAGCCTTGCTCAGACCGAAGCCAATCTTAGGCCTACAACTCTCCAACCCACAACTGATCACCCTCGCAAGATGGCCAAAGGTAAGCAGGGAATTGGTGGAGAACGGGACTTTGAGTGTTGCGCCCAAGAGACGGCGGGGAAGCGCAACACCACTTCGGGGAGGCCGTCTTGACCCCCGCCGAGCTTGACAACTAGTCACCAGCTGTTCCTAACCCCAACCTTCCCACCGCTTCCGAATCCATCCCCCATCCAGTCCCCCGCAATTTCCGCCTCCTCGAGGAACTCGAAAAGGGCGAAAAGGGAATCGGTGACGGCACGACGAGCTATGGCCTTTCGGACGGCGACGACTTGATGATGTCGAATTGGAATGGGACTATTATTGGGCCAGGGCATGTGAGTTTTCGTAGCGGTATTTCCCTTTGTGACGATCTGTGTAGTTGGAGGCATGGCCGGCTACGAAGGGGGCAAAGGGGAGGGTCTACCTAGAGTGGATGGGAGGTGTTTCCTGAGGCGGAGCCGAGATATGCCGCTTGGATGCAGGGATGTTAGCTCCATGGGAAGTGAAAGCTCAAAACTGACCACCCACACCCCTCTCTGCCCTCCCGTAGACGATCCACGAAAACCGCATCTACAGTTTAAAGATCTTCTGCGGGCCCGAGTACCCCGACCGCCCGCCAACCATCTCCTTCTTGTCCAAGATCAACCTCCCGTGCGTCAACCAGAAGTCCGGCAAGGTAAGGAGACACCAGCTATTCTGACATATACCATTTTCCATTTCTAAACCCCTTTTCTGATTTCCCTACGCGTTCACAGGTAGAGAAACTCGCATGCCTAGACAACTGGAAGAGGAGCTACACGCTGGAAACGGTGCTGGGCGAGCTTAGAAGGTAAGGATTTTTTCACCTTCGGTCGTAGATCCACCAGGACTGCTCTTGGCTATTGCATTCCATCCCACGCGTACACGAGAATGCTAACTCAACCACTCTATGTACACAGGGAAATGGCCAACCCGTCAAACAGGAAACTCGCCCAGCCCGCCGAAAACAGTTATTTCTAAGCTTTCACTGTGCGCGTATTGCGTTGCGGGTTCCTCGTGCAGAGAAGGGGCTGTGCGAGGGCGTATGGAGAGGACATCCCGGGGTGTGCGGCGCGCGGCGTGTGGGGGGAGGTCGTGTCGTTGCATTGGCGGGTTGCGAATTTCATCGGGGAGGGCAGAGTCGACCGACACACACGAACCGAAAATTCAGCTCCCGACATCGCGTCTTCCTTGCAACTCTGCGTTTCGTCCCCTTCACACCCACCCTTCATCTGTACGTTGGTTTTGTATTTGGAGGGCAGATGCGGTGGTTTACCATGACATATACAGTACATATGCGAGTTGAAAACATGACATGCATTCGAACATCTGTCGTGAGTGCCTGCATCTAAGTACGAACAGCAAGCAGTGCGCAAATAATCATAACCCGAAAACAAAATACATACACAACGCCACGGGTATCCCCCCTCGCCCTAATCAATCAAATTCCAACTCTTCAACCACCACCGCCCCTTATACCCCATCGCCGGCGTATCAAACCCATACACAAAATCCTGAAAATACACGAAATTCACCACCACCATCGCCAGCACCCCGCCCAGCACCGCCTGATGCACCACGGGGGGCAACACCCTCTTGCCGATATGGTCGACGATGAAGGCGAAGGTGAGGATGGCGAAGTAGAGGGCCGGGAAGTAATGGTGGAGGTAGGTGACGCGCCCCATGAGGAAGAAGGGGAGGTAGTGGAGGGCCCAGCCGCCGAACCCGACTTTTGCGGTAAACCAAAAATCATCCCAGCTCTGGGGGCTGAAATCCCGGTAATGTCGTTTGGCTCTCACGGCGTAAACCAGACACGTGCCGAGGAACACGGCGAGACTCGCGGTCGAGCCCCACCAAACCACCGGATTGCCAATCAACCAATATTTGATGGAGGCGTCGCCCCACCCGCACATGCGGAGACCGACGAGGAGGAACGGCCATTGGTAGGGTTGGGAGGTTAGGGCGTCCGGTTCTTTGTCGGGGTCCGGGGTGAGGGCGTTGTTGGAGGTCCACATGGCGACGTTGAGATCGAGGAAGTCTTTTGTGAATTTGGAGCGGTAGGCGTTTTTGCCGCCTGGTTGGACTGTTTTATCAATGCAAAGTATGTCAACACCAAGGAGGGTTGAGATTTGTGAGGGATTTTTGTGATTTTGATTTTCCACTTACGCTTCTCATGCGAATGCTCCTCGATATTCCACCAATGGTTCCTACTATCATTATCCGCCTCCTTCTGGCACACCACCTCCGCCTGTTTGAAGCCCCACTGCGGCAGCGACACGGCGTGCGAGCGCAGGAGGCACCCGGAGTTGGAGTGGCGGAGACGGAAGCGGGTAGTGAGGGAGCGGATGCGGGTGGATTTTTTGTCAACGAGGTCCTTTGGTGGGCAGGATAGGGGATGGTTAGGGACGAAGGTTTGGGGAACGCACTGTTTGAGACGATGAACTTACGTCAACGCGCTCGACCTTCCACAGATCGTTGCTGTCGCCTACGGTGGCGTTTCCATAACAGCTGACTTCGTTCTGCGATGTGGTGACCGGCGCTTTGACGTTGTGGCTGTGCAGATTGCGACCCGTTGGTTCATGGACTGCAGTAGATACGGTGCATGAAAGGACGAGTGAGTTGGCTTGACTCCCCCAACAGGTACCTTCGCACCGGCCAAAAACATCTGGTGTCCCCTTCCATCGCGTCCGCATCCACCCCCATCCCGTAACGCCAATTCTCAAAACTCACCCAACCGCAAAACATCCCCATCCTTAACAAACTCCACCACCTCCGGGTCCCCCTCCTCCCCCCACGGCTTCGTCACAATCCACTCATTATTCGAGTCCTTATGATGGTAACACGTGACCTGCTGCTGTTCTGATCCCGTGGGGTATCGCTGCACGTGCGAGTGCAGGAGACCTCCGCCGTGGCCGTTGTTTTTGAGTGAGATTTTGGAGCCGTAGGCTAACTCTGTGAGTGGGGTTCCCAGCGGTTAGCTTGGCAAGTAGAGGATGCGGCAGTTGAGTTGAGACCCACCAAGAGGGTTCTCATGGAAGTTGTTTCCTCTCAGCCCAGCCTGGAACAGTGAGCTCATCTGTGCGTCGCCCGGTCCGCTATGGTTCAGAACGGCAAAGTGGAGGACAAAGGAGAATGTGTAGACTGCCATTGGGGCTATGATTAGGCCGGCGATGCGGGCTATCCAGTGATTGGCGTAGGTTGCCTAGAGTGGGTGAGAGGCGAGGTTTAGGCTTTCTGATGGGGGAACGCGGGAATCGGTGAAGTGCTGCGTTCCGTACCGGTGACATTTTGAGGTCGCCTAGCATCTCCCAGAGTTCGTCTACGGTATGCTGCGTTTCAACGCGTGAGTCGAGTGCCGATGCGAGAAAAATCTCGTAGATTCTCCCTTTCCGAACTCACCAATCCAACCAAAGCGATGGCAAACAGCCCAACCCACTTCACGCTCAGCACGGTACCGAGCGACACCCCCGTGGCAAACAACCAAAAGTACCATTCCGGCGTAAACGGCTTCGTCCTTTGATGATTCCGAAACACCGTCAAGCAAAACACGCTCAAGACGGTGAAGAACAGCAACATGGAATCCAGCAAGATGAAGCGACTGATGCACGCCAGCGCGACATCAAACACTACCATCGTCCCCACCAACGCGCACGCCAACGGCGAAAGATGTAACTGGATCGCGGTCAGATACGACAACGGGACCATGCCTATCCCAAACAACGCGTTGGAGACCCGCATGATGGAGTAGTGCACTTCCGGCGGGTAGGTTGCGCCCGACTCGAACTCGAACCCGCCGTCGAACCCTGCTAGTAGCCCCGCAAAGCCATTGATCATCTTCCCCAGTGGTGGATGAACGTCGAAATAGAATGTCCGCTTCAGGTAGTGACCCGCGAATTTGCCGAAATGCGCTTCATCCCAGACGACATAGTTGGCCCAGCCGATCTTGTATAGCCGTGTGATGAAGGCGGCGAGTGTCAGGACGCCTAGTATGATCAGTTGTGTTTGGTCTGTTGGGATGACGGATACCTATTGGGTTGGAGATCATGGTGAGATGGGAATTGCACATGATGTTGACCACAATTTTGTAAAGCGGCACACGCGTTCATCCAGTGTCCGTTGCCAGAACGACATGCTGCTCGCTACCGCTCGCAAGGCACCTTCGAACGGTCCTATGGCCCAAGCATTGGCGCAATGCGCTCGTCTTGCTCGCGTCTCCTTAGCCAACCAATATTGCGCTTTCGGCTCTTTGCGCGCGCCAGCACAACAAGCCGCTGCCGCTCGTAGGACTCCGCCCTTCCTCTTTTCCCTACTTTCCTGCCTCCAACTCACCGATGTAACCGGTGCACTCCGCCTTACACCGTGTTGCTGCTGGTGGTGTGCAAGATGGTGCTTCCCACCGGCGCCCTTGAAGTCGACGTCCAACAAATTTGGGTCCGAGCCTGCCGACGGGAGGACTCCATCCTTCAAGTTTGGCCGTTTCCGCAGACCGGCGTCTGGTTGAGATAGATAGTCCATGGTGGCTACTGGTGATGTGAGACGGCCTCGTTGGAAATAGGCTCTCGGAGGCGCCCGGAAGTCCTTTTCTCCACTCCCAACGGAGGAGCCTCAGAGATCGTTCGACGGGAGAACCACGTAGCCGACGTTCCTTCCTCTCCAACTCTTACTCTCCTTTCTTTACTCTCGATACTGTCCTGCGAAAGCGAGAGCGAGTTGTGGGCACCTCAGTTTTGGTGTGGCCAGCGGCTTGATGTGATCGGGCGTGCGTGAAATTTGAAGAACATGGAGGTGTGCCGTCAATTGATTGCGCAGTCAGGGATTGACTAGAAGTGGGTAACTCGCGCTAAATGTGAGTAATTCGGGTTAGGGTTAGACGTAGTTAGACAGTAGACCCTGATTGTAGGAGGCCGGGTAAGGCCGACTCACCGAAGGCAAAGGGGTTAGGTTTGTTAATCAAATGGTTCACTTTGGCTGTAAAAAAGTCTTATTCTTGGGGTGAGCTACCCACATTTAGCACGAGTTACCCATTCCTGTAGTCACGCCCGCGCAGTCATCCCCAGTGACTCACGCACTCGCCCATTTCGACAGCGCGTGCACGTTGTTCTTGGCAAAGGCGGAGACGGAATCGAAGCAGACCCAGGGCTCACTGCCCAGTAATCGCCCCCCAATGTTTATAATCGGCTCCCCATTCAGCCCGCGAATGAACGAAAAGTCACCTCGAATGAAGCTGAATCCCATTTCTATCATGATATTGTTCAGCAGCAGCTTCCTCGTACGTCATAAGAATATATTTTAAAAACATCAGGTTCCTCCGTCCCTCCGATTTCAAAAGTCCGACTCCTATATAATCAAGCCGACCTCCTCCGCGAGGCACCCCTTGGAAATTTGGAGCTACCAGGGAAAAGCCGGTGGTCGCAAAGAATCCATCACATCGCACTACCATCCGGCGCACAACAAAGATGGACGCCGCAACACGCAAATCCGTAGCCGGCGAGGCCCAGGGAGGCAGCAAACAGCCCTCGCAAAGCTCCTTCCTCACCGGCAGGCTCAACAACATCCCCGGCCGCTCTTCGTCCACCTCCATGACCTCCCGCATCGATGCCTCCAAACTCGCTGCGGGATGTCTGCAGGACCTGCCCGATCTGCAACAGGCCAAGAGTTCATCCAGAGACAATCTGTCTGGCTCGAGGGTCATGGCTGTGCAGTCAAACAGCCAGTACCGCTCCAGTCTTGACCAGCCACCCCAGCAGAAGCAGTCGCAGAGCACCCTGGCCAAAACTGCCATGAAGAATTCCATGAACAGCGTCCAGCGCAAACCAGCCGCGGTGTCGAGGTTCGGCTCCAAACATGATGTCGAAGCCGGTGTTCCTATCGACCGAGATAGCGCGATTAAGGGTACGGCCCAGGCGGAGGATATTGTGGATGAAGGTTTGATGCGCAAGGCAGGCGGCAAGGAGGGTGTGATCAGTTTCCGTGAACCCAGGTGGAAGAAGTGGTTGTCGATCCGCACCACTATCATCGTGCTGTTCATGACGGCCCTCATCTTCAACGGGCTGTTTATCTTCATCTTCATGCTCTTGCGCAACCAGGAGAACGTCATGGTAGGCGTTATCAACCTTTCATCATGAATCCCAAACATACTCAAATCTCGACCATCTCATCGCAGGACCTAGCAACCCAAATCCAAGACACAATCATCCAAGACATCACCGACCGCCTCCTAACCCGTCTCCGCGCCGCCGAATCCCTCGAACGCACCAACGTCGCCATGATCCGCGCCGGCACCCACAACGTCGAAACCGTATCCGGCCTGCAAGCCTACGCCGAATCCATGCAGCTGCTGCTCACCGCTAACCCAAACACCTCCTCCGACGCATACGTGTTCCCGCTCAATGAGAATGGTGGCGGGTGCTGGGGCGCAATTTTCGGGAATGATAAGAAGTTGCAGAAGTGGAATGCGACGGGGACGCCGGCGTTGCCAGATAATAAGGCGAGGTTTTATACGTGGGGACATGATGAGAATGGGGATTATAATGTGCTGGTTAGTAATGGTACGTACCGGCCAGTGGCGGCTATGAGGGCGGATGCAAGGGTGATTCTCACGCATAGGTTACAGCATCGGCGTGGATCGACTATGATGACCCCACATATGAGATGGTGTACAACGTCGAGCCCCGCATCAATCCCGGCGCGATGTTATGGAGTTCTCCCTGGGTGAGTTGCTTTGGCCTTTCAACCTTACCACTGATTCATCAAGCACTAACTCAATCCTGCTGTCTTTTTTCAGGTGTGGTGTGTATACTTTAAAGGTGATTTTAATTGCATCATATGTCGTCCTTGTGAGTGATTATGGGCCTTCTTTCAGGAAAGTCGACAATCGCCCTTATGTGACACTGAGTATGGCTGCGATCAACCCGGCCGGCGTATGGGTTGGCATCGCTGGGACTGACATTGCGGTACGAGAATTCGTCCAGGGAGTTGGTGGCTCACAGTTCGCTCATTTGCCACATTGCTAAATTCGCTGTACTACTTCCCACACAGCTCGGCTCCATCTCTCCCATCCTCCGCGAAGTCGCCACCAGCGCCTCCTCCGACGCGATCCTCCTCATCGTTAACCGCAAGGACGGCATGGTCGTCGGCGCCTCGGACCGCGACCTGTCCTACCGCTGCGACGGCCGAATGACCAACTCCGTCTGCGACGGCACCGTCAGCCTCCTCAAACCCGACAGCCAATACTTCCCGCAATCCTACCACGACGCCGACAGGATCGTCATCGCGGAGTACGGCGGCTGGGACAAAGTCCACGCCAAACGTATCTTCACAGGAGATATCGACGGCCAGGCCAAATTCCTCAACGTCGCACCCCTCGACACGGGCGCTTCCAACCTCCAATGGGCCGTCGTCCTAATGATCAACCAATCCGACTTCCTCTCCGGGGTCACCACCTCCCGCAACGTCGCCATCGGGGTCTTCTGTGGGTTGTTGGCGGTATCGATTGCTCTGACGTTTGTGTTTGCGATGGGGATCACAAAGCCGTTGGCGGATGTGACGGATAAAATGAACAGCTTGTTCAAGGCGAAGGCGGAGAAGATGGCTAAGTTGTTGGAGGAGGAGGGGACGGAGAGTGTGAGGTCGACGACGACGGTTTATGAGGATTCGAACTTGGTGGAGATTAGGCTTTTGCAAGGTATGCACGCGTTCTCTGAATCTTCATAGAAGGGGACACGCGTGGAGCGCACACATCCGCTTTCTCTCCTAGCATCTTTCCAGCAAATGAAAACGACAATTCAAGGCTTCCAGGTGCGTAACACTCACCCGCTCTGACCCACCGTCAACCCTCCATGCGCAAACCACCCCATCTCACCCCCTTCGCTCTCTTGTGCCCTAGAAATTCGTGCACCCATTGGTAGTCCAACGCATCGTCTGGAACGAACCCGGCGCCGCCGATATTTGTGTCACGCGGAAGGAGGTGTCGATCTTCTTCTCCGGTATGTGCTTCTATCAGCAGGCCCCACGACATCTCGCCGAGGGATCTACATGCTAACGACCATCTGATTTCCCCAGACATCAAAGACTTTACAGTCCTCTCCGAACGCCTCCCCGTCGCTGTCCTCATCACCATCTTGTCCAAGTATCTTGGTTTTATGACTGAGATTATCGCACGGTTAGGGGTCCCACTCTTCCGTACTTTTGCGATATGTTTTGTGGCGATTGAACAATCTTGCTCTCTCTATTTGGGCGCAGCACAGCTATGACGGCATCGTCGCGGATTTCATTGGTGATGCTATCATGGTACGCCAGATATCGCTTAGGTCGCGTTCACGCAATGGCTCAAAACTGACGGCTCTCTCTGTGATTTCTCATAGGCATTTTGGGAAGACAGCCCCAACCACGCGACGCTAGCGGTGCAATGCGCCTTGGACCAGCAGGCGGCGATGGCGACGTTCAATCAGATGTTGGCGGGCAAGGGGTATGAGCCCATGTCGGTGCGCATGGGGTTGCATGTGGGGACGGTGCTTGTCGGGAACATCGGGTAACGTAAACATCGAAGCAAGCATATCAACGAGGGATGCAAATGGGGACTCAGCATTGTGCAACGCAAATGTATACACCCCAGATCCGTCCACCGCCTCAAATACGGCTGCGTCGGCGACGACGTCAACCTCTGTTCCCGCCTCGAAGGCCTCAACAAACGCTACAACACCAACATCGTCCTCTCCGACGAAATGGCCCGCCAACTCCCCCCTCTCTTCGAAACCCGCGCCCTCGAACAAGTCATCGTGAAAGGCCGGAGCACCGCAACATACCTACACGAGCTCTGCGGGACGCGCGAGGGGGTATCACCGGCCATCGCTGAGCGCAATCTGACGTTTGACGCCCTGAGGAAGAGGGTGGAGGTGTTGGAGGATGTGGAGGGCGAAGAAGGGATGACGTTGTTGGAAGAGGTGGAAAGGTATTTGATGAATTATCCGGGGGATACGGCGGGGGCGCTGTTGAGGGATCGGTTGACGAGTGGGCATTTGTCGGGGCCGGTTAAGTTGATGGAGAAGTAGGGGTGTGGACTGAGGGAAGGCGCGATTCTGCTTTTGCGCCCGGCTAGTAGGACTGTGGTCCGCTTCGTGGCTGTCTTTTTGGGTTCTTTTGGGGGCATTCTCTGGAGGGAAGATAACATTGCAAGACTGACACGAGGCATTCTTGATACGATACCATGTCCCTCAGTCCCGCTTCATCAGGTCCATCTGCCATCACTCGACTACCCGAGTTATTTCTGGTTGCAATGTATGTTGTACATATGAGCAAAGGTTCGTCTGCCAATGTCCATCGTAGATATCTGGAAAGCCAATCGCCTTCCGGGCCCGACCAGACCTCAAAGTGTATCCGGGTGCGCTTCCCTTGAACCGGACTCCGGAAAACTCATTCTGTCTCGGTTCGGATATGGTCCTTACCTGCCCGAACGAATGCATGCATATTTCGGGGCAGTTTATGCCAAAAACACGGAAAAGCGTCGAGCAACCAGTTCAGTTTTTTTTGACAGGTTTGCTTACGCGAACCAACGCGTGCTTTGTCATGCTGTCATTTTGCGTTTGCACACCAGCGAACGCGGTTACAGCAGAGGTCCCCTACTTGCCAGGACATCCTTGCGAGCTTTCACCGTCGATCCCGAATCTGAAATCTGAAAAGGGTGCGACCCCGTGTGTGAATGCCCGTGTGCGTGCGGGTGACACGGCAGGGGCCCGATATCGAAGTGAACCTGGATGCGCTCAAAAAACGAGATGATGACCACGTACGGGACCCCACTTGAACGTCCTGGCCCAAATTCTTTTCTTCGAAACGTTTATGTACTGGCGCTTTTCGGCCCCCAAAAAGGAAGGATATGCTACATGTTCCCGTTTGTGTCGCAGAGGTAGATATACATTGTGCGTTGGCGGGTATGGTACGCGATGTTATGTCCCCAGGTTGTTTGATACACGCCAAATCACTTTTCAACCCCCTGGCCCTCCCCCAAACACTGCCCGCGTTCCCGCATCTCCCTCAAAACCCGCCGGACCTCCTCCCTCACAACCCACCGGACACACCACACGACCCCTGCGGCGACGACTACCCCCACCACCGCGCGGACGACCCAGTATCCCCAGTTCCACCCGCTTCCGCCTTTACGGGTCCCATTCTCCCCGCCACTCCCGGGCCGTTTAGTCGCAGGCACAAAAGCCCGCACCCCAGCCTCACCAGCCGTCGCCGTGCTCGGCCACATCCTCGCCAGCGCACTGGCCGTCGTCGTGGCTGCAGCTGCGTGACCCGCGCTGACGCTTCGATGCTTGGCAGGCAACAGGGCGTCGATTTTAGCGCGCCGGGCTTCATTCTTTGCGAGCGCGGCCAGTTCGAGTTCCAGGGGGTGCGTTAACGGCGGCGGGGGCGAGGGGGTGGATGTTGACGTCGTGTCTCGTCCGCCCGCGTGGTCTTCTGCGCTGTCTTTCACATCGATGTCAATATCGCTCTCCGCTTCCTCCTGCTGCGTTCCATCCCCACTCTCAACCTCACGCGATTGTGGGTTCGCTTCACACCACTCCCTGACAGCCCCCTCCAGAGCGTTATGATACTCCCTCAACCCCTCGGGCACAGCCGCGTTGATCGGTGTCTTCAACCAGGAAGATTTGAGCCATTCGACTTGGCAGGAGACGCGCAATCGTGTGTGACATGAATTCGATATGGGCGATGCGGACGAGGGCGGCACAGAGGTAAGGCAGAGCTTGAGCCGCGATTGGAAGGCTGTGCCGGAGGGAACGTCGGGGGTGCGGGAGATTTGGAGGATGCATATTGATCTACGTTGTACAGAAGCGGATAAGATGATGAGATAACTGAGGTGTATGCGTCCTGAGTGTGATGGGGTGTGTTTGTAACGTACCGCCCCTCATCCCGCTTAACAACGGTTTCCTCGAGTTTACACTGGGTCTGTTTCGGGCCTAACCGCGATCCAAACCAACCATCCGTAAGCAAAACTCCCATCCCTCCCATCTCGCAAAACGAAGGAAATGACAAAACCTTACCAATAGCCCCACTCAACGGAACAACATACGCCAATTTCCTCTTCCAGCCCACCCCAACCGCGTCATACGTCTGTGGACTCGTCAACGCCTCGCTGTCGAGTGGGACGTCCGTCTCCGGGTCCGGTAGATCCCCATTCGGAGGCGGGTTCCAATCAACGAGTTTAAAATCTACGAGTTGGAGGCATTGTCAGTCAACGATTCGTGGGGGTGATAGTTAACGTGATACATACCGTGACACTTCCGCCCCACCAAAAACCACCTCAAAAAGCCTTCCCTACTGTCCCTCAACCCATACATCAACCGCCACAATACATGTACAGGCACCGGAAACACCGCGTTCAGAACGGGTGTCATGGCGTCGTGTTCGGGGCCGCAGGCGCAGTCTGCTGGTGTCGCCTGTTGTTGTTGTTGTTGCTTCAAGGGCCGTTTTTTCTTCTTAAGTGAGCGGGCGTGCGTTTGGGTGTGGGGGTGCGCGTGCGGGCGTGGATGTGATGTTGGTGGTGGCGTAGGTGGTGATGGAGCTGCCACATTGAAGATATCCGCCTGCACGACCTCCTCACCCCCGGCTTCCCCACCACCACCAACAATCTGTTCATCGCCCTCACCGCGAATGCCGTTCACACCCTCCCCACCAACATCCTCCCAGGCCCCCTCCTTCTCAACCACCTCCGATCGTTCAGTTTTGGGTTTTCCTGTGTGCCGGCGGTGGAGGGTTGGAAGGGTTAGGGCGGGTGCGATTGAGGTTGAGGCTGGGTCGGTGGGATCGGAGGATGGGAGTGGGTGGTCGGTGGTGGGTTGGTGAGTAGAGGAGTCACGCGCTTTTCTGCCGCCATCTGCGACGGATGGCGGGATGACTTTATCGGTTGACATTGTGGTGGTTTCCGAGTCGCTTGCTGAGGCGACGCCGACTTTGCTTTTTGGTGTTCGTTTCCGTGGTTTGGTGTGGTCTTGGAGGGAGTCGGCGGAGTGGCTGCGGGATGTTGGTTGTTTTTGGGGTGCAGATGTTGGTGTCGGTGCGGAATTTGGTGAGATGGTGGTGCGGCCTCTTGTATCGTCCTTCGCGGCTAACCCCTCGGCCGTCACATCATCCACAGCCAACTCCTCAGTCTCATCCTCAACCGGCTTTTTAATCGTCCGTAACTGAAACGACTTCTTCGCCGACAAATCCCACAACCTCACCAGCAAACAAAATGACTCCTCCCTATGCAGAAAGCTCGCAAAAAAGTACTTGACATCGCCCACAGAGACCTCGATCGCATTCGGTATAATCGCCGCCACATTCCGTTTTTCCAGCGCGGTGATGCTTGCAAACGGCAATTCCACCGAATGCACCCAGCCGAGGATATTCGCATAGAAGCAGACATGCCGTTCCGAGATGTACATGCGGCCTTGTATGAGGACCTCTTTTTGCCACGCGCAAGAAAAATCGTCGACGAGGAGGTCGTCGCGCGGGAGGGTGGGGAAGAGGTCGTGGAAGTCTGTGTTGCGTTTTTTGGAGGCAAGGGAGAAGCCGAGAGAGTCTGGGGAGGCGAGGAAGGCGACGGCGGCTTCGGCTACTGAGTCGCCGTTGCGGGTTGTGAGGCTGGAGCGGGGGTAGGTTGTTGAGCCGCGGCGGGAGGATTTGTGGGAGTTGGTGGTGGTGGTGTCTACCTCGAGTTTGGTGTTGCTGATGTTGCTATTGCTGCCGCCTGCGCTACCGGGCATTCGGAAGAGGTTGGATCCAAGCATCTCGCTCTCTGTGACGGCCTTTGCCAATGTGCTTTTGACTACTTCCCTCACCGACTGAGACCGTCTCATCCCAGCCGCGCCGGAAAAGAATGATTCGCCTGTATCGCCTTCGCTCCCTGAATGATTGAGCGAGTCAATATCCCTCGCCTCCGCCTCGCTATTAGCAGCCTTTCGTGCCTTTGCCGCCGCCGCCGACCCATCGCGATCCGAGAACGTTTTTGTGAGCCACGGTAGGGATTTCGCACTCAGGGCGGAGAACGCTTTCTGCGCGCTGGATGGCGGTGATGGGTCTGTTGCGGGTGGAGAGTTAGACGATGATCTTTTGAGAGGTTCCGATGATAATGCATTCGCAGATGTGGAGGTCGGTGGCGATCCACCGGTGTTCAGTTTTGAGCGAACAAAGGGAAGGTTCTGCATGGAAGGGGAGGTGAGAGAGCCGAGGGAAAAGACGCGGCGGACTTCGTTGCTGAGAGCGCTGGCAGCGGACTGGCCGGCTGGAGCGAGAACAGGAACAGGTACGGGTATCGCCGCTGCTGCCGCGGGAGCTTGTTCCTTCGACTGCATGTCTTTTGAGTTTGGTGTTAGCGAGACGTCCGGTGGGGATGACTCTGGGGATGACTCGCTCGCCATGGCGATGATTCCGAACGAGGACTGTATATATATATATATATGTAGGTAACTATGCTACAACAGGAGGCCCCGTCTTCCGCTCCGCAAGACTAATTGAGGTTGGTGATGGAATGTATGGGGAAGGTCTGCGAGCTGTTCCCATAAATACTGCGTAATAAAGCCCCGGGGATTGAGGGCCTTCACCGAGTGACCTTGATGCGAGTCCGTGCGAGGGGCGTCACGTCATGAACCGACGGCCAAGGACCACGTCACCCCACAAACAGACAAGCCCCACGTCAACCCCACCAGACCGCCTCTCACTGAGGGGGATTCCGCTCGGAGCTGATATGGGTGCTAGCGAGGCGGAGAACCCTATAAGGCAGGCGACATTTATCTGGCGGGAAGGAGCCCCGACCTACAAATTAAAGGCGCATACGACCGGCGGAGACCTGGAGGCCGAGCATCTGACCTTGTTCGTCCACCAGCTTTGTAAAGAAGTCATTCATTCACCTTTTCGCCCCAGGCCCTTCTTGGAAATCCGGGGACATCGCATGAGCGTACCAAAGCTGATGCTGTAGTATCATGCCTGGCCGAGACCGCTTCCCAGTAGCTTATTTCGAGGGTTCACATCGTCAATGGATAACATATCGGCCGCTATGTCTGCGGCGTTGTTGCAAACATCAATCAGCAACAGATCTGAGACACACTAGATATAGAGCCTATCAACCGACATACCCCGCACATCCAGATTTAGACAGTCGGAGTGTGTCTCAGCAAACACGCACAGTTTTGCCGTAGACAAGACCCAAATAATCACATCCAAGCTTCTTTTTGTGTGAAGGACCCTCATTTGATATCTTATTATCCAGATCTTATTCTTACAGTTTATCCTCAACTCCATACCTCATCCCTCAAAACGACTATAATATACAACAAACAAAAAATCCCCCCACACCTGCGATCTGTTATTTTATACAAAAGGGGGAGCGTGTCCTCGGCATGGGCTTCTCCCTTTACATTGACACGGAAGGTATTTTGCGCGGCAGACGGGAGTTGCGGTTTTGCTTGGTTTATTGCTGGCTTGCTTCGCCGGGCATGATGACCTGTACGAGGGATGTGGAGTGGTGAGTATTTGGGTGAGGGGAAGACAGAAAAAAGGCCACATCAACGTACATCGTCAATCTTGAGAATCATCTTAACCAACTGAGTCGCCAAATGGAACTGGGATCGCTTCGAGATCAACGGGTCGAACACCGTAAACTCGCGCATATCGTTCGATCCATTCAAGTTGCAGTCAATGCCCAGACGCGGGTTGGCTTCGAGGGCCTGGCGGGACTTGACTTCCGCGAGGGTCTCGATAGGCGACAAGCCAGAGTTCTCCGCGAGGGCCAGCGGGATCGCGTCGAGGGCGTTGGCGAAACCGCGCATGGCGTACTGCTCGATGCTGGAGATCTCGTCGGCGGCTTGGGAGACGGCGAGCGAGCAGGCGATCTCGGCGGCGCCACCTCCGTAGACGATGCGGTTGTCGCGGACGAGATTGCGGACGACGCAGATGGCGTCGTGCAAACTGCGCTTGGCTTCGTCGATGATCTGTGAATGTATTACATAAGTGTCAGGAATCCCACAAAGGTCACTGAGCGGGTAGTCAAGTATCATACCATCTTGTTACCGCCTCGGACAAATAAAGTGACGGCACGAGTGTTCGCACATTCCTCAATAACCAGCATGCGGTCCTTTGTGGTTCCAAAGGAGATCTCACGCACGACTCCGGCCTTTCCTAACTTCTCCTTGCTCAGCTCCTCGAACCGCGGCACGATCCTTCCGTTGGTGGCAATGGCAATCAGCTCAATCTCCGGTCCTCCGACCCATCGGACAGCAGGCAACTGGTTTTGCAAAAGCAGATGATTCGCCTCGTCATCGAAACCCCATTGGCATATGACCAGGTTGGCTCCAGCGTCCTTGACCTGCTTCACCATCTCCTCAAACTTCTCCTTCTCGTACTTTTGCAGCTTCTGGTATTCCTCAACGGACGTAATGTCGAGCTTGTGCTTGGTTTTGGGCTTTGGGGGCTCAAACGCGCAGGTGAGGATGGCTATCCTGGCATCCCTGATCTCCTTGGGCATTTGGGGGTGCGACATATCCTTGTCTACGACGACTCCGAAAACCAGCTTGGAGTCCTGCAGGGATCCTCCGAGCTTGCCATCAACCTTGATAAGCTCGAAGTCAACGTCTTTCCTCTCCAAATCAGCCACGGACAAAACAGCGTCCACAGCCATTTGGGCGAACTGGTCGTGGCATTTAGATACGCTGCGCAAAAAAAGCAGCCGTAAGTTGATAATTCGAAACGCAGCATCTACCAGGATCTCAAACGGCAAGCCTTACATTTTCGATCCCAGGCACGTCTTTGCCGTCTTCAACAAAATCTCAGTGTTCTCCTTGTCCACCTTGATCTCATCGGCAATCTTGTCCAACTCGGCAACAGCCACATTACATGCCCGCTCGAAACCGTCGGAAATTCGGATAGGGTGAAGACCCTTGTTCAACAGAGTTTCCGCCTGCTCGAGCAGCGCACCCGCCAGCACAACGACACCCGTTGTCCCATCTCCGATCTCGTCGTCTTGACTCTTCGATAGTTGCACTAGAAGTTTCGCAATCTGGTGCTCGACCTCCATTTGACTCAGAATAGTCGCTCCATCGTTCGTTATTGTAATATCACCATCGGGAGAGATCAGAATCTTATCGAGACCTATGGGAATAGTTTTGCTCAGCAAATGGCATTCCGACTGGCGGCCAGGCAAAGCCTTTCTCGCAAGGTACTCACCTCGTGGTCCTAATGACGTCTTCAAAATGTTTGCTACCGTCCGCGCAGCCAGGATATGTGACTAAAGTGCGTGGAAATATAGATCAGATCTCGGAATTCGCATGCTATCCCGCAATTTGCCACACCAAGTCCCGCCAACACCGCTTGGCCACCCAACACAGTAGTGACGAGTATTTCTAGAGTATTTGGTGTCCGTTCGCGCGGTCGTGAATGGGAATGTCGCCCCAGATCGCATGTTGGGATCTAGATTGGTCATCGCGTCCTTCCTCGTTCCACATTCCCATCGGCAATGTCTGCCAAATGCCCGCGAAAGCTGCACCGTTCAAGCACCAGCATCTCGCCGCACCCGTCTCTGCCGTCACGGTAGGTGCTCCCAGGGTCAACAATGCCTACCTTCTGCGCCTCAATCCCTCTAATGCGACTCTTCTTGCCCTGCTCACGCAGGATAATGACGGGCCGACCGTACTCGTCGGTGGCGTAGACAGCGTCCATTCCGTTCATAGTGGATAGTTAACTTCCTCGTTGTCCGAGTTCTCAGATGGATGGATGGATGGATGGATAGAGTGCTCGTCGTCGTTGTTGGTTCGTCGTCGTCGTCCCCTGATGGATGGATTCGCAATTCGAGCGCAGTCACTTCAATGCGGGACGCGTCCGATAATTGAACGAGAAGTGTCCGATTCACATTGAGTTGCCAAACCCTCGTCCATTTGAGACTCCGATGGGAGGCAAAGGGACAGGCCAGGACTGATACACAAAATCACTCTTACTGCGACATGCCTCAGAGATTCGAGGACAAGTTGTCATGGTATATATGTCTAATCGGCTCGAAATGAGCCAGAAACGCAATAACGATATCACTTCGTTTGGAGCGTGCTTGGTTGTAGAGGAGCAGCAGCAGTTTATCAGCTTCGAGGACCTAGCAATCCACATTCACATTGATCATCTTCCGAGAAGCTCTGGAACGGATGACCAATGCTTGATGGGCATGCATCAAAGTTTCTCATTATGTGCCGCCTCATCCGACATTGATCACTTTTCCAATTCCGCCCCTCAACTAGATGTACATACACCTGCCGCAATTTTTTGTATATCTGGACTGGACTGTCATATGTGGTCGCTTGGTGCAAAGTATATCAATGACGGGTCGAGGTTGAAAACAGCGCCCGACGCGCTCCCTTCTGAGCAGCTAGGATCGAGTCGGGGTCCTCGTCACGCAATGCTCATCCCGATTGACAAGGTTCCCGGTGTCATACATTACTTGCAAAATACATCCCACACAACGTTGGTTTCCGTACCGGTGCCAAATCGAGCATCGCTGGTTGCTCCCTCTGAGTGTCAGCATACTGGCTGGTGAATTGACGGAAATTTTGGTAAATTCGCTTCTAGTTCCCGTACCCACTTCATATACTGTATATATAGCTGCAGGAGATCAGATCAGCTTTGCCTCCATGCTCGTGGAGCTCATCCGCTTATCTTTCAGCGGTAGGGTCACATATGCGGCATGGAGGAGCATCTGCGCCCGAAGTCCGCTGCAATGTCTCGCGAACGAAGTCGTCTGTCCAATCGGGCGATGTGAACTGCAGCGGTGCCATGAAGCAGGCCATGTCTGTATAGTCAAGAGCGGAACTAGGACGTCCCTGGACCAACGTCCTTGCCCAAACAAGCCGCATCCCATCTCGCATTCAAGACACCTCATGCAACTGTCCGACTCTGATATCCTGTATCGGGTTCCCGTCAGATACTCTCTCAATGGACGCTGCCGGCGGTTTGAAATTCCCCCAAGTCCTTTCCGTTGACAACATTCCAGCACGGTGTCGAAAGTGGAAAGCCGCTCGACGACGCGACGCGTACAAACGTGTCTGTGTCGCCGTGAGGTCCGTGGACCGACAACAGTTGGCGCCTCGAAGTTCCGAAGACCTTAATGCTTGTCGATCCTCTCAACAACACCTGCATTCCCGGTCTCCCACTGGACTTCAAGAGCAGCATCCCGCCGTCCATGTCCGTGGTTACTCGTCATGAAGTTCGGTTGAAGGAGGCGTGAGTAGGTCTTGTGGCCTGTTCCCCGCTATGTGTCACCACGGCCTTGCTCCCTTTTTCCCCATCGATGCCCTCATGCAAACGACGTCGACGGGGAAAGTCTCCAAGCAGCCTCCGTTGGGAGATTGGTAGGAGGGCTTTCTTCCGGATTCTTTGATTAGCCCCCACCTCAATCGTCATAATAAAGAAGTGTGTGAACCCGGTCCCTGCGCGCCTCGCTTCGCTTTCGCTTTCTTTCTTTCCAAACCAGCAACTGCACACTCAGATTATACCCATTCACCCAACTTCATCAACAGGTAAGGCGGCGCATCGTGCTCTCCTTTGCCCCTCCCCCACTTACCAAAACCCGTCTTACGCTCCTTGCTTTCGCCTACCCTCCATTGTGAACTACAGCCATGTCCACACTCGCCGAACTTCCCCTCGACGTGACCTTCTCCCCCATCAAGGAGTCGGACGTCTCCCGCGAGATGACCACCCGCTACATGCAGGACATGCTCGACTACGCTGACGTCGATGTCGTCATCGTCGGTGCTGGTCCCGCTGGTACGTCCAACTCTCACCCCATTGCCCCATTTCCCATCTCGGCAGCGTGATCTGCATACTCATCATGCATCATGATGCACATTGCTTATAGGTCTCAGCGCCGCATATGAGTTCACCAAGCACCCCGAGATCAAGGTCGCCTTGATTGAGGCCTCTGTCGCGCCCGGTGGTGGTGCGTGGGTTGGTGGACAGCTGTTCACGCCTATGGTAGTCAGGAAGCCCGCCCACCTTGTGTTGGATGAGCTGAACATTCAGTACGATGAGAAGGAGCACTACGTTGTCTTGAAGGTGGGGTGCTTTGTCTTTTTTGTGTGGATATTCCTTTTTGTAAGGGATTGCTGATGGCTTTTGTGATTTCGCAGCACGCTGGTCTGTTCACGGCCACCATCCTCGCCAAGGTGCTTGCCTCCCCTAACGTCAAGCTCTTCAACGCTACCTCCGTTGAGGACCTGATCATCCGCGGTGACTCTGTCAAAGGTGTTGTTACCAACTGGGCTCTTGTCACCAAGGTATGGAAAGAAAACACATGCAATTCACACCGTAACATCGTCTAAATCCTGGGTTCCAAACCGATTCCTTCACACCAGGCCCATGGCACCCAATCCTGCATGGACCCCCAAGTGATCGAGTCCAAGATCGTCGTCTCCTCCTGCGGCCACGACGGACCGTTCGGCGCCACCGGCGTGCGTCGCCTCGCCGAGCTCGGCATGATCGAGAAGCTCCCCGGTATGCGCGCTCTCGACATGAATGCGGCCGAGGACGCCGTCGTTGCCAAGACTCAGGAGATTGTCCCCGGTATGATTGTGACTGGTATGGAGGTTGCTGAGGCCTATGGTACCTCCCGTATGGGTCCTACTTTCGGTATGTATTGGGTGTTCGGTCTTTCGAGATGTCACCTTTTCTGTTCCCTTGAAGCCAGCGTTCACTGAATACGCTCATCCTTCCCACAGGCGCTATGCTCATGTCCGGCCGCAAAGCCGCCCACCTCGCCCTCTCCAAGCTCAACAAGCAGAAGGCCGTCGGCAAGTAGGTCGAGATAGGCAGTATGTAACGTAAAATGAACTCCCCATGGCGTAGTGAAAAGCGTAGTGTGTATTCAATGTATATACCATCCCTCCCATAACCTGGGCGTAGTGATAGCCCCGTAGGCGGAAATCTCTTCTTTATGAACATTGCGTTCAAGAGTGTTATCCCTTCGCCAACGATTATTTTCCCAATCGATATAATATGAAGAGGCCATGGTTGTGGGATAGAGCGCAGACGAGTCAGTAAGACGTTGATGCGATACATAGGCCATCGGAGTCATGGACACAAAGCCTTTGAAAAAAAAAGTCCGGAAGGTTTGAACTCGGAAGGAGAACCGTCCGATGTCCATTCCTTTGCGCGTGACGCAAATCGTTGTTGGGCTCTAAGCAGAGCTTGAGCGGAACGGTGTATCGCTATCTTGAAGAAGATGCTTAAAACCGTACCTTAATGTAACGGGAGACGATTGGGTTGACAAACTGCCGTTGTTGGAGTTTGCCTACAACCGTACGCAGAACAGCACTGGATACTGCCCTTTTGAGGTTGATTTGGGTAGAATTCTGCAGCCGCCGATGCATTGGCAAGTTGACGCAAAGGTGTTGCAACGTATGGACGCTACGTCGATCCCATTCTTGCATAAGTCACGACGTGAGCTCATTGTACAGATGGAGAAGCGTGCTGAGGCATACCGATCCATTGAACTCATAGTGCAGCAGAGACTGCGGGAAGCCCAGGACAAACAAGCGAAGTATCATGATCGTGGACGTCATGTACAGAGCTTTAGTCCAACAGCGACGGTGACAGTACGGTACGTCAGGGTTGCAGCAACCCTTTTTGGGGACAGTTGCAACCTTGACTTCCCTCACCATCAGTCGCCTCACTACTGCGATGGGGTCTTGGAGGGGCGGACACTGAACAAATAAGGAAACACACGGAACAGGGTGTCTGTCTATCAGACGGAGCTGCCGGGTCGTGTAAGTTCTCTGTTCGGGAAGTGGCTTTCGGGATGACGGCAAGGTAATGTGGATAGTGTGGGGGAATACGCGTTTCATGATGAGGGCTTTTTCGGTCAGGGACCTTCCTGTGCCCTTCTCATGAACGAGCATACATAGGCGCTGGGACTTGACTCAGACTTGAACATCGGGTAGTACAGTCATTACAGTATGATGTTGTGATACCTTGTGAAGGTTGGGTTGGACCGTTGGAGCCCCACAGTTCAGATAAGATCGCGGAACGAGGGGAAAGAGGCTCCGAGTTCACAACTTCACAAGGGCTGCAGCTGAACTGGTTGTCTCTCTGGGAAAACAAGAGCTCTCTCGCTCGCACCTTTGCATACATACTGTACTTGGTCTACCACCCTGCAAAACGACGAGCAACACGGACACGCAGGCCTCGCTTGTCACTACTCTTTGGAAGTTTGTTTACCTCAACTCAGTTGCCCCCGAAAAAAGCAGCCGCAATGGAAAAAGGCCACTTCGACACTCCGCATGCCAGCGGGCCTCTGACCGACGAGCAGCGGTTGGAGCAGCTGGGTTACAAGCAGGTGGGTACTTCCAATTCAGCGCCTCTGACCACCTTTACAAGGTTTTGTATATTGGAAAGTGCGCCGACTCACGTCTGGAATTTCCACCCACCAACCATAAAGGAATTGCGCCGCGAACTGTCCAGCTTCACCAACTTTGCCTTTTCCTTTTCAATTATCAGTATCCTCACCGGGCTCAATGTGAGTGAGATGGCAGAGAGGGAATACCATTGTCTACGATTTGCATCGCATGCTCAAATTTTGTTACCTAGGGACTGTACATGTATGGCTTCAACACTGGCGGTCCCGCAACCATCATCGTAAGCACCCTCCCTCAAAACCCCAAATCAGGCCGTCCCATCCACTGATGCCCCTCGATCCTTCTCTCCCTCCGACAGTGGGGCTGGCCAGTAGTCTCCTTCTTCACCCTCCTCGTCGGTCTCGCAATGGCCGAGATATGTTCCAGCTTTCCAACATCCGGGGGATTATACTACTGGTCGGCTCAATTGAGTGGGCCAAAGTATGCCCCATTAGCCAGTTGGGTGACTGGCTGGTTTAATTTGATTGGGCAGATTGCTTGTACGAGTGGTATTATTTTTGCAAATGCGGCGGTGGTTTTGCAGGTGGTCGCGTTGAATAGGGAGGAGGTAAGCGAAGCGAGAGCGAGCGGATGCTTGAGGCAGGCGAGGTCGACCAGAGCGGCGAGCGGAGCGATTCCTTGTGCCGAATGCGCAATACCCCTAATTACGGCTCTTAGCGAGCCTCAGCGAGCGTCAGATCTTTTGCGAGCGAAGCGAGCACCACACTGCGCCATAGGCGCAGGATTCCGCTACCAAGTGTTCATCCAGCCAACCTTCGCATCGCTCATCGAACTTCGCTCATACAACTTTGCTTTGCTTCGCTTAGTTTGTACCCGAGCCATACCACCAAGTACTAGTCTGCGCCGCGATCCTAATCGTACACGGCCTGCTCAACACGTTCGCCGTCAAACTCGTCAACCAGCTAAACTACGTCTCCGTCTGGTGGCACATTCTCGGCACCATCACAATCGTCGCCGTCATCCTCGCCCTCGCCCCCACCCACCAATCCGCCACTTACGTCTTTACCACCTACCGCGACGCCACCGGCGGCTGGGGCGACGTCGCTGGGCGCGGCTACGTCATCCTCATCGGTTTGCTTACCGCTCAATTCACCATGACCGGCTACGACGCCTCCGCACATATGACCGAGGAGACCAAAAACGCCGCCATCTCCGGACCAGTGGGGATTGTGATGTCCATTGTCGTATCGTTTGTGGTGGGATGGTTTTATTTGATTGGGTTGACGTTCAGTATCCAGAATGAGGGCGCGGTGGGCGGGGAGGACGGCAGTGTGGGGGGTGTTATGCAGATCTTTTTGGATACGACCGGGACGAGGGGCGCGACGCTTTTGGGGTGTGTGGTGCTCGGCGCGATGTTTTGGTGTGGGATGAGTTCCGTCACGTCCAATTCTCGAATGGTGAGTGCCGCGAAGCAATGAATTCATGCATCCCACCTTCTTTCGCTTACTCATGAAAACCCACTCACCTCTCACTCCCCGTTTCCACAGATCTATGCCTTTACGAGGGACGGGGCGCTTCCGTTTTCCTCGTACCTCCACATCATCAACCCGTCCACACACACCCCCGTCCGCGCCGTCTGGCTCTCCACCGTCCTCTCCCTCGTCCTAATCCTTCCCATCCTCGGCAACTCCACCGCCTTCGCCGCCATCACATCCATTGCGACCATCGGGCTGTACGTCTCGTACGCCATCCCCGTTTTCCTGAGATTGACCCTGGGGAGACATACGTTCAGGAAGGGACCGGTGCATCTTGGGAAGTGGAGTAAGGTGGTCGGGTGGACGGCCGTGTGCTGGACGGCGCTGATCACGGTGTTGTTTGTGTTGCCGACTGGGTACCCTGTCACGGCACAGAATATGAATTACGCGGTGGTGAGTAGGCAGTCCCCCATCTCTTCTGTAACATGTCTGTCATCCCCCCCGCTGATTTTTTTTTGGGGGGGGGTCTAGGTGATGTTGGGCTTCGTACTCGTGCTTTCAATGGGCTGGTGGATTGTGGATGCGAGGAAATGGTTCAAGGGCCCGAAGATTGCGGCGTTTGCACCCGCGTCCGCACCCCCGGGGGTGGTTGATCGGGACGCGACGGAGATTGCGTTGTGAACGAGAGAGGCGGCGTATGTGCGGGATTTTGAGTGAGGGAGTGAGGGAGAGGATTGTAGAACACTTTTTCTGTTTTTGTTTTTTTTTTCCCCGCGGGTTCGGGGTGGATGTTTTTGGGTTTTGGGACTGTGAGCTTTTTTTTTTTTGCTTTTGTTTTGTTGTATGGGCTTTTTTGAGCGGGATTGATATCCGACTATATTGTGGACTTTGTACGAACAATCGCAGTTTCATCGAGGAGGGATATGTTGCGGGTTATATGATGTTGCGCTATGGCACGGAAGGCTGTCTGTGTTGGGGCTCCGCAGATTGTGACGGATAGGCATCGCGATGGACTCTGCGGAGTCTGCTGATGGAAGAGCGACGTACTTTAATGGTGGACTACGAATGATCAGTGTTGAGCATGTTACAGATGGGGCTCCAAGTCTGCTCCGCTGTTAACACCGTCGCACAACCTATTTACGTATACTTGGATCTATACAAAAGTCCGCTGATTGCCGTAGCATATCCATATCTAATGCAGGGTCCCATCCTCGCTCCATCCCTTCACTCCGCCCTCCTCTCCACCCCCGCATCACCATCAACATCAACCTCAACCCTTACCTCTTCCTCCTCCTCCTCCCCCACCGTCTCCCCACTCGTCTCCCGAACCACCTCCTCCTCCCTCCCCTTAACCCCCAAAAACATGCCCAACATCCCCAAATCATAACTAGCCTTCAACACGCCCGCCACCACAAACGCGACCCAAAACCGGCCATTCGCCGCCAGGTAACCGGTAATGACCGGCCCGCCGCTCTGCGCACACGTCTTGACCGTGTTCACGATGCCCATCACGGCCGTGCGTTCCGCGGGGAGGATGATGATCGACAGGAAGGTTGTGCGCGGGGCCTGGTCCATGGACGCGAGGGAGGCGCGGGCGAACAGGAACACGAGCGTCACCGCGATCGAGGATGGGAAGGGGAACAGGGCTAGGAAGATGGCTGACGGGAGGTGGGTGAACACCATCGTGGGCACCAGCCCGATGCGTTTGGAGATGCTGGACGCCGCGATGTTGCCGAGGGAGGCGGTGAAGGAGGCCGTGGAGAGGATGGAGCCGAGTTGGGACTTTGGGAGTTGGAATTTGGTGTCGAGGAAGTAGGCGACGAGCGAGGTGGGGACCATGCCGGAGGCGAGGGAGTCGATGGAGAAGATGAGGCTGATTTTGAGGAGGAGGGTGAGGGTGGCGGGGGAGAGGTGGGAAAAGATGCCTTTTCGGTCCGGTGGTGGTGGATTGCTGGTGGGTGTGGTCGCTGCTGGGGATGTTGTCGTCGGCCCCATCGTCGCCGCCCCATCGCCCAAAAGCGGTCTCCTCTCCTCATCCACCTCCGGCACCCTCGCCGGCTCACACCCCTCCCCCAACCCCATCGCCACACACCCCTTCACAAACCCCACCACCGCATACCCCCAAAACACCGCCCGATACGCCTCCACACCCGTCCACCCCTCCCTCTCCCCCAACACCTGCACCACCCACCCGGCCCCCAACGACCCGCCCGCCGCCCCGAGCGTCCCCACCACGACATACCACGCAAACACATCCGACCGCGTCGCGGGGGACGAGAGATGCGCGAGCGTCGATTCCTCGACGGCGCGGAACGGGCCGATCTCATTCCCGGAGGGCGAAATCACCCCAACGATAGCCGCCACCAACAGAATGTAGTAGTTGTCCGTGAGCGCAAACACGACCCCGGAAACCATCATCAACCCACACGACAGCACCAATATCCGCCGCCGGCCCAAGCTATCCGCCACCACCGTCAGAAACAAGCTGATGATCACATCCCCGAGCAATGTCAGCGTCATGAACAGCCCGATCTTCTCGTCCGAATGCCCGAGGGCTGAGAAGTAGACCGCGAGGATCAGCGTCGAGGCGCCGTATGCGAACATGCGCAGGAATTTGGACAGGAGGAGGAGGTGGATGTCGCGCGCGGCATGGAGGATAGTGGTTAGACCTAGCTCCTGGAGGATGGCGGAGGTGGGCATGGTTGGGCAGGACTTGGAGGGTGCGGAGGTGGAGATGGTGGTTGGTTGTGCTGTGCTGCAAACTACGTGCAGGTAGAAACGGGCACCGATTGCAGATGTGCGGAGGCCGGGAAGTTCAGGAAAGGGGCCCTTACAGTATCAAAGACCGCGCGCTTGTGGGACCGCACACACAAACCACCCCCACACAGCAGCCCACATAGCGAGATATCCCACCCTGCAGCATCTCCCTCTAATGGAAGCGTCTATATTCCCATTTATCTTTCCTCTCAGCCGCTTTATCTACGTGATTTCTCCCAAAAAAAACTGTCCCCCAAAATATTCATCCCACTACATCACATCCGTCGCAACTGCACATCCTCATCATACCCCGCCACCCCTCTATTCGCACCCCTCCCCTTGCCCTTCGCATCCAAGATTGAATCATCATCCGAGATCGTCTCCTCATCCTCATCCTCATCATCCAATGTGATCACACTACTCGACGGCGTCTGCAGCGGTTGATACACTCCCCCATCACCCGCGTTATTCGGATTCCGCGGCCGCGACGACTCGGTCTTTGGTAACAGCGGATTCGCGCTCATCGGAGCCGCGTTCCTCCCCGATGTCGAGTATACGGAGATGAGGGCGTTGACCCACAGGTATGTCAGCGACGCAATGGTGATTTGGAGGAGGATGTAAGTCGAATGGTCCACCCCGATACCGTTGATCAACGCGAGCTGTTCTTCGGTGACCGTCATGAACATTGTGCCGGAGACGGTGAGGAGGAAAGGGGGGATGTGTTGGAACGATCGGACGTTGGCACTGTCCGCGGGTGCGTCTCTCAAGATGAAAGAGATCTCGATCACCCGTGTCAACCCAGCAAGCATCAACGTCCCCCCAAACGCCGCATGCAATTTCGCGGAGAATTCAAGACTTTGTGCGTGCGTGAAAAACGAGTACCCCGTGAAAATCAGTATGATCCCCGGAAAAATCGACCGGCGGCCGTTTCGAGATAGAAACAGACTCAGCGCCCCGGAAGCCCACCACACGATCCCCATACTCGTATGCTGCATATCCTTATGGCTCCACGGTGTGCCCCACCCGTGTTCCGTGAACGTGTTGACAATCCCCCAGACCATCAACACGAACGAGTCGATGAACTCCTGGGATTTGTTCTGGCGGGCGAGCCAGGCGGATCCGACGCGGAGCATGAGGACTAGCAGGGAGCCGTAGGCGATGAAGGCGGAGCCCATGATGAGGTGCGCGAGACATTGGCCGAGGTGCTCGCCGGTGCAGAAGCCGAGGGAGGCGACGACGCCGAGTAATATCTGTGTCCAGGCTAGGATTGGCCAGGATTTGCCGAGGATGCCGTGTGTGATGACAATGAGGCGGCGGAACCGAGTGCCTTCGTGGATGTGGAGTTTTAGGTAGAGGCCGAGTGAGACTTGCGCTGCTAAGCAGACTGCAAGTAATGATGCGAAGGAGCCGTGCGCGGTGTGTGGGAATTGCCGCCCTTTATGGGAGTGGCCTAATATGTACCTTTGAAACGCAGTAAGCGAAGAGGACCGAAGAGAAGCGAACGAGTTAGTGCCATCAACCAGCGAACGAAGTGTCGGAGATCATCCGTCGACGATCGACCATCAACCATTGAACCATCAACCCATCAACCCTGCGATGCATGAAACGACATGCTCGCTCTCCGCTCGTAACGAGGAGGTTGGGATGCGTATGCTAAGCTCGCTTCGTTCGCAAAGATCTGACGCGACGCTCGCCGGCGCTCGCTGAGTACCGCGGTTAGGAGTATTGCGCCTTTGGCGCATCAGGAACTCGCTCCGCTCGTGCTCGCTGTCGCTCGCGTCCCCATGCTCTCCCCATACATACCCGCCGATAGTCAAAACCGTCGCGCCAACCTGCACAGGCACATGCCACCTCGACCTAACAATCCCCAGCACCATGCCCAGTGGAAATAAACCCCCCCAAGCAATCACTTGAACCATCATATGGAGGTAGAGAATATTGTCGATGGGCGTGTTTGCTTGTTGGGCAGGGTCGAGGGTTGAAGGGTCCGGGTGCGAGTGGGCGAAGGCTGGGGGGAGAAGGAGGAGGAGGACGGTGGTGGTGAGGAGGAGGAGGGGTATGGACCGGAGAGTTGGTGGTGGGTTGGCCTTCATTGTTTGGGTGTTTTTGAGTGGACCTGGGAGTTCGTGGGTATGTTGTGACGAGAGATCAAGCCGCCAGAAGTGTATGAAGACCGGCAGCAGGTTGCAGATGAGCAAGGAGGGAGTGAGTGAGCAGTTGGCGCTTGCCGAGGTCGCTTGCACGGAGCGAGTTCGTTCGTTCGTTCTTTGCAAGGGCTCGATGCCCATCCTGCGCCGCCTGTCTTCCCGATGCCTTTATTCCCGTAAACATGTCACTGCGAAAGGATCTCAAATGCCTAGCTGTCCACGTGACTTCAGCGGTATTTCAAGTGGTCGTTCTTCTCTGCGCGCTGACTCACACACTCACAATGGCCGATCCGATCCATTCACGCGCGAAAGTCCAAAGGCCAAACGCGTTTTACTCTCTCTCTGTCTCTCTTGGCACCCCAACAGTCAACACCGCCGGAAACGGTAGTAGCCCTTGGTCTCCTTTGCCAAGTCCCGGTGTGCGGTCGGTGTATCCGACACAAGGAAGTCAAGGTGGTACGAGGAAGCCATTTTTGGGAACCTTTGAAGTTGGCAACGATTGAAATTTGCGTTGGATGGGATCCATACAAGTTATACAACATGGCATGTGTATGGGCGGAGACTCCTTCGCGCCCGCTGATGAGAGGCCAAGACCAACGAGCGAGCGACCTACAGTATCTACAGTACGGTCTGGAAGTAAGCGCGGCGGTGTGTGTATGTACTGTACGTATGGGAAGGACTTGCAACTTGGCGCTTGGCTTATAAGGGGAGAGGGACTTGCGACAGGACGACAACATACGACTACCCACACGGCCAACCCATCGTCTGCACGCATCACCAGAATGCTCGTCTCGACCGTCACCACCGCGGCTGCCGCCCTCCTTTTCAGCGGAGCCGTCCTCGCCGCTCCTGCCGACCCCGCTCCCAAGCAGCACTCATGCCGCTGTCTGGCCTCCGACTCCAGCTGCTGGCCCAAAGCCGCCGACTTTGCTCGCCTGAATGCCACCGTCTCTGGTCGCTTGATCAGCATTGCCCCCGCCGCTGCGGTGTGCTACCCGTCGTCCGCCAACTTCAACGCCGCTCAATGCGCTTCCCTTCGTGCCAATTCCACCAACCCCTACTTCAGAGGTGATATCCCGGGCGCCACGATGCATCTTAACCACGCTGGTGATGCGAACGAAGTCAACGTATGTCCCTTAGACAACACACTCACAGGCACTTGCGGGCAAGGCCGCGTCCCCGTGGTCGGTATCGAAGCCAAGACCAAAAACGACATCAAAGCCGCCGTCAACTTTGCCCGGAAGAACAACCTGAGGCTGGTCGTCAAGAACACCGGCCACGACTACTTTGGACGCAGCAGCGGCGCTGGCTCGTTCCTCCTCTGGACGCACCACATGCGCGGGATGGATTTCCATGAGAGTTTCGTGCCCCGCAAGTGCAGGAAAAATGTCGGAAGTGCTGTCACCATTCAGGCCGGCGAACAATGGGCGAACGTCTACCCGGCGGCCGAAGCGAGGGGGCTTGCGGTGATCGGAGGTGAGGCACGGACAGTGGGTTCAGTCGGTGGATACCTGCAAGGAGGCGGTCACAGTCCCATCTCCCGCACATTCGGGCTCGCCGCCGACAACGCGATCGAGTTCTCCGTCATCACCGCCAACGGCAATGAGGTGATCGCCAACGAGTGCCAAAACACCGACCTCTTCTGGGCCCTCCGAGGCGGCGGCGGCGGCACATTCGGCGTTGTCGCCTCCGCGACCGTCAAGACTCACCCATCTCCAAAAACCGGCGCGGCCATTGGGAGCATCAGCAGCGCCGGCGCCGCCGACCCCCGCGCAGCCGGCAAAGCCCTCCTTCAACGCCTCATCGACATCCAACCCGCGCTCGACAAAGCAGGCGTCTCGGGATACTACTCCCTCACCCCCGTCTCCGTCCTGTACATCCTCTACCACCCCAACGGCACCAACGCCACCATCGCCGAAGCACTCAAACCCCTCACCGAGTTCGTCGCCTCCTCCAACGGAACCTACGCCCAAGGCGGCGCCACCGTGTCCTTCCCAACCTACTACTCCGCCTACAACTTCCTCTCCTGCCGCACCTGGCCCCAAACCTGCACAGACACGGTCGGAACCTCCCTCGCCCTCGGATCCCGCCTCATCCCCACCACAACATTCACAGACCCCGTCGCCAGCAAACAACTCGGGGGCGCCCTCTCCGACATCCTCACCCAAATGGGCTCCACACCCTTCATGCTCGCCCAACTCGTCGCGGGCGGCAAAGTCGCCCAGCAGGACCCAGACGCACTGGGACTCAACCCGGCCTGGCGCAAAGCCCTCTGGCACGTCGTCATCACAAAAGGATGGACGGACGCCGCACCCGCCGCCGAGATCGCGACCGCCAAAGCTGAAGTCACCCGTCTCACCCAGCTCATGCGCGACGTCACTCCCGGGTCCGGCGCGTACTTTAACGAGGCGGATGCGAACGAGCCGAACTACCGGGACGCGTTCTTTGGGAACCATTATGCGAAGCTGTTGAGCATCAAGAATCAGTATGACCCGACCGGGTTATTTGTGTGCAAGAAGTGTGTGGGGAGTGAGGGGTGGACTGACGACGGGAACTGCCGTGCGTAGAGGGGTTGGGACTGTATACCATCACTTGTGTGCTTAGGATAGATAGATAGATGAGTTGTTTCGCATATTTAAGTCCTGATAATGCCGAAAACAAACGTTGCTTCAACGTCCCCATCGCACGGAGGGTAATCAAACGAGCCCGCGAGCTAGCGTCGATCATTGTTGCGCATAACCCCGTTTGGAGTACTGTACTGTACCTCAACCAACCCTCCCAGTTCGCCCATTGCACATGGAAACCTCACCACCCCGGCTGTCTCGCGGCCGCATGCGATCGCTGAGACGGGTCGGGGAAACCTGCGACGGAGCAAACCACCGGGATATTGGAGCCTAGACGTAGACGTAAATCTACGTGAGGGACCATGGCGTGGGGGGTTGGCTAACAATGCGCGGGATATACCGAACGTGGCATGGTGCGAGAGGGGTACCGGCGGTTATATCGGGAACAAACATGTAAAGGATCCCCGATTGTACGAAAAACAAAAACAAAAAAAAAATGGATCGTATTGAGCGTACGATTGTGCGGGAAGAAACAAAAAAAAATCCCGTCAATAGCGTCTGATGAATGGACGATTGTGTGGAAAGAGAACAAGGCGAAGGGTTCACAATCGGACTGCCGGAGGGTGCCCCGCGTACCACCGGTTGTGCGGCCTCATGAACACACAGACGGATGGGGGATTGTGCGAAAACAAAAACGGATGGTGTCATTGTGCGTTGAGGGACAACCCATTGCGGGCGTTGCCAGGTGCATTGTGAAGGATTGTGAAGGCACAGCAATGAAGGATTGTGCGGGCCACCAAGTCCGGAAGTTCGACAGCGCGTTTCTCCCGGAGTGTGATGCTCGAAACGACGGATGTTGAGCAGCATTGGACCCCGTGAGATTCCTTTTATCAGATCGGTGTCTCAGAGAGTGTCGCCAAAATGCAAACGTGAGGTCTTATTCAAGCACCGACGGAGCCTAATATGCAGGCAAAGGGCGTGGGAAGTCAACAATTTCTCAGTGACTTTTTGGATTACGGGATCTTTACATACAAACATACACACCAAAGATTCGAGGTGTCCCTGGCAGAAGGTACTGTTAACAACGAACGAAATATATGGGAAGAGAAGCTACTACGCCAAAGTCCACAGCTTAGAAAGAGCCAACACGGCCTCCACCTTCCCCGAAATCGCATTCGAATCTGATCCAAACATCGGCGCGCTTGCCTGAGCAACAGCCTCCTTGGCCGTGTCCGCCAACATCGAAAGCATCCGCGTGCGGACAGCCACTTCCTTGTCCGTCACTGGTCTCCACTCCTGAGTTCCGGTGTACACGGGCGCGTCGTGCGACACGAAGCCGGCCTTGTTGGCGAACTTAACGACGTTGTTGACGAGCGCTTCTTGCTCCCGGATGGCGGCAATCTCGGGTTTCGTGTAGTTCATGTGCTTCAGCCAGGTCTCGGAGATCCGCTCAACGGGTTTCAACCGGGTCTTATCCGCAGCGCCGGGGACCGAGCTTGTGGCATTGACATCGGCTGGGGCAGCGGTTCCCGTGAACAAAAGACCCGTAGGAGCGACGCTGTTGCTGTAGCGATAGCACATGAGGTCCCCCGCGGTCGTCGAGAGGAAGGATCGCACGGGGGTGTTGGGATAGAGTGAGTTGTATTGCATGATGTCGTTGATGGTGACGGGGCGGTTGAAGTCGTTGTAGGTGTTGGCGAGGGTGGGGTTGTTGCGTTGCCAGAGGGTCCACAGGCGGTCGACTGGGTGCGGATATGATAATGTCAGTGAGAGTCGATTGAGTGCATGCAGTGTACCGTACGTACCATTCGCGTGATGCAGATAGAAGAGGGGATCATTAGGAGAGATCGCCACAACGAACATATCCCCGCCCATGGACGTATGAAGAAGATTATGCGGCTGGCTCTCGAAATTGTTGCGGAACGAAGCATACGAACTCCTCGAGTTCTGCAACAGGGTCTGCACAGCGACGCTGTTGTAGAGGCTTGGGCCCGAGGTCGGCCTGTTGTTCACATTAAACCAGCGATGGATGCAGTTCGAGGTCCCCGGGTTGGTGAAGACGGTGCGGGTGCCGACGAATTGTCCGTTGTAGATGCAGTTCTGTTGGTTGGGGTTGCCGTTACTGCCGAACCAGCGATTGGTGAGCAGGACGGAGTTTTGGGGGGCTTGGGAGTCGAGTGTCCTAGAGTCCGGAGACGGTAGACAATCAGCATCAGCGACGCAATGCGTACGGTAGAACCGGATGGGTATGTGAGGTACGCACCAATCCCAGAACGGCAAACCCCCATTCCATCCACACTTCGTACTCATCCAACTCTCAAACAACGCCAGCATGCCTCGATGCCAAGGCAAAAAAGAAGCGCCGTTGTGGGTCTGCGGCGCAAACTGCCTATGGATGTAGACCAAATCATCGTATAGCGTGCGCGACCCCGTCGACGGGATCATAGACGGTGCTTGTTGGGGGTTGCGCAGGCACTTGACGGCGTTCATGAACAGTTGCTTGTCGCCATCGGAGAGCTCGCGGAACTCGCGGCGGGTCGTGGGGGCGGTGCAAGCCTTCTGAGCGATGACCGCCTGGGTCAGCGCTAAAAGCGCGAGTGCTAGGCTGAGGAAGGAGACCATGTTCTGCTAGATCCAGATACCGGCGAAGAAATGCTGAACTGGCGAGGGCGGGAACGGCGGACGCAATTTATACCCGCCCCATCGGTGAAAGACACCCTTGACTGCAGAGAGAGACCCGGCATCAAGAGAAATACTCGACACCTAAGGCGCAGTTCTGCGCAACCGTGAGGTCCCAACGAACGTAAAGGCGTACCGGACGACATCTGTGCGGAAATGCTGCGTCAAATTAGAAAGAAAGCCAGCGGCCGTGAACGGCGGGGCTACATACCCAGCCGACCCGTGCATAACCGTGAAGTCTCGGGATGACATATGTGCGCCATGGCACAAACGCTGCGTCAAAGAAAAAGGAAAGCCAGCAGCCATGAACGGCGGGGCTACATACCCAGCCGAGCCTTGCATAACCGTGAAGTCTCGGAACGATATCTGTAATATGTATGCCATGGCACAAACGCTGCGTCAAAGAAAACAGAAAACCAGCAGCCATGAACGGCGGGTCTACATACCCAACCGAGCCTTGCACAACCGTGAAGTCTGGACGACCATAATGGACGACGGGGACAACATCTGTGTGCCGTGTCACAAACGCTGCGTCAAAGAAGAAAGAAAACCAGCTACGTACGATGCAAATCATAAGGTTCTTCTGACGGGAACACTGTCGAATTCCCAATTCAGCTCATGATTAGTGCAACCTGTGACATTAGTCGCAGCCTCACGCTCACGGTACACATGAGCCTTGGCCGTAGATGCGTGAGAAGCGCAAAGCACTTGAACACAGATTGGAACACAATTCTGTAATTGAATGACAACTGGCAGCGCAGATCTACAACAAAAACTTGGAAGAGGGTCCCCGCGGGGCTCCAACTGCATGGCCGTACACCCGTAGGGTTGCATCAAAGCCACGGTCGATGAATTTGGTGATAATGATTTATACCGAGGAAGACCTGAGGCCTGGGCAGCTGGGCTGCGTGAAGAGCGCATTTTGTTTGTGAGACCCATGGAGCAGTCTATAACGATATTTGGGTCGTCCGGCATCCACGACCGGTTTGTCACCATGATTTCTCGCCGTGTTTTTTGGTAATCTTTTCGAACTTTGGTCGAGCAATAATGCAGCGGCAACAAAGTCGTGAGTCCTACGTACAGAACATCTACAACCCGCTAAAACCCATGTCCCTACATTGACCGACCCCGACCCCAAAACCTCAGAAGCCAAACCCTATCAAGCGTGTTCACCAGTCCGTCCAGCCGCTTCCCTCGGCCACAAAGAGTAGTTGCCCTTTGGTGACCAGTGACCATCAACGCTCCCAGTAACCCTCGATGATGCCATTCATTGCATATTTAGAATGATTCAGGGCATTGCCATCGAAAACTCAATGCATGGACTTCTGAACGAAATCGGTATGGCTGTAGCAGCCACACTTGCCCTTCGACGGAGAAATAGGTGTATGGGAGACTGGCGAGGATTCTCCCTCCGCGATGATATCCCACATCTTGCTCGGTGGGACTTCGGTAGGTGGTTTCCATCCGTTTATCCAGTCCGGTGATCGGATAGTCGACGATAGCTTCCGCTAGAGGGTGTGAGGTAGCTGAGAAGGTCCAGGGCCATCCCCGTCAAATCGTTGAGGTTCTATGGCGTGCTTCTAAGGCGGCTCAAGACACCCTGGCGATCTCGACATGGCCAACACTCGAGACAGGCCATCGTAAACATCCACCAGTTGTCGAAGACAAATTATTTCGCCGCTTGTGCGAACTTCGCGCTCCAGCGGATGCAGGTCTCCTCCCGTGATGCTTATTCATCGGTCGTATAGATCAGTACAACGCTGCTTGGACCGACGACCTTCGTCCAGAATGTGCTCGACTTCATCCTCCTTCCCTCCCTTATCTTTGAAGAACAGCAACGAGCCGGGAATGAACTCGTGGATGTTCTTCGTGCGCAGCCACACCGACACGTTGTAGAATACAACATGACTGAAGTTCTTGGCGTTGAACATATTCCAGACTATGGAGACCTGCAAGAGGCACTCTTCGTATTGATGCCATTTGGCTTCCATGAGATCGCCGATCTCGTTCTCCGTCGGAGGGTGCAAATAGCGAGCCAGCTCAGCAGTGCAGATTTGGATCTCAGTCAGCGTCACCAGCAGAGTGCAGTCGTCGACTATATCACGTACGCGATCCAAGGGCATCGTGTTTTTTACTCAGTTCGAGATCGAGACCCAATCGAAGCGCCATGTGGTTGACCGCCTTGTCGCCATAGAAGTTGCTCAGACCGACGACAAACGGTTCTTGTGTATAGTCACCGTCTTCAGAACCCCAGCACGGATCCTCGGCAACAGCGGGCGGTTCGGGGGCTGCCGACATTTTGACACGATACCTGCGATTGCCGTTAAAGTAAAGACAGCTCGATGCCCTTCCGACGCCGTCCTAGCTGTCCTGTGTTGAGTGATCTTGAAAGGCAAGCTCCTATAATAATTCCCCGGTGGTCACGTGCAGGGTCGCATTATATATCACTTTTCACGCGGTCACGCATTTTCTCTTTCTGTGACTGCACAGTACTGTACCATCCATTCCAGATCTGTTAAGATGACGGCTGGAAGAAGAAGGCCGCCATCTTTGCAAGCTGCCGCCGACTCAAAGTAGACCTCGGGTTTTCAGCAAGATGAGGCACTCCGGGCGTATCTCAGCCCTTACTACCTCGTTTACGGTGCCACATCCAATCATTCTTTTCGAATCTGTTTTTCGGGAGGCGAAGGCATTACTGCCGTCGATGCGCTGTTGATGACTGTCTGGTCACCATCACGGAGAAGATCACAAGAGCAACGCCCGTCGGCACAAGCCTATCTTTTACAGTTTGTGGAAGAGGGGAAGTGGAGCGCGCAATGATCAGAAAGCCCGTGGGGGTTTCTCCGCACGCGGTTGCGATCTCTATCGGTCGGACGGCCAACCTCGCGGTGATCTTGAGATTTGGAACAAAGTCCTTTGCTGGTTGATGGCGGTGACCGGATGGTTGAACGACCTTCTCTTCCCACATTGCTCTGTCCAAGGAGGCGGAAAAGAGGCGATAGCATACGAGGAGGATGGCGATCAGGCAAAAAGATACGGAGGACTGAACAGCGGGACCCGAAAGCGGGAGCACCCGTCATTGCTCGGGAGGACATGGATATTCAGGCAAGGATCGGGAGTATATACCGATGGATGCTGAAGGAGGTGTCCCAGAATGTTTTGGAGGCGGTTGTTTGAGCATGAGGCACATTGATGCCGTGCCGCCATCCGACCCTTACCATGTGTTGATTGCGATGCCGATTCTTGGTAAAGGGTGCTGTTTGTTGCGATTATGGGAAAGGTTTACTCGTTCCGTTCAGCAGATATGAACGGGATAGCCAATGAGGTGTAGGTTGCCAAGCACTCGTAGAGTTGCCTCCCTTATAACTCCGCTGCTGAAGCTCTCCATACTTGCGCACCAAGGACTCGGGAACGCGATGTGGTTTTGAAACTTGACAGCATTGACAGCAGTGGCCTTCCAGGAAGGTGGTAAGCGGGAGACACCACTGAGTTACAACCGTGTATTGGTATAGCGATAGTAGCCATTTCCAACGGAACTTCCGCTCGAAAGTGGAAACCTGCGATAGTAAGCCACGAACGGCGGGCCGGAGTGCTGTGCGGTCCGTAATTCCGAATCCGCCTTTGGAAATTGCGGCGGGAAGACTATCATATGAGGTCTGACTCTCTTCTGTGCTCCGCGCTCGTCAACAACCGCTTTTTTCTTTCTCCCACTTACCGACCACGGACACCGTCGGTGCCAGCACTCAGGACATCATCTTTCGCATAATATCCATATCATTGTATTGCAAAACTCATATACAGTACTGTACAGTACCTCTGGCAAACGAAAAAATGTCATCAGCGATCGCTCTTACACACCAAACTTGAACCTGAATCTCCCAAGGATCTCCATCCTGCTATGCCGCAAATTAAATTCGCACATATTGCGAACACCAGCATACACCTCCAAAATGCCCCGTGATGCTTCGAAATTTGACCTCGCAACTTACTCGTACACCGGTCCAGACTTGCACAGATGTCTGCCGCCGTTCAAAGTCTCCAAACTTTTTTCGGAGGTGGGTTCGTCTCAGCTCATCGATAACGTCCGGCAAACATATTGGTCATTTCTCGGCCCCGTTGTGGTGCGTATTCTCCAACCCGCTCTGGCGGGATGTCCATAGAATCTTTTCAAATCGACCCCGATGCTGGGCGATGGGACCGGTTCCTCTTTTTCATCAGCCGTCCGCCTCATCGATATTCCGTAAACACCAGGAGAGCGTCCGTATATCGATTATGCCTACTACGCCTATTCCAGCAGAAGGCAGCAGGAAATGCAGTCCATCCGGTATAAAAAGCGGGAGTTGCAAGCCAGTCATGTCGGTCGCCACGCAACCCCCAACATACCCTCGATACCGTTCACAATGGTCGCCCTGAACTTCCTTGCGCTCGTCGCCGTCTCCTGCTCGGCCTTCGTTGCCGCCCTTCCTACGGCCCAGCAATTCGACTATCCTTACGGCCAAGGCCGCGGCGATGTGGCGGTGGTGGGCTCAACCCTCAAGCACGTCAACCGAACGCATGACACCTTCAGCGTGCAAATTGCCGTTCGCAACAAGGCGTTCGAGAAGCAAGTCGGCATCAAGTGGACTCAAGAAGCGTGGTCCTCGAGCGAGGAGGTCCCAGCGCACTATGTCGGAGGACTGGACAGCGGCTTCGAGTTGTGGGAAGTCACGGACGTCGGCCCTTTCGACTCGACCAAATATCCCATGGAATTCTGGGACCCAGCGTTCACCGCTTACGCCTCGTTCGCCAACGGACCCAGGGTCTGGGACCTGTACCCGAACTACAACGTCCTGATCAAGGCCACCCAGGACAATCCGATGATCATACTCCCTGAGTACTCTTCTGGATTGCACTACGATATAGGGCAAAAGAAGTACGTTTTGAGCGTCGCCCTTCGCACTCTCGCGTTCGACCTTAACGCGGACACTCAGGTGAGTAGTACATATGCTTCACTTACGAATCAGGGGGATGTGGGGTGATGGTGGGCGAGGAATTTTGGCCGCCCGAGAATTGGATGCCATCCAAAATGTTCATGCTCGATTGAAGTCATATCCTAACGCTTTATCGTTTTTGTTCACACGAAACAGCTCGACAAGCTCAAGGTGCGCTGGTCGATTGACGACTGGAAGACGTACAAAGACACCCCCGCTGTCCGGTACGATGCAAATGGGCACACATTCTGGGTTGATGCTGTCGTTGGCGATGCTTCGACAAAATACCCAACGACACTTTCCTACGCGTTCCTCTACACGCACTCCAAAGGCACCTTCTGGGTGAACAACCTCGGCAAGAACTTCGATACCGTCTTCCCCTCTGAGGTTCCTCACTGGCCGGGAGAGCAATAGATCCTCGGATCGGAGATAGATAGCACTTCAACATCACCCACATCTAGATACCTTACGCATCATAGAATCATCATCTGTAGATCCAATCATTGCCTTTACAATACATCACATCCATTGTCCTCGCATCAGAATCTAGCGGTATTCGAGAATGTGCTTGGTTTTCCGCTGCGAAACTACATACGCGAGTCTAGGCAAGTGAGGGTTACGCAGCGTACTGAGTTTGTCCTGTCGAGCTGTTGGACGGCCCGTGTGTTTTTCTGGTTCGGGGCGAAGCGCTGTCAGTGTGGTGTACAGTATGTGTGCGGCCAGTACCCTAAGGCCGTCAGGAGTCGCCAGATGATATGTAGGGACCGGAGATTCAACACACAAGCATAGCCGGACGTTCCCGAACAGTTATCGCGCCCCGTCTCCTTCCCTCTTTCCGAGTCTCCGGCCGCACGAATGTCAAAAGCACCTATCCGCATTCTCCTTCTTGGTCGCTCCCTCGAAATCGGCAAAACATTGCAGCAGCACCTCGCCCCAAAATACTCGCTCTCTCAATTCACTTCGGTGCAGGATATAGAAACGAACCTCTCTCCAAACCCCACGTCCGCTTCGGCCACCAACTACAGTACGACGCCGTACTCATCGGCGGCGGGATTGACGAAACGACGCGTGCGCGATTGGTTTCCTTGGTGAACGACCTCAGACCAGGATTGAGAATCGTGTCCTTGCCGCAAGGTGCGATAAGAGATCTCGGCGTCGATGGCGCGTTGAAGAAGACGAGGGAGTAAAAAACTAAGTGTGCGATTACTATGGCGGCGCGACAATCGCCGTCGGGAACGACCAGGGGACCTTGGGGAACTTGAAAGGTATGCAGATATCCAGACCTAGGGGCGACTGAATTGCTCCAACAGAGCTCATAAGTGAGGAACTCCGCTGGAGGAATTCCGATACGGTCCCGGTGGAAGACTCGTTAACCGCAAATTGGACACTAAGTACGGAGATAAGTAAGGAGTGAGGGTGACTTTTCTGCATGACGTCCAGTAATGACCCCGCGCTTGGTGCAAGCTTACGGTCTGGAACTTGGTGGACGGGACAATCCCGAGGGTTCAGAAAAGGGGCCAAAATAATGATCTAAAATATTGATCAGGGTCTGCCCTACTCTGGGATGCTTCCTTCTTCGTCGGCAGGCCCCCAGGTCGAATATCGCATCTTGAAGGATCGCCTGTCTCTCTGGTTCTTGTTTCAGTTGCACACTTCCCTGCGTAATAAACTTCTCGACAATCGCAAGAAGGAATCCCAGCTGCCCGATCAACATTGCGACGAAGTACATCTGGTTGTGATTGCTTATACCTCTTTTTTTGCTCTTCTCTTACGGTGTTTGTCCTGGCCGCTTGCCAGCCGCGGACGGCCTTCATTGGGACTGTTCATAGGAAGCCCTCTTCGGCACCCGGAGCGGTATGATGAGAATACTGATAAAGAGGCACAAAGTGGACGGAGAAGCCTCTCATTTTTCAGGAAATATATCCAGAGTGCGTTGCCAAAAGCGAATTCTCCGATTTCGATGCTTCTTGACTGCGACCGAAGCTCCTCCATCGTGCTTGGAAGCTCCATTGAGCTATACTGCCGTGTGATCTCGCACTTGCCATACATCCTCCGCAGAGGTGCCTAGGAGGTTAAACGTGGCTTTTGCCGGGTCCTTCTGGCATTTCTCCCGATACATATCTCCCGCGGTCGCATCGCTTTCCACAAGTTTCCAGTGCTGCTCTGTTAGTAGCCCTGTTGCTGACCCTGTTGCCAACCCTGTTTCTAACCCGAAGGTGATGATGACATCCGCGCGTAAAGTTCGCGTTTTCGCCATCACTGCAGTGACCACACCCCTATCAGTGCCCAAATAGAATCGCCAACCATGATTGCCCCTCGGTGCCCATCCCCCTCGCCAGTCGGAACATCGGGCATCCGTGCAGTCGGAGAGAAAGTGTGCGGTCCACATGCGCCCCCCAACGACGTCAAAGGCAGGTAGCATCGTTCATGGCCGTTAATGGGATACTCAAACTTTTTTTTATTGTTTAGCAAGGCATATGGATCTGAATCCGGGAGGCCAGAGGGGCGTCATTCATCTCAGGCAGAGAATCAGGTCAAAAGGACGCTCGCGATGACCGCCAGCACTCCCACGGTGATGAGCGGTGGCGATCGCACGACTGTCGACGCGCTGCTCTTCGTCGCGCTGCCGTCCACGTATACCGTCTTTTCAACGTACGAGAAGGCAAAAACAAAGCAGCGAATCAGCAAAAATTCCGGAAATGCAACCTTAGGTTCTCTAGATCCTTACCCATTCGGAGAAATGCGTGGTTTGGCAGGAGACGGTCTTCGCGGTGGTGTTGACCGATGTGGTCTGCGGGACCCACACGTTGTCGGGGACCTTGAGGTACGCCCATCGAAGATCTTTGGTCGCCACCTTGGCCGCCGCCAGGGCTGCCGTGAGAAACCAGGGAGTTTAGCAAAGGGCTTTAAATGCTACTACGGAGAAGGTGGAGCGGCGATAAGACCACTCACCAAGATCATCATACACGTGATCCAAGGTAGCGTCCACGGCCTGACTCGTGTTCGCGTCGATCGTGTAAAAGACGTTGAGGGAGGTGGCAGACGCAGGTAGGGAGCGCCCAGCTGGCGGTGCACTCTTCCGCTCCACATCAACCTGCACGAGAGCGCCTTTGGTGTCTAGGCGCATCTTGAGTTCCGACGTGAGCTGGACGGGGACACTACTAGCTTCTTGCCCCGGCCGGAATGCTAACGGAAGTTTCGCGAGAGTATCAGCATCATTCAGCTCTTTGGCGCAAGTCAACCCCTAGCCCCAGCCGAAATATTCCCCCCATCTTCCTGGTCCCCTGGGTGTGCTTACCTTGTGTTTTTTTCTCCAGGACGACCGGAGCGGCATCAGTGGCGGCCACTGAACCGTCTTTCTTCAGAAACGCAGAGCATGTACCCGCATTGGAGATCAAGTTTGCGGCTATGGTGTCATTCCGTATTAAGGCATACCAGAAGACACCAGGGGAATCGGTGCTGAACATTGCGCTAGCGGCGCCGGTGATGCTGCCCTTAAGTGGAGTACATGGGCAGGATTCGAGTTCTTTAGGCTTCACTTCGCTCGCGTCGTTTACCCGCGTGCTTGTGATAGTATTTCCCGTAACTGTGATGTTAACGTGTGCTATGCAGTAGCCGATGCATGCATCGAAGCATGAGCCTCCAAAGCGAGTGTAGATGCCTCCACTGAACTTTGCGCTGCTCGTTGCGCTGGGGGAGGAGGCTTGGTCCGCTGGTGTAGAGATAACGCTGCCGTCAGAGCCGCCAGAGACAACAGAGCCACCGGGTGCCTCGCTCGCGGGGGGCGGCGACGATACGTATGAGCCATACGTCTTGTTCCCGGCTTGCAACGATGTCCATACATCGCTGAACTTTCCGCAAATGCTCCCGGTTGACGTCTTGATAGGCGGCCTGAAAGGCTGCCCCACCGTCGCGGTCGAATTGCGGCAGGTAGAAGTTGCGGGACAAAGGCCATTGCCAAAGAGGAAAAAGATGCCATCCAGCTGTCCGCTACCGCAACTGATCAAACTATCCGGTTCACGGTAGACCGCATTTCCGGAACCCCATCGTTCACCCACCGAAGGGTTGCTGCTGAGGAGTTGATCCGTAGTCATGGAGGTGTAGCATATGGTAGTAGAATACACAGGCACGGGTTTGCCCGTGATGTCGACCGTTTGGGAACAATTTCTTAAAGGAGCCACCATCTCACAAAGAGAAGGAGGGTAGTCGTCCTGTAAGGGATAGACTTTAAACCCGAGGAGATTCCCAGTACAGGTTGGATTGGCGTATAATTGAGTGACAACTCTCGGTGGCAGAGCTGTGACTGCCACGGATAGAGAGGCAGCCAGTACCAGAAGCCTGCTGATAAAAGTGAGGTCTCTCATTGCTGCGTGTATCGTCCCTCGTGCTGTCGTTGCGCGCCGACGGATAGAGTACGTAGGGGCGTTGTGTCGATGTCCTCATATAAATCCAGAAGCAGCAGGCCTGAACCTCGGAGGTTTTAGTCTCTCGAAGTCCGTTGCTTCTGCATGAGATGGTCGTCGGGGGGCCCGACATGGGCCGAACAAACAAAACCCCAAGCAAGGGAGGGAAGGGAAACACTCGAGAAAATACGCGGCATTGACGGGCCATTGACGGGACGTCGGAGTACCAAGTTTTCATCATCGGAAAGCGCGATTGACTGCTGTCGACGCCTTCCAACTTCCAGATCCAAGACCGTGGCGTTACAGGCGAAAGAACGAATGTTCGTCCTCAAAGGACTTTCAACTTCATAGTTCTCCCCCCCGGTCGAACGAGTTGAGCAACCGGCCCTACTCGTGCCAAGGTCTCGTATCATACTCGCCCGCCAGTCCAACGCACTTTTCTATGAACAACAAAAGTCAACGACCAGCTGCCGTCCATTTCCGTATTTCTTCAGGTGTGCGGGCAGTCCGGCGACTTCTGCTGGTGGCTATGCTCGGGATGATGTGTCCTTGTCTCTTCCACCGCGGGAAGTACCGGGTACAGCATGATACGAGACCTTTGGCACGGGTACCCATAACTTCGTGAACAACTGATACATGGCTAAAGCCATCGCACCATTTGCTCGTGTTTAGTCTCTGACCCGCCCGCTCAATTGCAACGCTCACGCGCGATGCCAGTCTTGCCAGTGGGAGCTCACACAAAGCGTCTTGCCATTGCCGTGTCGCCGTTCCTTTCTCGGCAATCCGACGAAGGCAATGTTGCCGTCGCATACAGCAGAGAAGCAGAGAAAGGTACAGACACCTCTGCTTATCAAGCATACGGTGTGACCTACTTCAGGAAACGAAGAGCGGAATCTTCCGAATTGGCACGCAATCTTTGGGACTTTGAAATATACACGTTGATGTACTACATATACAGTACATATACAGTACAAGTTGCGCCATCTTTGACATCGAAGTGGTTCCCAGTGCCACCAGCATGTTAATGATCCCATCCATTGACACCCCTTTGTTCAATCATTAAACTAAATAAGTTTAGATAAACAAGAAAAGCGACACGACCGGATTTCGCCTCCCAGGATTGGAGGCACCGGAGCGTGTACACTAGCGTTCGTGCCGTATGAGGTCTCGATCAGATCGAAAGGAAAAGTCATTCCACTTCACGTCGCCCCACCCAGCCATTCTCTCCATGCTTCGATTTCTTCTCTCACCGCGGCCCTGCACTGCGCATTAAGTGACATGAACAGTAGCGGGTTCAGAAAGCAATACGCAATGCACCCAAAATGTGCGGCGATATCCAACCAGAGAGCCACCGGTCTCCACGTGACGAGATTTTGCCAAATGAGCACAAAAGTGGGCAACATGCAGAGGTAGTAGCTGAGAACGATGATGGAGGCTTGTGCTGCGATGCGGAAAGCGTTGCGCTGGGCACTGGCGCGCATGCGGGCTTTGCCGTGGCCGGATTTGTTGGTGCCGATACTGGTCTTGCTGGTGATGCCGTGGGTGGAGGCGCGGATGCCGGAGACGGAGGGGCTGAAGGGAAGGGATGCCGATTGAGATTTTAGTAAGGCGGACCGATGCCCGGACGAGCTGCCAGAGGGCGATGTCAATCCAGACGGTGACGGGCTAATGGGCGAGGTTCTCGATGCCAGTACCGTGGGAAGTTGAGTAAGACGGGACGATGCATCATGGGCAAACGGCGACACGTCGCTGATTTTGAATTTAAACAAAGCTTTCCGCGCTGCCCGCTCTGGCGGTCTTGCGTCCTTCCCAACTGGCGACGCATGTTTTCGCTTTTGCTCGGTAATCTCGTGGCCGCTTTCGGTCTTCAGTTGTCCCGTTTTAGATTCCTCAGGGAAAGCGATTCGAGCTTTGCCCTTTGTACTGCCACACTGTGCGATCTTTGCCGCCTCACCGCCGCCATGCTCGCTTTCTGATAAAAACTCTGACTCCGACTCCGAGGTTACGGCGGAGGGAACCAACGCCGTAGACCTGTCATTCGACCATGGGGTGCCGCGAAGATGCACCTTTTCACTTCCACTTTGAAGCTGTGCCGTAGCGACGCTGGCTGAAGTTCCCGATTCCATTACATCCGTAGCACTCAAGCCTTTCAGTCGATGAATGTCGTGCTCCTCTGACATGAGATTTGTTTGGATCATATTGACCACATTGCGCGAGGCGCGGGTATATTCTGCGTAAATCCTCCAGTACATATAAAAGATGCCGAGGGCTGTCGCTGCGATGGCAAACACGCCAATGCTTGAAAAAACTGCCCCATGCCAATCGCCTGTTGACCCTGTGAATGAAGATCAGAGTGATTCGGGAGGAAACGATGGCTTATACCACATCAACTAGTAGCCTACATGAAGGAGTGCACCAAGTTCCCATGGGAGTGACACCCGCCCAGCTTTGGAAGGCCATCTGCAATCCGGCCATGATTCCTGATGAGAAAATCATGGTAATCCCTTGCTTCTTAGCCTCCTCCATCGTAAAAGATTTTTGCAACACAATAGCCGAGTATCTGTCCAAAGTGAACGTCAGAACAGCGCCCTGAGAATAGCAGCCCCAGAATCCACCGATGAATCCTTGAACTTGGCAAGCATAGAATCCACCAATGTAGTAGCCCAAGACGGCGGCAGGGATTTCTCGAAACCAAAGATTGTTTGTGACTGCGAGAAAGTCCGGCCATAAGATGCAGACCATAAGGATTTTCGACGCGGACCATGGGATGCGCCGTGATATCCAAAACTTGAATACCAAGAGAAAAAACGTCAAGGCGTTCCAAACGAGGGCTATTTCGTTGAGAATGTGCTGCCGCTTTGAAAGTTTGAACGGCCAGTAGCGGTGCCCTTGGTTCATTTCGGGCGGTATTGGGTCTATGTGATAGAATCCATCGCTGTCGGGCGGGGGTATATTTGAGTCGGGCGGCGGGATCTCCGAGAGCTGGCTCCCCATCTTTTTCCTGGACCACTACAGGCTCCGAGAGGATACTCTCTCAGGCTTTGTTGCGTTAGAGGGAAGACGGCTGAAGATTGTGTGTTCCGTGGAAAGAGGGTCTCCCTTACGTTTTGCGCAGTCCGCGTAAACAGCTTCCGCAGAGTCCGCAGGCGCAAACCCTTCTGTAGACTATGTAGACCCTGTATGAGTCTCAGACCAAAACCCAGGCCCTTCAAACCCGCACCCACATTCCGATCTCCGCCGTGAGCGACACATCCGCTACCGTCGCCCATGAACAGGACACCACCCTGCCTCCCGCAGCACCCACTCGTCGGTCCGTAATCCACTTCAACCCCTCTTAGTCATCCCCTCAAAGAAACATGGGCAAACCCCTCCCCACATTCCCACCCTCCCCGCCGCACTGCCCGACGCACACGCACCACACAAACCACCATCTCGCCTGCACGCTCCACGCCCTGCATCGCACCGCCACCTCGTTTAGACGGACCGCGCAGAGGGTTCCCAGGGCTGTCAGTAGCGGGGTGCCGATTGTCGGGTTTGGGCGTGATGTCATGAGTGACCGACCCCGGAGCGGGGATGCGAATGTGGATGTGACTGTGGGAGGAGATATGGATAGGGAGGTCGCTGGGAATGAAGAGAGGGATCGGAACGATGCGAGGGGGCTGATTAGAGATGTGTTTGTGATGCCGACGTTGGCGGATGTGGAGGCGTTGGGACCGTTGGAGGTTGTTTGGCCGGGGTTGATTGCGACTTGTCCGTGGATTCCTGAGGATGTGCAGAGGGCGGTTGAGGAGAGGTTGGGGACTGGGGGTGGTGGTGGTGGTGGTGGGACTGGGGAGGCGGCTGGGATTAGTGTTGTGGAACCGAGCGCTGTGGTTGTGGCGGCGAGTGCCGGTGAAGGAAGTGGGACACAGGCGCAGCCGCGGGTGGTGCAGGAAGCGGCCACCGGTAGCGCTGCTGCTGATGCCTTGGTGGCGGAGGGCGGCAGTTCTGATGTCGATGCCACACCAACCACACCTCAACGCCCGTCACTGGACGCTACACATTTCATGGAGGCTTTCGCGGCTTTCACTCGAGACAGGCGGAGGGAGCGTAGGGAGAGGCAGACTGATGCAGAGAGCGGTGGTGGCGAAGAGCAGCGACCGGACAATGCGCAAGCTACGACCAACGAGGAAAGTCCCAGACGAAGGCGGGCCGTCGGCGTCGGTGCAAATCCCGTTGTCCCCGATCCTCCAACCGAAGGCACCATACCCTCGGCGCCACCGCTTATAAGTATAACAACCACCGCCTCCCCAACCCCGGACTCAAACACAACCCCAACAGCCGTCAGCCCACCCTCCAGCCCCCCGGACCACCCCCCACCAACCCTATTCTACTCCCCCGCATCGCGCACCTACCGCCTCGATCCAACCGACGCGCCTCCCATCCTCGCTAGAGACGAGGAGCCGATGGACGACAGTTCAAGCGCCACGGATAGCAGTGAAGAGTCAGACGAAGATGAATTGGAAGATGATGACCACCACGTCAGCGTGCACATGATACCGATGGCACCCGACTCGCCGGCCTCGGCGGTACGCGAGTTTGAACGGTTGTTACGTACGGAGGTATCAGCCAACCATGACTCTGAGTCCGCGTCTTCTTCGTCATCCGACGATGATGATGACGGTCATTTCGAGAGTGAGATAGCGGGCGGGATCCCTGACCCCAATTTCTTTGCGTTCCGACGACCGGCGGCTACAACCGTGACGGTGGAGGGGAGTGGAGAAGCACCGATCGTGCCCACCGAGTCGCCGCGGTACAGCCCGACCTCGCCAAACTATCACGCAGCCCTCGATCTCGCGGGAGGAAACATGGCCATCCGTCTTCGCCGCAACAACCCCGACAATAATGACAACAGTGAAGAAGACGATGATGAGGATTATGAGAACATTGCCGCGGCGGCTTACAACCTTGCGAGGCGGAGGAGGCAGAGGGAGACGGAGAGGGAGAGGGAGAATAGGGCGAGGGAGACAAGGAGGTGGGGGTTGAGCAGGTTGCCGCGGGGGTATACGGGCAGGGAGGGGGGGGATGGGACGGGGCCGGGGCAAAGCGCGAGTAGGAGTGTACTAGCGAGTGCAGTTGCGAGTGGAAGTGGAAGTGGAAGCACCGAACAGCCCTTGACCGAAGTCAAACGAGCTATGGAAGATCTCGGTACGTCTCTCCCCGCACCCTCCCGCCTATATCTCCTCCCCACAGCTCACATCACGAATTTATTTCCCCACACAGCCGACATATTCCACACCGTCTCCCAAACCTTCCGCCTCGGCGCCCACTCCCTGTCCCGCCCCACACAGCGCCAACGCCTCGTCGGCGCCACCACGCTCGCGTACCTTGCAAGAGGGATGAACGATGCCGTGAGGGAGTGTGAGGTGCAGTGTGAGCATGTGGGAAGATATATGGGTAAGTTGTGCGATTCTAGTGTTCCGTCCCCCATTTTTCTGATGGAATGGTTTTTTAACGGATTTAATGTGTAATTTTTCCAGAACGCATCGCACCCGCCGCTACACACCGATACCATTTTCGTGACAGTCAAGATGAACAAGAACACGATGGGGATGTGTACTCGTATGATTCGTCGTCGTCGTCGTCTGAGGAGAGCTGGGAGGAAGATGGGGATCGGGTGGTTGTGGGTGATGGGGAGCCTGAGTGAGTAGGGGGTTGATTTAGTGGACGGAAGGGGTTGGGGGGAGAGTGTGTTGGTATCGAGGATGTATGGACGGCGAATGGGGGATGGATGAAATGAAGGTGGGAGGATTTGGGGCAAATGGCGATATTGGTACGATGGAATGAATACCCCGATGTGTAAGAAAGAAGGAGCTCGTGTGTCTCCGCACGCTTTGTTTTCTGAACTTGGTTTTTTTCCTTGTAAATACTAGCTAATATGAAGTGAGTTTGAACGTCGTCTTCACATACTTTAGTGTCCAGTGACTCCAGTCCTCGTGGGATGGCTGGAAGCGGGTTCCGGGGCTTCTGGGGCGAACGCGTCATGGCTTGCGTCTTGCTGCCAGCCGCACGCGTTGCGAGCCACCGAGTGATGTCACGCCCCTCGCCCGCCCAGACGAGAGGGATGAGGCTGAGGGCACGCAAAGGAAAGCGGCTTCTGGGCAGGCATAAAAAGAAGGGCAGGCAACCGTCCAGCCCCTCCCCGCAACCACCAAGACTCACAACCTGTACAGCGTATACCTATCAGCCATGTCGTTCATAGACACCCTCCTAGCCAGCACAGGCACCGAGTCCTCCACGCCGCTCATGTCGCTCATCACCTGGCTGCTCGCCGTCGAGGCCGCCCTCATCCTGTACCTGTCGCTGCCGTTCCAGATCAAGTTCCGGCGCACCTTTGCCGAGGTGCTTGTTGCGTCTCCCGTGTATGTATACTCCTCTTATCCGGCGCGCGGGGGGTGGAGTGGACCCAGGGAGATCTTGGACTCACGATGGCTGTGTTTTTTTTTTTTTCAAAAGGTTGAAGACGGTCCGAACGGTCTTTGTGACCATCTTTGCGTTTTTGACGTTTATCCTGGTCGACACGTTGCGGCGCTTGCAACGGCTCTCGGCGAAACGCCCCATCGATCTGTACACCGCGGAGAACCTCTATTCCCAAAAGGTAGCGTCCACATCACCCCCTGCCTCGCACGAAGGCCCCGACCCACTCACACGAATATTGTCTCCGATGATTGTGTACAGGCAAAACTCCAACGCGACTTCTTCATCGTCTCCTTCACCGGCCTCCTCGCCATCGTCACGCACCAGGTCCTGCTGATGCTCCTGCGGATGGGCAGGTACAGGAAGGAACGCAATGTGTTGAGGGAGCAGGTGAAGGAGCTTGGGGCCGTGCCGAGGAGCGTGGAGGGGTTGGAGGGTGTGAGGGGGGGCAAGGTTGTGCCGAAGGCTGCGCCGGTGAAGAAGACGGTTGTTGTGGGGGGAGAGGGAAGTGCGGTGCCGGTTGTTAAGAAGGAGATTTAGGGTTCAATTGTCGGAGAGTGGAGATGGGGAGGAGGTGCCCCTGTGATGGTGGGAGGAGTGATCCACCGTTCCCTTTTGGCGCCACGGTTTTGGCCGCTCGCTTCTTGTACTGTATGTAGCTATCATAATACGTATCGAACATATCCATCGTAGCATTCGTCCTGCCAACACCAACATCCGGACCCCGATCGCAATGCACATTGTTTACCGCCTACGTATGTATGTACTGTACTTCTCTACAAACCCTACATACATAAACCCCACACACATCCCTACGCCAACCACCGCCTAAACCACGCCGCACACTCCCTCTTCATCCCCTCCGTAAGCTCATGTTTCGCCCCCTCCTCCACAATCTGCCTAAACATCTCCGCCTTCCCATCCGCTTCATACGCCCTGGTGAGCTTGTCGACGAGCGCGATGTTGGCGGAGGCGGGTACGAGGGTGTCTGCGGCGCCGCTGTAGATCAAAATCGCCTATTGGAAAGTGAACACGTTACATGTGTCAGCGCGAGCCTAGTGGCAATTGTCTGCAAGGTTGGATTTTGGCAACACGATACCTTGCCGCGCATCTCATCCACTTTGTTGATCGGGTCCCGGTCCTTCAACACCTTCAATAACGCCGCGTTGATGTACTTTTCGGAGTGCGGCGGGAGCGGGATCGGCGGGGACATGTGCGCGGCGCGGCCGGTCATTAGGGTGAGGAAATCGCCGCAGCCGATAATGGGTACGCCGACGGTGAGGCGGGGGTCGAGGGCTAGGGCCAGGAAGGTTGAGTGGCCTGGGAACATAAGAGGGGACAGAAAGTACATAAGTGTGCGTGATGAGAGGTTCGAAGTGTCAGCCGGTAGGCAGTGTCCGGGCGTCAGCGGGTGGTCGGTGTTCGGGAGCACCTCGCTTCTCTCCAAGACGTTTGCTAAAGCTCGCGCATTTTACCACTTCAACCTCATTTTCCCCCCCAAAACTCACCACCCAAACTGATCCCACACATCCCCCACTTCTCCACCCTTCCCGGCAAATAACACGGCAAAACATCAATCAAGAACGAAACATCGCACGCGGTCCCGTACTGCATCGCAAACATATCCATCGCGTGAGTGTCGTTGTTCTCCTTCCATGATGTGTTCTGTTTACCCGAAAGAAGACGTCGCCCGTGGTTGCGTTGGTCGAAGGTTGCTACTAATGTGCGGGTGGTGGGGTTACTGGGAAGTGGACGAAACAGTAGGATGGTCGAGTGAGTTTCGTCAACCCATCAACAACCATGAACAACCACCATGGAGTGAATGGTTGAGCGATACCCTGCTCGCTCCGCTCGCGCTCACCCCTCATTAATCCTCTCACAAAGCCCCCTACAAAAGGGAAAATCCTGCTCGGCCGTCCACCCCCTTCCATGGGCATGAAACACAACGTTGTATGCCGTGTATGTCGTCTCTGAGTTCGGTTCCGGCAGACCAAAGATGTAGAGGTCGAGACCGCCGATGGTGAGGGTTGTTGGGGTCGGTGGGGGGATGGCGGACATCGTGAGCTGGCGAAAGGAGGGTGGGCGGGTTGGAGGGGCGGTGGGGGCGTGTGTGTTGGAGTGCTGCGAAGTCTGGCGGGATGGGGTGGATGGCGTGATGGGGTCGCTGGCTCACGAAGGCGTTGGGAACGCGAGCCTCCCGGTGACGTTTGTCTTTGCTGGACGTGGCAACTCATCCCCCGCACGGCAGCGCCCCAGAACACCCCCAAGCCGCATAACATCCTCTTCCTTCCAACTCACGCCAAGAGGTGCACACCTCATCCCCCAGCAACTCCTTCGCTAACCCCACCGCAAACCCGCCCCTCCACCCTCGGAGTCTCTTGTAGAATACACGCGCAAGAATGAGTTGGTACGTTCATTTCGCGTGCAGCGGCGATGGTCCGATCGGCATGCCGTCGACGGTTGAACCGCACGGCTGAACGGATGTGCGTTCTAGGCATGGACTGAAGAAGGCCGTGAGTCGCGCCACTACGTCGGTAGGTTACTTGTTGTCTCGAGTTTGCTTGGGGTGCGAGTACGAGTAGATGCGGTTCGGTGGAATGCGTCTGTTGCAGTCTTTTGCGTTCTTCTTATCCTTGTTGTCCATCCTTTGTTACCTCACAGGTGATGCAATCGACCGGTGCGATAGATAAAACGGTGCGTTTCATCAAAGCGAGATGTGATGACCGGCGGGGGCGGAATTGGCGGCTCTGCTCTGCCAACTACTAGCGACTGGGCGACTTTCGCTGATATGCCTCATGTGATGGTTTATGATTCAGATTGACCGGGAGTTTGAGGAGGAAGAGAAGCGATTCAAATCGTAAGTTTTCGGGATTTGGAATGTTGCTGGACGAAATGGGCGGTGGCGATATAGCGGCTTTTTGCTGTCGGGAGTCGGGAAAAGACCACGGAGAGGAAGCGAAGCTCACGAATGCACACAAATTTCCCATTGCAGACTCGAAAACAAATCCGAAAATCTCCACCGCGAAGCAAAAGGATACCTAGACGCCGTCCGAGGTGCGTCTTACTTCAACCCACCATACCACGCCTTTCACCTCCACTAAATCCCGGATTACAAACCCATAGGCATGACACTAGCACAACAACGCATCGCAGAAACAATCACAGGCTTCTACGAGGAAGGCTCACCGCTGGGGTACGCAGGCGCACAGTACAAGCTTGCGGTGACGAAACTGGATGAGGAGGCCCGGACCGAGTTGGTATGTCCGTTAAAACTCATAATTCCAGAAAGATCCCAAATTACAGTGATGTTAAACCACCTCTTCTCTCTCGCAAAAAGGACACGACCTACCGCGTAGCAGTCCTTGACCCGCTAGGCCGCCTCTCGGCCGTATTCCCCGATTTCAACGAAGCGCGCAAGATCCGCGCCAAGAAACTGCTTGATTACGATCGTGTCAGAAGCAATGTGCGGAAATTGATCGAGAAGCCGAGCGATGACCCGCAGAGATTGCCTCGCGTGAGTACCGTCTCTCAATGAACACCCAGGAGATGCATACATCTCCATTTGCTAAAAATTCCTCTCTTTGCATTTCCGCAGGCCGAAGCAGAATCCGCCGCCTCCCGCGACATCTACGAACACTACAACACGCTCCTCGTAACCGAAATACCCCGCCTCATAGATCTCCGCGTCCCATACCTCGACCCCTGCTTCGAAGCACTCGTAAAGTCACAAGCGAGGTTCAATGCGAGTGCGTTTGCGAAGCTGGATGCGATTAGGACGGCGTTTCCGCCTGGGGAGGGACGCGGGCTGGATGGGCAGGTGGAGGGGGTGTTGGGGCAGATGAGGGAGTTGACTATATGTGCGAGTCATTGAGGACACTCGATTGCACTCTTTTCCCAGTGTGCCTTTCGAACGCATAACACCTTTTTTTTTGGAGTTTGTATCAAAATACTTTCATATAGCACGTTAATCCCGCTGGTTTTAGTGGCGGGGAGGGTGTCGAATTTCAAGTGCGGGAGCGCCGTCACAACAAGACGGGAAGCGCGTTGGCAGCAACCTCGTCTCCTTTTTTTGTCTCCTGAACGACTCTGCAAAACCAACACCTCCGCCAGCACCTTGACAAGCACACGTTCGGATATGGCAGCCTCCCTGGACAAGCTCCAAGCGCTGGAACAGTGGTTCAAAGATAACCGCATCCGCTACGACGCCCGTCTCATTGAGCTCAGGCAGGTCGGGACCGGCTATGGGGTTTTTGCGGTAAGTGAGAGGAAACCCTACCCATTTGCTGGAAAACAACAAGAGAACGGACATCGCTGATATTGATAAGCGGGATATTGTTGTAGAAAAAGAACTTGGAGGTTGACCAGGGACTGTGTATTATCCCCAAAGATGCTGTGCTGAGCGTGCGGAACTGCGGTACGTCTTTGAATTCCATTGAGGACTTCAGTATGTGCCATAGCTAACCCCCCGTCGACCACCCAGCCATAGCCGACACACTCGAATCCCTCGAAATCGACGGCGTCCTTGGTCTCGCCGTCTGCCTCATGTACGAACGCCACATGGGCGCCTCATCCCCCTGGTCCGCCTACCTCGCGAGCCTGCCCGACTTTGAGCCCCTGCCCATCTTCTGGCCGAGTTCCGACCTTGCAGAGCTCAAGGGCACCGATCTCGCCACGCAGGTGCAGAACGATCTCGTCCTGCTGCAGGCGGATTACACAGCCCATGTGGAGAGGTTCATTGAATGTTCGGGTCTACCCGCTGAAGCGTTTAGTTATGAGAAGTTCCTCGCCGCGGCGTCGCTGGTGAGCTCGCGCGCATTCGAGGTGGACGATTTCCACGGCCAGTGCATGGTCCCGCTCGCGGATCTGTTCAACCACCGCACGCCGACACGGACGACCCCAGGGGAGCATGTGCATTTCGAGACGGATGCGGATGTGTGTATGTTTTGCGGAACCAATGGGGAGTGTTGGTGTGATGAGGTCTCGGATGATGGGAGTGAGGAGGAGGAGATTGTGGACGGGGAGTTGGAGGGCGAGGGGTGGGTTTCTGAGGAGGAGGAGAATGATGGGGAGGAGGAGGGGGACAGGAGACACCAACGGAGGGGAAGAGGGTCGCCGTCCCCACCCCCGTTATATGATCCCGAGGATTGGACGAGGGATCCGGAGGAAGATGAGGATTTTGGCGATTTTGACCCGGGAGTGGATATTCTGGAATTGACCGTCGTCGAAAAGGTAAAAACGCATCCTGAAAGTAGGTCTCACCACCCCAACCTCCCACAAAATCTAACATTCCGTCTCCCATTCGCAGTGCCCAGCAAACTCCGAAGTCTACAACACCTACGGCCACCACCCCAACACCCACCTCCTCTCCCACTACGGATTCACCTCCCCCTCCAACCCCTTCAACACCGTCCTCCTCCCCCTCCCCGCCCTCCTCTCCCACCTCGCCCCCCCATCCCTCGCCCCCCGTCTGGCATTCTACACCCGCATCGCCCGGCGCATCGTCGACAAACTGGAATCAGAGCACAACGATGAAGAAGACGAGTATGACGCTGAGGAGGAGTTGATGGATGATCTGGACGACGCCGACGCCGCGGAGTTTCTCGACGCCGATAACACCAACATCGAGCGTGACCTGACGCTCACGGCCACGGGAACGGCGTCCGCGCATCTCCGGGCGTTTGCGCATCTTCTGGCTGTGGACGAAGGGACGTTTGCCGGGTTTTGTGACGAGCCGGAGCGGTTTGAGGGGTATTTGAGACAGTTGGATGGGGATGGGCAGATGAAGAAGGGGGGCAAAGGGAGCAAGAAGAGGAAGGCGGGGAAGAAAGGGGTGGATGTGGACCGAGTCGTGAAAGACGCCCTCCGAACAATCGCTGCGGACCGCTTAGCGGCCTACCCCACGACGGTGGAGGAGGATGAACGGGTGTTGAAAACATTGGGGAAATCTACGGACCCCGCGAGTCTGCGGATGCGACATATCCTTGTGTTGAGGATTGGGGAGAAGAGGATCTTGGGGAGGGTTTTGGCAAAGTGAACAGCGCATTAACCCGCACGTCACCAAACCAAGCAGACATCGAAGGACCCTTTCGTTACGACCCCGCGGCATATGTAGGCTGATGTGGGTTGCTCATAGCGCGGTAATTTATGTATATGTACACTACTGCACCATTCAGAGTTAGGTCAGCCGAGATAGATTATGTGTGTATTTAATCTGGGCGTGTAGGCAAATGCAAACGGGGACGCTGCAGCAACGAACAAAACGGGGCCTTCTGAGAATTTTTTTTCGCTGCCAATCCCGAAGGTGGAAACCAGTTAGGGTTAGGGTTAGGGCTAGGGTTAGGGCTAGTAGCATTCAGCCCTAACCGGCCCGAAGGCCGAGCGTGTTGTTATGATAGGTTAGTTACCCAAAAAGTCACCAAGTTTATGTCGCTTATTATAGTGTTAAGTGGACGGTAGCGTGGATAGCAAACACGGGTAGCGTCGTTAGCAATTCCCTTTCTTTTTCCCCTCACCATTGTAACAAGCACACGAACATCATGACGAGTTTTACGGCTACGTTGCCCGCACTGACACGACGATTGAAACGGCGGCGAACACGCCAGTCATCGAGATTCTGCGTGCACTCTCCACGCAACCACCTCTTGTGGTGTGCAACGACGAGCGGCTCGTATCGGGCAAGGGGGATGGTCAACTGCTCGGCCCGGAAGCCTTGACGGTTGTCTATCGGGACGAGACCAAGCTAGCGGAGCGGTTAAGAGACGGACGGTCAAGGAGCTGAAAGATGAGATAGCCGGCCTCAAGAAGGACGTGAGCGCCCTAGCTTCACTGTACTTGCGCAACGCGGCAATCTAGCTCTTTGCGCTCAAGGAACAACCCGAGTCGGATGCAGGGGCCTCGCACTGCTTTCAGGCGGCGCACAAGAAGGGGACGGCTATTGGGTCTTTGAACAAGGTTGCCGCGGTGTACAGTCAGGTAGCAAAAAGCTGTCTCTCCTTCTAAATGAAGTCAATGACCGTTCCACAAGGTCGGCGGCACTGACTTAACCTCGAGGAGAGACAGCTTTTTGCTACCTGACTGTGCAATGCCAGCGAGGCTGCTGTGGTGGATGTGGATGCGGGAGGCTTGGCGAAGACGTTTGATGCTGTAATCAACAGAAGCAATGAAACTGTGCATTTTGCGAGCCGGCAGGATTTGGAAAGGGACGCTGTTGAGCCGGCCGGCGCGGCAGCTCGTGGGCAGGCACACCGGCTTGCGTCAGTCGTACCGTCAGCAAGCGATGGTATTGGATTTGAACGAGGAGATCATGGGGGCGTTTAGCTTTTTTTTTTTTGACAAATTAGCTTCCCGAAGGTCACGATACTCTGAAATCAACGTCGGTTCATTTGGAAGGTGCGCCGACCGAAGCCTTGTCGAGCTCCGGCTGGGACGCCATCGCTTTGGGTGGGACAAGTGGCAAGCTCCGCCATGCGATTAAGAAGGTAACGTTGAGCCCAAAACCGTTCAGCTAGCTGAGCAAAGTGAGCAATTGAATGAGGGGTACGCGAATCCCCGGCTATCTCCACCGAGCACGTACGACAAATTTTGCCGTATTAGAATGATGGTCTAAAGCGCTTTGCATATACACATTGTATCATTTCTTCGTTCAAAATAAACTCGCCGTGTATGTGATCGCTTTGTTGAAATCGCTGTTCCGTGGTTGTTCCGTGGACGGGGAGACCGTGGCCGAGCTCGCGCGCGCAGAACCTCAGCGCTCACATTCGGCAGACATGACTACGGGATGGGAGCTTTGTGCCATGGCGGCTGGCTCGTCGAGTACCGCTTTTCCCCTATCTACGCTTCCACTCGCATCTATTCGTTTCGCGCGAGTGGTGCAGAATGGGCTATGGATTGGTGAGCGGAGAGATGTGATATCGGAGTTGGTGGGTATGCATTCCGGGGAGTTTGTGGTGGGAGGCGGAGAAGATTATATGTCGGCCGCCGCTCCAATGGTATGCGCCATCTGGAGGTCAAACTGACGAAGCGAGCGATCACCGCTATACCGTGACCACCGTCAATTCCCTATATCTTCCCCCATACCTTCCCACAACGCTTCCTCCGTTCCCACCCTCTGTCCACCGAACCCAATCCATCGACCGTTTCCTCCCCCACACCCTTCCTCTCCTCCTACTTCATCAAAACTTGACATTAAAACTCGTCTTACACCCACAGCTCGACTCCGCCCTCGGGTTATCCGTAACCTGGAAACTGGACCCAATCAGCTCCTCAACGTAATCCAGCGTGGACCCGTTGACGAAATCGAGGGAGGTGGTGTCGATTACTATTGTTGCGTTGTTTTTCGTTATTAGTCTAAAAAGGGGAGAAGAATTAGATGATGTGAAGGAGATATATGGGAGGGAGACATACGCGCACGTACATGTCTTCCGCAGGGTCATACTCATCCGTCAGCTCCATTTTGTACTGGAAGCCGTGGCAGCCGCCGGATTCGACTGTTACGCGGAGTTTCTTTGTGGTGTTGGATTTAGCGTTGATGGCGTTTAGTTGCTGTGATGGGGGAGGGAGATCAGCATTGGCAGCAGGAACGGGAACTTCAATGGGTGACGAGACATACATTCGCGGCGGAATCAGAGACCCAAAACGAGGGCTCAGCCGCTGGCGTCTCGGTTGGTTCTTCAGCTGATGCTGCTGCTGTGGATGCGGGAGGGGAGGGCTCCGGTTGCGGCTGGGTCTGTGATTGTCGAATATGTGCGGAAACTGTATAGGGACGGCGGTGCTCGTGGTGCGCAACCTCCGATAGGTCCACCCTGCCCTGCCACGACGCTGACACACTTCGGCTCGACCCGTTTCTCGCAAGGTTTGAGTATGCATGTCGTTGTTGGCAGGTTGGAATGAGAGAGCGGAGACAAGTTGTGGTTGCGGGCGGAAGACGACGCAGTTGCTGGTTGAGGTGAGACAGCTGCAGGAGGAGGGAGCCTGCCCTCCGTAGGTACTGTGGGTTGCGGTGTGGCATGAGTGTAGGTATGAGGCTGGTTGTGTTGGGCGGAGGTGCTGCTTGTGAAGCTGGGGGCCGATTGGGGGTTATTTTCCGAGATGGGGCAGACTGTCGGTGCTGCGAAATCAGAGAACTGGGCGAAGGCGTTGCGCGTGACGGGTTTGGCTGTTTGGCCAAGACGTGGGAAAAGCCACGCCCGTTGGCAAGTCGACTTTCTGGACAGAAGAACAATGGCCCTCTACAACAAGGCAGGCGAGATCCTCGACAAGCTGGAGGCTCAGAAGGGCACCATACGCAGTCTTTGTCTCGCCGACGACGTCGCGGACAAGAAGAGGACCTACGCGTTGGTGTGCGAGTCGTTGAAATGTAAGACCCGGCGTCAAAAAATGGGGGGGTTATGTGCACATTGGTCATGTCTCCATAAGGGTAGCGTTTTGGTTCTGACTCTGGACTGGGTTTGGTAGATAAGGAAGTACTGCAGCTTATTATAAAGCAAGCAGGCTTGCTGGAGGCGGAGAAGAGCAAAGTGAGGACAGGCCCACCATTTTTTCCCTCGCTTTCCACAACCGAAGGCTATCTAACCTCAAGTCCGCATAGAAACTGAAAAAAGGGGTAGCCAACGTGCTAGTATACGATCTTCTCTTTGGACGAGGCATCCAAACAGGGGGCGGCTACAAAGAGATCATAACCAAACACCGCACCCGGTTACAGGCGGAGCTGGCAAAGATCAAGATCAAGCGGAAAGTGAGGGATAATAAGGATCTTATACCAGGTGGGCCGGGAGGAAGATTATGCTGGCGCAAGATTATGCAGGGAGTGGGATGGAAGAAGCTGGGAGGGTGGGCGACTCATGCATGTTATTTTGCATTTCACAGCGCATATCCGTGATGCCGTCGTTTTACCAAGATGGGTTCGTGTCAACACGCTCGTGTCGTCGGTCAAGAAGGTTCTTGATCGTTTCGAGAAGCTGGGATACCGGATCGACACAGAAACGCCGCCACCGGAGCTCAAGTAAGTCATCAGAGCGAGCAGATCCAGTACCTTTGTCTCCCTCACCGATCTAACACTATTCTCCCCACATCCCCAGAGGTCTAGTCCTCCAACAAGACAAACACATCCCCGAACTCCTTGCCCTTCCCTCCTCCACCGACCTTCACGACAACCCCCTCCTCCTCGACGGGAGCATCATCATCCAAGACAAAGCCAGTTGCTTCCCCGCATACGTCCTCAACCCCCCACAAGGAGCAGTGTGCATTGACGCGTGTGCGGCGCCGGGGAATAAGACGTCGCATTTGAGTGCGATTATGCGGAATACGGGGAAGATATATGCGTTTGATATGGATAAACGGAGGTTGGGGATTTTGCAGAGGTTGACGAAACGGGCAGGGTGTAAAAGTATGTTGATTTGTTGAGGGTTGGGGATGCGGATGGGGTGGGCAGTTTCGACTTTCCTGAACGTGTTCACTGACTCATCTCCGTACAGATATCGATCCAACACTTGGCAACTTCCTCGAAACCAGCGGCTCCGACCCGCGCTTCAAAAACGTCGAGTATATCCTCCTCGACCCGTCATGTTCGGGATCCGGCATTGTCGGGCGGATGGATCACTTGTTAGGTAGCAAGCGAGCCTGAACAGTCTCTATCGTCATCTTGCCGTTGGCTCACCCTTATCGGTCATGCAGAAGGAATACCCGCCGAAGAAAACGACTCCGAAAACCCCAGCACAACCCCCTCCACCACCGAATCACGCATAACCTCCCTCGCAACCTTCCAACTGTCCGCCCTCCTCCACGCTCTCACCTTCCCCTCCCTCAAAAAGGTAGTCTACTCAACCTGCTCTAAGCACCGCGAAGAGAACGAAGAGGTCGTTCGCGCTGTCCTCGAACAACAATCCGACTTTGTGCTTGCGAAAGGGGTGTTTGAGGGATGGGAGACGAGGGGGTGGACGCAGGAAGATCCCCTGGGGGAGGGGTTGGGGATGTGGGGGAGGGAGTGTGTGAGGACGGACCCGAGGACGGATTTTTGTATTGGGTTTTTTGTGGCGGTTTTTGAGAGGAGGGTTGGGAGTGAAGGGGCGGAGGGTAAGACGAAGACGAATGGGAAAGGCACGACGAGTGGGCATGGACCGCCGCCGCCGCCGCCGTCGTCGACATCATCGTCGGCTGCTAAGCGGCCGCGTGAGGAGGAGGATGTTGATGGTGGGTCTGATCACGAACAAGAGGACGATGGAGACGCGGCAGTAACTCCCACGGCGGCACACACCGCAGCGAAAAAGAAGAAAAGCAAGAAGAAGAAGCCGAAGAAGAAGAAAGCTAAGATAGAATAGAGTAGCGCGGCAGGGAACAGATAGACATGGGTGATACTTGGGCGTAAGTTAACAGCGGGAATAGACGTACATCATCAGCGTTTGCTGCACTATGGAGGATGGAAACAGGTCAGAAACGAGCAAAAGCGAAGTGTGCAAACAAGAGTGTCCGAAACCCACCCACGCGTCTGATCGTGTCCGAAAGTGAAGTAGAACGCTGAGAGCGCAAAGAGAAAATGAAGTCGGCGGCATCGACTCCCAAGTCCCAACCGACATTGGGCTTCAAATACAGATTTGCGCTCTTCGTGCAGCTGCGACTCACCTTCACTAGGCATTACGGAGACGCCGGCCGACGCAGCTATATACTAGGCACCCCCTGTAACGACGCGAGATCCTCACCATGGCGGGCCTCGAAGAGCAAGATGGCCCGATCCTCAACATGGACGATTTGGAGCATCACAAAGAGAACATCCGGCCAGTGAAGACGGGCAGAAGTGCCGCGGCGCTATCAAAGCTTTACGGGGCGTCCGGCTTGTCCTCCAGTTCACAAACCGGCGGTGTCACGAACGACGAGAGCGGAACCAGCCCGCTCTCAGCCTCGCAACTCGAATCCCAACGCCTTACCCTCGCCGACACCCTCACCTCCTCCATCCAAGCCGGCCACGCCACCTTCAACCAATACCACACCTACCTCAAATTCCTGCAACAATACTACCCCGCCGGCCACCCCGACTTCTACGACGTCCTCCAAGAATCCGTCCGGGTCTTCAAACACTCGCCTGAGTACAAGAACGACCCACGGTACCTCTGGATGTGGACCGAGGTTGCCAACCAAGCAAAGGACGCCGTCGAGGTGTTCAAGTACCTTTCCGTTAACGAGATCGGGACGGGGTTGTCGACGTTCTATGAGGCCTATGCGAGCTTGATGGTTGAGGCGAGACGGTGGGATGAGGCGGAGGAGTTGTACAGGGTAGGCATTGGAAAGGGGGCGGTGCCGGTGGAGAGGTTGAAGAGGAAGTTGGAGGATTTCATGAGGATGCCGAGAAGGGGTGAGGGGCGCGAGGAGGAGGGCGAGGGTGAAGGTGAAGGGGCGGAGGGGCGGGCGCAGGGGGGGTACTATAATGAGAACCAGCACCTGCAGACGGCACGGAGACCGGCGTTGGCGCCGTTGGCGGCTGGTCCGAGAAGTAAACCGAGTGCTTCGGGGATATCGGCGGGCCCGTCGCAACCGCAGGGGAATGCGAGGGTGAAGATGCAGGTTTATCAAGATCGCAGTGAGAACGAGAGTCGACGGGCATTGACGTCTCGTGTGCTGCCGTCTGCGTCCACGGCAGGGCCATGGGCGGAGTATGGGACGTCCAGTTCGAGACGGAAGGAGAACGTGAGGGAAGCAACGAAATGGACGGGAAGTACGTTACCGCAGAGTGGGGCAGGCGGTGGACGGGCGGCTTTGGCTCCGCAACCGCGGTCGAGGATTGAGGTGTATCAGGACGAGGTGAGGAAACAATGCACATTTCGATTTGAGGTTGAGTATTTGTATCTTGGGATTGAAGCTGAGTTTTTGTTGACTGCTTCACAGCCATCTGGGTCAGACCTCACCGTCCCCGGTGTATCGGATAATGTCCTGCGTGAGAAGGACATCAAAGCCGCCGCAGAACCCAGCACATCCACCATGCTAGCCGAAATCGACCGACCGTCGCCTCCGACTGCACCGCCCGCCACTGAGCCTGCATCTCGACCAGCACAACCTAAACCGGCAAAAACTCAATCCTCATCGAATGGATCGAAACCATCCCGCCCGGAAAAGATGATGGTCAAAATGGACCTGTTTTACGACGAGGCCGGCAACGTGTGGTCGTTTGAAGAGGTCCGTGCTGCTCATATGCTGCGAAAAGAGGAGGAGCAGCCACCTACACCTGCGCAGATCCGCGCCGCAGCGGATGACTCGGAGCCGAAATTCCACCAAAAAGCAAAAGCCGTCGCGTCCCCAACCATCAACACCAAAGCCGCCCTCGCAGACGTTTTCGAGATGTTCAACCAGCCTTTACAGTGCGAGTCCCAGCCACCATCGGCTGCTGGGAGTCGCGAGGAGGAGCGCGATGATGGACAGGGCGGGCTTTATGTCGAAGAGGACGAGACGATCAGCGCCAAAGTGTTCAAACGCGATACGAATTTGGATATTGGCGTGTTCCAGGATGATGAGGATGATAGTGAGGATGAGGGCGTGCGGGCGAAGTATCCGAAACCGGTGAAAGCTTTCATGAAGGAGGATAAGGAGAACCCGTTTATCGACAGCCGAGATGCAGGGTCATCAGCGTCCAAGCCTGCCAAGAGCATCGTGCGTGCAGGGCAGGACGAAAACTCGTACAGTGAACCCTCCTTCCAACCCCGAAGCTCATCCACCAAACCCAGCAGCATCCTTCAAGTCACAGACCCAGCCCTCCACTCCACCCCCTACCACCGCCGCGCCTCCGCCGGCGAAGACGACTACGAGCAGCCCTTAGCCGACCAAGATCAGGACGACGCCCACCACTCCCACCACCCGCGCTTCCAAGGCCGCCTGGGCCCGCTCGCCATCATGACCCCCATCACCGAAGCCTCGCACGAGTCCTCTCGGGCTATGACGGGTCTCAGCACCATCGGCCGGCGCCCCGGGCTGATGGACGACGGCCACACGGTGATGACAATGAACACGTTCGGCGAACGTACGCTGAGCAGTATTAGTTATGAGGGGAGCGGGAAGTATGAGGAGGAGGACGAGGAGGAGGAGGAGAGCGAGGAGAGGAAACAGACCAGTGAACGGTTGCGTATACATGCTCAGGGGCCGGTTACTGTGGGCATGGGGAAGGTGGGGATTGGACGGGTGGGGGGGCGGGTGGAGGATGAGGCGAGGTTGGGGGAGGGGTATAGTGGGTTGAGGGTTGTGAGTGATGATGAGGACGGTGGGAAGACTGGTGGTGGTGCGAGAGTGGGGGATTCGCAGCTCTTGGAATCATGGCAAGCCTTCGGCACCAGTGGATCACGCACGAAGATCAACATCGCCAACCCATGCAACCCCTACACCGAGCCCGTCAAATCCCAAATCCTCTCCCGCTTCGACACCGCCTCGATCCCCTCCCTGCACTCACATCCATCCACATCGCTCAACCTAACCACAACCATCGAAAAATCTTTGAAGAAAGCCGAACGAAGCACCAGCAAAGCCCGCGGACGCGACTCGGTTGCTGCAACGGATACCCTGGTTTCGCTACCTGGTGCCAAGCCGCTCAAATTGGTGCGGAAGCTGGGCGAGGGCGGGTTTGGGAAAGTGTATTTGGTCGAGACGCCGTTGGATGAGGATGACGCGGATATGTCCGATGAGGACGATGAGGATGATGGGGATGATGAGTGCTCGACGGATGGGAGTGACGAGGGGAGTGAGACGTCTCGTCGGTCGCCGGCGAGGAAAGTGGGGAGGAAACAGGTTGTGGAGACGTCGTGGGCGTTGAAGGTGCTGTCGACGCCGAATCCGTGGGAACATCTCCTGTTGTTGACATTGCACGCAAGACTACCGCTCCGAATCACATCCTCCATCATCCGCCCGCACGCCTGCCATGTCTTCCAAGGCGAGACCTGCATGCTCCTCGCGAACGGCAAACACGGCACGTTATTGAACTGCGTCAACGTGGCGGGGAAATACGGGTACGGGAGCGGGCTCGGCGGGACTGGGGGTGGTGGGATAGGCGGCGCAGCGGGCGGTGATGCCGGGGTGGAGGAAGCACTCGCGGCGTTCTGGGCGATTGAGATTTTGAGGACGTTGGAAGGCGTGCATGCTGCTGGGGTCGTGCATCGGGATGTGAAGGTGGATAATTTTTTGGTGCGGTTGGATGATTCGGCCGCAGGGGGCAAGAAGGGGGATGAGGAGTGGGATGGGGTTTATCAGCCTGATGGAGCGAGAGGGTGGGCTAAGCGTGGGGTGACGTTAATTGATTGGGGCACGGGGATTGACGTGAGGATGTTTGCGGGCGAGCAGAAGTTTACTGCTGCTGCGGAGATTGTCGAGCCGACGGAACCGATGAAAAAGAACAGACGCAATGGCGACCATGATCCCAGTGTGGAGTGCTGGGAGCTTCGGAACGGCGTGCCGTGGACGTTTGAGCCGGATTGGTATGGCGCGGCGGGCGTGATTCATGTGTTGTTGTTTGGGCGATATATGCAAGTCGTTGAGGACGCGTCGGCTTGTGATACCAACAACTCCAGCACACATCCGCGCCGACCGCATATCCGCCTCGCGGCCTCGTTCAAACGATACTGGCAGGTCGACCTGTGGAAACGGCTGTTTGACGCGCTTTTGAACGCTGGTGCGCAAAACGCCGCTGCGGTAGACGCACGTCTTCACGAACATGACACGAACAACAACGATTCGCCACCACCGCACGCATCGGTCCACGGTCCCGGGACAGACTACGACACCCTGCACAAATCGTTCCCGCACGTACATACGATCCGCGCCGCGAGGGTCGGGATGGAGGAGTGGTTGGCGAGGTCGTCGACGCGGGTGGGGAAGAATTTGAGGGGGCTGTTGAAGAGGGTTGGGACGGCGACGGTTGAGGAGGGAAGGAGGAGTGGTGGGGGGAGGATGTAGCTTTGCCCATCAATGACGAAGATCGGATCCTCGGGCCTCAAGTCTCAATGTTGCAGGGACAAGACGGTTTGAATTGCATTTCAGTAACTACAAAAGCCCTTCATGTACATTGGGGAGAAGGAAATGGTGTGATGTGGGTGGGTGGGGCCATCCTATACTTGCTGTATAGAAATGGATTAAGCTAAGGACACTAATGAATAAAATGACATCCCACAATTTGGTCCTCCGATTGACCGCAGACAAGCTCGAAGGTCCCGGGTCGACACAGGCCTATACACTGTGGTTCTCCGCCCCGTCGTACACCGTTGTTCACCCCCCACACTGGTTCGATCGACGCTCTTACCACTGGGCGGAACCGACACTCTTACCACCTATCTTATCACCGCGCAACAAATCCGGCACCGGCATCTTCGGACGACACTGGCAGGCATTGGTGGTCTCAGTGCCGATATCCTCCAAAAGCGGATCTCGGACGAGTGGGACAGACGTAGGCATGTCGTGGAATGGAAAAGCCCTCCACGCGCAGTCCGTGGCTAGTTGTCGTTCTAGAGGGTAGATCCACACCAATCTACATACAGCGCTAGCGAACAGGTGGTCGTCGGCCATCTACGTCCCCAACTCCGGTCGCTCGTCGCAGGCAGCGCAGTGTGCTATCGCATTTTGACGAGCGACCAGGACTGCTTGTTGGACGTTCTTGAGACTAATTCGCCAACTAACTCGCCTGGAGTTTTACATGTAGCTAAGCCCGGGTTTCTCCAGGAATCCAAGAGGAAAAGAGGAATTGAGCAAATCATTCAAGACAGTATGTTCCATTCAGACAAATCATAGGTTATACAGATTTATCTCATACATGTTTACATAGCGAACGTCCATTCCACCAAGTAACTTCTATCCACCACATCTAAGATCCCCATCTCCCATCCCTCGACGTTCGGTACGTCGGCATTATGACTCTGTGTTCCCATTCCTTCCCTCGATGTTTGGCACATCGGAATTATGACTCGGTGTTCCCATTCCATCCCTCGACGCTTGGTACGTCGGCATTATGACTCTGTGTTCCCTATTCCATCCCTCGATGTTTGGCACATCGGAATTATGACTCGGTGTTCCCCATTCCATCCCTCGACGTTTGGTACGTCGGCATTATGACTCTGTGTTCCCTATTCCATCCCTCGATGTTTATCACATCGGAATTATGACTCGGTGTTCCCCATTCCATCCCTCGACGTTTGGTACGTCGGCATTATGACTCTGTGTTCCCTATTCCATCCCTCGATGTTTGGCACATCGGATCATGACTTTGTGTTCGAATTTTCCATCCCTCGACGACGCCTGTTTGGCCGGTTTTGCCACAGTGCGCTTTTGCAGGGATGAGATGTGATTGTCTTGCTGATGCCGCTTTCCGTGAAGCGTCGTTTGAGCGCATATCTACGGGCAGTGGTGCAGTGGCGGGTGTGTGTGTGTCCCTTCCGAAGATGCCGATTGCTCTTCAATCGCGTAGCGGTAGGTGTAGTTTGTAAGCCAGGAACGCCAGGCTGTCCTCGATCCGCGACTTGTCGACCCACTCGGCGGTGTGGGGTGGTTGGCCAGAGAGCCGGGCGAGGGACTCCGTGCGGTTGCGGTGGCTGCGTTGGCGCAGAATTTGGGCGTAGCGGTGGTTGTCGATGGAGGTCGACCACTCAGTTGGCTGGGCGTCCCAGATTTTAAGATGTCTGCGTGGAACGTGGGATGCGTGCGACTGAGTTCCGGTCCGAGGGCGATCACGAAGTTGTTGGGTTGTTCGCCCGTCGCAACGCTTGAGCGTCCCCTTTGGTAGCTTGCGGTACTCGGGGGTGTTGATGGACGACTTGTGTACCAGGACGTGGGCGCCCGGCCGGATGCGGTGGTCGTAAGGTAGGCGTTTAGCATCCGCGTATCGGGCGTACCGGTCTTGAGCCTCCAGAATCCGCTCCTTCACCACGGCGATGATGTTGTTCAAGTCCTTAGCCCAGGTAGGACCGGGCAGCGGTGTTGGCGCGCTTGATATGTTGGGCCGTCGTGGGTGGTAACCCAGGTCCGCGAAGAAGGGGCTCATGCCGGTGGTTGCATTGATTGTATCAATGTGGGCGAATTCCAGCGCGGCTAGGTGTTCGGACCAGTTGATGCCTGTGAGGTCGGGTTTGGTGGACAGAAGGGTGTTGACCGTTTGGATGGTACGTTCGGCCTGCCCCGCAGTCTGATGGTGTCCCCGTGCGGTAGCCGAGAATGTTTTGGATGTGGGTCCACATCTCGGAGGCAAAACGGGGATCGCGGTTGCAAATGATGGGTTTGGGAAGGCCTTGGAGACGGAATACCGCGCTGGCAAAACGTTTTGTATTGAACTCGTAGCGCTTTGTAAGAGTGGGGATGCGCAAGCTCCTTGGCTGCCACCTTGGCGTGGGTCGGTACGAGGATGATGCGTGACAAGAGGTAGTCAACGATAATCAGAACGGCAGGGTGTCCGTCCATAGCTGAAGCGTATGGGGCCATTGGCGGTCGTGTGCGTGACCCTCACCCACCCGAAGATGCCGTGTATGGATGGCCACACCAGCTCTCTTCGTTGGTGCTGTCCTTCCCGTTGTTCGCTCTGATCCAAGAACCGATGCCGTTGTTCATTTCCCCTAAAACGCCGAAAGACCACGCCCGAGTAGCCTGTGGATGTCGCTGCGAGTATCGGGATTTGCCAAGATGTCGCCATCGTATAAGAGGTGCGGTAGTGGGGGCTGTAAGCGTGGCGAGCAGTCCGGTCGTGGGGGCCTGGTCGGTGTGGGAGGGGTTTCCAAGGGCCTCGGCTTCGGCGGCGGCAGCAGCAGCGGCCAATTGGGTGTCCGTAGCTTCGGTTGGTTCCGCGACTGTGCGGCCGATATTGTCAAAAATACGGTTGATAGCCGTAGCGTTCCGGTGTGTAAAGCGGGGCAGCTCGCCGTCCTCGATTCGTTGTAGGGTCTTGAACAGTTTGGTGAGGGTGGCCTGGCGGAATTCGTCGGCAGGAAACCCGATGGTGAGGCCGCGGAGGACGTAGGTTTCGGTTATGTCCTTGCGTCGGACTTCGACGATGGTGCGGGCGAACCCAGTGAGGCAGTGCGTGCGGGCACGTTCGGGGGTTGCTCAGAGTCGTTATCGGCCTCAGAAACGGACGCCAACTGCGTAGCGTTCGCATTGGGAATGGGAGCGTTCGGTTGAGAACAGTGGCTTCCTCGAAGTCATCCTCCGAGAGATGAGCGAAGGCACGGATCTTTCAGGAAGGTTTCGCCCAGACACTGGATCTTTGCCTGCAATGGCGGCAGAGAAGAGCAGGGTCCGCCTCTCGTCGTTGCTGGCCGGCATATCTCCCTTCGTGAGTTTGCGAGTCGCGGATTCGAAGCCCATATCGAGCATGCGATCGGCTCCGTCGAGCACGAGGCAGCGCACTTCGTGAGACTGATAGGTTTGCGGTCGATCAGGACTTGCAGGCGAATGAGGAGATGAACTTCGCGGCCTTTCGGTTTGTCTTGTGTTGTCCACGCACAGCGCCGGAGGTAGTTGTCGTTGTCCCGGACGGCGAACCCACTTCTTTGAACGAAGCTCACGGCCAAGGGAGGTCCCGATGCGAAATCTTCAGAGGGAGTGGTGACATCGCGCGTATCGCTGTACGGTGACGACAATTTCCAGGTAAAAGCGAACGGAGGTGCTGCGAGCACGGTGACGACAATCTTCAGGTAAAAGCAAACAAAGGCGCTGCGAGCACGGTGACGACAATTTCCAGGTAAAAGCGAACCGATGTGCTGCGAGCACGGTGACGACTATCTTCAGGTGAAAGCGAACGGAGGTGCTGCGAGATTCATAGATGCCAACGGATCGGAATCGATGGAGTCCGAACAATGTGCAACGCGGTAACGTCTCGTGCCTTCTCAATGTGATAGCCGTGAACGTCGAAATGTACGATTTCCGAGTTCTGTTCCGTTCGTGCTTGACTCAAGTGCATGGCGCCCGCGCCAGCAGCTCGCTCGTAGGTAGGTAGGTTCAATCTTGTCTAGAGCCACTCGATTGTCAATAGTGGATAGCAACCGACTTTCACGGTTTCTTCAGATGGATTTTCACCCCAGACTAGCATTGTGCCCCGTCACGCTGTTTGCAGCCAGCACGGGTATCACGCCGCATCGTCTTGCAATTTTTTAAGAAGGTAGCGATCCTCTCTTGATTGTTGTTAAAGAGGTTGCATCGTTCCCCTGGCTAATTTATTACCGAGGTTGCCTTCCTCATTTCTTGCGCGGTTGCCAGCCGGGAGAGCCCATTTATAACGCGCAAGGTGGCTCTCCTGGTTGGGGTATTGTTTTTCCGAGGTGCCCTTCCTGGTGGTCCATAAATCAATGTTTGTCTCCCAATCGTACGACTTGTGAGAGGGGATCGTCAGCCCAGTATCGAGGTCATGCGTGCAGTCGTGGTGTCATGCCTAAACTCCATAGGAGCAGGGGCGGCAGAGGACAGGTAGTAGCGAGCAAAAGACGAAAGCGATCCGAAGGTCATGCCTAGACTCCATAGGAGCGGGGGCGGCAGAGGACAGGTAATAGCGAGCGAAAGACGAAAGCGATCCGAGGGTCATGCCTAGACTCCATAGGAGCGGGGGCGGCAGAGGACAGTGGTGAAAGACGAAAGCGATGCGATGGTCGTACCTAAACTCCATAGGAGCGGGGGCGGCAGAGGACGGGCGGCGTTTGCGTCGAAAAAGGAAAGAAGCAGCGGAGACCGAAAACGATGCGATGGTCATGCCTCGACTCCATAGGAGGGGGGGCGGCAGAGGACGGGCGGCGTTTTCGTCGAAGAAACAGAAGATGCAGTAGAGGATGGGTAGAGGCACGTACGCAGAAGATGACAGAGAAGATTTGGAGCGGTGCTTGCCCGGCATGATGCGATGGAGAGAGGGAGGCATCATGCGCGGATAGGCCGGTCCGGATCTTCTTCAATCTCTTGTGCAGTCGGCTGGCTCATTCCCTTGAACCCATCAATCACGAGGCTGGTCAGGTCCGCGATTGTGATGGCGATTCCTTGGAAGTCCTCACGCTGCTCTGCAAGGTTGATTTGGTTCCGTGCGATCTTTGCGTCGGCCGTGTCGAAGGTCCGCAGCATCTCAGCACGCAACCTCTCAACATTGCTCTGAGCATTGGTGGCGGTGGTCTCCACATCACCGAAGCGCGACTCCATCAGCGCACCCAGCCTCTCCTCCTGTGCGGTCATTGCAGCTCGGAGCTTGGCAGTGGTGGTGGCCTTGAAGTGCACGTACTGAGTATCGAGGCGGGCGAACCGCAACTCGATGCTTCGGTCGAGGTCATGATCGTTGCGCTTCATGGTGGTCAGCACGTTCTCCATGTCTTCCTCTAGTCTCCTTACATCGCAAGCATGGCCGTCTACCCTCTCCAGGAGCACGGCACGATCTTCCTTGGCGATGGCGGCCTCCTCTTTGCAGCCACCGATGGCCGAGTCCAGGTGAGCGAATCGGCTTTCGATCGTAGCCCCACCCCTCAACAACCGTTCGGAGATATCAGCCTCGATGGCGTCCATCCGGTTCGCGAGTTGCTGAATGAGTGGTGTGGCATTCGCCACCGCATCCGTCTCCTCGTCCTCCAGCTTCATCTCCACATCGATGGTCTGCCGCGTGTTCTCGGCGGTGGTCTCGGTCTCATCCGTCTCCATTGGTACCCTCACATGGGTGCTCAATGTCTGCACGTCGCTCTTCAATCCTAAGATCTCCTGAGTCTTGACGTGGTTTGCCTCCTTGAGATCCTGCAGGTCTTTGAGGATCTGTTCAATGGTGTTTGCAGTGGTACGGTCCGTAAACTCGTCCACCTGCATGGCGTCGAGATCCGATAACGCGGCGTCTGCAACCACCACGTCATCGTCCTCGTGCGCTTTGTCGGCGTTGTCCTCATCCTCTTCCACAACTGCCTCCTCAACAACGACCTCTTCTTCCTCCTCCTCAGCTACTTCCCCTTCATCGTCCTCTGCCTCAACGTCTTCCTCATCTTCGGCCTGCTCTTCCTCCTCTTCTCCGAGGATTCTGGCGTCGATGGCGGCCACGATGCCCTCCACCCGCGCAACCTCGTCACTGGTTGCTGCGATGCGGGCTTCGGCATCGGTGACACGTCCCTCGAACGCCGCGGCCTTGAGAGTCAGAGCGTCTGCAAGGTCCTTGCACCTGCGCGTAAAGTCCAGCGATTCCTCGGCATGGGCCTTCTGCGCAAGCTCCAGCTCGGCCTTTATCGCAACCATTGCGGCGGTGGCGGCGTTGGCTTGGGCGATGGCGGCGTTGGCTTCGGCGATGGCGGCTTTGGCTTCGGCAGCGGCGGCTTTGGCTTCGGCGGCTTCGGCGGCGGCTTCGGCGGCGGCGTCTGCAGGAGCTTGAGCCTCCGCATTGCTGCGGTTCTCAAGCGCTGCGAGACGCTCGCTCATGGCTCCGAAGAGGGCCTCGAATCCAGCCGGGACGGCAACAGACTGGTCGGTCGTGCCGTTCCTCTTGGGGGTGGTCCTGGACGCCGGGGACGAAGGCAAAGACACCTTGGAAGATGATGCTTGCGGGGGAGTGTAGCTGCGCCCGAAGGCGACTTTGGTCGGCGGTGTAGTGGTGCCCTTAGGCGAGGTCGAGGGCGAAACCTTGGGGGAGACCCTGGGGGAAACCCTGGGGGAGACCTTGGGGGAGAAGAAATAAGAGCAAAGAATGAGCGATACAAAGTGGATACAAAGTGGAATGTAGCCGGAAGGCAAATGAAACGATTTGTGGGATCATTGTACCAACCTTGGGCGAACCCACCGAGGTCCTCACTTGCATCGTTCCCATCTGCGCAGAAAGACCATCCAAATCGAGGAGGCCGGTTGCGGACGGCGTGCCGGTGGTGGCCGAACGCGTGCGGGTGGTGGCGGAACGGGTGCGGGTTGCGACGGAAGACTTGGGGCTGGTTGTTCCGATCATGTTTGCGTGCGCGGAAGGGTATTTCTGGTGTGGGTATGGGTGTGGGTATAGGTGTTCGATGCAAAAAGCTTTGGCTCTGGATGAGAGTGTGTGGAGAAAAAGAGAGAGCCGTTTGAAGCGCTCGTCGCTTTAAGTACAGCAGGCGAGCCCAAGAGTCTTCTGCGCAAGGGTCTCATTCGCGTGTTACCTAAGCAAAACGCGTCCGTCTTTGAGTGTCTGAAAGGTTTCCTTGTGTTTTACCCCTGCCATCGACTTTCGAGAGCCAAGGAGAGAGAGCCAATAACCAGTACTACCTCTCATCACGCCATCCTTATCGTACCACATAGATAGCGGCGAGCAGTGGATTATAGACAACGGGATCTTTCACCTTCCATTGAGAGTTTGTTCCCTCGGAAATCCTGTTAACCGCTGTCAACTCACTCCGGCCAATGATTCGCCAATGCAATGAGAGTGTGCAGCACGTGTATGCATACTCTTCTTGCACTGGGTTGAGTGATCGGCCTTCGTGCAGGTACCGATGGGTAAGACTCTTATGTGCCATCCTGTATAGGTGCGTGTAGGCGCGTATAGGAGTCGGCGCAGTCAGCTATACGGCCAAGGGCATCATAAGCGCGTGAGAACGTTTTCCAACGCCGGCATAATGTTCTTGTCGGCCATAGTTTATGTGTCAAATGTGTGGTATCGCGACAATCCAAAGGTAGTCAGTCTCAGTCTGCATGCAGCTCGAAACGAGTGGGCCCCGGGGCTGCATTGCTTTGAGATATTGTGGCTTTGCGCATATGAACGCGCGCCTGAGTTCTGACTTCATGATACTTTGCATTATGCCTCAGTGTATTTTGTGGTCTAGAAACCGGCCACCTTATACCTCCGCTGTGTGCGTGGTTCAAGATATTCTGATTTCGTGAATTTGAATGGTTGAATTATGCCTGTGTTGCTTGAGGATTGTGACTTCGTGAAGTGATGAAACCGGATGCGCTATGCCCCAGTGTAGCGCCTGCAATATTGTGACTTCGTGAATATGAAACCGGAAACCGGAAAAAGTGCGAAGCTGCCTGGATGTGAGACTGCTGCTACCGGTGGAAAGGCTTTGGAATCTGCGTGCGGGGTGGGCATGCTGCCGTGCGTGTAAGTGTGAGGCTCTGAGACCGCCTGGTTGGATGCTGTGAAACCGCTAGGTGGGAGAGCGGGCATTCCGTGTCACTTTAGATATATGTGGGGCTGCGGGCTCCTTTTCTAAAAAGCAAGCTGGTAGAAGATCCACTGAAAAAGCCACTGAGTGAGTTTCAGTAGATGAGTTCAGCGTTGTTTGTCTGGGATTGCGTGCGGAATTGTGGTAAATGGCGGTGATGTTCTCGATGCAGATCCCAGATCAAGTGCCCAGCTCAGGCCTAAACAAGCCAACGTGAAGCCCAGCCGACCCTGTTACCATTGCAACTCTTCAGCAGCTTGCGGAGGAATTGAGTACTGCATGCATGTATCTCGAGGGAAACTGTCAATGAGTGACCTCACGCGTTAATGTTGAAATTCCCAATATCAATCCGACGCACAGTGATGGACAGCCCAGAAAATTCTGAGAGGCTAGTAGAAAGACTGGGCACGGACTGCAGCGCCCATGTGCAGTGAGGTTTATGTATGGCGCGGAAGACTGCGACGGGAACAGTCACCTTGGAAGCTTGGGGTCTTGGTCTTGGACACGATTCTCGGCATCGGGCTCTCATCTCTTTCACGTCGCTGGAGACGCAGCTTCGCTGTCGGGGTTGATTTTCTACAGCACGGTTGCGATGCAGACAGGTATGTGGCTCTTAACCGCTTCTCAGACGGCATGAAACGGTGAGGAAGGCGTGGGTGGTGCGGATCCAAAAGCAAAAAGAATCCGGGAAAGATCACCGAGTATAGGTCCTTAGGTTTTGTAAGGAGGAACTCGGTGACGGGGGCCCAGATTCGATCGCGCGACGAGCAGGGCGTCGGGAATGGACCCATACCACGACGCCATGACCGTCGCACTTGTATGTGCAGATGTTGAAAGGGGTTGATATCCGTGAGACGCGCTTGCGGAAAGGGGTAATCGCACGGAGGGGTTGGAAGACGCGTAGGCCGTCCGGACTTTTCTGCGCGCCAGCATGAGATCTCAGCTGTTCACGCGTTTGCATTAACTGCACAGCCACCTTCACACGAAGTACGCTTGCTGTCCGCAACCCAGGGACAATCATGTTATGGTAAGCTACGTACGAGAACATATATATGGTATGGCTAGAAGGGATGCTCCTATTCAGCGCTCAGAAACAGGTAAATACAGGCGGGAAGCGTGCGACGGCCCGTAGGTGGAAAGTACCCGAGCTCCTTCCAAGTACCGAAGCCAATCTCAGTCTCCCCAGTCTACGGTTCAGCGAAAAGCAGACACATGCATAAATCTACGTTTGCTTGCGTTCCCAAATCTACCAGTTGAACAGAGGTCAATCAGGGTGGGCAGGTACACTCGAAGCAAATACCCCTCTCACACATCGGGCCCTACCTGTATATAACTCTCACTTAAGAAGATCATGGGCGCCATGATCTCCTCCACAAACAGATCCTGGATCGCAAACCACTGATCCTTCGCACGGTCATGCACATGCACCTTGTAGATACCGTTGCCGGGACCAGGTTTGCCTTCATGGCAAATGTTGGCGACGAGGTCGTAGCGGGTGGAGTGAAGGGCGTCGGGGCCTTCTACGACTGGATGGTAAAGGAGGGGGTGTCGTAGTATCAGATCGTGTTCCAACCCGAAAACGGCGGAGATTGAGACACCTACATTCGGTCATATCAACATTTTTGATCGGAAAGTTGACAATCGTAGGATTCTTCTCCAAGTTCCAATTATTCTTCGTGAACCGCTTGATGTGGAACACCAGATACCGTGGCAGTTTCGTAATCTTGTACCGCCTTAGCACATTCCCACTCTCCTGGCCAGTGACGCCATCGTATTTGCTCAACAGAGTGGTGAGCGGCACCTGCGGGATGATGTTCTTATCCGCTTCATCCTGGAAGAGCGGTGGCGGAGGTACATCCAGGGTGAGTACCATAAATGGTGTGCGTTTGGTTGTGATTTCTCGTGAGGTGTCGAAAATCTTTTTCTTCTTATCTGATCCGGATTCGTCACTGGTTTCGCGGACGAGAATGGCCTGCTCGTCGATGCGGACTTCGCCTTGGAACGTTTGGTGGATGAGGCTGCTTCCCGGTTTCCGTTTTCCGCCCATGCCCACGTGCAATGCATTGAGGAACCAGGAGAGTAGATCGATGGGATCTGACTGCTGGCTGAGGCGGAAGCGTTTGGTGCTGGCGTTAGAAATTTCCTGTAGCAGTTCGTGTGGGCTGACTTGGCCTTTGAACGCCCGCGGGTTCCAGACTTTGCGGATGAGCATTCCAAACCGGCGTACTGTGAAAAACGAGAAGGTCGTTAGAGTCTCACACGAAGAACGCTTCTACCTTAGCTAAGTACGGTCCGACTAGTAATCCTCACCTAACTCGCTGCCCTGATCGCCATCATCCAGCAGGAAATGATTCCTGATCGGTTCGACGTGAGCTAAAGCCTGCACAATGACGTTCAGGTAGTCGTTCGCTTTGATATTGTTCAGTCCAACAAATCCTGCATTATATGTTTCGAGGTCAGCTCATTTACTATGTTGCGTGCAAGCATTCATCGGAAATCATACCTGGCAGGTATCGTTTGTTGTTCAGATCGTACGCATATGGATTCACTTTATCCAATCGGGCGACTTGTTCGCGTGTGAAACTTGGTTTGAGGACATCCTGGAAGGAGATGCGAGGTCGTCAGGACCCACGGCCACGTCTAATGCCCTCCAACTCTCGAATATCCCCAGAACATTCTCAACGCACTTTAATGTCGGTCAACGAAGCTTCCGTCACCTCGTAACCATCGGGTAGTATGTAAACCTGGCAGACAAACTCTTTGAGCATCCCCAAGCACAACATTTGATGGGCCTCGAATTCTACACCGCGACACTCACTTTCAGGGTATGCAGGTTGATAAAGACGTGGTGATCTTCATGTAAACTATGAAAATACGCATGCGACGACTTCCCTCTCCCTGGAAAAGTGTAGTCCTCCGTCAGCAAGGATTCCCGCCCACTAAGCACATTCCCACAGCCTTTCCCCAATACATCCCCAGAACCCCGCCCACTACGTACCTTGGAAGTACTTCCCACACACCAAGCAAGCATACACATTCAAGTTCGATAATGACACCGAGCACAGCTTCTCAAAGTCGAAGTCCAGCATGTACCGGTTCACGGTGTCGAGAAACAGACCCTGTGGACCGGCCTGCACCGCCGTTTTGACCCGTTTTCTTCGAGGTTCAGATGCGTCTTCCTCTTCGTCGGAGAAAGGTATGTTGTCTTCTGGTAGTGGTGGGGGTGGTGGTGGCGGGAGATCGTCGGATGGTGGGGGCGGTGGAGGGAGATCATCGGAAGGTGGAGGAGGTGGGGATGCTGGTGGCGGTGGAGGAGCGAATCCGTCCCCATTTGGTAGGGAAAGGGGCTCTGACGGCGGTGGTGGTGGTGGCGGGTGTTCCTCTGCGCCCTCGACAGGCGTACGCTTTCGCTTGTCCATTACGGCAATGTTGGTATGGGAATTGGGAAATTGTTCCAATCTTCTTCCCAAAATTCAGTCGAACTGCATAAAGTTTTTCGATGCGCGTTGACGCCGCGTTGACATGATGCGCTCCTGAGTGCTGCTGAGCCTCCACGGTGAAATCACAGCCACCTTCGGGCAAGCAACGACTCTCAACGCCCCAGCATTCTCCACGGAAAGTAGACGCAGGAGTGGGGTTGGAATAAAAGGGAGCAACAGGCAGAGCAGGCGTCAAGCGAAAGAGCGAGTGGACCGGTTCCGAAATTCAGAAGGACGAAACAGGTGTCTCGCCAAACTGGCATAGCAAGCGACAGCAGCAGTGACAGCGTTCGGAATCGTGGCTTGCAACCACCAACACTTCCCGAAATGGACACACCAACGACGAACCAGCAACAGGAACCGCAAGCAACATCACTAGCACCAGCACATACGTCGGGCGTGATATATCCGGAACCCCACCCAGAAATAGCAGCTGTCTCACACTCCAACAGCCCACCACCCCCATATCCTTCAGGCCAGCAGCAATACCTATCCACCCCAGCACCCACAATATCCCCGATCACCGATCGGGCCGTCGACTCGACTCGCCGGAGACGTTCGAACAGCGAGCTTTCCGAATACTCTCGCAGCAAGCGTTGTTGTTTCTGTTTGCCCACGCCCGCAGTATGCTGCGGATCATGCTGCGGGAGCAGCGACATGCTGCAATGCAACGCGTGCATCAACCAGTGTGATATCGTGGTAGCCCAATGCTGCACGGGATGTGTGGGGGCTTGCGTTGGGTTATGCTTTTGTCAGAATAGTACATGATACGTAGCGACGTGGTGATGGCTGTTTCGTTGATGAAATCCTTCATGTATCCCGGTGTTCTTCCTCTGCGCCTTGTATCTATACGTACATATATCCCTTCCCTTAACTGGACGCCGACTTCCGCCCTGATGCGGTGTTGGCAAATGACACCAGTGGCCTTCCGGTCACCGCATCCCGAGTTCTCTCGTGTCTGTCGACGCATCCCTTTCCCCAGCTCCTACTGTTCTTCATACGTAAAAAATACTTCGCACATCCAGCAGACATCTCTCATGTGCAGTCGTCGAACGAAATTGAACGTTCAAAGCAAACCTTGGATATCTATTGCTCACCCTGGAGAAATAGGCGGGGAAAACCCTCTCTGTCACCGTCCGCCGAAGTCACATCAACTCCCTTCCATCCCCTCATCAAAACTCACCAAAATACGACCCCTTAGCGAACCCCCTCAGCCCCCCCTCCTCCTCGCACACACCCGTGACGACGGTGCGACCTCACGAGTCCAGGTCATGCAAAGCCCGCTTTGTTGGGATCGCGTTTTGCCGTCATCACGTTTTATACTTTCTGCAGTCGAAGCGGTCTCAGGTTTTGGAGGTTTCAGGATAAACGATTGCAACTTCCCATTGGGCGACCGCAAACCTCAGTTGATAAAGGATACGGGTATGAGCTCGGCGTGGGAACAACCCTATATCCGGCACTGCCCGCTTCGATTGGGAAACCAATTCGCCCCACGAAACCTGACGATTGCCATATCTCTACAAACTCGCCCATCTCCACCTCATGACCCGAGCGCAAATTAACCGCGAGCGCAACAATCAGCGGGCGAACAGCGACTGTTACCGCGAAGAATAAGAGCCACCCGATATGCAGATGTTGAACACCCATTTGAGGGTACCAAGAGACGTAGCAAGAGTGCTGAGATAGTGGCTTTGAAGACAATGGTCCATGATTTGCAGGGAAGGGTTGTGAGGAATGCGGCCCTCATCATCTGTGTGGTGACACGCAAAGTCCTTGTGATGATCGACGACACCGCGATCGATGAGGTTGAGCAACCCATCGAAGCCGACGAGGAGTAATCGAGGACAAAGACATTGATGAAGTGCGGGAGGGCGGCGAGGTGGGTGCGGATCCAGATGCAACGCAATCGACGAATATCAAGATCGTCTGGTCTGCGGGGGAACTGACGTGGTCGAGGACGTTGCTGGCGAGCATGCCTGACCGACCGGCGTGGAAATGCAGACCGATTGTAACCGGCCAGTGGTTCTTCTGGGGAGTCGCGGATTCCGACAGGAGGGCCAATCGACAGCGGGACAAGGTACTAGGGAGCGCGTTGACTCTAGCATACAGATAGCCATATCCCAGCCCCAACAACAGATGACGGAGGGCATTACAACTCGGAAGCTACGGCATCGCCGTTACATGTTCAAACCCAGCCACCACCGGAACCCGACCGCGAAGCTATAATGCTGTCATTCGCCGGAGTCTGAACGGTGGATAGATCCCACGTTCTCTGTATGTGTGATGATCCCCACCAAAAGGTGGTCATTGCCTGCTACGAGTGTAACCTCCTGAAATGAGGACATATCTGCCCGTCGCTCCTTAAGCTTTTCAGAGTGGGCAAACGCTACGGCTGCGAAGAACCGGATTCCTCCTTCCTCTCATAACCAGTAAAGAAGAACTCCTCGAAATGACTCGAGCATCATCAGTCTGCGCGTTGACGAATCCACAAGGCACATGGAACCACTGGGGAATCCTCGCGCTGTCTTTTGATCGGTTGGTTGACGCGATCAGCAACGTGCTACCAGCAAGTGATAATGGGCACTACAGAGCGAAGCTCGGAGTCGTTCTCTCGGTCGTCAACATTTACCTCGGCGTTACAAGCCACCACGGGATCGATGGAGCCGCAAACCTGCACAAACGGATGGAGTGGATTTGAGAGCGGGCAGTTTGAGAATGCAAACGCATGGAGGGGGGGTATGGGATGAGGATGACGAGGTCGCGGCACATCGGCTGAGCTCACTGCCCCGAGGCGTTGCTGGCAAAGTGGACAAAAATAGGGACGTGGTGACGTATCGCGACGCGAGCTACCGCCGATATAAAGAAGATACAGGCTCGTCGGCGCCGTGTGTGAAACGTCCATCGGCGCCATCTGCGATGCAGTTTCCGGCACCAACCGCGATCGCCGCTGCACCATGCCGAAAATACCCGAACGGCTGCGCCTACACGAGATGCTGTCGTAGCGTAACCCAAAACGAAACCAGAAGCAGCGTGCCCTGTTGGAACTGTGAGATGAGCACTTTCACGGAAAGCGGATCGCAAGGACCGTTTTTGATTCGACGGCAAAGGGCTTTTTTGGACGTGCATCGAAAAATATCCGCCTGGGCGTCAGGCAGATCGCTTTTCAGAAGACCGTTCTTCGTGGAAGCCATCTGCTTGACGGAGTTGGTGGTACGACCTTCTTCGTTGGGGATTGGATATATGGATATGGACTCGAAAACAAGAAGCCCGTTACTCTTACAAGCTATCTGCTTGATGAAGACGCGGGTACGACTTGTATTTTGGGGCACATTTGGGACGTGGATAATGGACTAGCGACCACGATGTCTAGACCAACTTTCCGACATACCTTCGGTTTCGAAGATGTGGGTGTATATTTTGGAAATGATTGACAAGAAGGGTATGCTGCGTTGACCAGCACTTTCGTGTATCGCATTGGTCAGCCTGACTTTATTCAGGGCCGTAGATATAGCCTTGGGGATGTGGAGAGGGGAACTCTGCACTTGTGCATGTATCTGTACCCACATATTGTTTCCATCGAGCATGTCATGAATAGATGGAACTTATTTGCGTCTCAATGTGCGATGTATGTACTAGTCGGCGCGAATGCCATGTCAGGAAATCAATCTATGTGGAACCAACCCAAAACACACCGCCCTTCCTATTAACCCCCAAAGCCCAGGTGAAGGTCAGGTATACAGAGGTCGATTTGCGATAAGAAAAACATGGTTTTGTTGCAGTGAAACCAAAATGGGTGGGGGGGTCGCTATATGATCCCCGCTCATACATACATAAAACACACTCGCCTTCCAACGTATCCCGCCCCCTGAGGCCTATATATAGTATAACGTTACGTAGATCCCATAATGTTCAAAAGAATAACCAAAATCAAGTGATGTATGGTGTGGTGTTGGGGGAGGAGGTTGGTAGTGGTGTTTGGTTCCAGGCGGTGTCTATGTGGTGGTACGCGTGGTTGTGAGGTTTTATGCGCCGTCGGATAGGTTGAGGAGTAGGGTTGCTAGGCATCTATTAGGGGGTAGCGGATGTGGTGTTAGATGATGCGGAGACCTCAGTAATGGGAAAGCATCGCAAACAACCCACCTCTTGGTAGTAATATCATCCTTCAAAATCTGCGAAAAAGTGGTATCCCTCAACGGCTCCGGCAAACACTGCCTCAACGCCTCCCTCGCCCTCGAATTATCCGACAATCTCAAATAACACCTAATAACATGTTTCAGCAACCGAATACTCTGCTGGCCAATGAGCTGATTGACCATATTGGACAGCACGGTCCCGACGGCATAGAAGCGCTCGTATGTCTGGCAGATGTAGTTGAGGCCCATGTCGTCGAGGAGGATCTTCTGCACGATGAAGATGGCAACTGTTTTGGAGAGCTCGGAGCCGGTTTCCATTATGCGGAGGCAGAGGGGGATGATTTCGGTTGAGAGGAGGAATTTTATTACTTCCGAGTTGTCGTTTTGCTGTGGGGAAAGGATCTGGTAAGTTCGGGTTTGGAGAAAGATATGGAGTGAAGGTCAAGTCCTTACCTTAACGAGTGCGCCGATGACACCGAGACTTGTCAGACGGAGGTATTCGAAGGGTCTTGTTTTGCTCGTGGTATTCAGGAATGGGTAAAGGAAAAGGGGTATATGGGCTGAATGGAAGGACCGGAATCGAAAGTCAGATAGTGCAAAACACCGGGATGAGATCGCCGCCGCATCCGAAAGACTCGATGACACCCACCATTGAGAAACAGCCCGCGAGTCTCGTTGTGACTCGCGACACACTGCAAGAGTGCCAAAGCGTTGCAAACACGATTGGAAGCGTGGCCCGTCAAAGTCGGCGGCATCAACATTGGGTAAACCGAGACGATCTCCTGCAATAACGACGCCATGACGCCAAACGAGTGCCACAGGATGGGCGCCAGGTCCTCATACGCCTCCCTCTTCTTGCTCAAGTCCAAGAGCGCCTGTTCGCGCATGGACGGGTAGGTCAGGTTCAGAATGAGCTGGTAGACTTCCTCCTCGTCCAACTGTGGTTGCTGGGTAAGAGCAGCCTGCTGTTGCTGCTGCTGCTGCTGGTGGACGAACTTGAGCTCTCCGGGCGGGGCATTGCCGTATCCGAGCCCTGCCGCGCTGGCTGCTGCGAGACTGGCACTTGTCGCGGATAAGGGATTGAGACCATGGAGCGAGTTGGGGAGCGGCGCGAGGTTTTGATATAGGTATGGCTGGCCGTGGTGTTGGCCGAGGGAGTGCATGGCGGCGGACTGTTTAGGTATGTAATAGTATCGTTGGTTGCAGCTGATGCCAGGTCGATGGGGCACTTTGTGCGTGATGTCGCCGAACGCTTGTAGTGACTAACGTTTCCAAATGAAGAGACAATCGAAACAGACCGACAACTCCCGAGTGAAATACGTTATTGGCTGCCGGCCTACGTACTATGTTCTAAGCGAGACGGGGTTCCAGTGACAGAAGTGTTATGGGTAGCGATATCGTTGTTGAAGTTGGAATTTGTGGTTGCGTTTGGGGGGGGGAGCTTTGTGAGTCCGATGAGCAGCAGCAGCCCAACAGGAGAACACGCCGTGTGCCCGACTTGTGCACCTCGCAAGTCGCCGGAGGAGGAGGACACACGCGCAGTCAGTCCGGGTTCCCATCCCCACATCGGAAATCCAAACTTTTTTCTCCATGGAAGTCGAAAGTGGAGAGATCTCCCACGAGCCTCGCTCGCATTTCCAACCACCAGAACAACACAACGGTGTCCGAACACCCACGGACGAAGCGACCGGTTCTACTTCCCTCTGAACGAGCCTGCAGCGAATATTCCGGCTATAAAAAGTTTCCCGACGTCAAAGGCACTTGAGGAACCGCGGAACCCCACAGACATTCTCGAGATTTTTGAAGAGACAATCGAATACTACTGAATAAGAGGAGCAGCGAGACCTTGCACAACATATCCTTCGGTACTTAACGGATGTTCAGAATCGTGTGCTTCTGAACCCCCCGAGTCTGACAAATGTTTTCGGCTGCGACTGGTTGTGACTTTTCCTGTCGCAGAACCCTGCTCCTTGCAGCTAGACCCCCATCTCGCCGGAACTTCTTCACTTACCTCAACATACGACGGACTACTCCTGCCACAACTACAACTACTGCTGCAGCAACAGTCATGAGCCATAACAGCAACTATCAATATCGCCCGCCGCACATGCGTGCCCCTAACCCATTTGCAAACCCGAACAATAGAAGCGCTAGCGGCTTTTCCCATCCTCTTCCTGAACGCCCCGGTCCTTCACCATCTCAAGCGAGGCTCTACCCGCCTTCGCGAGGCCACGCTGACTTTCCACCGGAACATATCATGCAACGCAACGCCTCCACAGTCGCTGCAGCACCGGATCGACATGCCCCTCCTCCTCCTCAGCAGCACTCCATGGACTACGATGTACCCATGCTATCGAGCAACGAGCTGAACCAACTGCAGCGGTACTTCACATATTACGACGCAAAGATAGAGCCTTCCTACGAGCAAATCCCCCTGCAAAGATCGGTTCGAGGTGGTGGAGCTCAGGTGGCATTCGTAGCGAAATTGGAGGTGCCCAGCCCAGCAGGCCCAAATTTGCACATGCAGGCTGAGGACAAGTCGAAAAAGGGGGCGAAATTCGCGTTGATGGCAAAAGTCAAGATGGAGTTGGACAGGTCCGGATGGTTAGCCGCCCTCCCAGACTCGAAGAAAAAACGATCTCGCCCGGCGCATAAAGGTCCCGCGGCGACTCCTTCACCTGTGCCGCCACGGGTGAAATCCGCTCGCGATGATAAAGACGATGAGGTTGCAGATAGCTGGGAAAGTCTAGCTGTCAACGAGAGGCAAAGAGGCGGTAGGAGGGATGCGCGAGGAGGCGCACCGGCTAGGAAGAACGGCGCGCCACAACCCACAGCGGACCCGTGGGATATAAACGGCATGCGAGCCCCAGCGCCACCTAAAGCGAACTCGGTTGTCAAGGATGCATGGGACGACGATGGTGATTTGGACGAGGGTCTGCCGAATTTGCAGGTGACACATAGCACCAGAAGATCCAGCTCACAGGCGCGAAGCTCGTCAATGAGCCGTGAGAGCCCTCCTCCCCCGACTTTGTCGACACTGCTACACACAGCGAAATCGATTAACTGGTTTGGCGACAACAACGCACAATCCAGCTCGTCAGGCGGCCGAGGCTACCCAGAGATGCCCTACCCATCCTCATCCAACTATCGCGGCCCATCCCCAACCGGCAGCAGTCGCCCCGAAAGCATCCTCCCCCGAGTTGACGACGTCGAAAAGAAGTTCGTGGCCGCCTACTGCAAAGCGGTCAACGTCCATGAGCCGAACGTGAAAGCGTACGAGGACCGACCAGCCCGCAAACAACGTGGGTCGCGGGGACGGGGCGGGTCGGGGCACAGTGGGAAGACCGGGTGGCATGCGGAGATGTTCATACCGCACCACACATTCAACGGACAGCGTGTGGTGGACATCCACATAACGGTTATGGACCACAGCAAAAAGAGCGCTATTCAGAAGACGTGGGTCAAAGCTGTACGGCACTTATTAAATATCGTCGATCCGAACTTCATTGAAGCTTTCAAAGAGGGCTTGAAGAGCATCAAGCAGCGGATCAATGAGCAGTTGAACGAGCCGTTAAGGATCAACATCTCCGAGTCTGCGCTTATGAGGCTAGACACCATGCTGGGTCGAGTGCAGAAGGAGGGCGCGTTCGAGTTCCAGGAAACCCATCGGCCCGGTAACTCTGTGGAGGATTACCTCGGCCTCAGCTCTTCTTCCCACACCATGCCGGCCCATCTCAGAAGCAGGCCGCTGGTCCATCCGGACGATATTGCGATACCAAGGGAATTGGAAAACAACAAACTGCCTATTTTCACGCGGTATCAGGAGATTATGGCTGCGATTGATAACAACGCGGTTACGATTCTGGCTGCGGAGACGGGAGCGGGTAAAACCACGCAGATCCCGCAGTTCATCCTCGCGCACGAGAACTTAAAGCGAGCGAAGGAAGGTGGGACGAACACGACGAATATCGTCATCACCCAACCACGTCGTATCGCTGCCATCTCCGTCGCGCAACGTGTCGCGAACGAGAGGGGTGAACAGGTCGGTCGCAACTCCGCCATCGGATACACGGTGCGATTCGACGATAAGCGCCCAACCACCGACCCAGCCAACGGCCACGCCATCTTCTGCACGTCCGGAATCCTGCTGAAACGGTTACAGCAAGACCCGCAACTCCGCAACGTCTCCCACATCATCCTCGACGAAGTCCACGAACGTGATTTGAACACCGACCTCCTCCTCATCATCGTCCGCCAACTCGTCAAAGCCCGCCCGGACCTCCGCGTCATCCTCATGTCCGCCACCGCCGAAACGGAGTTGTTCCAATCCTACTTCAGAGGCTTCGGCACCGTCGGCCCGGACCGGTCCCCGCCTATCATCAACGTCAAGGGACGCATGTTCCCTGTTGAGCAGCATTTCCTCGAAGACATCGAGCACCTCCTCCAGGCTCCCCGAGCCCTGCCCGCCCGGTTCAACCCAAGCAAGGAATCCGTGCATTGGTACCGCAACGAAACGGGCCCGATGATAGCCGCGCGTGGCGACGACCCGGTGCCGTACGACTACATCGAAGCTTTGATTGCCCATATCGCAACCTGCAGGGACGAAGGCGCCATTCTCGTATTCTTGCCCGGTTGGCAGGAGATTGATACGCTGCAGCAACGGTTGAGGGAGGATGAGCGGTATCGGGTGGGCTTTGCGAATGAGAGGATGTTTAGGATTTTTCCGCTGCATTCGCAGGTGCCGACGGATAAGCAGCAGGCGGTATTTGAGCCGGCGCCTCCTGGGGTGAGGAAGATTATTTTGTCAACCAATATTGCGGAGACTAGTGTTACGGTATGTTTTGCGACTCGTTCGGGACTGGTTTTTGGGGAGATGGCTTTTGTGCTAAATTCTGAACTACTGTTTCATATAGATCAACGACGTAGTGTACGTAATCGACCTCGCCAAACTCCGCATGAACTCCTACGACGCCGACCGCCGCATCTCCTCCCTCAACTCCGTCTTCGCCTCCCTCTCCAACCTCCGCCAACGTTCCGGTCGTGCCGGGCGAGTCAGGCCCGGAATGTACTTCTCCCTCCTCTCCCACAAACGCAAGCAACGGTTACCTTACTCCATGCCACCGGAGTTACTCCGTGTGGATCTGCAGGCGACGGTGTTGAAGGTCAAATCTCTGAATTTGGCCCGGCGTGTCGCGGATGTGTTTGCCGCTGCGCCACAGTCGCCGAACCCGGGGGCTGTTATTCGTGCGGTGCAAGATTTGCAGAGTCTAGGCGCGCTGGATTCGAAGGAGGAGCTGACGACCATCGGGCAGGTGTTGTCGAATATGCCTGTCGACCCGTGGATCGGTAAAATGGTGTTGGAAGCTGCCACGCTGGGGTGTTTGGACCCTATTTTGACTATTGCGGGCGGAATGGAGATCGGCCGTGGGATTTTCGCGATCCACCCTGACGAGAAGGATAAAGGCCGCGCGCATATCCTGACGCGGTATGCGCGGGACACGGAGAGCGACCACCTTACGCTGTTGCAGGCTTTCCGCGGGTGGAAGAAGGTCCACGATAATGGCCGGTTCGCGGATTCGAAACAGTATGCGTTCAGGAATTACCTGCATCACACCAGTTTGCAGAATATTGAGCGGAGCAGGCAGCAGTTGTTGAAGATTTTGGAGGATGCTGGGTTTGTGTCGAGGCAACGGAGACGTGATGTTGGCGAGGAGGCGGGTGCTGCTGTGGCGAGGAGTAGTGGGTTGGAGGGGATGGTTGGGGATGAACGGAGCAATGCACTGGCGCACAATTTTGCGCTTGTTAGAGCTGTCATTTGCGGCGCGCTGTACCCCAACGTTGCGGAGATCACGGGCAAGGATGAATATGCGACCGCTACGGTTAGCAGGTTGCGACTCACCACCGCAAGCGTCAACAGCATGCGTGGATTGACGATCGCAGCGAGCGGTGCGACGATGGAGAACACTGGTCGCGGATCGCCAACAGGTTCCACCGGGTCCGACGTCGGAGACTACGACTACATTCCCGAAGACGGTGACGAAACCAACAGCGTCGCCGGCGGAAACGGGGGTGCAAACACCACCAGCACAATAGTACCCGCAGCCCCCGCAACCCCCGCCCGCCTGCTAGCCTTCCAAGAAAAACAACAGGTCGACTCCCAACTCTACGCCCGCAACACCACCCGCGTCGACCCCGCATCCCTCTTCCTCTTTGCCTCCACGGCGCCGGCCGACACGACCTGGCGCGACGGCCGCCCTTGCCTGCTCTTCGATAACTGGCTCGTCATGGGCGTCCCCTCCGCACACCATGTCCGCGTGCTTGTGGAGTTGAGGGGCGCGTTGCAGAGGTATATCAAGTGGGCGGTGTGGCGCGCTCAGAGGAGGGCGGAGGGACGGGTGGCGAGAGAGGAGGAGGAGAGGGATTTGAGGTGGGATGTGATGGGGACGGCGTTGGTGAGGGAGATGGCGGGCTTGTTGGAGGATTTGGAGAGGGTGGGGAAACGGGTGGAGTAGATGTTGGGGACGGACGTCCTGGTTGATTGCTTTTGCAAACTCGGTCTTTCCGCATGATTCGTATCCCATACCTGCATCTCGTAGATATGTAGCATAGCCTCTCGCATCTCTTGGTTGTAATATTTTGTTTATTCGTCTTTATTCACATCTTTGCTTTCATATCGTATCATATCGTCGTCGCCGTGTGCCTTCCTTCCGTCCTGTTTCTCCGAGATTCACGCGTTTTGGAGCTGTTCTGGGATTTCCAACTCTTGGAGAAATCACCCAACGGCCCAATAAGACCCTACGCCATCCAGACCTTCCTCTCGGCCACCCCCACCTGATAACCGGAGGGAAATGGAAGCACCACTCAGAAGAGGCTGCTTGGGCGTTGGACGGCGGTTCGCATTGGACACCCTTGCACGGATAGGGCGGAATGGCGGGCGGAGTGTGTGCAGTTCGGCGGTGCGGAGGCATAACAATCCATTGGTATGTCTCGAGGGGTGAAGGGCGAGCTCCTCAGATTGGGGAAGGGGTGTGGCATCCACGCACCCAAACATGCCCAACGTCGTATTCCCAACACCTTTCTCAACAACCACTTTCCCGCACTTAGAACCTCCCACCACGACCGGCCCCACCACGACAACCCCGGACCCTCCCTGATCGCCCGCCCCCACCTCCACTGCCACGGATGGCGCGCGGGCTACCGGTCAAGACACCCATCGCGGGCGTGAAGCACGTCGTGGCGGTCGCGTCGGGGAAGGGCGGGGTTGGGAAGTCTACCACTGCCGGTAATCTTTGCCTCTGTTGTGCAGAGACGAACCCTTCAAATCTGACGTTACCGAGATGTTTAGTGAACCTCGCCGCAACCCTAGCGAACCACCAAAACCTGCGCGTCGGCCTCCTCGACGCCGACCTCTTCGGCCCCTCCATCCCCCTGATGCTCAACCTACGCGGGCACGAACCCGAGCTGAACGACAAAGGGATGCTGGTGCCGTTGGTGAATTACGGGGTGAAGGCGATGAGTATGGGTTTCCTAGTACGAGAGGAGGATGCGGTTGTTTGGAGGGGATTGATGGTGATGAAGGCGTTGGAGCAGCTGCTGAGGCAGGTGGATTGGGCGGGGACGGATGTGCTTGTGATTGATATGCCGCCGGGGACGGGGGATACGCAGTTGACGATCACGCAGCAGGTTCCGTTGGATGGTAGGGGGGCGTGCAATCTCGGTTTTTTTGCTTTTGCGGCCTGTAATCGGGACCCCTCCCCCCCCCCCGGTGATGTCGGTTGTGGCTTACATATACCTTGTTGTGTTCCAACGAATAGGTGCGATCATCGTATCAACTCCGCAAGATATATCCCTAGCCGACGCAAAGAAGGGCGTTGCCATGTTCAACAAAGTCAACGTGCCGGTATGTCGCATCCCCTTCACACCCTCATCCATCCCTCCACTCACCTACCTCTTCACCTAGATCCTCGGCATGGTCCAAAACATGTCCCACCACATCTGCACCAACTGCGGTCACACATCGCACGTCTTCGGGCACGGTGGCGTTAAGCGCACCGCGGCGGAAATGGGCCTACCGTTACTGGGCGACATTCCGTTGCATTCGGACGTGTGCGAGACCTCGGATGTGGGCACGCCGATTGTGGTGGCGAGGCCGGACAGTGAGCATGCGAGGGTTTATAGGGAGATGGGGGAGAAGGTTTGGGCAAAGTTAAGTGCTGGGAAGAAAGTTTAGGGCAAATGCGGGCTGGTAGGTGTGGGTGTAGATAAGTTCGGGATAGATTGTAATTTAGTCGATTGTGGGAATAGCTGGCTGTATACATAAAATAGGTTATGTCTTTGCCCCACCAATACCGTTGATTATCAGTGCATTGCACTCGATCGGATACCCACGATGGTCCAGCCCAAAACAAACACCCCGAACATCCTACTGGCGCCTCGACAAGCGGCGGCGGGCCTTACGCAGACATTGCTCCTACTTTCCATCTATAGCGCAACCCTCCTTCCTTCCTCTTCCCCTCATTCCACCGTAAGCTCCCCCTTTTCAAAGTATAATCTTATACTTATGCTCCCTCGGCACCAGATTCACCGCAACGCGGCCGTCATACGACAACGACGCAAAGATCCACGGATCCGCGGCGCTCCATTCCGCGGCGTACACGCTGTCTTCGTGCTGCTGGTCGAAGACTGCGACGAGGCCGTCGGTTGGTTTGCTAATTCAAAATGGCAAAGTAAGCAGAATGAGGAATGCAAACGGACGGAGCCGACATACCCCCTATATTCATCAGCCTCGTCCTCAGCATCGTCCTCGGCGTCAGACGATTCATCCGACAGAGGCGCTGAGGAGATGGAGATGATGCTGTGCAGGTTGACTTTGCAGTCCGAGCCGGCGGAGAGGAAGAGTTGGTCGTGGAAGCGGTTGAAGCGGACTGACCAGACCCTGTCGTTGTGAAGAAAACAACCACCCTCAGCTGTATGAACACATCTTTCTTGTTGATGGAGTCACACATACCAATGAGAATGATTAGAAACCTCCTTAATCGGCTCCGCCACATTCCGGGTATCCCAAAACCTGATCTTGCAATCATCCCCGCCCGTCGCGAGCTGGTATGGTTTGTTAGAGTTGTGGTCGATGTCTCTTACTGTGCCGGCGTGCGCTTGCGGGATCTCGTAGGTCTGTCTCTTGAACGTGCAGAAAGGGATTCTAAGTACGTGGGATCGGCAACAGAGGTGTGTGAGGTGGGATGGTGGGCTTACTTTGATGAGCGGATGTCGAAGGCGTGGACGGAGGTGCCGGTGCCGGCTGCGATGAGGCTGCCGTGGGGACTCCAGCTTGCGCAGGTGGATTGGCGTTTGGGATCCTTAGGCTCTATTATCCGTATTGTGCTCTGGGGCTATTGAATTTACGTCACACATCGAAACGTGTGAAAGGAAACCAGATGTTTGTTGAGAAACATTTGCATACCGATATAGACTCGGCACCCTCGCGCACCGCAAACACCCCCAACGAATGCGGGCTCAACGCAACGAGGCTGTTCTCCGTCCCCAGCGGATCCCAGTAGATATGTCTGATCTCGCCTAACGTCTCAGTCGACGCAAACTCAGTGATCTTGTCTAGGGTTCCTGAGTCGTTGCGCAGTTTGCCAATTTCGTCTGGCTCGGGGAGCTTGAATTGCCATAACCGCGCTCGGCAGGGATGATTCGCTGTTCACCCGTGATGTTCTCCATTAGCGATAGTGATGGATCTGTTCGGGTAGAGGAACATCTCCCGTGGATATCACCATACCTTCTTTCGACACGGTCGCCACTAGATCTGCTTTGGATCCCGACGGGGCGATATCGCGCACCTCATGCGGGTGTTCCAGTTTATGGCTCGTAATGATGGACTCGTCCTCGTCAAAGTCGATCAAATGGAGCTATGTGCCAGCGAAGGTCAGCGTTTGCGAGACCTTCCCCCAAACCCTCTCGCGTTCTTCGCTCTCTTCGTCCTGGCACAGAGTAGCGGCGCCTCCAGCAAACTAACGAGGAATATGATCTCACCTCGTTGGTTTGCTTGAGATCCTGCGTCCCGACAAAGAACCTGCTTCGTTCCTGTTCTGCGGACTGCGCTTTGAGGCACCTGGCCTGGAAGAAGATGCCTGTTTAGGATGGGCTGACTGGAAGTGGGGGGGTGTCAGAGCACGCGTACCTGGTGGGTCAGCCCGTAGATGCCTCCTTCTGTTTCCATACCGCCGATATGTGAGATGCCGATGAGAAGTGGGTTTTAGAGTGCTTGCGTCGTTATGGCTCAGGAGTTGGGATGGGCCTCATGGGCCCTCGTTGCCGGCGGACGAGGACGCGTTGCTCCAGCCGTTCGCCGAGTTCGCCGTTCTCAGGCAGCAACGAGACAACCCCAACGACGATCTACTGACCCAAACTCCAACCCGCCCAACACAACCAACAACCATGCCACCCAAAGGAAAAGCAAAGGCCGACCCCGTCCCGACCCTCGAGGAAGATGACATCGACAACATGGACTTTGACCTGCCGGAGGAGGTGCTCCGCCGGCCACCACAACAGTCCGCCGTTGCCGTTTCCGCATCCTCCTCCACCGGCTCGTTACCATCAGGAGCGACTGAAGCCACTGCCGCTATGCGGGAAGCTGTCAAAAGGTACTTCAAGAAGGAGTTGGGGAAGGGACGTACTTCAGTTGGATTATGGCAGGAGACGGCGCAAAGGACCACTCACCCTCACACATTGCACTCCCACCAGCTGGACAGTAGTCTACCCCATTTACATCTCCTCCGCCGGCCGCGCGCACCGCAAAATCCCACTCAAAGAATGCCCCACCGCAACCCCCTCCGCCGTCTACATCGCCGAATGCGTGCGCTTCCTCCGTCTCCCCGCCGCCATCGAAGCCGACAAGCGGCACCCCGCCGACCCACTGGTCTTTGGCCGGATCCGCGTGCAACTGCGCGACGACTCAACAAAGACGCCGCTGAATGGGAAGATCCGCACGAAACGGGAGCTGTTGAGGGAGATTGCAAAGATATATAATGGGATTGAGGAGAAGGTGAATGCGAGCGATCCGCAGGCAAGGGCGATGGCCGCGGCGAGTCGGAGTGAGGTGTCGAGTATCGTCGAGGAGATGGTGAAGGAAATCAAGGGAAAGGAGGCGACGGCGGGGCAGGGCGGTGGGTCGAAGAAGAAGAAGGGGAAGAAATAGGGACGACATTAGGTTTGAAGGGGTTGGTGGTGGAGATGCGACACCAGCTGCGGACCTCTGTGGCTCTGGCCAGTCCTCCCTCCGAGTCGTACGCATTCGCCACCGCATCCCTCGTTCGTTATCTGGGGAATGCGCTTTGCAGGGCCCCTATCTCCCAGGCAGCAGCATCTCCCCCGCATATCGAGATGGATCTTTTCGCATAGGGGAACTCTAGGGAGATTGCAGCGTATGGGAAGCGTCTTAGCTTTACGCAACCAAGCTCACTACTGTATTGATCGGCAGATAGTGACGAATATACAAATATGCATCCAACAACCTGCTTTGCCGTGATGTGAACCTGCTTTGCTAGCACCGCACTTCATACCGCCGATATGCTCCGTTCGCAGCCCCACGGAACTGTACACCGTTGCCAAATGAAAAGAGAAACAACAATGTTCACGCCAGCCTATCCTCTCACCCAGTACATCCGCTCATCCCCCTCCGCACCCAAACCTACAGCTCCCCAACCCCATTCATCCATACACTCCGTATCCTCGCCCCTCACGCATCCTTCACCTGACACCGTACCCAAAACCTCCTCACCCGACTCGCCCCATCCCTATCCTGGCCCTCCTGCCGCCCCCACACCCACCCACACCCCTGGTTCACCACGCTCTCCAGCTGCACACTCCCGTAATCCGGGTCCAGGCACACCGTCTTCGTCCCCTTGACCACCACATGGCGTTGGTCCGTCGCGCATCTGGGGCACAGGTAGGTGTTGTAAGCGGGGACGTAGAAGGCGGATGGGGCCGTGAGTGTGGGCGGGAGGGCGGAGCAGATGACGCAGCGGCGGGCGAGGTAGGTGAAGAGGAGGCGGTAGGGGGCCCCGGTGGGTTTGTCGAGTGCGGGTGGGGGGGTGGTGTGGTCGTCGTAGCCGGTTATGTATGGCGGGGGGCTGAAGGGGAGGGGTTGGAGGGACGGGTGGGTGGTGAAGTAGGCGCTGGTTGTGGACCGCCATTTTTGGCGTGGGTAGGTTGAGTAAAACAGGTGATGCCAGAAGGCTGCGTCGGTGGATGATGTTAGGCGGTGGAAGCTTTTACAGACCAGTGGCAAGACATCGAGTGCCATGTTGGTCGGATGATATTGCTCGAAGAGAGGAAGCGAGTACGACGGGCTGAACAGCGCAGGCTCATTGGCATACCAGGAATCATTATCATAGTCGATATTCTCCGGGTTGTCCCAGTCCGGGCAGCTATCAGACTCATCGTAGTCGGAGTAGTACTCGGGGTCTTCTGGGTCATTTTCGTGGTCCTCCGGATTCGACTCGCTTTCGATATCATCTTCGCTCTCTTCGTCTCCGTTCCCGGCGTCGGACTTGGCCCTGTCGGCCTCTTGTCGTTGACGTGCGGCTTCCTCCTTTTGCCGTTCGGCTTCCCGTGCGCGTACTTCCGCATGAGTGCACGGGAAGTTCCCCGACGTCTTCTCTCCTACGGGACCCCAGAACGGGATCCTGAACGGCTCCCCGCCCAGATGCAGGTTCGCGTTGACCAACCGATACCGCCCATCATGCGTCGCAGCGAGGACCAAGATGTACTGCAAGATCTCATCCGGCAACGCCAACATCCTCGCCGCCCCACTCCCACCCTCCACCCTCGCCCGCCTCTCCTCCCTAATCCTCCTCCTATTCTCCCACACCCTCCTCAACATCTCCCCCTCCACCCTCCGCTTCTCATCAACCATCCCCTGCAACATCCCCGTCCACACCTCCACCATCCCCCTCAACTCCCCCTCGTCGCTGACATCATGGTACGTCCGCGGCATGAACCACACGCTCGGGGTCGGCCACAGCGCCGCAAAATGCGTCGGCAGCGGGTCCCAGCAGTCCAGATGGAAATGCACGCCGCTCCCCGCCGCTCCACATGCGGATGCCCAGTCCGGTGTGCCGCGCGCCTCGCGGATGATGTAGCGGCGGGCCACGGGATCCGTGGGGCGGACGCGCCAGCGGGAGATGAGCGGTGAGGAGCATTTGTGGCAGTACAGGAACGAGTCTTCCGAGGGGTCGCAGTGCCAGTGGGTGAGGATCGAGGGCGTGCTGTGCGGGTTGCGCGGGGGGAGGTCGGGATGGGTGGGGGGGATGGGGATGTCGTCGTCGGAGCCGGAGGAGGGGTGGGCGTGCGACCCGTCGTCGGAGTAGCCGTCGCCTTCGTAGGGGATGGGACCATGAAACTCGGACATGCTTTTTGGGTGAGGTCTGCTGGTGGTCTGGATGCTGCTTCTGCTCTTTTGAAGGTTTCGGCTGCTCAGCATCGTAATACGCGTACGGCGACGACGGACAGTGTCGGTGGGTTTCGACAGCTTTCCAAGCCTTCTCCTTCTGCCTTTGACCAAGACGACAAGAAATAGTGGTTTGAGCATACGACAACGTTGTTAAGTTACAGCAAAAAATGATGTATAAAGAAGTGCTATGCATGGGGGTACGCTATAAATATGCCCTGTTTTCAAACGGTAGCATCGACAAGCCCAGTGCCGACTTGGGGGCACGTGCCACTCCAATGCTATGCTGTTGCTGTGGGGAAGACTACCTACCCACAACCTACGCCTCCGCAACCGTCTTCAAAAACACCTCAATCCCCGTCGTCCTCTCCCCCTCCTTCTTTACCCCCTCCTTTCCCCTTTTCCTCTTCCCCGCCTCCTTCTCGTCCACACTCGCCTCCAACGCTTTACTCACAACCTTCCTCAACCCGTCAACCCCACCCTTCACCTGCTTCTTCACCGCACCGGTCACAATCTTCTTTGTCGCGTCGTCCCCGCGTTCTAGGAGCGCGACGAAGATGAAGGCGGTGCCGGATGTGTTCCGTGGGGAGTGGGCGCAGAGGGTGAGCCAGTGTCCGACGTTCGGTTCGATCACCTTCACCAATGCAGCTGCAAACTGTTGTGATATCGCCGTTGTTTCCGGCGACGCTGCTGCGGGTTCCGATGGTGTTGATGATGCAGTGGTGGATTTGACACGCGGCGCGCGCGGGGAGATGATGTCCTTCAAGACGTAGGTGGATTGGCGGTTGATGAGGACGTGTTGGGACATTTCGAGGCCTTCTGCGAGCTGTTTGGCTGCGTCGGCGTCAGCTTTGAGTTGTTTGACGGGGTGGAAGGGCTCATCGGATTTTGGAGTGGTTGTGTTGGAGTCCGAGTCGGTGCCGGCGGCGAGGGATGTGATGGCGGTGATGAGTGTGGATTTGTCGCCTGAAGATTGGGCGAATGTAACCAGTTTAGTCATATGTTTCACACACAAAAAAGGTCGAGTTCGACAAAGCTGGGGTACACACCTTCAGCATGGAACACAGTCTCCACCACCACCGGCCCCCCATTCCCATCCCTCACAAGCTCCGCACAGCTCTCCTCGCACGTCTTCACCAACGCCGGGCTAATCGCCTTGACCAACTGCTCCCTCCTCAACGTATCATCCTTCTTCGACGTCCTCGCCCGGATCTCATCCATCGACTCCAGCTCATTGATCACATACGCAGGCTGTATCCGCCTGTTCCTGCCCATAAGCAAGAACAACACCACACGGCTCGCGTATCGATCGCGCAACAGGTCTGCGAATTCCGCCTCGGCGATCAGTTCACCGATGATGGCCTTTTCGACCAGGACCGTATCGTCGACGCACTCGAACACGGATAAGAGCACCGCGTGGCCGTACTGCTCTCTGGCAATCTTGGTAACAAACGTCTTGAACGATTTCACAATCAACTTCCTATCCTTCGGGGTCGCGTGCAGGAGACACAGTTGCGCGACACGGGCTCCCTCACGGGTATGCAATATCTGCACGAGATGGTCTTTGAGGAGCTCGATCATGTCCTTGATGTGTTTCTCTTCGGCAAAGGTGAGGTATTCGAGGAGGGCGCGGTGGACGATGGTGAGGTGGCCAATGTTTGTGAAGCCCTTTTCGAGGACGGAGTTGAGGACTTCGCGGAGGTGACGGACGACGCTGTCTTTTTTGACGGGGTTGTCGGCGATGAGGGATTCGATTGTGTGGCCTCCTGCGTTCTGGAATTCACAAAACGAAACTTAAGTGCTTGAACCCACAAGTAATCCAATTGGTCAGCAACACTCATTCACACCCATACCTTCCAAAGCGCAAACTCCGGCCCATAGAACTCCTCCAGCAACCGACTCCTCTGCTGCGCATTGCTCATAACATACGCCTCCTCTAAGATAACCGCCGCCTCCTTATGCCTGACCAATTTCCTAATCTTGCCATAAAAGTCCTTCACAACCAATGCGCGGTACTGCGGGGAGCAGTAGTTGAGGATCTTTGAGATGATGAAGCGCCCGTAAGTGGATTTCGAAAGCTCGGTGTAGTGCCCCTCGAGCTCCTTCGCGATGGCGTCGCGTTGGGATTGGTTGCCGTATTTGAGGGCGCATTGGATGATTCGGCTGGCGTCGTGTTTGAAGATGATCTGTGGGTGTTGTCAGTTTTCAGTATCCTAATCAACGGTAGCCTGCTCCAGCATGTTACTCACATCCTTAACCTTCCCCTCAATCAACGTCATCAACTCCGCCATCTGCTCCTTCCTCTCCTTAGCAGTGATCTTCTTCTGTCTGAGCTTCTCCCATATCGCTTTGGCGTTCTGGATCAGCGGTGCGTTGGGTTTGGCGGCTTTGCGTTCCGCCTGGGTGGCTTTTTGCTCTGCGCGGGATTGTTTTATTTTTTCCTCTGGGAGGTGGGAGGATGGTTAGTCTCTTAGAGTCACTTTGCCGGGGGGGGGACTCAGAACCGCACTGACAAAGACCGTACCTTCCTCAGCAGTCCGCTGCTTCTTCACCGCCGGTGCTTCCTCCCCACCGTCCTCATTATCCTCGTCCTCATCCTCGCCCTCTCCCTCGCCATCAGACTCGTCTCCCTCCCCCTCCTCATCAAATCCCTCTCCCTCCCCATCGACTTCCATAGCGTCCTCGTTACCCTCCTCCGCGTCCTGGTCCTCCCATTCACCCTCGGACGAGAAGTCCTCGTTCACGTCCTCCTCCTTCTTCGCGACTTTCTTCTCCGTCTTCGCCGCTTTGCCGCCGGGTTTGGAATGCGCCTTCACGGCTGCCTTGGACTTGCTCATGGCTATTGCGCGGGGGGTTGGCGTGGGGGGGCAAAATGCTCTCTTTCCAACGTTCAGAGCACAGGGCAGTAATGGAGGACCCCAAAAATGGCGAAGAAAGAATCAGCGAGCGAAAGGGGGTGCGAAAACATAATAGGGAACGCGCCGCGCCACGCCCCCGCGCCACTCAAGCCACGATGCTGTCAAAGTGTCGGAGACTGTCCCGTTCCCGCCACACCCACCACGCCCGATCCCCCGTCGGCGTCCCAGCCTCCCCTATCCCTCTCTTGCAATGCGGATGTGCGGCGGGTACGGGGGGCTGGAAGCCTCGGACGAGTACTCGAATAAGCCGCCCGCAACAGTGACTTTCTTCCGCGGGATTTTCCCAATGAGTGGGGTCGGTGAACGTGCGTGTGCCGAGAACGGGATGGCGATTAAGATATGGATGGCATGCGGGATATATACTGTAGCTAGCTATGCAGAGGGGGCCGGTGGATACCACACGGTGAAAAGCGTCGATCGTCGCGTCAAGTCCCCAGTGAGATGGTGGATGGATGCAGCCACCATCGGGCCTGATAGCGCACAGCACATCGGAAGAGGGAGGTGGTAACACTCCCGAACTCTCCGCCGACAGCCCGCTGGTTTTTGGTGCTCGGCGTCTGGTGGACATACTCAGTGGGATCATGCTCTTGAGCAACGGTTATACTGTACAGTACATCGACTGGCGAGAAACGGACCCCCTTCGGTTTTTCGCCGCTGTCGAAAATTTGGCAGTCATTCACCCTCAATATCTTGTTTGCTCGCTTCGCACTCACAAAACCACCGATTCCAATTGTTTTCCCTCATATTAACCCATATGAACCATACTCTTATATACGTGAAAACCCCACAACATAAATATAAATACATCAGTTCAGCGACGAAGAACTACGTTCCATCCGACATGAGCTAACGGATCACGTAGCCCAACATCGCGCAGAAGCACTACGCCTGTGGGAAGAATCTCGAGCCGCAGAAACTAGCCAGCTCACCCCACCGGCGGGCCGGCACTGAGACATATGTGCAGACTGCTGATATCGATGCACATGTGGTGAAAGTGTCTAGATAGTAAGTCTTGTCGCCGGGCTTACTGAAGGGTTTCCACCGGCGGTTGTTCTTGAGCTTGTCATCCGCGATCAGCGATTTGAAGGCTGAGCATGCTAAATCATACGCGGGATGTTCTTCGAGCACTTTTAACACAGTGCCGACATCCACACTGATATCATGGGAGGAAGGTTGGCAGGGTTGTGCGGGAATGGCGCCGAGTGACTCTAGCATGGCGCTACTGAAGAGGGACCATTTGGCTTTCTCCAAGGAATGTCTTCCCCAACTGAGCAGTGTTGTATACCGGGGAGGAAGCCTTGTCGTTGCATTTCGTAACATAGGAACTCCAGAATGGAAGGGTTGAGATAGACGATACTACCGCGTCCTCGATATTATCCACGCAAACGCCAAGTAAAGTAGGATGCCAAAACGGACGTTACGACGACATAGACGCGGTCAATAAATCTTTGTGGCCAGCAGAAGTCACCGGCTGCCGTCTAGCCATTGCGTGGTTGACCGGGGGCCGGCCAGCCGCCATTACTAACCTAGGTAGTAGCCCAAATGCCGTCAATTTCGACGCGCCCGTCGTAACGTCCGTTTTGGCATCCTACTGTATGTCCTTCGCATCTGATACTTGCGACGAGCTTCCCATGTGAGCGGGGCTCCAATGAGGAACCGAGCGCATCAGTCTCAGTTGTGCTCTCTGATGCAGCATCATGCAAAACGAAGTCTGACACCGGTGATGGCCCGCGGGTATCTTTCCTTTTGAACGCGTGCTCGCTTCACACGCTGTTCCAGCTCCAGCGTTGATTCTTCCCCGTAAGCCGCGTGTTTTCGAAGAGCTTGGGTTTGCAGCTTGTGACGAGAGAACAGGTTTCTCCCAATGAGTTGTCCATTCTTCGTTCTTGAACTTCCGTGATGACACAAGTAAATCTCCTTGGGCTTCGATTGTTAAATATCCGGAACGGGGACTTACATCGAATCTACAAGCCTCGTCTATAGATTTTCTTCATTTTCTCTTTCTTTGGCCCCCCGCACGGTATCCAAGCGTTTGGTTGCCTGTTCTACCGCTTTGCCATAAAATAGTTGCGCGGAGGTTTCGTTGAAAAGGTTGAAGTACTGGGAGAACCTCAAGGGATCCACCCTTCCCTCCTTCAACCTATTCCACACATATTCATCCATGTCCTACAGCTCAACGAAACGGGGATTAGCATGGGTAGATATGAATAACTTTCTAAACACAGTCAAGGAACATGTGTGGTTCGGAGGAGTTGGAAGCCCGCACCCGCTGCATCTTGACCGCCGAAGGAGAAAAGGAAGGGAGTGCGAGCCATCTTATCACCAGCTCGTGGCGAGCCAGCGCCATACTGCCCGTGCCGGCCCCTACCCACCCGTGGGTCCTTACGGAGGTTTCAGCACGCCAAGGCCTTGTTTAGACAAAGCCCTGACATTGACCGCAACGCCATCGACTACCCAGCCGATAGTACAGAGCCAGTCCAAGTATTCTTACCTTCTGGGTTTTGATGCTGGTTGCTGCCTGATGAGGGACGATGAGGGACGAGCGTGCAAGAAGGGGCCATGGTTGGACGCGTGTCGACGAGATGCCTGGCCCGAGCTGTCTGTCTTCCACAGCAGAACACTTCACTGGGCCTTCGGACGCCCTTCCGTCGGACTCTCCGTCGGACTGCACAGTCGGGCACACGCGCGCAGCCACCCGGGCCTGGACGGTGAACATGACATATCAAACAGCTCGTGAACCACGCGAGAGCACCAGAGAGAGAGCGAGTCTCTACCATTCATCCTCCTCCTCCTCCTCATCGTTGTTACCACCACCGCTGGACCGGCCTCCCTGTTCACCCATCTTGGCGGAAAACGTCAGGGTCGTTTCTCCTTGCGAGTGACAGCGGCCATTCTGAGCAATAGCGGATTCCTCCTCCTCGTGGGGACTTCTTGTGGTCTCGCTTCACATTGGTATCTGAACACGCGTTACGGGTGAAGCTGCTCGTCATAGGGAAGGGGGACAGCGAAGGGGGAGGAGGGCGACCATGATGGCACCGAAAAGCCTTCCCCGAAGACGGCGGTCTCTGGTTACACCGGCGGCCTAACGGGGAACTGCAAAGCCGGGCTTGCAGAAGAAGGCCAAGAAGGGGGTCGCGATCCCCGGTGAAGCGACCGAGTGGCAGGAAAGCAATGAAGCGTTCCCTTGTAGAGACGTAAGATCACACACGGCGTGGGAGTTGGGGAGTTCATCTTGTATAATCCTATATTGTGCTATTGTGCTGTGCAGACATGTGGAAAGCGAAGTATCGTGGTCATATAGTGTGCCATTGCGTCGACGAGATTGGGGTTCCTGTATTTACCTCGTCCAACTTGTATACTGGGCAATTGCAAGGGATTCCGATTCCGCTCCGTGGAATCCCTTGCGATACGGCACGGCACGCTTTGCCTGATAGAAGCAGCCTTGGTTTCATTTTCGTGTTGAACGAACGATAAACGATACGCAGCCCGATAAGATACATTTTCGTGTACGACTTTCAATATTGTAAACGTCGGGAGATCTGCCGACATGGACATCGACTGGCGAGAAACGGGCCCCCTTCGGCTTTTCCGCCGCTGTCGAAAATTTGGCAGCCATTCACCCTCAATATCTTGTTGGCTCGCTTCGCACTCGCAAAACCACCGATTCCAATTGTTTTCCCCCATATTAACCCATATTAACCATACTCTTATATACGTGGAAAACCCACAACATAAATATAAGTACATAAATTTATATACGGGGGGATATATATAGGTATGCGAGGGTAGGCGCCGTCCAAGTGTAGGTTTGTGCGCAGCCTCTCGTTTCCGGTTGGCGTGAAAAATTAAATGTACGCGAGGGGGGTTAACTGCCGTTGCTTAGGTGAGGGTGAGCTGTTGAATGTTTCTATCTTTGGCGTGTTGTCCCCCCCCCCCCCCCCCCCCCCCCCATCTGAGAATGGTCCTGCGTGCTCATATTCCGCTCATATTCCTCCGTTCGGGGGGGGTGGTCGGTTCCGACTGTTCTCCCAAGACACTTCCGCTCCGCTACCGCCCCCCGCCAAGAGAAAACCTCTCAAACAGATCCCCCGGCACGCTCCAATCCTCCGGATCCCACGGGTTCCCCCTGCACACCGTCCTATGGACCAGCTCTCCCGTCAAGGCCGTGATATCCATCCGGGGTGCGAATCGTGCGATGCGGTCGCGGAGGAGGGCTGACGTTGGGTGTTGTTCTGTGGTGGTGGTGGGAGAGCAGGGAGTGTTGGGTTCGACCTCGTCTTTGATGGCGATTGAGGCGCGTGGGGAGGGGAGGTTTCCGGGTGAGGTGACGGGGGAGCGGGAGGGTGGGGAGGGAAAGGGGGAGGGTTCGAGTGGGGTTGGGGGGAGTTTGTCCTCGGAGGTTGTGGTTGTGGTGGGTGAGACGGATCCTGACGCTGGTGCTGCGACGGGGGATGCGGTAAGTGCGCTGGTTGATGGGTGCATCTGGGGCGTGCCAGGGAAGCTGGGGTCGGGGGAGGACATGTAAGATGCGTGGCTTGTGTTTCGTTGCGGATGTTGGTTGTAGTGATTGTTGTTGTGGTGGTGGTGGTGGTGGTGGTGCTGGGGAACGAAACCGGCCTGTAGTTCGGCCAGGGCTTTTGCGGCGATCATGACTGCGTCTTGGCCCGTATGTTGTTGCAGTTGTTGCTGTTGTTTTTGTTGTTGTGCGGCGGTGACGTGTTTGCCGACGTCGGGTATCCACGAGGAGAAGGTGAATGCGAGCAGGTTCTGGAGTTGACGCGCTTCCTGGATGATCTGGGAGCGTTCGTGGCCGAGACTTGCGACTTGCAGGCGTAAGGCGCGAAGTTCGGCTTGCGTGTCCAGTGCCTGCTGTGACCTGCGTTCTTTGATTCAGAGAGGGAGAAATAAAAGACATTAGATTGATGGTCGCGCGAAAACAAAAAGGTAAAAGTCAAAATAAAATGCTGCGCGAGTAGGATTCGATGTGTGGTCCATCAAACGCCAAACGAAGCCCGAAGCGAAGCGAAGGATGGTCGGTCACGGCTGATGGATGAAACGATAGCCTGCTCGCTCCGCTGGCGAAGAGGATGTTGTGGCGGGGAGGAGCGTAGCTCGCTTCGCTCGCTAAAAGATCTGTCGCTCCGCTCGTTGCAGTCCGCATTCGTTCCGCGAATCAACCTTGCGCCTCCGGCGCAATCCCGCCGGGCTCCGCCCAAACTCTCGCTTCGCTCGATACCCCCTCCCTGCTCGTCGTCGGTCGGTCGAACGCCTACCTCTAAGAGCCTTCTGAGCCTGCCTATTCTTCTCCTTCCTATGAGCGGCCATATCGGTGATGAAAGGGTTCCTCTTTGCGCCGGGCTTCCTCTTTGTGGGATTGAGGCCTCCGTCCTTGGTATCGACGGAGGAAGAAGCGACGGGAGGGTTCTGAGGCAAGTTCTCGCTGAGCATCGGACTGTCTGGGCGGGTTGAGGTTGAGTCACCCATTGAGGAGAGGGACATCGTGTCGTTGAAGGAGTCTTCAGTTTTTGTCATTGTTGTTGTTGTCGTTGTTGTTGTTGTTGTTGTTGGCGAGAGAGAGCGAGAGAGAGAGAGAGAGAGAGAGAGAGAAGAAAAACGCGTCTCCGTCATGAGCTGCATCTCGCTGGTTGTCATCCTGGTTGGTTGTCATCGCTGCCTGCCTGCCCGCTTGCTTTCTGTCTCCCTTCGCTTTGAGTGTGAGTGTCATCATCAACATGCTCCCCCTGCGCCACCCGCACTGTGCCACTCGCTGCGCCACTCCCTCGCACTCATCACGTGACTTCTGCATCTCTCTTTCCTTTCGTTTCCCCGCCGCCGCCGCCGCCCAATGAGCGACTTGGTAAATAAAGGACGGATTTGAATTCAATCCAATCAACGACAGAAGACGGCTCGCCCACAGCCCACAGCCCACAACCATTCTTCCCCTTCTTTCCCTCCCTCCCTCCCTGTCGCCCCCCAGTAACTTATTCCTGACTCCGATAACTACTCTACTCTACTCGACAGAAAAAGAGAGAGACCCAACAACAACAACAACAACCACTTACACACCCCACTTACACAATCCAGACGCATATTGGAATGCTCAGCATGGATAACCAGAACAAACAAGACGGCCCCGTCGACTCCCTCAGCCACGGCTTTGCTAACCTCGACGTTAACGGTGCTAACAACAACAGCAGCAGCAACAGCAACGGGAACTACTCCCGTGGTGGAGGCGGTGGTGGTGGTGGCCGTGGAATCGGTCGTTCTGCTTGTGAGTATCGGGCCATTGAAAACGAATTGACGAAAAGGAGGACTGTGCTGCTGGAGGGATTCGAGCGTTAGCGCGGAGAAATGCTTGAGAGGCTGGGTCCAAGCAAGGAGAAGGCGAGAAGCGAAGCGGGCGGGCGGCAAATCTTTGCGAGCGAAGCGAGCTTCGCACACGCTGCCCAACCTCCTCCTCGTCGCGAGCAGAGCGACCAGGGTATTGTTTTTTTCATGGGTGGTTGACGGTTTGACGTTCGACGGTGGATGGTTGAGAATCGATCGTTGATGATGGATGGTTGATGGTTGTTGAATACTAATTCCCTTTCCTTTCCTTTCTTTTTCTTCTTCTTCTTCGCAATCTAGACGTCCCTCCTCACCTCCGTGGAGCTGGAGGAGACGACTCTCAACGGTCAAACAACAACGCCGGTCCTCCTCCACCGCGCAGGGGCGGCTGGAGTAACGGCCCAGCAGCAGGCGGTAGCACCCGTGGTGGAGGTGACTGGGGTGCTCCCAGGCAAGAGGGCGGTGGCGGCTACGGTGGAGGTGGTTACGGTGGAGGCAACAGCTATGGTCGTCGTGATGACAGACCCGCTCGTCAACCGGCCACCTACACCAAGGACCCCAGCGACGAATTCGCTCACCGTCCCGATGTGAAGCCCCGCGACCCTCGTCTTGAGACTCAACTCTACGGTGCTCAGCACAACAGCGGTATCAATTTCGAGAAATACGAAGACATCCCCGTTGAGGCGTCCGGTAACGACTGCCCCGAACCCATCTCCGACTTTGCAAACTCTCTCCTCGACGAACTTGCGAAATCCAACGTCAAGCTCGCCGGTTACAATAGCCCTACCCCCGTTCAAAAGTACTCCGTCGCCATTGTCACCGGTGGTCGTGACTTGATGGCTTGTGCGCAAACCGGAAGTGGGAAAACCGCCGCTTTCCTTCTCCCCATCCTCTCCCAAAACTTCAAGGACGGCGTGCCAAACCGTTCCGCAGACGCAGCCGCTGGTGGCGGCTACGGGCGACGACCCAAGGTGGCCCCGTCCTCGCTCGTCTTGGCCCCTACCCGTGAGCTCGCCATGCAGATCTACGAAGAAGCCCGCAAGTTTGCTTACCGTTCTTGGGTCCGCCCCTGTGTCTGCTACGGTGGTCAGCCCATGGTGGACCAGATCCGTGACCTCGAACGTGGATGTGAACTCCTCGTCGCCACCCCCGGTCGTCTTGTCGACTTGATCGAGCGTGGCCGTATCTCCCTCGCAAACATCCGCTACCTTGTCCTCGACGAGGCCGACCGCATGTTGGACATGGGTTTCGAGCCCCAGATCAGGAGGATCGTCGAAAAGGAAGACATGCCCGCCCAAGGTCGTCAGACTCTCATGTTCTCCGCTACCTTCCCCCGCAACATTCAGATGCTGGCCCGCGATTTCCTCTCGGACTACATCTACCTCACCGTCGGCCGTGTCGGATCCACCTCCGAGAACATCACCCAGCGCGTCGAATACGTCGAGGAAGACGACAAGCGCTCCGTCCTCCTTGACCTCCTCTACGCCGACGGCGAAGCCGGCAAGGCGTCTGGCAAGCTCAACCTCACCCTCGTCTTTGTCGAGACGAAGCGCTCCGCCGACATGCTCTGCAACTTTCTCCTCAGCAACAGCTTCCCCGCCACCTCCATCCACGGCGACCGCACCCAGCGCGAGCGCGAGATGGCCCTCAACACCTTCCGAACGGGCCGCACCCCCGTTCTCGTCGCCACCGCCGTCGCCGCCCGTGGTCTCGACATCCCCAACGTCGGCCACGTCATCAACTTTGACCTCCCCTCCGACATTGACGACTACGTCCACCGTATCGGTCGTACGGGACGTGCCGGAAACACCGGAAAGGCAACCGCATTCTTCAACCTCCACCGCGACAAGGGCGTCGTCAAGGAATTGCTCGAGATCCTCCAGGAAGCCAACCAGGACGTCCCCGAGTGGCTCGACCAGTGCAAACGCGAGGCCGAGCGCGACTCGTTCCGCGGGTTCGGCGGAGGCGGCGGCCGGGGTCGTCGTGGTGGCCGTGGTGGAGGCGGATCCCGGTTCGGTGGGAACGTCGATTTCCGTAAATCTGAGGCCGGTGGGTTTGGACCCCGTGCTGCGGGTGGACCCCCGTCGTACGGTGGTGGCTATGGAGGAGGAGGTTACGGTGGTGGGTTCGGGGGAGGCTACGGAGGTGGTTACGGTGGAGGTGCTCCGGCGCAGAACAGCAGCAGCTCGGGCGCTGGCAACAACTGGTTCTAAACTGTCACAAGCGCTGCCACAAGCTCGTCATCGCAGAACGCGTTCACATTGTCGACACTACACACCCACACCCCCCTCCTCCCTCTTCATTCATCGCCCCGTTCTTTTCCCGCGCCGCGCGCCTCGCTATCACGCATCCAAACACGTCATACCTTCCCCACGACACAGCACCCCGACAGGAAAAATGAAACCCTCCTTCCCTCCCACACCCTGGGGTCTCACGCACGATACCCCAGCCTCCCTCGATAGATATTCGACCCCTCGGACAACAACCACCACCGCACCTGTACACACAAAACACCGACCGAAACGATATTTATTCCCCCCCCCCCCCCCCGCGACCGTTAATTTTATTTTTCCAACTTTTTGTCTGGTGTTCCCATCGCCGTGTCACACACACACCTCCCTCCTTGGTCTGACGGACCCCCCCCCACCCGATTCATTTTAGACGCGCAACACACAAAACGCAGTGCGCGACTCCCCGCGGAAACGAATGTTTGTTTTTTTTTCTTTTTTTTCTTTGTGATTTGCTAAGTTGGTTTGGTATTTTGTTGTTTTCTTTATTTCATGGCGTGTTAGTGCGGTTTCTTCGCTTTTTTTTTTCTTTGTATTTTATATTTTTTGTGGGTGGGCGTGTGTGCACAATTCTATGCTGTCTTTTTCGTATGTTGTTCAGGTTTCCTGGTCGTGTGTGGGTGTGGGTGGAGGAGTAGCTCCCCCCCGGCGGATTGAACTGACCACTGCGCTGTTCCAAAGAACTGTCGAGCTACAGTACTTACATGCAACGGGCCCCACTTTGTTTCGAAGGAGGAGGAGCACGCGTGGCAAAGGCGTCTGACCACCCCCCGCACACCGCTCGCGATTGCTTTGCCTCTGGAGAGAGAAACTCCCCGACCCGTGACTTGACGGAGCGAAGAGAAGCATGCCGCGGTATCGGGCGGCCGTCCACGACACGCCAAACGTAACATCTGCCCTCTCATGCATAGCGTTGGAAGGGCATATCCGGCGGTAAGGTTTTGGCACATCAAACCCGCCCCGAAGGCAGACCGGCAGAAGTAGGAAAAATGCTGGGACAGGCCGGGTTTAACCCCCCTACAGTACCGCATCACCAGCATCTCCCCCCCCCTCCCCCCCCCCCCGGAAATCGTACTCTGATCGAGATGCTGGAGTGGCCGAGTCCAGTCCGGTCACCCTGAACTTTGTCGTCTGGTGCTGGTGGGCGTTCGACACCTACCGTACGCTTCCTGAGACAAGACCCAGCTCCAACGTCCAGCTTCGTTTTCCGATGGCCCTCCTCCCGATATATCCTGCCCGCTCGCGCGTTCTTCAGTGCCCGGTCCGTTCGTCTATGGGAAGACTGTGTGTGTACAGGCTGCAACCGTAAGTGTATGGCGAGAGGATCCACGAACACTTATGCCCGGATGGATTGCGTCCCGGTCGTTGGTTGAAGATGCGAGGGACTGCGGCGATGGCTGTGGTTGTGGTCTGGTTCACTGGGAGGCGGCGTCACCTCTTTCAGTTCTTTGTTCCATCTGTATGTAATGTCCAGGGCATAGGCCACCCACGATAAGGTGGCAGAGAAGACTTGGGGGGACAAATGGGGATGGCGCCTTGCTTCGCTGTCGTATTCGTGTGAGCTCGTTCTGCAAAAAAGTCGCTTTTCCGACCTGGAGCAGTTCTAGCCCACATCCACTTCATCGCCGACGACCCCCCCCCGACAACCAAACAAATCGACTACCGCAGGCTTCGGCACCCACGCTCGGGGTGTAAGCACTTCACTTCTCACACGCCCGAAACCTCTCCCTCGGCAGTAGACGCCCGTGTTCCCCGTTCCATTGCGCGGATCAACTCAACCCCCAACCCTCATTAAGCAGCTGGGGTTCAGTCCGACCGAAACCCACCACCCAAAAAACCACTTTGAATCAGAGAAAGCACACAAAGGATGATACCCCCCCGCCTCGCCACCCGCCTCCACGCACGGCCACCACCCCGAGCGCGGCGGCCCCATCCGCCTCGGAGATCACACCACACCCACACCCGCGCACCACCCCCATCGGCGCATCCCCCGCTGTCCCCGCTCCTCCTCCTCCCGCTCCCCCTCCTCCTCACCCTCCACAACACCCATGCGCACCCCCTCGACTGCTCGCCCACCTTCCAGGGCGTCCCCGTCGCCGCGACATTCCTGATGCATCAGGCCCTCCCGCGCTTCGACAGGCAATTCCCCGGCCTGGAACTCTCCCCCGTCTTCGACATGGCGCGCCCGGAGGAGTACAGCTACACCGAGCGCGGCGGGGTGTTTGCCGTGCTCGGCGTCGTGGATGAGGCCGTGGTCGTGCTGCCCGTGTTTGAGAAGCTGCCGCAGGTCGAGGAGGCGAGGTTGGGCGCCGCGGGCATTCGGAAGATGCCCGTGGGCCGGTGTGAGTTGGTCGGGAGGTGTAGGTTGGGCTGTGCGAAGGTGGAGTTGGTGGGGATGAGGGTGCTGAAGGGGAATGGGGAGTGTGTTTGGGAGTGGAGGAAGAAGGGGAGTTGATTGGTCGACGAGAGGGGAATGGCCCCCCCCCCACCCCCCCCGCCCGCCGTTTGTGGGAGGATGTGGGACCCGCCTGTAATACAATCTAGTCAACCAGCATAGAAAACCCGTCTGGTAGAATCCCATCTGCTCCGACAATACGCCCAATATACATGAACGATATCTCAACCGTCACTACGGATAGGACCACCCATGTCCCAGGAATGAACAGCAAATGCAATATGGAAATGAGATGCAGAAATACAACAACATGCGGCTTATGTGTATAAATAACGAAGTACAAGTGAACCCACCGGTCCACCCCGCCTCACCCCTCACCCCTCCCACTCAGGCATACCGCTTCAAAAACCCCTCATGAAACCCCTGAATGCTCCGAATAAACCCGCCCATCTGCTCCTCCGGCGGCAGGAACGTCGACCGGAAATGCCACGTGCCTGATTTCTGGTGGAAGCCTGAGCCTGGGACCACGCACTGGCGTCATCCAAAATCATGACCATCAATCAGTACGCGGGAAGTGTGGGGGAATCCGGGAAAGGGGGATGGGGATACGCACCACACCGGTAGCATTCAACAACTCCATGCAATACAGCTCGTCGGGCGCGACGCCGGCCTTTTTGGCCGCTGCGATGGCTTTCTCCGGAAGGTGAATTTGGGGGAAGAGGTACATTGCGCCCTGTAACCGTCATTTCATCATATGGGTTAGGAGAGTGGACATGGGATGGGGAGGAGGAGGGCGTGGGGGGTATATATATATACCTGAGCGGGTTGACAGCTAACACCCTCAAGCTTGTTGAACGCTTCAGCGAGCTGTGCGGCGCGTTTCTGCAATGATGCTGCCCCAACCAAAAAAAAAAGAGGTTAGCCCCTCAATCCCACCACCCCACCCAGCCCACCCCACCCCGGGGGAAGCCTACCATAAATCCTCCCCACCTCCCCCCGATACCCCTCCCAACTCTCGTCCCCCTCCCTCGGCGGTCGCACCATCAGATCCACCATCACCTGCCCCTGCGCGGGCGGACACAGACTTATGCTGGCGACTTTGTAGAACATGTCCTTGACTTTCGGGTCGATGTTGGTGCATTCGAGGTACCCACCGCGCCGCCCGCATTCGCCGATGACGCCTTTGGAGATGCTGTGGAAGGAGATGAGTTCTACGGATGTGCTGTAGGGCGGGCCCATGCTGGTTGCGGGGAGTGGAATAGAACGATGGGTGTGAGATGTGCCGGTTTCTCGCGTGGTTGAAGGGGGTGTGTGTGTGTGTGAGTATAATAGCGAGAAACAGCATTACCTCATCAGGATCTTCTTGAACGAATGAAACGGGAACGTCTCCGGCATGTACGTGTTCGTCTGATACACCTCATCGGCCAACAACACCAGTTTCTCGCGGTGGCAGAACTCGATGATCTGTTTCATGTGTGAGACGGAGAGGCAGCCGCCGGTCGGGTTGCCCGGGTTGATGACGCACAGGGCGCGGATGTCGTGGCCGCGGGATTTGCCGAGGGTGTGGGCGCGTTCGAGTTCTTCTAACTGGGGGGAGGAGTGGGGATGTTGAAGTGACGGGAGAGATTGTGAATGTGGGGAGCGGGAAGGATACCTTCAGACCCCAGTTTGTTTCTTCTTCGAGATAGTATGGGACGGCATTGCCTTTGAAAAGCGCGATAGAGGCGGTGTAGAGCGGGTATTGCGGGATGGGGATCATGATCTACACACAAAAGATCCCATCAATGAGCCCATGCCCGTCCCCCACGAACCGCATAACGCATGTCAGGCTACTCACCCCAACTTTCTCATGCGCAATCAACGTCTGCAATATCAGCTGCACACCAGGACTCGCGCCGGCGGTGAGGAAGATGTCGTTGGGGTCGCTTGGGTAGCCATCTCGTTCTGCATGTCCCAGATCTCAGTCAGCACCTATCACTGATCCCCAACCCCACGGCACCGTAACAAGTTACCTTCAATGAACTTGGCAACATTCTCTCGGATCAACGGTATCCCTACACACGCACACACATTCCCAAAAACCTTCAGCCACACCGGAAACCGCCAAGATCCCCACAACAGATGTCCGTCGGCAGTACCTTGAGAATGCGTATACGCCCCCACACTGCCCCCCATCGCCTTCAACAACTTCTGCGCCCTCTCAATCGCATCCGGTGCAAACATCCCTTTGATCGCGTCCCGGTGTTGTGCGTCCAGGAGGTTTGGATATTCTATAAGGGCCGCGACCTAAATATGCACACGTTGTGTTTTCGTCAATCACCCTGACCGAGACAGAAAAGGGGGATGAAGAGCAATGGGAGGGTAAGGTCTCATTTACCTGCCGAAAGAACGTAATAGGCGTCTGCCCCAACTGCTGCGGGTTGCCGATATTGCAGCTGGTGATGCTCCTAAACCCCGCCTGCGCTCTCCCCTTCGCCGCGATTTCCTAACAAGATATACCGCGTCCGCTTCAGCTTTGGGCAATCGAACCCACGGTACTCCAACCCAGGATACGGCAGTACCTTCTTCAACTCCTCAGCCCTGATCGCCAACGCCCCGCGCACCGCATACTCGCATTCCACCACCGCCGGGTTGATCGTCGCCAACGTCATCACTTTCCCGCCTGGAAAATCGGACCATTCACCACCCCATCAGCGTTCTCTCTCCCCTCCAACCACGAATAATGACGCCCCCCGAACCTTTCGCGCCCGTCGTCGTCGAATGACATCGCAGGAAGATGCGGTGTGGCCGTGGAGTTGACGTCGCGGCGGCACGGACGGCATGACGTCTCGCGGCGAGCATTTTGGAGGCGAGGGGGAGTGTTGTCCGCCGGAAGCCGGTGGTGGTTGGGGGCTTCATGGTTCTGTTATGGCAGGCCTATGATGAAAGCGTGGGGGAGCAGCTCGCTCGCTCGCAGCCTGAGCGTCCTTTTTTTTGAAGGCGACTGGGGAGGTCAGCAGGGCGGCGGATCGACGGCAAAATGTGACAGCGCGCATCAACCGTCACGTTGCTCATCCGCTGCACCCCTCTCTATTAGATAGACTGGGCTCGGAGCATTTCCCTTTGACGTGTACTGACTTTCCCGCTGGTTTGCCTTATTGGAATATACTTTGCGACATAATCGTTACTTTCTTCACGTCACAGTGGGTCAAGCGCTTGCGAGGAAAAGTGGCGTGCCGCAGGTGGGCAGCATATAATTGGCCCGAAACAGCTGCTCTTCTTTCTGTCAGTCGTGTGCATGATGCCTCGCTCAAAAAGGTAGAACAGCGGTCTTCGGGGCGCTCAGTCAGCCAGCGCTTTCAGTGCAGAGGAGTTCACTGGTGCCTGTCGGGCATCTCGATCGGTATTGGAAGACGAAGCGAATCACTATCAAGCGTTTTCCGAAGGGATAAGAAAGCTGATCGGCGCTGCATCGGTTGAGGCAAACCGTGCAAGTATGGAGCCAGCTGCCGCCATCATCACCAAGCTTGCGGAAAGCATCTGTGGCCTAGAAGCGTACGCGCAAGTGCCGGGTAGCGTCAGCAAGGGTACGGAATGCCGAGGGAACGATGTCGATCTTCACTTGTACACTGCGAAGCCCACCACTCCGGAACAGCGGGAATGTCAATCTCATGAGGGAACTTCCGATCTTCAACCGATCGTTCACAGCATTCGCCGCCGAAAACCGGTTGCAGGAGGCCGTACTTGAAGCGGCATGTCAAGCAGAAGATAACAATTGAAGCAGCCAGCGTCTGCAGCTTCCAAAAGAGGATGCAAATGATCTTCTCAGACCTTGCGTCGGTCCCAGTTCACGCTCCCGGTCCTGCAGCAGCGCCGCGTGTCCTTCTCGCACTCACTCGGCAGCAGATAAATGAAATTTATGAGCGAGGTCACTACGCTGAAGCTGGTATGCTATACACGGGGCTCCTGAAGAGGAATCAAACGATCATGTAGTACTAGCAAATCGATCCGGTGCTTATTCCAAACTATGCTATTATACTGCCGCGGCGGCTGACGCGGAAACGGTTATAAGTCTGCAACCGGATTGGATCAAGGGCTATATGCCCCTCGCAGCTGCGGAGATCGGACGTGTCGATTTGAAATCTGCAATTTGCAGCCGCTGACCGCGGACTGGAGAAGAGTTCAACCATCGATATTCAGAAGCTCAGGGCAGATGCGCAATCAGAGTTGCAGAAGCAGGGCTCGCCTCCGAAATGCAAACCGGAAACATTGAAGTGTTGGAGTCGCGTTCTTTATAAGACCGCTGTACATGTGGTTGAGGCTGCAGGCAGCGGTGACTTCGCTGCCCCATCCGATGCGCTGCAGTGCTGCCGACAACTACCGCCGGAGAACCCAGACGGGTGGTCCATCATCATCCGTCCTGAAGTTTACGAGCGTCATGCAGCCCTTGAGGAGCAATTCCCAATCCAACTACTGGGGGGAAGTAGTTAGCGAATGTCAGCGTGAACCTCAAGCGCAATTGCGATGTGGACCTCTCACCGTCAAACCGCACAGTCAAAGTCGTTCTCACTCACTGATAGCCGTTTCCAAGGGCGCGACTGTCCACGTGGAAGATGTGTCATTCTCGATGGACCCCGGTAGTGGGGTCGGTGTCTGATGCGTCGGCGCGGATGACGGAGCTTCAATCACCGCCAGCCAATGCTTCTTTTGTCTCTCACGAATCACCCTGCGTGACTCTGTACGGTTCCGGCACGAAAGGAATTCAGGATTGCATGTTTAGACGATTGGCTTCAGCGGGTGTCCTGTTGGACGAGGGTGCAGCAGTTACGATGGAGAGATGCGACTTGCGCGAATGGTTCAAAGTCGGTGTTAAAGCTCGCGGGCAGGACACATCCGCGCGTCACCATCGTTGTAACATTCGGGACTGCAAGCGCCAAGCGGTCGTATTCGGGGGCGAGTCCAAACAACTGGAGATGGAAACTCCCCCGTTGTCTTCCGCCATGTTGTTTGGTGGGTCCGAAATGCTTCCCCAAAAATGCACCATCACAAAATGTCCGGCTGATGCGATCCTCATCCAAGCCTGGGCCCTTTATCTCCAAGGACGACTGTGAGGTAACTCGCAACCATACTGGAGTCTTTTTCGGTAACATACGTGTCTTCTCACCCTAACCACATTGCGGATAACTACCGTTGCTGAGTTTACGTGAAGACCGTCGCAAATGGACGGACGATGACAATGCGCGCCAACGAGATCTTCAACAAAGCCGTTTGGTGAATTTGTTTGCTGACCCTACAGTTGCCACGAAGATCGCAATGACCGGGGAGCGAGAATTGCCGTGCTCAACCAAGCTTAGTCTGTCTTTCTTAACGCGTATATACTTCGAGATCGAGCGTAAAGAAAGGGGAGATGTGTAACACAGCAGTTCGATCAGCAGTTTGTTAGCATTGTGTACAGTAGTCGTGTGGGGCAGTTTCCCTGTTAGTCTTATCGATTTCACAGAAGTTCTTCCCTGAGTATCCTAATAACTCATTCAATATATCCCTCATTCTTCTGTTCAGTACGAAATCCTTAGGCTCGCGGAAGTGCTCGTGCTTAGATCTGGCACTTAGCTTGGCATTCCATCATCCCACCAAGGGATGGCCTCTGTCCGGTAATGCATGTTCAGCCAACCCGATCTCCTCGGGTGTAACATAGAACGCAGCCTGGATGTCCTACGCCCCGGGAAGTTCGGATGGCGCCTGGCTTGCCGGGCTAGGGAGAGGCGGGGAGCAAGTGTCTGTAGCACAACGCGATACACGATTTTCAGTTCGAACTACCTTGCCGCCGCTGTTACCCAAAGCGGAGTACGGAAACTGACGGGCTCGCGTAAAACGTAAGCGCGACTGACGACGCTAAGGACATTTCTAGCCGAGCAGTCTTTCGACATGCAGAATTCCAGCGCATTCATAAAAGAGAGGTCTGATCAGAGCTACGGTCGCAGGCTCGCAGCCAGAGCGCAACCCCCGTGCCAAAATGTGTGAAATGTTGAGGTCGATTTCTTTTGAATGCAATTGCATGCCCTTGGAAAGGTCTCAAAAGCGATCCCACATGTTATCGTCTCGGAGGTGCTCCCTATAGGCAATGCATTGCAATACGAATCAGCGAGCTCTTGGGCCCTGCCTGTGATCTTCTTCTTTGCTTTTGAGGGTGATCGAGGATGGACCATGATATCGCCGTGGCTCTGCACTTACCCCGCCGAGCAACATTCCTCCGGAGTCCAACGGCTGGTATGGACGTTTTCCGTATTCCTGGGCCCATGCTTTCGAATCCTCGTGACAACCATATATGAAGGGGAAAAGTTCAGCTGACGATACCCCTTGCTTTCGAGAGCCGTGTGATCTCAAAATCCAGGGGTTGATTTCCTTTCTGATGCCATGTGAGCGTAAAATCCAGGGGGAACAGCCCAGCTGATGCCTTTCGAAGATTCTTTTCTCGAGGGCATTTGTGCTGACGAACTTCCCGCTTCAATCAACGCGTGCGTAGGTGTGAAATGACAGCCTCACGCGTCTCCGACGCCCAGCTCAAACTCCGCGCATACCAAGCTCACTTACGGCGTACGCCCATCCTGCATACTTCAGACTACAGTACATGTATTGCGATGCATATTGGGAGACATTTGGCAGGTGCCCGGGGCGTTGGAGAAGTGATGCTCTCATATGCATTTATGCACGTGGAGGGTTGCGTCCCAATCAGCCTGTCTGGGCTATGTACACCGTGATGTGATGGAAGATACACTAGAAATATGAGACACTGGGGCTTTGAATGCTAGTTGATCAGCCCACATATCGCTCTTGCCCTCTCCCATGACGCCCATCATGAGATTGCATGCAGTATGATACGCCGAAGAGGTGTGCATCAATGATGTTTTCAATATCTCCCTACGCGCCAACAATTTCGGCTGTCAAGCTCTTCTACTGTACTAAATGTACGCAGCGCCCAAAAGTGCTGGTAATCAAAGGCTTTGAAGCGCCACCGGCTGGTCCACCACCATCTCCGGCAAGTCAAGCTTGTGTCGCAGCCCTGCAATGTACACATGTATTGTACGGTGTACGTAGCACGTCGGCGTGTCAAAAGAGTGGTCCCAACAGCCGTATCCGCCGATCCCAGGGTAAGGATCACAATCGCACTTCCTACGCTAACCGTTGACACCGCACCATTGGTGAAGGAAGGATGGGACACGAGCGCTACTCCGACACCAACTCCCCGGGCAACGGGTACGCATTTGTTGTATATATGTACCTGCCAGATCAGAAAGGAGCTTTTACGGATCCCACCGAAGTCACAATCATTCCAATCGAACCGGGACCTCCCAGCGGCAGTAGTGTTATTATTTGCACCATTCGGAGGCTGGAAAAGTTTCTGGCGTTCAGAAATCTCAAGTTGATTTGTGAAATGCCATACCTCGGAGCTGGAAATGACCGTTTTCGGGGGGTGATAGCGCCGAGGTATCTGGGCTGTATCCGAGAGTTGTAGAATCCCTATGTCTTCTCAGGCATTTATAAGAGGTTTGATACGGCGTGACGGCGTCCAAGTTGGGCGTCTATTTCGTGATTCGCCACGCTTGGCACTCACAATAGTCGAACTCGAACAACAAGCTTCCCACATCCAGGTCCTGAGAAGCCAGCGTATGTCACCAGCATTGCATTCCTTTGAAATGCAAAACAACAGGCTCGCGAGAAATGCCTGCTGGATTGCAAGATGGAGGAAACGTAGAGGCGCATAAAAGCCCGTTGCGCCGTTGCGTTCCCCCTCGACGATTCTAACAACCAAAAAGCCTCGTCCGTCAATATCGTATCGTCAAGATGAAGTTATTCGCCAGTCTGCTCTCCATCGCGTCCATTGCCGGCGCTATCAGCCAGGTTTCAGCTTGTAAGTACCCTATGTTCTCTTGTCGTTGATACTCTTCTTGCAAATGCGTATTCGCGGTCATTTGGCTAAACTCTCGATTTCTGCCAACATAGATCCTGGTCCAGGTAATGTGCAAGGCGCCACTTTTGTGCATGACCCAAGCATGATCAAGGTCGGCAACACGTACTACGTCTTTGCCACCGCTCCCGGCATTTCCATCAAAACCTCCACCGACCGTACCAACTTCGTCGACGCTGGCGTCGTATTCCCTAACGGTGCCCCATGGTGTGATACCTGGACCGCGGAAGACAAGAACCTCTGGGCTCCCGACGTCTCCTACGCCCACGGTCAATTCATCCTATACTATTCCTGCTCCACCTTATATTCGCGCCGCTCGGCCATCTATTTGGCTACAAGCGCCACCGGGCGTTCAGGGTCTTGGGTAGACCACGGATTAGTAGTCTCCTCCAACAACGGCGACGCCCTGAATGCCATCGACCCCGGCCTCGTCATCGACGGTAACAACTGGCGCCTGACCTACGGTTCCTTCGGAAGCGGGATCTTCAGCATCGTCCTCGACCCTACGACCGGTCACCCGAAAGACAACGCAAGAACTCGCCTCGCGACCCGTACTGTGAATGACGGCGCCGTCGAAGGCGCCTACATGCACAAGATCGGCGCATTCTGGTACCTGTTTGTATCCTGGGACAGGTGTTGCCAAGGAGCTGCTAGCACATACCACATCATGGTCGGGCGTTCCCAATCTTCCAACGGGCCTTTCTTCGACAAGAACGGCGTCAACTTGGCGAACGGCGGTGGCACCGAAATCCTTGGCGGTCACGACGGCATCCACGGGCCCGGAGGGCAAAGTGTGTTCCGGGATGTTGACGGCGACCTGTTGGTGTACCACTACTACGACAACGCTGGCGCTGCTAGGCTGGGTATCAACAAATTGGTACTCGACGGATCCGGCTGGCCGGTCGTTGTATGAGCCCGTTCGCTAGATGAAATATAGAAAGCTGCTGCTGGACAGCCTTGTGAATACCCGCTGTATACATCAACGCTTTTTGTCCATATTCCTCTTCCGTTTTGCAATACATACCCAGATTGGTACCCAGATCTATGTGTGCTTGGCTTTGTTCCTCCTTTGTGGTTCCGTCGTTTTCATACCGCTTGGCGCTATTTGCAACGCTATTCGCAAGGCGGACTCCGTTTCGTGATGTCGGCAAAACTTGGGGACGATCACGTGGGTCCTAAATAAACCCGGAACTTCCGCGCGTCACAACTTTCGTCTCTCAAAGCTGCTTCGGGTTGGTCATTTTACATTGCATTTCCAGTCGCAATCTAGTCCTGGTAAGTAGCAAAATGTATCCCGAGGGCCGACGGGTGTAGTGGCCAGCAGCGAAAGGGCCTCCTGCGGATGTCCTAGCGACGGCAAGTCCTCCCATTTCCCGCAATGATGACCATCGACAGGTACTTCAGAGACCCCTACACACAACACATCACCCAATTCCCCGGCGGAAGCATAGCCGCATCGCCTATATCGCTTCATCGACAGCGGCATCACGCTAGGAAGCCCCGCCGGTACTTCATCTCACTTCCGCTTCCAATCCTCCCACGCCCCGACCTGCCCCAGCCGAGGTCGCGCTTTAGAGCGTGCCGGGAAACCTGGAGCTCGCGAGGACCTAGGCCGTGCGGTGTTCGTAGGGTGGGGTCGAGGGTGGAGCGTATGGTGTGGATGATTGCTCTGTGGGGTGACTGTATGGGGGCGATGGGGGATGTGTGCTTGCGCCGGTGGAGATGTTTTGGGCGGAAGTGGTGTTGGTGTTCGGGGCGCGGACGAAAAAGAAGTTTCGATGATTGGATTGATCTGAGCGGCGGTTGTTGTGGGAGATCGATGTTGTGATCAGGAGGCTGCTGGTCGGAAATGCTAGCTGGCAAATGGAAATGAAAGAAGAGGGCTAATGCATGGGACTGATCTGATGTTTTATGAATCAATCCTGCAGCTCGAATTAGCGTCTCCCACCCCACCCACACGAATCCCCTCACGCACTCACCCGCGCCGCACATCACTAGCACATCGACATCATGACAAGCATATCACCCGAGTGCAACGATCTAAAAAAACAATACGACGATTGTTTCAACAAATGGTACGCCAACAAGTTTCTCCAAGGGGACACGACACCCGCTTGCGAGGAGATCTTTCAGCTGTATAGGGCTTGTGTTTGGGTAAGTTGCACACCTCGTACTTCGTTTTTGATGTGGGGAGGTTGCTGGTTATGGCTTACTGATGTGATTTCTTCTGCAGAGGGCGATAAAAGAAAAGAACCTAGACCAACTGATAAGCGATGCACGGAAGGAGAAGCCGTTCAACGAAGCGCCGGATATGAGTGGGTCGTCGTCATAGCGTAGACGGTAGATACCAGTGAATGTACAGAACATTCGCAATGTGCTAGCCGACACCATCCAACCCCACACCCAATTTTGTAATGTAACATAGCAGACTCCACTCAATTCCAACCTCTTGAGCAACCATGTGGAATAGCTCTCGCGACATTGCCGCAAGTTTTGATTGGTCATTCGGCCACGATTCCAGCAAGTGCGAAGTGAGAGTGTGATAGATACATCTGAAGCACTTCTAAACAGTGAACGTAAACGGCAACCCATTGGTGCTATGCAGCACAACCTTCCGCTCGCCCACCCACTCAAACCGCACCCCGTCCATCACCGCCGTCGGGTCATTCAACGCTTTCTCTGTTCGGGTCGAAATCAGAAATCACAATCAGCTCAAACCCAATATCCCCTCACAAAATTCCGACCCCACTTACCATCAGGAGGCCCCAAACTAAAAGTCCTAAAACTCTTCATATGCCCCACACCCCCCACACTCGCCAACGCTGCAACCCCCGCCGCCCCGCCCGCACCGCCGCCAGTGGCCGTGGTCAGCGCGCCGACGAGGGTGCCGAGGAACCCGCCCGTGGGCTGCCAGAACCGGAGTGTGTTTTCGATTAGGGAGTAGGTGGCGATGAGCTTGCCGTCCGGGGAGAAGGAGACTGCTGTTATTGGTTTTGTGTGGCCCTGAGGGAGGTTCATAAAGGGTGTTTAGCTGACGCAGAATCACGGCGCGGAGGAACCTTTGGTGAAATGAATTTACATACCTCCATAATCTGCACCTTAGCAGCAATCCGCACATCATATACAACCCCCACACCTTCCATCGTGCCCACCGCGAGTCGTTGACTCGTATGATGGAACGCTACGTTAGGGAACCGTTTGACCAGTTCCGCAAAGATGACGGTGACGATATGTTGCAGGGCGTCGCGGATGTGCGGCTGGTTGGGGTCGAGGCATTTGACGATCGCTTCGACCATGCGGCCGAGGTGGGGGTAGAGGATAAGGGGTTTCTGAGCAAGAAATAGTCAGAGTGTATCAGTGAGAATGGTTGATGGATATGAAGCTAATCATAAATTCCCTCACCTTGGCAATGAACATCCCCAAAAGCCTCAGCGCCCCCGCTCTCTCCACAGCACTTTTCGAATGCATCAAATCAAACGACAAAGTGCTAATAAACAGCGCCGGATTACACGTCGCAATCTGCACAATCGCCTGCCGCGCCGCCGCCACCAACGGCGGATTCAGCGACGGTGTCGTAACAAGACTGGGCGTCGTCGGCGGAGCACCCGTAGGTGTCGCCCCACCATTCCCACTTGTATTCGCACCGCCACCGCCACCACTCAGCCCCGAAAACCCAATGAGCGTCCTCAACAACGCGGTCCCATTCACATGCACCTCCCAATCCGCCCACCCGGCTCCCAACAGCTCCACTGCGGCCGTGCGATACACATTCCGCGGCGAATCTTCCTTCAACAGCTGATCCAGCGATTCCGCCACGTCTTTGCAGACAGTGGGCGATAACGACTCCGGTTGGGTGGACCCGATTATGCCGAGGATGATGACGGCGCGGATGTTGAGTTTGCTGTAGTGCTTTGTGAGGGAGGGGAGGTGCGTGTGCCAGTAGGCTATTCCCGAGGCCTTTTCTTCGGGGGTCATGCGGAGGAGGGTGGAGTGGAAGATGGTGCGGGTGGTCGATTGGATTTCGGCTGCGGTTCGTGTTAGCGTATTTGGCTTGATTAGCGCGGAAAAACATCAAGCAGGAAAAGAGGGATCAGCAACTCACGTATAGGATCCTGCCAATACTTCGCTAAAAACGAAAACGACGGAAACGCATACTGGTTTCCGACCGTCGCCGGCAACGAGTCCCCATAGAACGCCATCAACGCGACCCACTCCTCCTCCAATCCGCGGCTCGTCAACAGCGCACGGAACGTCGCCATCGTGTTCAACAACCGCGCCGCGCTGATGGTCGGCGAGACACCCCATTCCATCACTGCGTCTTTCGTCGGGGCGATAAAGGATAGGTGCCCGTTGGCGCCGCGCATCCCGAAGGCGATGTTGCGCTTAGGCCGCGATAATCCAACCCGGACTTCAATCAGTTTGTCAAGATCCGTGCTGAGACCCCATGTATACAGCGCAGATAGGATGGCTTGCACGACCTCATTCTCCAACGCGCCTCTTGTCCCGTCCGCGTTGGAGTCCTGTGACCCTCGGTTGGCAGTCGCGGAGGTATCCGATTTCCGAGCCCCTCCGGCGATTGATGACGGGGACGGTGACCCCGGCCGACTCCTAAAGATATCCTTGAAGCCTTGCGAGAAATGGTGGAGGTTCTGCGATATCATATTCGGTGACCCCGTCCGATTCTGGTTGGCTGCACTATCTGGGTACAGCGCGGACGACGCGGTCCGCGAATGTGTTGGCGTTGCCCTATTCGTTAATGTCGCGGTTGTGGTCGTGGTCGACACAAACGACGGCGCGACCGAAAGCGGCGGTGTAGGTGGGGGCGTCATCGTCATCTTGCCCGTGGTTTCATTCACAACCCGTTTTGTATTGACCAAAAGCGCCAGTATACACGGGATGGCATCCTCGGCCGTGCTCACAGGGTACGCCGAGAAACTGCGCTTGATGTTCGCGTTCCTAAATGCCAGCTGCGGAAACCGACAATCCAGCGAACAATCCGAGCTGCCAATGACATCCAGCACGTCCGCCCCGTCGAGGGTTCGATCGAGATGGCCTGTTTTCAATTGCCAGACGTACGCGGTCCCATCGACGCATTCGACGATAACGATTTCGTCGATGATGCGCCAGTGGAGGGCGGTGACTGCGTCGGTGTGGCCAAAGAGGTGGGCGGTGCAGGTGAGGTTGTCCAAATCGATGAAGGCGAGGGAGTGGTCGCGGGCGACTGTGACGACTGAACACCGGGATCGCTGTTGTGCGTCAGCTGGAACGGGGAGGATGGATATTACCTCTTCGGCGTGGTTAAGGAAGGAGGCGAGGAGTTGACCGTCACTGAATGTCACAGATGGTGTGAATCGAGACATGTGGCATGGAAGTGGATCGCAAGACGCCTTACTCGAGATTCCAGATCTTAACGAAGCAATCCTGCGCAGCGCTCAACAACAGATTCCGTCCGCCACACTCTCGGGGACTAGGCACATACAGGTACGTCACAGGCCCCTTATGGCCTTCGAGAGAGACGGCGGGTTCGCTTTCGGAGGTATCTGACGTCTGAAAGAACTCCGCCATGGTCAGGAGGGAAATAGCTCCAGTGTCTGTTCGCAAATGTCGGTAAGAGAGCATTCTATCATCGGCGATAGCAGTTCGATGAGGGGATCACTCACCATAGCCAAGCGCCACATATTTGTGCAACGCGGACGTCAAGGCGGTCACGTTCTTTTGCGATGTGGCGTCTCCAGGCCACAGTGCACGCAAATCAATTTCTACACTCCAACTCGTCAATGTTCGTTCGCAGTGAAGAGCGCAAATCCAATTTCCGACTCGTCAATATACCTGCGGTTTGTTCACATGCACCGGTAGGCACTTGAGTGCTCTTCAGCTCCGACCCAACAAGACTCCCGAAAAACTGTTGGTACGTGATCTTGGCGGTCGAGTGAAAGCGGAGGAGTCTTTGATGCCCGACTGCCTTTCCGTGTGAATAAAACACATAAGGACTGCTATCCGGGTCGTCGATTGGGCTGTTCAGGACGGCAATCTCCGTGACGCTACACGTCCAGGTATCAGCATCGGGGTTTTCTGTTGCATGTAGCTAGACGTGGCCCATCTCTCACCTCACGCCACCTCTCGACGGTCCCGTCTCCATCTTCGCCACATAGTAAATCGTGCTCCCCTGCGCAAACAGGACGATTGCACCAGTCGGCACAGAAGACGCCTGCTCCGCTTTCAACACATCACTGGCGGCTCCGATGTAGAACACATGCGCGGAGCTGGACGTCCATAGCAAGAATGTCTTGGCCGATAGGAATGTCCCACCCTCCCATATCTTGCCTTCTTTGCAAGGGATCTCGGAGACGGCAGAGAGCGCGCCGTTCGCGGTCGAATATAGCTTTAGGGATTGCGTGAGTGATCATTCTGGTATTACTAAGAAGCACCTGCGAGGCAACCTACCTTACATTGCGCCCGCTGCTGAACCATGATGATACTCTTGTCAAAACGGTTGATGATGACACCAGACGGCCCGAAACTTCTTGTCTTTTCCAATGGGATTTTCGTCTCCGGTGTGGCTGTCAACGCCTGCCCATCGAAGATCGCCGTGCACACTTCACCGGAGAATGTCGTGCAGAAGATCCGATCTACGTACTTTGTATCTGCAGGGAGCCCTGTCAGGATTGGATTTGTGGGATGAATGCACGCAACCGTCTCGTTACCGGTCGGGTAGATGGCCATCGAGTGAATCCAGTCCGCATGTATGTCGATGTTCTTGGTGCTCTTCAAACAGAAGAATCAGGGCTGTCCCTCCCCAAGTAGCCATCCGAGAGGAGGCCTTACCACAAGTGATGCAGATTCCAGGACAGCCAGCTTCCTAGAATGTCCCGAACACAAGATCCACCGGCCAGAAGAGCTCATCTGCGGTAGGGAGGTGAATCAGACAACTTCTCACCGGGAGCCAAACATTAGCCTGATCAGTCTTTGATGAAGGGTATACGTACCTACCTTCATAGCAGTCATAACTCCACTGAACGCCTCCGGGTTCGCCTGCAAACAGCGGCCGTCGGTGATATCCCACATGACAACCTCGCCATCTTCGGACGCGGTGAGGATGATGTTTTCCTTCTTTGCCGCTCCTTCTACTTCGATCTTGGCGAGTGTTATCACGCATATCGAGCTTCTGTGGCCTGCTAGCAGGACTTTTGGGCGAAGCTGGAGTGCGGGAGCTCGCGTCAGTTTGGAGGAGACATTGCGATCAGGTCGCATGCGTGAAGGAGCGGAAGCCTCAAACCCTCCCGAAATGACGAGTCCTCACCATAAAGGGTTCCTCCTGGTCAGCCGCGAATATCCAGGCTACCCCACTCTCGAAGCCCGCCACTACGACACACCCATCTTCCGTCGCCGCTGCCGCTGTGACCACCGACGATGAGTCGAAAGGCGAGGAGAGCCAGCAGCCTAGTGGGGCTATCAGGGAGGTCATAAGCTACGGCGATATGAAGCGGCGTCTGTGCTGAATTGGGTTCTCTGTCCACAGATAGAGTTTCCAGCCGACGATGGGGTGCTGGCTTCGAAAGCCCTGAACTGAAAGCCTTCTCGAGTCCGTGGGAAAACGACGAAGACGTCTCGCGTTCGCAGTTCTTTCGCATGCATGACACAATCGCAAGCGGGTTCTCCACCAGCATCAGCTCCACCAGCTCCACCAGCGCTAACATACACACAGTATACCGCCCCAAACAGCAGACATACAGACAAAGATGGCCGCCAGCAGCACGAAGGATCTGGACCTCCTGGCCTACTCGCTCATATCACAGTTCCTCACACAACACAACCTCACAGACACCCTCGCAACTCTGCAAACGGAAGCTCCCGCAAGCATCTACGATGATCTGCAGAAACACAGGGTCCCCCATAAACCACTGACAGCCATCCTAGAAGAATACGACCTGCTGACCGCACAGGATCAGCTAGGCAGCTTATCCATCACACAGCAACGGCAGCAGGTCAAGCGGGATGACGATGAGCTGTTTGCGTTGGGCAGGGGACGGGTGCCGATCGAGCCGTCGAGGGTCTATGACACGATACACCTGGCGAACATCGTCGCTGCAGCAACTGTCACGCTCCCATCCAACCTTTTCCCTGCTGCAGAGTTGGCAGGCCCGAACGTGCCCGTACTCGTGACCGCTTCAACGGATAAAACCATCCGTGTGTCTCATAAAGACTCTGGCAAGCTGCTCGGGGTCCTAGACCACCAGAAAGCGGCGTGTCTGGCCTTGGACTTCTATCCTCCCGACAAACGCTTCCTGCTCACCGCGGGGATGAACGGCAGCCATCATGTGGCTGATCTGACGACGGAAGCGGTTGCGCAATCATTCAGCGATCACGCAAAGTATGTCGTCCGAGCATTATTCTCGCCGGACGGGGCATGGTTTGCTACGGGGTCGTATGATCGGTCTGTCAGCATCTACAAGCGGACAACTGACGCTGGGGTCATACCGCCAAAATTCGAAAAAGTCCACACGGCAGCCTTCCCCGGCGCCGTCGAGTCCCTCTGCTTCCTCCCCACCGCGACAGACCCGCCCACTCTCGTCATAGGCTCCCGCGACTCCAACTACCTCAACTACCTTACCCTCGACCCGTCGCGCGCCTATCCCACCACCCGTCACAACATGAACGCCAACGGCGACGACTGGATATCCTTCACAGCGATGGACCTCCGCCCTTCACCCACCGGCCACCACCTCGCTTGCTACACCGACTCCAAAGCCGGGCGGATCATCATCTTCCGCACCCACTCCACCATCCAGGCCCGCAACCTGTGGGGTGTTGTCGCGGACGGGTTCTCGCAGCCGCGGTGCTGCTGGGACTCCTCCGGGAGATTAGTGTTTGCGACGAGCGATGATATGAAAGTTTATGTGTTTGATGTGCCGAGTGGGCAGGTTGTGAAGAGGTTGGAGGGACATACTGGGGTTGTGAGGGGACTGGGGTATGATGGTGAAAGACAGCAGTTGGTGTCGTGCTCGTTTGATAGGACGGTGAGGGTGTGGGAGACGTCGGAGGATGGGGATGAGGGGAGCATTTCTCGGTGAAGTTTCCGCCTTTTCTTCATAGCTCATATTCGATTGCACAAGCTATAATCTCGCGATGCCACGGTACACCACCTTCTCGGTCAACGACCTCTGCGGTAGTAGGCTTCCGTGGAGGTATTGCAGTGTGAAGATACCTAATCTTAATACTCAAGATACCCAACTCTAGCTTCTTGTACGTTGGGAAGTTAGCCTCCGTATATAACTAAAGTCTGCTCAGTCGGCTGAGTAACCCTGGGTTGGAGCGCCTTGCTTTGCGTAGGGAGTTGGTTCATGGCGGTGTTTGACCCGGGTGGGCAGGGATTTCGTCACGCCGGGGGGGTTTCCTCACGCGTTTTGTCCATTCAGACCTTGTCTGTCTGAAACTTCGAGAGTCGTGAGCCATCGGAGGAATGTCAGGAAAGAAAAGCTTAACCTACATACGGTGACGAGTGGCTCGGCGGGCTGCCGCTGGGGCGCCTTGGATGCCAGAAATGGGACGGGCATTTCGGCGCCGCCTTCGGTGTACTAACTTTCCGAGCCCCATGCCTGCAAACATCTTGAAAGGCGACATCGAGAACTATAGATATCGAAAAGTTTGGAAAGCCCTCACTGAAAGCCCCTCGCCATGCCGGAATATGATCCCCAGGAGGAACAGCTGATACGCAAGCTGGACAAGAAATTGATACCGCTATTGGCCCTGCTATATCTTGCGTCACTGGTGGTAAGTCGCGGTCGCTAGCTAGGTTTAGGTGTTGAACGGGCTGGCGCGGGCCTTCTCGTTGAGAACGAGCCATGATGATGGGCGTCCGGACCGTATAGCTCGTTAGGCCGTCTTGCCAGCCACTTGCTTTATTGACTTTTGCGCTAATGCATACCTTGGCAACCTCACAGGACCGCGGCACCCTCTTCCACGCCCGAGTAACAAACCATGCAACCGCATCCGGACTAAAGCACGACCTGGGCGTCAGCGACGACGCATACGTAGTGGCACTAGTCGTGTATGGCATCGCATCCGTGCTCCTCGTGTTTCCCTCCACGTTCGGTCTGAGGATGTTTGGCCCCGCGAGGTGGCTGGCAGGCATTGTTGCGGGATGGGGGTTTCTTGCGGCTTGTTCGGCGGCTACGTCTACGTTGGCGGGATGGGTTGTTGTGCAGATTTTGATGGGGGCGTTGCAGGCTGGGTGAGTTGAGTTTTAGAATTCATCTTGGAATGAAGATGGCGCCTGATAAGGTGGACTACGCTGACTTTCCTTTTCTGTGTCGTTCCTTTTGCCAGGTTTCTACCCGGGATACTACTCTATATCCTGTCGTTCTACACGCGGGAGGAATGGGCATCTAGGATGTCGTGGGTTGTCTCATCGGGGACGGTCGCCACCTCGTTCTTCGGTATCTTTGTCGATTGGGGATCACAGTTTGATGGGGCGAAGGGGTTGCAGACATGGAAATGGTTAGTTGTTTCGCATCTCAGACTCCATTCGGGTAATTTATCAGTCTTGCTCAAATGCTCTCTTTTAGGATGTTCGTGTGCAGTGGATTATTTAGTATAGTCATAGGAGCAGTGACGGTCATGTTCCTTCCCGATTATCCACAAACGTGCGCGTTTCTGACTCCAGCAGATAGAGTCTTAGCAGTAGCTAGAGGGCACGATGGATCGGAAGGCGGAGTTCACGAGTCTGAAGAAGAGGAGACTCAACGGCGAAAGTCAGTCACGCCAAGGCTGAAAGGTCCACGCGTGCGATTCGATTCAGGGCAGCTGATCGAAGCGCTAACCGACAAACGAAACTGGCTTTTCGCCTTCGCTTTTTGCTTCATCTCCGTCGCCATGGACGCGCTCATTTCTGTGGGACCGGAAGTCACAGCTACGTCTTTCTCCTTGACCACCCAGTTCCTGGAAACCCACGAGAAGGACCCAAACGCCGTAGAGAACGCCATCGAAGCGGCAGACGGAACTCGCCAGGCCCGCATTTTTGCCGCCATCCCCTACCTGATCGGCGGCATCGTCGCCCCCATCTTCTCCTGGAACTCCGACCGCACCGGCGATCGCGCCCTCCACGCAACCCTCCCACTCATGGCCTCCTCGCTAGGGTTCGCGCTACTGGCCTTCGTGCCCGTAACGCTCGCGCACGCCGGGCCAGTGCGCTACTTCCTCGGCTTGCTCCCCGCCACCGCCGGCGTCGTCGCCGCGTACCCATGCTTGCTCGCTTACGCCCTCGATAAAGCGCAGGGTGACACCAGCCGCGTTGCCGTCGCCGCTATCACCTTCTCCATCGGACAGGCATTTAGCCCAGCCATCTCATCGCCAGGCTCCGTCCTCCTCCGCGATTCAACAGCTCCGACAGGCCACGCGGTCGGTCTTGGCGTCTGCGCATGCGGCGTCGCCCTTTCCGCTGCCAGCGTCCTGCTCATCCGATGGCTGTACCGCGGTGACGAAACCCAGATGTGGGGTAAAGGCCCCGCGCTGCGCCGTCTGCTCAATGATGAGGATGAGGATAAAGCGTGGGGAGTCGAGTTGAGCCAGGCGGACATGTTCGGGTCCATTAGTGGCAAGGGAAAGAAGCCGCGCAAGGCGTCCGGGTTTTGGTCTGATAGGCGCGACTCCAATGCGGGGAGTGATTGGGATTTGAAGGAGTATGCGTCGACGAAGTAGTAGGTTGGATATGTAGTAGCCGTTGGGGGGACCTCGGAAGGATGGACTGTGCGGCATTTTGGGGCTTGTAACGTAATTTTAGACATTTGATGAGTTGCGAGGTATTGCATAATATAACGACTTGCGTCGCTTTTAAACTTGAAGCACCGCAGTAAAGTGATGCTGGGACGCACACGGATTATCCGGGGTGTGAGTAAGATCCATTCGAAAGCCCACATAAATACAGAAACCTTTTACCAAAATTGAAAGGATTGCGTCATGTCCATGTCCATCGCACAACACTGCCCTTTCCGCAAACCCATTCCTCAACCCCCTCCAAAAAGAATGCCAGTCACTCGCTTACACCGGGTGAATTCAGTCTCCTTGCTCACAGCTAGTCATACGGCACTGCTTTCTGCGATATGCCCAACTCCGGATCCACCATCGCCTTCGCGGCCGCCCCGCCATCCCCCGCCGTCAACATCCCCGCAAACTTGATATACACAGCCCCCGCAACGGCAATCCACATCGCATTCCCGATAACAACCCACCCAACCGCAATCTTCACCGCAAAGATATTCATCACAACCATCGCAGCGCAAAACACGATCCGGTAACATCCAAATGCCGCGGCTGTCGTGTCGGCCGTGTACGCGTTCGTGATGGCGAGATTGACCATGGTGTTGAGGGTCGCGTCGACGTGGCCGAGGGCGGCACTGACGGCGAGGAAGGCGGCGATGGGTTGCGGGTCGGCGAACTCGGAGGGGAGGATGGAGAGGAGGCCGAGGTAGCCGCCGAGACCGGTGAGGAGGAAGGAGCGGACGAGGGGGGTTTGGCCGTAGCGGTCGTAAATGAGGCCGTTGAGGTAGGAGAACAGGCATTGGGTGAAGCCTGAAGGAGAACAATGGTGTTAAAATCTGAAAGAAAAGTTGCCATTCCTTTTGGCCGACGACGGCCACCATTCTCTACACCACGCGTAACGTCGGAGGAACATGCATGCGGATGTACGGCTTATACCCTCGCGTCGACCCCGAAGCCACGCCCAGCATGTACTGTACACTCCAAACGCGTACTCATCGCCACTCACCATAGCACAGAAAACATTTCGAAACAGCAGCCTGCCCCGACCCAGCCGGCAGCGTCTCCGTCAACCTCCCAAACATCAACGCCAAGTTACACCCCTGGATCCAAATACTCGGCGCAACAACCGCGCTCTTCGGCATCCGCATCACGCGCCACACGGCCTTCACATTCTCTCGCAGCGACGATGGGGCTGAGGACGTCGTTAGCGATGTGGGGACAGCGGCCATGGGCGCGGCAAAGAAGAGCATCAGGGCGCCGAGCGAGACGACGATCAGCATGGCCCAGATCATGGTTGAGAGCGAGAGACCGACTTCAAGGAGGATGAGGGCGAGGATGTTGCCGAGGACTCCGTTGGCGTTGCAGATTGTGAAGAAGAGCCCTGTGAAGTAGCCTGGAAAATACAGGAGATGGTGGTCAGAACGGTGGACGCTGCTGTAAATGTGCGCGGTAGCGACGTACCGGTCAATGTGCCGCCGGCATGCCCGCAAAGCCTACTCAACCATAACCCTTGGTTGATCCATAGAGTTCCTGAGCCAATGCCGACTAACGCAGCGGCAACTAACACTAGCGCCTCCTAATTCACAAAGAAACGAGGCATCAGCTTCAACCGTACAGTCTCCCGCAATGTGTTTTCGCATCTTTATCCTCCAAACTCTCCCATCAATCGTCACTCACCACCCGCGTGTTCAAGCTCGCAACAAACGCCACAAACGCGATGGACGCAACGCACATGGCCCCTTTTGGTCCCAACGCATCGCCGACGCTCGACGCTGTCAGGGATCCCAGTGCAAAGAACAGGTAGATGACCCCCAGGACGTACGTGCCTATGTCCGGATACAGCACTGTGATATATGATTGGCCGACATTGCTGAGTTTCCCGGAGGAAAAGATAAGAATGTTGGAATAAGTGCCTTAGTAACGTCGGGCCACCCATACAGAAGAGACTACTCACAACGCAACAAAGATGAAACAGAAAGCAACGCCCAAATACGCCGTGTTCAAGGTATACCCCCTCACATCGCCATGCAAGCGCCCTGCCTCCGCGTCGCCCTTGTACAGATCCACATCGTGGAGACTTTGGCCGCGCGATCCACCAAACTCGCGCGGAAGGGTTCCATGGGAGTCGTAGGCACCGGGCGATGGCAGTGGCTGTAGCGCTGCTCGCGATTGTCGCCGGGATAGCGAGGTTAGGCTTGGCTGGCGAGGCGCGGTGTTGACGAAGTCTTCGGCGTTGGGGATGAGGGAGGCTGTGGACATGGCTGGTGGGGCTGGTGGATGTTTGGGTCGGTTGCCGGTGGGTACAAGTGTGGGTGCGCTTTGTGGGATGAAATGTACACTGTGTTCACAGCCGGTCAAGTTGAGTGGGGCTTCTGATCGCTCGACGCCAGCAGCGATACTTCACGCCTGCAGCCGAGAGCAAAGATAATATTTGCGAGCGGTATACACTAGTAAGTTCCTTTCATTTGAACCCAACTCCCAAGCTAGCATCGGCAAAGCTAGCACCGGCAGAACGCGTCATATGTTTGCACCTCGAGAAAGAACATGAAATGCAAGGGGAAAAACCTTCGACGTGTTTGCCCCCACGCGTCAAGTAATGGCCAGAGTCGAATTCGACAGCGCGTTATCTGTGCCAAGAACTCCGCCATACCGCTGCATCTCGCTCCTGCTAGCGTGTGGTAGAGAAGGGGGTCGGCGTTAATGGATGCAGCCGTGGAAAAGTACGGTGAGGACAAAGAAGGGAGGAGGAAAGGAAAGGAAAGGGATAAATATGTACGGCCATATCTTGAGGAGCGGTCTGGCGAACGTGTGTTTGGGGATGGTGGGATGCAGGCGGCGCCGGGTCTCGATCTCGGCCCGCGTGATGAATAAGTTGAGGGATTCACGTTCTCAGGAGTTATAGATGGTAACGGCTATGTCTATATCACCTGCAGGTGCAGCCTGGCGGCTCGGGAGTATTTTCCTTTCGGCCAATGGATGTTGGAACAAGAGTAAACGACCTACTATAAAGACACATCAGATCATCCATCCGTGCCACTCCGCACTTCTGTCGCTGCGTCATGAATCCGCTCACACTTCACTTTTCGGCTTGGAACCCGCGACTCTTGTCCTCCACTTTTGTATAACATCCGTGAGACCCCCATTTCCAAGCGACAGTGTACCCTCCGTCGCCATCTCCTCTTCGAAAGTCAAGCTCTTCCCCCGCACTCTTGTCGAGCGCCGTCTCTCGCGATTGCCCTTCTCATCATCCATTATCCGCACTCCTCCGCTTCACGCGTGCGTGGTCACCCTCCTCATCAACATTATCAACATCCATCCTCGCAAAGACCACCTCCTCATCAGAACTCAACGGATCCACGATGAGTGAGCGAACAGCGTGGGAGTGCGCGACCGTTGTCTGCGATGAGGCGGGGGTGTGGGCGTCGACGGGGTGGGGGAGTCGGTAGATGGAAAGGATGGTAGGCTAGGGAGAGGGACAATTGTTCTCGAATGATGTGGCGTCTTGATAAGTTAGGACTGGGGTTGGATAAAAGTCCGAGTCGGAGTCGGTTGGGTGGGGTGGGAGGGTAGCCGCACCGTGGGTATAGGTGGGTATAGGCGGTGTGCCTGTCTGCGTAGAAGCACCGGCGTTCTAGCTGGAGGATGGGTATCCGACGACCATTGGCATCACTCGCCTTTCAGTGGTATCCGTTTCCCACTTCCTATGGGCCCGCGGAGATCACCCCGATGGGCGTGAGCGGTACTGAACACTTGAAGCACAATCTGGGTGAGAACAAAGCTGTCCGACACCTCGAACTCCGTACCAAACAGGCCTTTTCGGCGACGGATCTGCGGAATGTTGGACGGTTGCTCAAGGATAACAAGGTGCTCGAGTCGCTTACTCTTAAAGCGGACGATCATTTGTCCACAGTCGACTGCAGAGTCATCGAAAAGTTTGCCGCAGGCCTGAAGGCCGCCAGCAAACTCGAACATCTCGACATGCATGTGCAATTCCCGGATGACGTTGCGAAACATCATGTCATCAGATCGTTCCTGTGGAAGGATGGCAAAGCCGATCGCGCATGTCACAAGCTCCTGCATCTAAGACTGGACGGCACGCTCGGACTCGCGACATACATCACCGCGCTCCGGGAAATCGATAAACGCGCCCAGCATCACTTTTTCGGAATGTCACTGAAGGACCAGCTAGATATCACGCGACCAGCTCATCTCCCCAAAAGCTTGTTCCATTTGAACTCGGGTCCAGACGTTTTGGCGAAGCACCTGCGCGACGCGTGCAAACTGCGCCATGAAGCAGAATTCCCGGATTGCGTTTACTGCTCGTAGAACATGCCCGTAGAATATTCGTCAGCTTAGCTATAGATCAAACTAGAGAGAGACCTCATAGTCGGCGTACTGACCTGGTATCCATCCCCTTGTACGTATTTGATGTCCTGTTAGACCTCTTGGAACGCAGCTAGAGTGCCATCTTTATCATATCCAGCTTGCGCTTGATACACTTATGTTGCTGCGGGATCCCGTAATCCCCGAGACGAAGAGCGCATGCTGCACTAGACCTTGTGTAGCGGGACCGGCCCAAAGATGAAGAGGGGTTGTCTTTGGACTGTGTTCGTTTCCATGCGAGTCCCTGCCCGTTACGGCAGTTCATCAGCCTTGCTCAGATTCCCAAGGAAAGTACCGACATTGGAGATCGGGAGCTGCCGGTGACCTGATCCTGTAGCTGTGGTAGACCTCAACGAAAGATTCCGTGGTAGCGACAATGTCTTCAACAACCCATTCTGGTTGACCGCGGACCTCGATAGGTTCAGGAGGTTCGTCTACGTCTCGTGGTGAATATTCATCTTTGCGATGTGGTCGTAGAATGTCGACAAGAAAGACAGGCCAGATGCGGCTGATCTTAAGTGTTCGGTGTGATGGGAAGTGTGGGCTCTCTGTTAACTTTCTGAAAAGCCTTTATGTTTCTCTTCCGTTAGCTGTACCCTCCCAAACACCACCCTCAACGACCCTCCTCTCCCCAACCACACCCTGGACTAAAATGTGATCATTACGATTTTCTCTTCGAAGGTACAGTACTTTGGATTGGGTATTTCGACTGGGGCAATGCGCGCTGTCAAATACTGGCAAACGCTGTGATCCATCTCCTCTGAAAGCGGGGCTCGTTACTACATAGCCTTCTTAGATCCACAGGTTTTGCAAACGTTTTCTGTTCGTAAGATCCTGCTTCCAGATCCACAGCGTCGCACCGTCTTCTTTCTTTCGGGGAAATCCACTGCCAACAAGCCAAGTCCCCAAGATCTTCTCGCAATTGCAAACCTGATTCTGCCCTGTCTTGCATTCGCAGTCTTTCTGGTGCTCTTGGGGGTGCAGCGCGGCTGTTTTGGTGTTCCAACCTCCCGAATCTCCAAATGGCATTCTGATGAAACACATTCCGGACAGCACATCCTACGCGACGATGTGGGCCATAGATTGTGTATGTCGGTAGCGAGTACTGCACTGTGCTAAGGGTTGTGACGGTCCAGTTGGGTGAGGCAAACTTTATCACATTATAACATGCTGGGAAGGTGCTATACATCCTTTTCAAGGCACGGACACAGCGAAGTCAGGGACGTAGGCCCGCACCATACTCCGCCTGATCTGTGGACTACATCAGACTCTGACCCAGCATCGAATCAGGTTCCAGCCCAGACTTGAGAATAGCAAGGAGCGAGAAAAGGCAACATGATCCAGAGCAGAAACTTACAGCTCTATGAAAGAGGATGCTGCTATCAATCTGAAGAGTAGCGCAATCCTGGAAATTATGCCTCATTTAAATGCGCTTGCCGCATATGTATCTCGTTCTTATATAGGGCTGTAAAACAAAAGCTTCAATCCAGGTTGACGGCGACAAAAAGCTCTGGCCCCGGAGCAGAACGGAGCGAATCTTATGGAGGGCTCAGTTCCCGGGCCGAACGCGTTCCTGAGTCGTTCCTGTGTAACTATTCTGGAACGGCGCGCGCGCAGCCATGAGATTCACCCCAGCGGTGGCTTCCCAAGTGCAACTTCCAAGTGCAAGCCAAGCTTCATCAATTTCAACAACAGAGGCCCTTCCGCCAAGCATTCGGCAGATCATCAGTTCACCGCCTTGCAACCCCAGGCAGCCCGCCGCACCACCGCCATAGAGGCAACACTCTCCCTCCTCCTTCTCCCCCAGCCCGTTCCTCCTCCAGCTCCCTCCCTCTCCCTCTCCGACCACCATACAAAGATGCTGAACAGACCACATGACGACGAGTATGGCATATCCATAGACGACGACGACGATGATATCTTGTCTCCTCCATCAAGGCACAGCGCTACCGAAAGGAAGTCTGAAAAGAAAACATCGAATGGAGGAAGGAGTTATAGGAGTGTTTTCAACCTCGAAGACGAGTATACCGACGAGGGGGTGACTAAGAGGATGATGGGTTTCGGGAGGAATACCGCGAGGTCAATTGTAAGTAGCGGAGCGATAGCGAACAATTACGCGCGAACGAAGTGAGCTCAACTGGGTCGTAGCCCGAGCGAAGTGATGAGAATCTGAGCGACAGCGAGCTCAATTGCACCGGAATCTGAGCGGAGCGAGGCGCAAGGATGCTTGAGGACTGGGCTACGCCCAGGAATGCTCCAGAGCCGAGAGAAGCGAGGAGAATGCGAGCGATAGCTAGCCCAATTACGCCGGAGTCCGAGCAAAGCGAGGCACAAGGATGCTTGACGATGGGGTCGTAGGCCCAGGAATGGTCGAGGGTGCCGAGCGGAACGAGCAGGGTATCGTTCAACCAACCAACCATCCAACCAACCATCGCTTCGCCCATCCACAACGCTCATCCACAACGCGTGGTCAGTAACGGAGTCTAACCAAAACGTTCCTTCCTGATTTACAGACCAGCGGCCGGGGGATAATTGGGATATTATTCGGAATTCTGATCTTGATTACGTTACTGGCATACGTCGTCGGCCCACTGGCCATGACGTTCTGGAACCTGCAATCGGCACCATCGCCACCTTCACCGCACACGCAAAAGCCCGCTCATCTCGAACTGAACCACACAAAATTAGCGTTACTGGTCGAACAACGAGCGCTCATGAACATGGCCCCCATCCTCCTACACTACATGGCAACAGTCCCCGACGACTGGCCATTCCACGTGATGCACACAGCCGCCAACGCACACATCTTCCAAGAAAGCTACGCGCTCCGAAAGTACGTTAAAACCGGCAAATTGAACCTAACCCTCATGCCCGCGCACATCATCCTCCGCAATGCGCCGGACGTCTCGGCCTTCCTCACAAAAACATGGCTCTGGGACCAGTTCCCAGCCGCCGAACACATTTTCTTCTTCCAACTCGACGCCATGATCTGCTCCAACTCCCCACAAACCATCGACGACTACATTCAGTTCGACTGGGTCGGCGCCCCTTGGCCGCATTTCCCGCACCTGCGCGGCGGGAACGGCGGGTTCTCGATGCGAAGGAAATCCCGCATGCTGAGGTGCCTGAGGGACCGGAAGTGGAATCCGGGGGATCAGCCGGAGGATGTGTGGTTTACGGAGTGCATGCAGTCATACCCGGACGCGCATATGCCGACGCTGGAGCAAGGGAGGGCGTGGGCGGTGGAGGGGTACGATAATCCGGGGTATTTGGGGATACACAAGCCGTACAATGGGGTCAATGTGACGAGTCACTTTGGATTTTGCCCCGAGGCTGCTATGCTCTTTATTCCATGAGGTGGATCGAGGCAACGCTGGCGGAGGGACATCGGAGAGGCCGACCACTCGAAAGTACCACTCGAAACACCACGCGAATCGAAAACAGGAAAGATCTCGATCCGGACTGCATACCATTGCGAGTCCTCGACTTACAGACACTTGATATTGGAACGAAGGGAGGGACATGCCGGCCCTGGGGCGTTTCGAGCTGGGTATTAGATCTTAGAGAGCGTTGTGTGTCGAACTTCTTTCTTGGACTCTTGACTTTGCCTTGTCACGGAACCGCGAATTCGCGGTCACGTGGCGAACATATTAGAAACTTGGTAATTTAACACGAGTGCTTTCATACTCCCCAGCGTTTTTCTGTCGACCATTTGTCGTTCACCAACACACACATATCCACAATGGCGAACAAAAAGTCGGTGAACAAACGAGGCCAAAAGCCCTCAGGAGGGGGCAACAGCGGCAACGGGCCCAAGAAACTAAAAAAAGACCCCGGAATCCCCTCCCTCCTCCCTTTCAAAGACAAACTCCTCCGACAAGCCGAAGCCACCAAAAAAAAAGCCGCCGAAGAAAAACTCCGCCAACAGAACGATCGCAAGACCCTCCAATCCAAAAACCGGCCTCTCACCAATGCCACTGATCTCGCCACCCTCGCCCAGGACGCCGCTTCCCGCTCGCACACCTTTGATGCCTCCCAACCCGCATTAGAAGACAGTTTCTCATTGGGAACAGCCGTGGATGCCGCTGCGGCGGGTCTGAAGGATAATTCGCGCAAAGCGTATTACAGGGAGTTTAAGAAGGTTGTGGAGAATGCGGATGTGATTTTGGAGGTGCTTGATGCGAGGGATCCGTTGGGGTGCAGGACGAGGCAGATCGAGGAGATGGTGTTGAATGCGGGGAGTGATAAGAGGGTTATCTTGATTTTGAATAAGATTGGTGAGTTGGGGATGTCGGGTTCAGCGGGGCCGCTCCGGGATGTGGTAACTTATGTTTGGTTGTTCAGATCTGGTCCCGAGGGAGATAGTAGAACAATGGCTCAAGTACCTCCGCAACGAATTCCCAACCATCGCATTCAAAGCCTCCACGCAGAATCAACGCACCAACCTAGGCCACTCGACCATCTCCGTCGACATAGCGTCCGACCGTCTCCTTAGCACCTCCGAATGTCTAGGCGCCGACAATTTAATGAAGCTGCTCAAAAACTATTGCCGGAATGCAAATATCAAGACCGCCATCACCGTCGGCGTCATCGGGTTTCCCAACGTCGGCAAATCGTCTGTTATCAACTCCTTAAAACGGAGTAAAGTGTGTAATGTCGGATCCGCACCGGGTGTAACTAAAGTGGCGCAGACGATTCAGCTGGATAAGGGGATCAAGCTACTCGACTGCCCCGGGATCGTGTTCAGTCAGAGCTCCCGCGCGGGCGATGAGGCCGAGGTGCTGTTGAGGAATTGTGTGAAGGTGGAGCTGTTGGATGATCCGGTGTCGCCGGTGGAGGTCATTGTGGGGAGGTGTGATGCGGGGCAGTTGATGAAGATATATGGGGTGGGGGCGTTTGGGGATACGAGGGACTTTTTGGTGCAGGTTGCGAGGGTTAGGGGGAAGCTGAGAAAGGTAAGCAACTTGAACTCTAGCTCCTGGTTTCGTGCGGATTTTCGTGGGAGCGTTTTTCCATCGCTCTCTACTCGCCCGCTCGCTCTACCTTGCTGTGATGAGAACATGCAGTGTGATCCGCGGGGTTACGCGGCGTGTGATTTCCACTTATTTAAGTCTCTGAGCATTCACGGAGGGCGATCTGGAAAGAGGAGGGGGAAAGGAAAACGCATTCTCATCCCGTTTTCCACGACGCCAAACTCACCCACTCCTCCCTCTTTTCCCACCCAGGGCGGCATCCCCGACATCGAATCCGCAGCCCGCTCCATCCTACAAGACTGGAACTCCGGCCGCATCCCCTTCTACACCATCCCGCCGCAAGCCGGCCTCCCCGTCGCATCCCACGTCTCCGCCGCCATCGTCGAGTCCTGGTCCCGCGAATTCGAACTGCCGGATGTCGTCGAGACAGAGGGCAAGGATTTGGCTAGCGCTGCGTTTGCGGAACGGGAGGAGGATGCGATGGTTGTTGAGGGTGTGGTGTATGATGTGGGTGGGGAGGAGCAGGGGGATATGATGGATGTCGTGAATACTTCGACCACGCAACAAAGTAGTCTCGGACCTATCAAACCCGAAATCCGCTTCCGACCGACACCCTCCGCCTCCGCCTCCACAACTACGCCGATGCCACAACCCCTGCCAACAACCCCCCTAACCCAAGAAGAAGCCGACCTCAACCCGCGCGCCAACCGGGACCTCAAAAAGCAGCAAAAGCTGAAAAAGAAGATGGACCGTAAAGCATTGCGTGCCGAGGCAGCAAATCAGGACGGGATGATGGATGAGGCTCTGGGCGGCTCTGGAGGTGCGGGAGGCGCGCCCGGTGTGGATGAGGTGTTTGGCGTCGCGAGACAGTTTGCGATGACGAGTTTGCCGGGGGGCGATAGTGATGATGATGAATGATGAATGATGGAGTAGAGAGGTTATTTTTGTATGTAGAATTTTTGTAGAGCTTGTTGCAAAGTTTTTGCGTGTCTTTTGACTGAATGAATGCGAGCGAGCGAGCGTGTTCTCCTGTTCTGACTCGCCCTCTCGCTGACCGCAATGGTGATGTCACTGAGGCTCGCTGAAATCCTCCCTCTCTCTAAACCAACGGCGCAAAGCCCCATTCACCCAACAACAACAAGCAACGAGAATACAGTGTAGCGGATGGCCTCAGCGTCCGCTCTCCTTCGCAACAGCTTCCACCCATCTCCTACAAGATATCCACTCCCTGCTGCCGCTGCCCGGTCGTTGGCAGCTCCCTTATCACTGGCTGCTCGGTCAAAATCACACCTCATTCCAACACATACACATCGTCTCGCACTTACTCAGAGAACACCGTCCCTTAACCCTCGTACTCTCCTCAAGTCCCGCCACCACCATCACACAATGACCCAGTCCATCCCCAACCCAGCAGAGTCGGGCCTCGCAAACGTTGCGAACTTTAGAGACGTCGGCGCGAATTATAACAGGGATATCGCGGGGTTGTATGTGGAAATGTCATTTGGGGAGAGGGTTGAAGGTTGCAAGGTTGGGTGGTGATTGATTTTGTGGTTTTCTGCTTTCGGTTTAGGGGACATTCAGAATTGCCCGCGTTGAAGGAGGGAAATTTGTTTAGGTCTGCTAGGTTGGGTGAGTGTTGATGCGGCGGGAGATGGGGAAGGACGGTGGGCGACTGGAGCGAGCGATAGCGAGGAGAACTGGACTGTCAGGCACACAGGCGGTGCTTAAGGGGTCCGACCGCCAGAGGCGCAAGAATGCTTGAGGATGGCAGCGTCAGTGAGCCGAGGTCGTCTCGCGGTGGAGGCAGCGAGCTCAAGCCGATCGCATCAAATCAACATGCCTCGCGCTTTATGCTCTCCCATCCGCAACATCACACTCACACCCAAACCTCCTCCCTCACCTCATCACAGACGACGCAACAGCCGCCGACGTAGAAGTCCTCAAAAGCAAATACGGCATCAAAACAGTCATCGACCTCCGCTCCGACCTCGAACGCCGCGAATGCGAGCACGTCGCCTCCACGTTCCTCTTCCCCGCCATTGAGCAAGAAGTCAACGAAGAGCTCTACCCAGTAGGCCCCAACCCGCTCCCACCGCCGGGATTCATCGAAGCCGGCTCCGAGGAAGAAAAAGAACTCCAACGCCGCGCCTCCCTCTCCTCCACTCGATCCAAAGACAGTTTCCGCCGCCGAACGCGCCACACGATCGAATTCGCCGGCCCCAAATTCCGCAAACAAGGCGTATGGAAACCGCTCTCACTGTGGCAAAAAACGAAAGTGGTTGCCCTCATCGCCGCGGGTCAGAAACCCCGCGCCGTGCAGATGATCGGCGAGGAGGTCATTGCGCCCCAGGGGTTGATCGGGCTGTACAAGAATTTCATCGACTACTGCTCGGACGAGATCGCGCAGGCGCTAAAATTGCTCGCCGACGCGGATAACTACCCCGTGCTCGTCCACTGCACACAGGGTAAAGACCGCACGGGGATCGTCACCGCCATGGCTCTGTCTTGCGCGGGCGTTCCCCTGGAGCAGATTGTGACTGATTTTCATAGATCGCAGGCCGGGTTGGATAGTCAGAGGGAGGTGATGGTGAGGGAGATGGCGAAGACGGGACTGGCGCCGGTTTTCTCGGATGCGCCGGCGGAGGTGTTGAGGGAAACGTTTGGGTATGTGGCGGAGAAGTATGGGGGGGTGGAGCGGTATTTGGATAAGGCGGGCGTGGGGAAGGAGGTGAGGGAGAGGTTGAGGAGGAATTTGGTGGCGGCTTAGACGACGACGTATGGAGCCGTGCTCGCAAGACAGGGCGTTAGCCCTCAGCACCCGTAGTAACCCGCGACAGGGGATGCTTCCGTACGTAGCGATAGGAAGGAATGGGGCGTCTGCATTCGGCGGTGATTACGACGGGGACACACTTCCATCAGGTCAAGGCTTTGGAATCCATAGCGCTTTGACGGACAGTTTCTTTTTCTTTGTTCGACACGTTGTATGCAATTCCCAAGTTTTCCATTTTCCATCGTACATATTGCACATACATACATCCGACCTGCCTCTATACACGTTTGTGAATTGTCGGATTCTTTCTATATACAGCCCTCATTGCTTGCACTGATCTCTCCCTTTGTGGTATAGTGTGATACGGGTATTGTCTGATTCTACGGAGAGAACTGAATCCGGTATGCGTGCTCATGCCATCTTTGATTTTGCTACTCCGGCCCTTCCGTTTCGTCCTGCGATGTTCGGTGAAGTGCATCTTCGGACTTTTGTTTCCGTGTAGTATCCCCGTCCGAGGTTTTGGGCATCCCGTGCTTGCGGATGCATGTCTGTTGCGAGGCGGCGCACCTTCCTCCATTTACCCTTCTTTCGCCCTCCCCCTCCGCGTACTTCCCCACCCCCAGCGCTCATCGACATCCCCTCACGAAAAGCAATGTTCCGCTGTCCTCTCTGCCCATCCACTCTCACTCCCCGATAGAAGAATGGAACAACCTCAAAATCCGCCGGGACGTAACAAGGTGCTGCCACCGCTCCTTATCCGCTTCCGATACCCTGCGCAAACCCAGAAAGTGAGCCACGGTGGACATTTCGGACGCAGGAATGTAGCTGTGCACTCTCACCGTTGCTGGTGCGTCGCGAGATAGGTGTCAAGGTCCATTTGCGATGCGACGTGGTAGTGGACGGTGAAGTATGCCTAGAATAACATATCTGACGTGATGAGACAGAGTTCCCACTGGGCTTTTCCCAAGACAGGAACGAACGCGGGCAAATCTCACCTTCGCACCACCCTCCTCACTCAACCAGTGCAACCCAACCGGTTTCGGCTGCGTGAAGATCTGCACGCCCGTAAATCCTACATGAATCACCCAATCCCAACATCAGTCCTCCGCGTGGTCCATATTCCAAATTTTCCCCCCGAAGCTCCTCACCATGAACCTCACTACATATCCCCCTAGTAAACTCTGTCAAATAGTCAGCGTAACCTGTGGCGAGCGCGGCGGGGACTGAGAGGTTGACTTCGTAGATTATGGGGGAGGTTGAGGATGTTGATGTGCGCCGGAGGAGGGGTGTGGGAGGGGATGGGGATGTTGATAGTTGGGCGGACATTTTGTCGGTGGGGTGGCGGAGATGTCGTTGCTGTCGTTGGGGGTGGGAATGGAGGTGTGAAGAGAGGAGCGTCCTGTGGTTGAAGCTGGCCGAGTGGCGCAGTGCACCTTCCCAAAGGCCCCAAGGGCAACCCTCATATTACCCAAACGATCTGCCCTCCTGCCAGAATACACTTGCCCCTCAAATACCTATTTCATACGTCGCATACTCCTGTCTGGCATTTCAGCGCCACATCTTGCTTCCTTTTTCGAATTTTTTACAAAATTTCAGTTTCGATTGACCTCAGTTTTAAAAGTGTTTCACACTCTAATTGGCACAAACACGGGAGGGCAAGATGGACGACCAGGAAGAGCGACAAATGCAAGTGGACGAGCCACGAAATGGTGATGAGAGAGAACCGCCTTCAAGCGAGGTACTGTTTGTCGTTCTGGCGTAGACGATAGAAATCGATGTTGACGAGCAATTAAATAGGCCGATCATGAGGGAGAGGGCTCCGGTGATGACACGGCGCGGCCTTCAGCGGGTCGAGTAGGGGTATGTGGTGCAGAGTTGTCGAACCGCTGTGGACATATTGGGAGACTGCCTTCTTACATCACAGTGTATGGGCAGATGTACAGCGATGACGACGAATCCGAAGAAACCGAGGATGACGAAATGACCGAAGCCGACAAACAATTCATCGTCTCCGACGCCGACGAAGAAGAAGGCGGCGCGGAAGTCTCCGACGACGCCGAAGGCAACTCCTCCTCCCAAAAACGCCGCAAAAAGCGCAAACGACGAAAGCGCGCGCCCTCCGACTCCGAAAGCGATCTAGACGAAGACGACCTCGATCTCGTCAACGAGAACAGCGGCGGTGGCGGGCGGCAGTTCAAACGATTGCGACGGAAGGGGGATGACGATGAGCTGGCGAAGATATTTGAGGATGAGGAGGAGGCCCCTGTAAGGGCTGTGGATTATGATGATGATGATGGGATGGAGGACTTCATCATTGATGATGAGGAGGGGGAGGTTCCCGAGGTGGATCGGGCGGAGAAGCTGGCGCAGAGGAAGAAGGAGAGGCAGATTTTAGGGCATAATTTGGGGAGGGGGTTGGGGATTTCTGATGAGTAGGTTGAGGAATGAGTGCCTGTCGGTTCGTTGACGGCATTGCGAGGATGTACTGACGGATCACCGTTACATAGCATGTGGAGCGAGGTTCAGCTCCTATTCGATTACGAGGTGGATTATGGATGGGCGTTGCATGGCAAGGTATAAGACGACATATGCCGCGCGAACACGCCAAGGCCGCGTCTCTGATAGCTCATTCCTTCTCTTTCCCAGCCTGACCTGATGGACGTGGACGAAGTCGATGACGAAGGCGTAGTCCAAAAAGACAAGACCCTGAAGCTGACTGATGTATATGTGGTGCATTGCCGCGATGTGGGTCGAACAACAGACTGACACCTCCTACGTGTGGATTTTATGTAGATTTACGAGCCAGCAGAGATTGCAGAGAAGCACTTGACCGACGCAGATGAGCTCATTCGCGTCAACGATGTTCCTGAACGGTATCAGGTATTCTATCCGGCTGTTATCGACCCTTTCAATCCCACATCATGATCATTGATCGGAAAATAATTGCAGTCACGCGGCGACCTACCCATCCCCGAAGCCGGCGAGCTCGAACGCGAAGCCCTTTACATTGGTCAACAAATCTTCACCGAAAAGCATATCGAAGACGAAGTCACCCTCACCCACCCCGTCGTCGAATCCATCCACAAAGTGCTCGAATTCGTCCGCGGAGAGAACGATCGCCAGGAACGACCGCACTACGAAGTGCCTTTTATCATGACCCATCGGAAAGACTACGTAGCTGGCCGGCTTGACCGAAACGATATGTGGCGCGTGGTGGATCTGGATCAGCAGTTTATTGCGCTGGAGCAGAAGAAGAGGAACCTGTCGGCGTTGTTCAAGGATATCGTGTCCCTTTCGCCGGAAGCGGTCAATGATACGTATGTCGAGCAGTGTCTGAGCAAGGCGACGACGGTGGAGGCCGTTGCGGATGTGTCGCAGTATATTCAGCTGCGGTACTCGAATGAGATGGCCCAGGCGGAACAGTCAAGGCGGAATACGTTCAAGAAGGCTAGGCGTAAGACGGCCTATGAGATTGGGAAAGAAGCTGGGTTGTCGAAACTGGTCGAGATGTTCAATTGCGATGGACGGCAGATTCCGAATAATATCACGGGTGGAGCGACAAAGACGGATGTGCCGGCGGAGACTCCGTTTCAGGTTGCTGCGCGACTCACGGGTGCTTTGTTCGCTACACCTGAAAAGGTCCTGGACGCAGCACGCTCGATGGTCGCAGCGGAAGTAGCCGCTGACCCCGCCTTCCGAAGCTTTGTCCGCAAAATTTACCTCTCCGACGCAACCCTTACCGTCACTCCAACGCGCAAGGGCAAAAGCGAGATCGACTACAACCACCCCTTCTACTTCTTCAAATACGTCACCAACAAGTTTCTCTGGGACTTCCACGACGGCGTGTTCCTGCAGGTCATGAGCGCCGAAGACCAGAAGCTGATCGAGACGGATATCCGCATCTCTGCGGAAGAAGAGTTCCTGAACGATATCATCCGCCGCGTGTCGTTTGCGTCGGAGACCCCCGTCGCTCAGGCGTGGAACGATGAGATCAGGAAGGCAATGCTGCATGCGTGTAGGGATATTGTGTTTCCGCAGCTGGTGAAGTGGCAGAAGGAGAAATGGGCGATGCAGAGCGCGGATTTTGTGGCGTTGGAGTTCCAGAAGGCTTTGGAGGCTAGGATTGAGATGGCGCCGTACACGCGGGACCCGGATACGGTCGAGGAATGGGACCCGCGGGTGTTGGCGATTAGTTGGGGGGATGGGGAACCCAATGCGCCGACGTGGGCGGTTGTGTTGAAAGAAACAGGGGAACTGCTCTCCACAACCAAACTCGAACGTCTGCGAGGCCCACAGGAGCAGCGTCAACCGGACATCGACACTATCTACGACCTCATCGCACGTCACCAACCCGAAGTCATCGTACTGGGCGGGTTCACACCCAACACCAAAACCCTACTCCACCGCACCCTCGAAGACGCCCTAATCGCCGGCCGGCTCAAAGACGAGATCAAGATCATCTTCACCGAAGACGAAGCCGCCCGGATCTTCATGAACTCGGAACGCGGCCTCCGTGAATTCCCAGAGGGCGCGTACCCGCCCCTCGTGCGGTATTTGGTGTCGCTGGGACGGAAGGTGCAGGATCCGACGACGGAGTATGCGGGGTTGATGATGGCGCACGATTTCAGGGATGTGTTGGCGTTGCAGTTGCATCCGTTGCAGCGATTTGTGCCGGATGTGAAATTGAAGTGGGCGGCGCAGAAGGCGTTTGTGAATGTTGTTAATAGTTGGTGAGTTTCTTTCTGTGGGGTTCTTTTGAAGCTGGACTTTTGGGGATCAAATTGTGACTGATTTGGCGTCATTCGGTCGACAGTGGCGTGGATATCAACCTTGCCGCACAACATGCACATAGAGCCACGACGTTGCAATTCGTTGCGGGATTGGGACCGAGGAAAGCTCAGTCCTTCCTTTCCAAAATATCGCGATTGGTAAGCGTGCTGGCGCTAAACTTGATGAATAAACTGTTCTTCAATCGGAGATCCATTTCTACCTCCATTTCTAGGGAGGTCGCTTAGAAACCCGCGCCCAACTCATCCGCAAATCCCTCTGCGGCAAACGCGTCTTCATGAACTGCGCCTCCTTCATTCGCATCCGCGCCCGCAACTTTGCCCGCTACGAAGCTAACCTCGACGTCCTAGACGACACGCGCATCCACCCCGAAGATTACGACCTCGCGCGCAAGATGGCCGCCGATGCCCTCGACTACGAGGACGCCGCAGTGGAAGATGAAGAAAACCCGTCCGTGCACGTCGCGGAACTGATGGAATCCGACGCGGATCTTGTCAAACTGGCCCATCTCGCCCTCGACGAGTTTGCGCTTGAGCTGGAACGCCGTATGAAGGAGAAGAAGAAGATGGCGCTGGAGGACATCATGAAGGAAATCATGCGACCGTTTGGCGAACGCCGTAAACCCTTCACACCCGCGTCCCTCGACGAGATCTTCACCATGCTCACCCACGAGACAAACGAAACCCTTCGCGAAGGCTCCGTCGTCTCGGCCCAAATCACCCGCGTGGTTGAACGACTGCTCAAACTCCGGCTCGTCTCCGGTCTGGACGGGCTCATCCACATTCGGCAAATACCCTTCGACAGACATACCAACCCGCCGACATCGCTTGTCGGGCTGTTCAGAGAGGACACGCTGCTGCAGGCCCGAGTTGTGCGTGTGGATAAGGAGCGGATGGTGGTGGAGATGTCGTTGATAAATGTGGATCCGGATGCGAGTAGGGCGAGGGTGCCGGTGGATGTTAAGTTTGATAAGCTGAGGGAGGAGGATGAGGAGAGGGCCCAGAAGAACAGTGAGTATTTGAATACCATTTGCTACAGTTCTCGCATCTGGATATTCTTTTGGCTGAGCCTCACGGCGAATCTTTCCCTCCAGTTGACACAAGAAGAAGCAAACGCACCGTCCGCACCATCAAACATCCGTACTTCAAACAAATGGACTACAAGCGCGCCACGCAGTACCTCGCCGACAAACCCGTCGGGGCTGTCGTCATCCGGCCGTCGCTGAAGGGCAATGACCACTTTTCCATCACCTGGAAGGTTGATGAGGATGTTTTCCAGCATGTTGGTGAGTGTTGAAGAACCGCGGGCATGATTTGTTTTCGTGGATGGCCGATATTCGATATCCGATTCTTACGCACTTATTCCATTCAAAAGACGTACTGGAAGAAAAGAAGTCGAGCGAGATGGACCTGGGCCGGGTACTGAAAGTCGAAGGCGAGGAGTACGCCGAGATCGACCAGATCATCGCGGAGCATATCGAGGCGACGAGTCGCAAAGTGCAGAGCTTGCTTGCGCATGCCAAGTTTCATAAGAAAACGATGCCTGAGATGAGTACGTGTTCACAGATTACTCTCCTATACATCCTCGTGCCCCGTAGCTGATATATATATCCTCCATCCCCACAGTAAAAGAAATCGAACACCAAACCCTCACAACCTCCCGCTCCGCCTACGGCCTCCTCGCCCACCCCGACCAACCCTGCCATTTCCTCCTCGTCTACAAACACCCCCATACGCGCCGACCGCCCGCAAAAGACGAGGTCGTCGTCCGGCCCAAGGGGTACATGTTCCGCAAACGCATGTTTTCGAGTGTCGATGAGCTGTTGAGATACTTTAAGGAGGATGAGGGGAGACGGGGGGCCGCGCACCATCATCAGCAGCAGCAGCAGGGAGGGCATCATCATGCGAGGGCGCCGCAGGGGATGGGGATGCACCTGGGGATAGGTGTGCAGCCACCAATACCAGGACATTATGTTCGGAGGTAGCGATGCGGATAGTCGGGGTTGCGGCGTCGGTTGTGGGAAGGGCGGTGTGATTGTTTAGTCGGGGAGTATTTGTATGATGGCGCTCTGCGTTGGAAAACTTTGCATACACACACAGCCTTGGGCCTTCACCTTATGAAAATGTACATTTATTCTTTGGAGAGAGAAGAGAAGGTGCGGCTTAGCTCAAAACCTAGTGGGCCGAAGTTTTCCTGGCCCCATTGGCCCCATGAATAACTCAGACGAGAGTACGAGGTAAGAGCCACTTTTCAACCGTGCGATCAAGTTTTATATATTTTCACCCCAATGCAACACTTCGGCGCCAATATCAAAGTGTGCCAACTACTCTTAAATATGCAAAACTCATACGCAGACCGACAAGATCATGTAAACACGGTTCTCGCGCGAACTCCCACAACCGCATGCCATATCCCTCCGAAGCCTTCCTTCCATCCATATAACGTTCCGACAATTGCCTTTCCAATACGCTTTTCCTAAATCTGTTTACTCTACCGGATAACCCATCACGCATTCTCCTGCCTAGGCGCGATCAAAAACACCGAATGTTGACCGCCAGCGGAGGCCTTGATGACCCGTCGGCCTTTCAAGCCAACCAGAAACGGGGTGTTCTCATCACCACCGCCTTCATTGCAGAGCTGACCCATGTCGCCGTAGCCCCAGGAATAGAGGTTGGATCTGGCTTCAGTGGGATTGTCCGAGTCCATCGCGACGGTGTCTGAGATAGCGAGGTTGAAGGACGAGTTTGAGGAGATTTCGATGATGTTTGTGGGTTGGAGAGAGGTGATGGGCGTGGGGGAGTTGTACGGGGTTTCCCCGACGTCGCCAAGACCAAGTTGGCCGGAGTCGCCGCGGCCGAAGGCGTAGACTGTGCCTGTGAAGAGATAAACAGAGAAGGGCTTGGATGAGTGCTCTGTTTACCCTATGGTGTCAGAAGGCAACGACCAAGGAGTGTTTACGTACCAGTACCATCGAGAAGAAGCGAATGGTGTTCTCCGACCGCCATCATCCTCAACCCACTCGCTTCATCATATCCTTGGACTCGTTGCGGTAACGCAATCGGGTCCGTTCTAGCACCAATCCCGAGTTGCCCATAATTGTTCAGTCCGTAACCAAAGACCGCGTTCGTCTCGTGGACGAAAAAAGAGGAGTATCCTCCGCAATACACGCGTTCGAACTTCTTGGAGGCCCGGGCACCACTTTCGGCGAGTTCGCTGGGGTAGAACGAAATTGCCCGCGGGAGCAGCTGAGAGCCACGGCTGTGTCGTTCCATGATTCTATGACCAAGCTGTCCTTGCTCCCCGTTTCCCCATGAATACATCCTACCTGTGGTGGATGGAAGATGAAATGAGAAATGTGTGAGTGATGATGTTGGAATGCTTGCCCAATGAGGATGAGAGAAATGTGGATGAACATACCATTATTGTCAACACACGCAACATGATTGTTGCCCGCCCCAATGCTCACAATCTTGCGAAGAGTGTTCATCTTGAATGGTCGCGGTTGGATCTCAATTCCAGGATAGAATCCAAAGATTCCCGTGGCCCCCCGGAATGTACCCCAACAGTAAACGCTGTTGTGATTGGATAGCAGTGGTCGTCAGATGGTCATGCAATATGCAAGGGGGGCAAAGCAAAACGACCGCATTACTTACTCGCCATGGTTGGTCAAAGCTACGCTTATCGAATCCCCGCAGGCTACCTGCACAATCACCTTATCCTCCAAGCCCTCTACGGGTCCGGGCTCCATCTCCTGCCCTCCGCGACCAAGTGCCATCTGATCATTGCAGCCCCAGCTGTACAGCTGAAAGAAAATGGAAAGGAGGGATAGGTAATCCGTTATAATGCATCGTAGACCGATAGCATGCACGCTAGGTACATACCTTTCCGTCTTGGGAGATGGCGATGTTGTGCAGGCCGCCGGAGACCACGTGCACGATGTTTTTATCGTTGAAATACGCCAGTCTCGAGGGTCGTTCCTTCTCTAGAATATCTTCTCCTAGCCCAAGCTGGCCGCAGTCCCCGCTGCCGACCACCCAGACCTCCCCGACCTCTGTATACGGCATCGGGATAGTCCATCCTAAGGGGAGAGAGAGATCGAGAGAGGAACCGGGTGGGCATCAGTATTATTACTCAAGCAAGGCTGGCGGCGATGTAGCCCTCGCTCACAGTCAAAGACAGAGGCTCGCTTTGGTCGCCCAAAACCCGCGACTGTTCGTTGTCGCTCAGAGCACAGGGCAGGCTCGCCGGAGTGGCATCTTTGGCGGGGGACTTGCTCCGCCCGCTACCTCTCGGGCTTCCATGGCAAATCAAATGCACAAGGAGATATGTACATACGTTTCCTCGCGGTGGCCGGAGAAGTCTCCTTGGTCTTCCTCGCCAAGGGTGCCGAAGCCTTGGTCCTTTTCACCGGTCGCTTGCCGGGCGATGAAGCAGGGCTCGGGGCCTTTGTTCTGGGTTTCGCAGTTCGTCCCATTGTTTCGGCGGGGGTGATACAGAGTGGGTATAGTATGTACGGTACGTAGACGCTTCCAGGAAGAGGAAGAGCCGACGAGGTGGTCTCTTTTATATAGGGGGGTTAGGGGGAAGTGTGTTGTGAAAAGGGGGCGTTCAACAGCGTCGACTGTCAGACTCAGCCCTCTGGAGGTCGCACTTGCGCCCCCGTCAGTCGGCGTCGAGTTCCCTTCGCGTACATTGTGCCATTCTCGGACACTCAAACAGACAGACACTCGTGCATACAGACACCCCCCGCAAGTCCTCCATATGTACATACGCTCTAGAAAACCTTGTTAGGCAATAGTCTCGTTGTCTACGTCACCACCACCTCTAGCACACTTTCTTTGCGACTGCATATTCTGCGCCAGGGGTGGAGACTTCATGACTCCAAAGGTGAGACCGTCGCTTTCCGTCAAAGGCTGACAGGCCAACCGCATTAAAGCAAAAGGCCTTCAAAAGCTACGCTGGTACTGCCAAATGTGCGAAAAGCAATGCCATGACGAAAACGGCTTCAAATGCCACTGTATATGATGTGGACTACCTTCCAGACGGGTTGTTTAAATGATGTTCGTATACAATAACTATGTTGCTGTAAGGTATTGTAGACCGACTGGGTGTTCGCCCAAGCTGCTTTTCGCTATGCAGTCAAAGAGTAACTGCTCGTTCAATAGGAACGTGCGGGAGCACTGTTAAAGTACCGGTGAGGCCAGAGTCCACTGGAGAACACGCTCAAACGTCCCGCAGACACATGGTTCTCCAACTTAACCGGACAACCCACATGACCCCCCCCCCCCCCCCCCCCCAACAGATTCTGCGGTGCGAACCCACTCCAGCAAGCTCAAGCAAAGTAGAATATGAAGGTGTTCGGGATGGCACACCAGCGCAATCCTTACTGGTTCATGGTGGAACATGTTCCAGTTCTCATGGTGGGACATGTTCCAGTCCTCATGGTGGAACTTTTATCGACCTCAGAAGTCAGGATAGTATGTCATTCAGGAAGGCTTTGCTGGAAAGACCGTCGTGTGTAGTGAGTCTTGCAAACCATTTTGTTCCTATCGTAATTGCCGTCCACGCTGCCTGCTACCACCAGTGGGCGTCCCAGCTGTGAATGCAATGTGTAACGTCAGAGGAAACTTAGACAATAATGGGCCCTTCCGAGAGTGTCGGGGATATCTCATCTTCACTTGTCTCTCATATTATATCTCTTTACTTCTACTCGATCCAAGACCCGGGCTGGCCACCTGAGCTCTCGGTGATACATCACATAAGGCGCCAAGCCTCACAGAAGCCACGCAAGCCCCACTGGCAGCCCATATATAAAGCTGTCAGTCAAGCGGCCGCTGCGAAGAGCTTCTTACTTTTTTCTTCACTACAATACACTGCTCTCAGCCCTCTCGGAAGAACTCAATATGGTCTATGTTTCCTCTGACGTTACATGGTAGCACCACCTACCGCTAGCATCACCAAGACATTCCTCGTCAACGTCGCCACCTCTACCGGACGTCGCCCTTACACTCGTTCACAAGCAAGAATGGACGCACAGACTCGAGCTCGCATTGCGGCTGTCGCAGCTGCTTTCGCTAGTCAGCAACGTGCTCTTATGCAAGACACCCAACGAGCCGAACGTTTCAAACTTCTTATGGACGCTCGCAAGAACAAGCTCATCGAATACGATGGCGCCAAAGCTGCCAAAAAGATCGAAGAGTTCGTTACGTCTCATCACAACTTTCTCGACTCTCTCACTGTCCCGGCTGTACCAGCTGGAACAGACGGTACTGGAGCTGCCAACGCCATAGCCTTTACTATGGCAGAGTACGCCTCTACGCTCACTACCTATCTCAAGGGTACTGTTATGGACGACGGGCCCATACCATAAGCTTACCTACTGACAGCCGCCAATGTCAACCGCCAAATGTCAAACGCCAATGTCAATGTCAATGTCAGTGTCAATGTCAGTGTCAATGTCAATGTCAATGCCACTCCCCCTCTCTCCTCTCATTTTCGCCAATCCTCCCGCAATATCGCCACTCCTCCTCTCTCCTCTCATTTTGCCAATCCCCCCTTGGCTTCTCCACACCCCCCACTACTTCCCCATAGCCAGCAGCTGTGGCAATGCTCTCTACGCTCGCCACGCACGCTCTAGGAGCATAGCTGGCGCCCCCCCAGTCCCCTCTTGTTGTTGTTGTTCTCTGATCTGCTGGGTTGCCAATCTATAAATAGCCGGCCTCTCTTCGTCCATTCCCTTCCTCCCCAGCAGATTAACACCAGTTCTTCTCATCTCCTGTTCTAGTCCTTGTTTCTTGTTTCGCCAATACAATCTCTTGTCGCCTATCACTCTCGCCCTGACTTCTCTACTTCGCTTCCGCCTCCCTTGTCGAGATCATAACAGTTTGATCTGCTCCAACACTGCGAAGTTCAGAACCCGTCCAGCCCTGCATCCGACAAACCTTTTTCGCCATGTCCCAACCCGAATCCGTACCTTTCACTGCCAAGCAATGGAACGATATGTGCCAAGCCATCGCCGCCTTGCAAAGCCAAAACGCCAACTTGCAGGCCAACCTAGCGCAAGCCCAAGCCGACGCACAAGCTGCCCAGAGCATCGCCGCCCAGGTTCAAGCCGATACGTACACCCGGTCCCAAGTCACCAACCCTGCTCTGGAGCCAAGAATCAGCTCACCCAAGAAGTTTCATGGTACCCGCAGCAAATTCCGTGGGTGGTTGAACAACATCCGGTTGATGTTTGCTCTCCAGCCCGACCGCTACCCCAGCGACATCATCCAGATCCAAACTATTGGCACCTACCTCACAGGCACTGCGCAAGCCTGGATGGCGCCCCTAGTCGAACGCCAAGATCACAGCCTTCATGACTTCGATAGTTTTATCAGTCAGATGCAATCGGTCTTCGGAGACAGCGACAGGGTCCGCACCTCTGAAAACAAGCTCCAGAACCTTCGCCAAACCCGTGCAGCAACCGAGTACGTCGCTGAGTTCCGCCAGCTACAATGCGATGTCTCCTGGAACGACCAGGCCCTGATTGCTACCTTCCGCCGTGGCCTCAAAGAAGACGTCAAAGACCTGATGCTCACAATGCCCCCTGCGGCCACCATTGATGTGGTGATGGAGCAGGCTATCCAGTGCGATAACCGGCTGTTTGAGCGCCGCCTGGAGCGAAACAGAAGCCGCCAGACCTTCCCGGTTCCCCATACCTCGTTTACTACTACCACCACTGTCGACCACAGCGAGCCTATGCAGATTGACGCCGCTCGTCCCCGCGGCCCTCTGAGCCCTCAGGAACGCCAACGCCGCATTTCCAACAACCTCTGCCTTTACTGCGGTGGCGCGGGGCACATTGCAAAAGTCTGCCCCGTCAAGAACAAGACCACCACCCGTGCCGCCAACGTCGACATCAAAGAACCCTCCACCAAACAGGGTTTTCCCAAAGTCCAGCCGCAGTAAAGCCCCAGCGACTGGACAACACACACCGCCCCGGGCCTCCTAACCTCGCAGCTCCTGCAACGGGAGAGGCCACCCCCCTGGTTCCCGACTCCGTTATAGCCGACACAACCCTCCTAGCCGCTGCCCATGTCAAAAACTCCGAAATTAACCCCCGCGCCATGCTTGCGCTGGGTCCCGTCGAACCCTTCAACTACCCCGTTACCATCATGGTATCATCCAGCCGCGCCCCGATACCTACCTCAGCCATGATCGACAATGGTGCCCTGTCCTGCTTCATTGACAGAGACTTTGCCCGAAAACACCGCATCGCCCTAGTCCCGCATCAGCGTCCACTGACGATCGAACTCGTTGACGGTCAACCCAGCTCTGCTGGGCCAATCACCCATCACACCCGACCAGTAGGCATGTGGGTTGACGACCACTTCGAAGAACTCGTCTTCCATGTCACCAAATCACCCCATGCTCCAATCCTCCTTGGTCTCCCCTGGCTCCGCCTCCACGACATTAACCTTGACTTCAAGAACCTTTCGGTCGGTTTCCGTCGCGACTGTCTGTACCATGAATTCGCGAATTGGGACAACTCTCCAGCACCCCCGAGCCCAGCACCCGCCAGAACCCCCGAGCCCTTGATCCGCATCCCCCAGGATGAAGTCCCCGTCGACGAAACATGGTCGATTCCAGTACCCAAGGTATCTCGCTCCAGCACCCTAGAACCGGCTCCCACGCCGCTCCGAGTCTCGTTCATCTCCGCCCCAGCCTTCCAGGTCGCAGCAAGGCATGACCAGGTCTTTGTCGCCTATGTTATGATCTCGACGACAGAGGCGGAAGCAAAGTAGAGAAGTCAGGGCGAGAGTGATAGGCGACAAGAGATTGTATTGGCGAAACAAGAAACAAGGACTAGAACAGGAGATGAGAAGAACTGATGTTGATCTGCTGGGGAGGAAGGGAATGGACGAAGAGAGGCCGGCTATTTATGGATAGGCAACCCAGCAGATCAGAGAACAACAACAACAAGAGGGGACTGGGGGGGCGCCAGCTATGCTCCTAGAGCGTGCGTGGCGAGCGTAGAGAGCATTGCTCCAGCTGCTGGCTATGGGGAAGTAGTGGGGGGTGTGGAGAAGCCGAGGGGGGATTGGCAAAATGAGAGGAGAGAGGGGGAGTGGCATTGACATTGACATTGACACTGACATTGACACTGACATTGACATTGACATTGGCGTTTGACATTTGGCGGTTGACATTGGCGGCTGTCAGTAGGTAAGCTTATGGTATGGGCGCGTCGTCCATAACATCACCCCTCTCTTGAGCGGCGGCGGCGGCGGCGTCGAGTTTGGTGTGGCCGCACAGGAGGTGCTACGGGGACAGAGGAAGGCTTGTTGGGGTACGCGCTGTGGAAGTCCTGGAGGAGTGCGTCGGTATGGGTGAGGTGTTCCACGGGCTCCCAGGTGTTCTCAGAGTCAGGCCAGCCCTGCCATTTGACCAAGTACTGAAGGCGACGACGATGGATGCGAGAGTCAAGGATGGCTTTGACAACCCACTCTTCTTGACCCTCAACGGTCTCTGGGGGCGCGGGTTCGGGTTCGTGTCGTTTGGGGATGGTGAAGCGGGGTTCGAGGAGCGAGACATGGAAGACATCGTGGATTTTGTACGTAGGCGGGAGCTTGAGCCGGTAGGCGACGGGATTGATTTTTTCAACGATGGGGAATGGCCCAATCTTGCGATGGTCGAGTTTCTGAGAGGGC